TATCTTTTGTTTTGATGTTGCAGCAACATATATTACATAAATGATAGTCTGGACAAGAGGACTTGGACTTACATCTTTGGGGCTTGTTGTGCAACCACAGTCTTTATTCCTTCATTTCACAATTACAGAATCTGGTCCTTTCTTGGCCTTATAATGACCACCTACACTGCATGGTATCTCGCCGTTGCCTCCCTCATCCATGGCCAGGTAAAAACTAAACACTCTTACTTACCAGTTAACATTGCAGATTGGCCCACGAATGTTGGGTGTGAAATCAGTCAAAATGAAACCTGGTAGTAGTCCCATTTCTTTGTCTGGAATGCAAATTGCAACCTGATAAGTGATATAATTAAGCATATTAGTATAGGTAATGTATAATCAATAAAATTAACCCTATAGTTGTTGGAATTTTATGGATTTAAACGTAGGCTGAGGGAGTTCGACATTCTGGTCCGACCAAGCTGGTGCTATATTTCACCGGGGCCACAAACATTCTCTACACATTTGGGGGACATGCTGTTTCTGTGTAAGACAAGTTCATACTTAGAATCCGTGTCTTTTACGTTATCTACAAATCTGCCCATGTTTTTCAAGTCAATAATGTTTTGCGCCTGCTTTAAACTCATAATCTTAACAGCTGTGGAGAATTATAAGTGCATAAAAGCAGTTCCTGAAAATGACCATAGCTTCACTTCTTTAGACATGATATGACCATTGGATATCTAATGACCAAACCAGTTCCAAAAGCATATAATACTCTAAATTGCCCTTTGCATTCTTCTCGGAAACCCTACTATTCCTGTTGAATTTAGAAAGCCAATGATCTTTTTTTCCCTTTACTTTCGCTTTTATCATAGAGGGGGTCCGGCTTTGTTCAGTGAATCCAACACACCCCACAGACAGAAAAAGGCCGTAAAGTTCATGGAGCTGAAAGCTGTGGCTTTAAGGCCTTAAACCCAAAACTCATTAGCCACCTTTTTCCAGGCCCTGAATCCCTTATAATACCAAGATTTTAGTACCTGAGAAATTAGTTATGAACATGCTTAATAAATAGTAGTAGTTGTTCATGAATTTATTGTAATTAATTAAGAATAAATTACTTTGTGTGCGGCGGGGACATGCAGGGAGATCATGCACGCAATGTGGAAGCCTCAGAAGTTCAAGGCTATATACCTGATAGCCACACTATATGTGCTAACTCTGACACTTCCCTCAGCTGCAGCTGTTTATTGGGCATTTGGAGACAAGCTTCTCAATCACTCAAATGCCTTTTCTCTTCTCCCGAGAACTCCCTTCAGAGACATGGCTGTCATTTTAATGCTCATTCACCAGGCATGCCTACTTGAATTCCATTATTAGATCCATCCATACATACATACATAACCAAATGTTCGTTTTTAGAACATCCATCCATCCATGTCATCACACATTAATAACGTTCATTTGGGTATTGTGCAGTTCATAACATTTGGATTTGCATGCACGCCGTTATATTTTGTATGGGAGAAAGCAATTGGGATGCATGAGTGCAAGAGCCTGTGCAAGAGAGCAGCAGCAAGATTGCCAGTGGTCATTCCCATTTGGTTTCTGGCTATTATTTTCCCATTCTTTGGACCCATCAACTCTACCGTCGGATCCCTCCTTGTTAGCTTCACTGTCTACATCATTCCTGCCCTGGCTCACATTGTCACCTTCAGATCAGCCACTGCCCGAGAGGTATTTACCCTCCACTCCATCATCCTAAAAGGAACTAAACAAACCTAGAAAATTAGCTAATTAGTGTAAAAAAAAAGGCTATTTGAGATATCTGAGAAATTTTACTTTATGTCAGAGTCAAACGTTTGACTGAAGAAGTGAGAGAATTGAAAATCGATGTCTTTAGCTGTTGATATTTATTTAATACTACGTCTAGTCACAGTCTAGCAGACCAGTCCCGGATCTTTCTCCTAAACTGATGATAATCTTCCAGATTTAACAATATTTTGATAATTGTGAGTTGGTAATATTATTTGTCTTTGCTTAGTTCATGAAAAGGCATTAGATATTGTTGTAAAAGGCACGAGATTCGTGCTGCAACCTGTTAACCAGAACATGTTCGTATCTGATTCCCCATATCTGGGGATTACTACAGAAAAGAAACCTGAGAATATGTAGGTCCCTACAGAAAACATATGATTTTTGATGAACGGTTGTGATGCAGAATGCAGTGGAGCAACCACCGAAGTACTTTGGAAGATGGGCAGGGACATACACGATAAACGTTTTTGTTGTAGTGTGGGTCCTAGTTGTTGGGTTTGGATTTGGTGGGTGGGCGAGCATAACAAATTTCATACACCAGATTGACACATTTGGGCTCTTCACAAAGTGTTACCAATGTCCACCACCAGCACTCCCAGCTTCACCTCCATCCCACGGCCTCAACGCCACCGCAGCTGCCTCTCTACACCACCCCTTCAACCACACTCGTAGCCCTTGATTTGTGCCATTGCCCGAATTTGCTCAACTCATGGCTTAGCTAAAATTGTAACCATGAATGTCATCGTGTCATTCGCACACTTTGGTCTTCTTTGTTACTTTAGGCTGTAGGCAGAGAATGATAAAAATTAGAGCTAAATGGGAGTTCATAAATCAGAATAACATATTTGCCTAGTAAAATCAATTCCTGTATACACAATGCCATCCAATTTGGGTTTTTCTCTGTCGTTTTTATTTAGCTTAGAGAGTTTGAAATGCATTTCCAAGAGAGAAAAAAAAGAAGGAAACAGTTTTTATGAAAAATTGAATGTCTCTACTTCTCTTTCCCCTGCCCTCCAATAATGAAAAATTGAATATCTTCGTGGGTTCAATGTTTAAGTCCAAAGATAGCACGATTTCAATCCTTCAGTTGGATACGCTCGAATGTCAACCTTTTTGACTGAAAGCATTTAAAAGATTAATCTTCATGCTGTATCGTTTCTGGAGAAAAAGGAATCTGTAGCAAACAGCCAAAAACGATTCTCAGATAAAGGCAACGGTTCTTTGCAGTTCCGTATAGCAAATGCTCTCCCTTTGGAAAAGATTGGATTACTCGACTGAAATGCTTAAGGTGATAGCTAGGAAGGAACAGTCTCAACAATGTGTAATCAATCAGACATGCAATTTGACAGCTAACAGGGTAATAATAACCTTCAACCAGCTGCTACAGCTGAAGGAGATTAATAGCAGGCCATAGAATCAAATTTAGGATGAAAATTTTGATTTCTGATCCCCACTTTCACCCCCTCGTATCTTGAAAGGGATAATTCAAATAGCAGCTTTCATGCATGTTATATATGTGATGAGATAAATGAACTGATGATGAATCATGAAAAGGCTTTAGCAGACATACCCTAATGATTAAAGAAGAAGGTAAAAATGACGCAAGGGGATTGGAGATGTTGCTTGACTGTTGGGCGATCATAAAGCTGCTAAGACAGATACACCAATGCACTACTACGGAGGGAATTGGAATGATGTTGCGGCCATGAAAAAGCTAAATGTTGCAGCAGTCACAAAGTTGTCAAAGCTTCCTTTTGCAAGACCATATTCCCTTTCGCAAGACCATGCGACCCAAGAAAAAAATTAAAGGCTCAAGACTTTTAAGTTAAAGTCTTCCTCTTTATACGCTACACAATAAGACAAACGACATCAAGTTCGAAGACAATACCGTTCTTGTTGCCTGCCACACATTTTTCTTTCTCCTTGTACTTTGTTCAAGAGATGGCAATTTCCTAGTTTGTGTGTATATATATATATTATACTCTTGAATGAAGTGTATTTGAGCTGAACTGAAAGATAAAAGGTAAACCAACGAATTGCAATAGGATTTTTGTCCATGTACGGTAATCAATCGAAGTAGTGTTTCTTTCTTGTTCATATAATAGATTTGTGAAGTGCACAACTCTTTCATAAAAAGGTCATTGTTGGTTCCCGATTGCCAATGGGCCAATCTCAATTCTCACATGAAAGAAAATGCAATGCATCCTAAAGACGAATAAACAGGGATCGGGAGTGGTAATCAGCTTATCGTAGGGTGAGAAAGGGATCCATTGAATTAAGCATTGCAAATTGTTCCCAATACCAATGGAACATGGCATTAGTTAGAACAATGTAATTTCGACTTCAAAACCCAATATTCTTACAAAAGGACAGTGTAATTTACAAAATATAACAAACCATTACCTAATAGCTTTCCATAGTGATAAAATACAAATTTGCAGGAAATGGGAAAAAGAAATGAGCAATGAATCCAAGCAACCAAGGTAAAGCCATATAGCTGAGTTTCTTTCAGCTTTTATCAACAAGGTCCAACCATCCCTGTTCTATCCTAAAAGGAGCAAATAGGTCCACAACCATTGTTCCAGTCCAAGTAGGCATTAACACCACCAGCCTGTCTCAACGAGACTGTTCTTTTAAAACTGACTAAAACACACGTTACCAAACAAATATAGATCCTAAATGAAACCCTCAAAACACAGAAAAGAATCAAAGCAGAGGAATGGACCACTACTGATTTAAAAAAAAGGGCAAGGAAACACACTGTAATTGGGTGCCTTTAGCCTTTATGCTCCCATTATTCATGTGCTTTATTCACCTTCGAGTCCCAATTCATATACTTATTCCCACAAATAATCTTTACTCAAGAATAAAGCAAAGAATCACATCAAACGAGTAACAGAATATTTGAACAGATATATCAACAGATCAAAAACTTTGATTAGATCTCATCCAAATTACACAGAAAAACTTATGATAAACCAAATCAATTTTCATCAAGGGGACTGCAATAGAGAGAGATAACAGAGAAAAGACTGAACCAAACCAGCTTGTATTTATATTACACGTATAAATACTTGATGACAGTGAGGTTTTTAACATCATGTTCTTTTCACCATGTTCCCTTAGAAAATTCTAAATCCACTCCACTGTAACCCTACAGAAGTGCCCATTACAACCATTTCGAACAAAAAAAACAGAAATATGAAGCAAAAGCCAAAAAAACCAAGGAAGCTTGACAATAACAAGACCAACAGAAATAGTACCCAGGAAAAAGGAAGAGTAAGAGGAAATGTGACAAGACACATTTTAACCCTGTCCACCTCAACGACCATTGTTTGGACACTCCCTTGCAAAATGCCCAGAGCCTCCACAGTTGTAACAGCCTGAACCGCCCGCCGCCACCGCCTCCTCCACCATATCTACCGCCGCCACCCTGTGTACAATCCCTTGCCATATGTCCCATCTCTCCACACTTAAAGCATCCTCCTCCACCACCACCGCCGCCTCCATAACCTCCGCCTCCTCCTCCATAACCACTTCTCCTTCCTCCACCACCGTAACTACCGCCTCCATACCCACCAGACCCACCACCCCCATATCCACCTCCACCTCCCCGTCCAGATCTCGAGGTACCACGAACAGGGTTCCCCTTGGGGCCAGTGACATCAACAGCCTTGGTGCGACCACCTTCAGAAGACTCGATAACGAACTCGACTTCTTCACCATCAGCAAGGCTACGGAAACCCTCGGAACGGATCGATGACTGGTGAACGAACAAATCCTCACCGCCCTCGTCTGGGGTTATGAACCCGAACCCCTTTTGGTCACTAAACCACTTCACCTTCCCACTCACCCTACTCTCACCCATGTTTCCCAACCAAAGCTCAGATCTAAAAACCCTAACAAAAACCTACCTCCACCAGAAAACGAAAGAAGCGGAGAGACGCAGAAAGAAAGTCTAGGTGGGGACTTTATATTGCAGATGATAGCAACGCAAAAATATAATAATAAAAATTAATTATTTAAGCAGGACGTCGGGATTTCAGAGGGAGGGATCGACGGCTGGGGATTTGGAGCAGGTGGAACATGGAGCGTCTGATTATATCATGGGTGCTTTGGGGGGAGTCAAATTACGAAAGGAACCAGAGTCTTGAGGGGAGAAGACAAGATTTGATGGGACAGGCATGTAAATTGAGATAATTAATAAAAAAATTTTTTTTGAAAAGATAAAAAATGACTGGTCAAAGGGTAAAGTTGGAAGCCAAGTGTCTGAGTTTGAGAGTGAGAAAAGCATGTCATGTGTGGGATGGGACCTTTCAATCGAGCGTTTGTCCTTTCAACTTGGAAACAAATTAAAAGAAAATCTTTCCATGCATCATGTGCAAAACTCATTAAATTATTTAATTACTTTGTACTTAATTGTTAACAATATAATTTTTTTTTATTTTCTTGAAAAAATACTTAATAATGCTACATTTTTATTTTTTAACCTTCTTTGAATTCAATTAATAGACTTATTTTATCTAGGAGGAGTGGTAAGTGATCTTTAATTTGTCAAAAGGATTTTTTTAATTAATTTGTTATAAATTTATGAAAAATATTAATTAGTGTCTAATATAATATTATTTAGTTTAATGTAATATCTTATGAAATATAGTTATGTCCAATTGAAAAAAATTAAAAAAGTTTAAAATTAATTTAAAATTATAATATTTGATTTGATTTGGATCGATTTTTTTATTTATTTTAAATCAAATTTAAATGTTAAATATATATTAAGTTAAAATAAAATTTCGAATCAAGATTAAAAAATAAAAAAAAATTCAAATTGAATCAAATTAAATTATATATTTTTATTAATTTATATATTTTTTATAAAATAAAATAATTATTTTATATATAAATCTATTTAAATATATTAAATTTTTATTAAAATAATATATAAAAACAAAAAAATTTAATAAATCAAATCAAATTAATAAAATTCAATTCAAAAGAAATGAATTTTAATAAAATATTAATTTAAATTTAAACTTAAATTTTAAATTTTATAATATTATATATTATTTAAAAACACAATCAAATTGTATCCGATTCAATATTCCTAATACCCATGACAACTGCCGTGGAAGATGAGTATGACAGCGTATCAAGAAACTAGAAAAAAACAAAACAAAAAGGCAGATGATGATTCAAAATAATAAGAAGAATAAAAAAACCAAGAAAATGACATTTTCCCGGAATTTGCAACAGCCAGCCAAACAAAAATTTTCCAAGGAGGAGGGTGAACTTGATCATCAGTATTTTTTGGATTGATTTTAGTAAACAAAATTAAAGTCAAAGTTACAAACCTGCCTCACATCATTTTTAATTTGGATTATATTAAATTAATATTATTTTAAATTAGTTTGAATTTGGGTACTTTGTGCACCAAGTTATCTCAAATTCAAATTGAATGATATTCAAGTGAAAATAAATTTGTTACAGATTTGGTAATTTGCTTTTAGGTTCAAACTATTTTAAATTTAAATTTTTTTAAATTTAAATTATTTTAAGTTCATGTTATTTTGAATTCAACCTTTTTTTATTTTTTAATTCATTTGAATTTAAATAAATTCATATTTAAAATTTTAAAACAAATTTCCTCACTTCTGACTTGTTTGTTAAGAAATAAATGATATGTTTGATATATAATATTATGATAAAATAAAATAAAATAAAATAATATTATGAATATAATTATATTAAATAATATCATTATATTTTATGTTTAACGTATATAAAAATTAAAATAAAATAATTTATTTATTAATTAAAAATATTTTTACTCAAAATTTATACATTTAAATTATTTATGTAATTTTTAAATGTATTATAAAATATATAATTTTAATTTAATGAATTAAAAATAATGTTTTTATTTTAAAATGATTGAATTATTATATACTAAAAAAATAATTAATTTTTTTATAATCTTATATTTTTCTAAATACAAATCGAACACATTAAAAGATCCATTGATGATAAGTTTGATTCAACAACTACTTCCTTTTTTTCATTTTTCTTCTTTCATCAATCCAGTGATGGGTAACGTACTCCGTCATTCATTGGCAAGATAACGGACATAAAGCGTTTTTTGTACCTCCTCCATTCCCTCTGTTCCTTTGCCCGGCCCCTTTCCCTTTCCAGGCTGCCAATTCAAAGTTCCATTTAACCGATGATCTCAGTCATGTCCTTTGCAGTAGGAAAAGTTGTGTAACAGAACCAAATGTTGTACCGGGAATAGAAAAATATTTAATATTTTTTGTTAAATTAATTAAAATATCTTTACGAGGGATAAAATAGTTATCAAAAACAATATTTTGGTTTAATTTTTTGTAATTAATAATCATACGGGATTTACCTCGTTTAATCTCATAATAGTTTTTTACCATAAATGCTGGATCGGAGTGTAGATTGGTAGTTAGTTCTATCAGATCTTTGTCAAGTAATTCTGAAATTTTGACTTCAAATTCGTCTATATCCTGTTTGGTAAAGATCATTGGTTTGACTCGAACAATCTCTTTTGAAGAATAAAGAGTAAGTTGGTAGTATCGAGGACTGCGTTTCCAAAGCTTCAATGGATTTTCATTGAAGTTTTCCTGCAAAATTCTATAAAGTCAATGTTTTTCATTAATAGCTTTAAGTTCAGAAATATGAGTTATTTCTGATCGAAAATCATTATCACAAACATGATTGTGCTCGGATAATAAAGGAACATCTATTGATTTTTTATCAATAGTAAAAACAAGATAATTAGAATAAACTAAAAAAGGTAAATACTTATGTATAAAATTATTTCTTAATAGAATGTCTCCATGCATATTAAGAAAACATAATATTTTAGGTATAACAAATTTTTTATCGTTTAAGGCAACAGGTATATTTTTTGCCTTTAGGTTAACAATGATTTCTTTACCATCGATACCTATAATTATTATAGGATGTTTCATAGGTTGCCATTTGGTTGACGGCAAAGCATTAGGACGACAGCTAGAGATTGTTGCTCCTGTGTCAATCAGAATATTCAAACTATAGGGTTTATAGTTTTGAAAATAAAAATAACCTTCAATAAACTTTCGATCTATGCAACGCACCTCAAATCTTTCAGCGTTGGATGGACAGTATTTTCAGCAAACATAAACAATTTTATTGTGTATATATTGATGATATTTTAATCTTTTCTAATACTTTGATGAGCACAAGAAACACCTGAATCTTATTGCTCAAGAATTTATTTTACACGGTATTATTTTAAGTCCCAAAAAGGTTGAACTTGAAAAAACCAAAATTGAATTTCTTTGTCTTAATCTTTCTGCAAACAGACTAACCCTACAGGATCACATTATCTCTAAAATCAATGACTTTTCAGAAGAACTGGATAATGTCAAATAGCTACAACAGCTGTTAGGTATACTTAATTATGACAGACAATTTTTCAAAAATCTTTCCAAAAAGGAAAGCTATCTTTTGCATAAATTACGTAAAGATAATGATTTTGTCTGGACCCCTCACGATTCTGATATTATCAAACAGATCAAATCAAATTTAACCACTATACCTAAGGTCTATTTACCTAAACAATGTGATCTATTAATTTTAGAGACAGATGCCAATGATGAACATTGGGGATATGTCTTAAAAGCTAAAAATCTACATCAAAAAGATGAATTGATTTGTGGCTACAATTCCAGTAAGTTCAAACCGAACGAAATAAATTATATTATCTTTTAAAAAAAATTATTAGCCATAAAAAATGGTGTACAGCGATTTTACATCTATTTAGCCTTGAAGACTTTCGTTATCCGAACAGATAACCATAATCATAATCAAAGATTATATTTGTACCAACAACCTCTTTATCGACCCCCTTTCATGATGATTCAACCAGAAACCCCCTTTCATGAGGATTCAACCAGAATACTCACAGTTTGCTCAAGATCCAAACGAATGGACACCTATGAGTTATTCTCAAATAGTTTATTCTACAGAACAACTGTTGGAAATAACAAAATTCTCTAACCCAAAGATAAAAGATTTTTACAATCCTGGACTTGAACCATAAGTCTATAATTTGTTAAACAAAATATGAAAATCCCATATCTCAGAAAACAAAATTAGCTTTCGAAAATGGATGATCAACTTAGTTGAGTTCTTAGCTAAACAAGCTAAAGAATTTCAGAATTTTAAAGAAATAACTTTTCAAAGTCTTCTATCAACAAATCTGCTAAAACAACAAGATATTGATTTCTTTACTTTGGAAGAAAATCAGTATGATCTTCAAGAGATAAACAATTTCTTGAATTTATGTGAATATTTTGAGAAAGATAATTTTATTTCTTCTAAGCTAAACAAGCTTAAAAGAATTCTTCTCTTCGAAAAAGCTACGGCATTCTTAACCCAAGAATTATTTCAACAAATTAATTCTTTTATTTTACAGTCAACAGAAACACTGTTGATTGAAAAGTTTTTAGATTATTATACCTCTACTTATATGTATAATACATCTTTTGGTGAATATATACCTAAACTAAAGTTTCGACTTGACCATGAAAGTTTTGATATAAAAAGTATTGAACTTGGTTTAGTTGGACAAATAACTGTACAAAATGAAACAGAGTAATGATCCGTAACAACGGATTGATTATCTTAATGCTATAAAGACTCTTTATGAAGAACATAAAGACCTCTTTCTTAAATACAAATATCATTATAGTTCTTCTGACGATGAGTCTAATTTTATTTTTATGCTGAATACTGAATCTAACACAGATAATGTTTCAGTTACTTCTTCTACAAGTACAACAACTACCAACAAAGATAGTATGATTAAACTCAAAAATATTATGAGAAAAACTCATTTTATTTTTGATGATAAAATCAAAGAATTACAACTCATCAAACCAGATGAGATTTACAAAACAAGTTAGTTTAAAAAATTTCAACCTTGGTCTAAACGTCATATAGAAAAACTATCTGGTGATACAGTCGCAATTGATACTAAACAAGGATCAATCAAAATTTCTCTTTTTACTAAAAAGAAAATACCTCATCTTAAGGAAAAATATTCTCACCTAAACAAGGATGAGATCAAATATGAGATAAAACAAACTTCTAATTCTGACCAAACAAGTCAGGTTCAGACTGAAATCCCTATAATCGATTCGTTAAACAAACGAACGGTTTCACAAGGAGGTACCTATTTAGACTTAACCAAAGTCCCTCTTCAATACTATAGAAAAACCATAGATGATTGAGTATAATCTATGTCTATTATTGTCACAAATTATAAGGAGACATGGGGCAAAGAAAGATTTTTCAACCACTTTTGTGGCACATGGCAAAGTGATGTCCTTCAATTTCTCAAAAAATGAGAAAAGACAACCCTCGGAGAACAGCAGAAATCTTCTCTGTTAGCTGTAGGTAATATTCTTCAATTTTTGAAAGATTTAACCCAAATCTTGAAAAATGAGTTTTGCGGTAGTACAGAATCCCTAGATCCTACTCAAGAAGCTTAATTTATTTTATCAAAATTAAAATTATGTAATATTAAATTTTTAGATGAATTTTCTAAAAAATATCTTTCTGAATATAAAAAATTGGATGAAAAACATTCCAAATTTTGGTTACAACAATATTTTCTTAAACTTTCCTCACCATGAGATGAATTAAGTTCACAAAATTACCTTTTTTACCTTGAGTTAAAACTCAAAACCGTTCATGCTGCAAATTTCAGTATCGAACTTTATGATACTCTTGGATGTAGAATACATTACGTTCAGAATCAGGTAACAGAATACTGTTTGAAGCAAAAAGCTGCAAAATAGGTAAAATCTAAACTGTTGTATAAAAAATATACAAAGATTTTAAAGATTTTGAAAAATGAATTTGAATTTGATTGTAATAAACAATCTTTTTCAAAGAAAAATATGGCATTGGGACCTAAAAAGCCCATAAGTTTTAGAACCATTTAAGTTTCCAGGCTCTTGGTCTAGCCTACAGCTTCAATCTTTTGCCCAAACCCACCTTTTTGTTCAACTTTTTTGATTGACTCGACTGACTCGCAGTTGGGCCTTCGGTTTCATGTGCCGGATAGCTCACCCAACACAGGATGACAAAAAATCGCAAAAGTTTTCCTCATTTGAACAAAATTCTTTGCTCGTAAACAGTGTGAATGAAGAATCTTGGTGGCGGCTTAATGTTCAAATTAGAGCTTTTTTTTTTTTGCCCTATTGCTTTTAAGCATTATTTTTCACGTGTTTCAGGCGGTTTTTATGAACAGTATTTACATCTATCCGAATTAGGGAATCCGAATGTTGTTTTTTTAAGCTAATCCAGCCAAGCTATCTGATGTGGAACGTCGGTTTTGGTAGAATGTCAAGTCATAAAAATCCCCGAATCAAACTTCAACCGACACATGGAATGTGTTATCCAATTAGACTCATCAAAAATCAATCAACCAGGCTTCCAGTCAGCTTCATCTATCTTATCAAGAAAAAAAAAACCAAATAGAAAACAGGAATTTTTTTTTGGATATGCATGAGGAAAAGGAGATGTGCAAGTTCTTCTCTTCATGTACTTATAAAATTGTCCATTAATCATCATTAATTTTCGTCTTACATGAAAATGTTGAAGGGACAAGTGTTTAAAAATATTAATGCAGCATTGGTTCAGCATGACCCACAGTTCTTTTTTCTTGCACAAATTCAGCATAGTGATTGAAAAAGTTGGCTAGCGTGCTCTGTTCATTGACCCCCAAGCAGTCCCTCAAAATGGAACCATCTTTAATGGCTGAACAGAACTGGTTCTAAAGTGAACTGACATAGATTGAATAATTGAATGTCCTGTGCGGGGTATTTAAACGACTTCCAATTTCAAAAAGCATAGAAAGGAAGGTCATCTGCATATGTTCATGAACAGTGTGATGTTAATAATCAGAGAAAGAAAAAATGGTGCATTTGAAAATGATGTAGATTACTATTTACTGTACCATCATGGAAAGTGTGCTTTCGCAAATGATATAGATTCTAAATCATTCACTGCCACCATCAAATCTGGCCAAAAAAAATCACTAAACAGTACTGTGAAATAACGAATTCGAGACTTAAGACTGCTTACCAGATTTTTAGAAATCTCAGCTGTCCAGAATTAGGCCTGAGATTGGTGTCAGCTATGACTTATGGGTCTTATGAAAGAGCAATGCTAGTAAAAACTATTAGCACATGATGCTAACACCAAGATTTCAGAGACAGTACCAAGCTGACGATTATAGGCGATAACGACAGCAAAGATAACAGACAAGACGAAGGAGAAAATGAAGAGAGTAAGGGTAAGAAGCTATGCACGACACCATAAGTCCATAACTCTATAACAGTATTTGACATCAACGCTAATTTATATACAGTCACTTCATCAGGGTGAATAAAGCATACAAAACTGAACTATTTCAGGAAATCTTGCACAACGTGATAAAGTTAATGGAATCCTCTTAAACCCCTTGATTGATAGAGTTCTAATCTACTTTTGGCTTCTGGTAATAAATAATCAATATCAGGATCTCCAGATAGATAAGCTTGCTTTGAAGCCCACTGCAGTACTATAAGCACCTCTTCTCGCGCAAGGGTCTCACTGTCAGGAATATTGAACGCAATGTAACACAGCAGGATCAATGAAGGAAACTGAACCATTTGTTCACCAAAGTAAACCAGTTGAATTAAATGCTTGGCGCCTCCTGCATTGATGATGGATTTTGAATGATTAACATGGAGGTAGTTTTTAGGTGTGGCAAACTTGTTAAGTGCAATGGCGGCCTCCATAGAAATATCTGCTTCCCTTTCATCAAGGAGTTTTACCAATGGTCCGATAATCCTTGTTTCAGTTGCTCGGAAAGTCCTGGCCAAGTTTCCAATAGCTTTGATGCAAGGCAAAAGGAGGTCTGAGTCTGCCTTTTCTATGATTTTGAGTAACTGCTCCACGACAGCTCTGGCAGCAGGGGAAGTAGGCTTGAAAGAAGAGCGTCTCAAGTCAGCATTTTGTTCAGCTACAGCTGTGATTTCCATTAATGCGAAGGCCGAATAGGACTGTACATCATCGGTGCCCTTCTCTAACAAAATTGCAAAGCACAATAGAGCTCTTGATTCTGTTATGCTACGACATATACCAAGATTTCCCTTGCTAAGCTGCCAGAGAGCTTTTGCTGCCATTGCCTTCATTTGTGCTTTGGTCGCTGGGTCTTCGAATTCCCTTCCCTTAATGCTAGTTCCAGATAATGAAACATGTTGCTGATGGTGCTGATGATGATGCTGGTGTGACTTGGCACTCTGCTGGTTGCCTTTGGGTTGGTTAACATTGTGGTGATTTGTAGAATACATGTTTGGTTGTGCTGGCTTGGAACTGTCAGGAGTCTGGCTTCTCATATCCAAAGGGTGAGCCATATTACTATTAAGTTGCTTATCATCAACTTCGTGCTTCTTTTTATTAGTTTGCTCTGGAGTGTCACTAGCCATAAGAACCGAATGAATAGACATCTTTTGCTTACTCGCAGTGGTATACTTACTATGTTCCTGAACGGTCTCAAAGGCGAGGTGACTGACGAGAAGCCGAATTATATTATTCTGTGAAAAATGGTCCTGGCATTTGGGGTGATGCGCAGCCAATTCTGATACAGCCCAAGCCACCACAGATTGAACATTCATGTTACCTTCTTTGAGGATTTTCGCAAAAATTGAGCAAGCACCTGCATGTACAATTTGTTCGACACTTTCCGGGTCACGTCCTAGCAACCCAATTGCCCTTGCTGCATTCTCCTGACCTTCGGGTTTTCCTTCCTTTGCCAACTTCAATAAAGGAGGGATCCCTCCTTCCTCTATGATCAGCTTACCATATCGATCATTGTCCCGACCCAAAGAAACCAATGAAGCAGAAGCATCAGATCGTTCATCAAACGAACCTGTATAAAGAATAGCAATCTGTTCCCATATAAGACACAATATTGGTTCGTTTGCTGCAATAGGAGGAAGACCGAGATATTCATCATCACGATCACCAGCCGAGGCTGACACGCGCAAGAGCCAAGAAACATCTCCTATAGAATTCTCGAGTTGCGTTGATGTTTTCCTAAAGGCTGCCGCAGGAATAATGGTGAAAACTCGCTTCATGATACCCGTTGCACGGCACTTGATGACAAGAGCTAGGGCCTTGTCCAGGACCTGTTCGGTGTCATCGATGATTCTGCGTGTTGGGCGTTCGTAAAGGTCGTTGCTGGCACGTGCAGCTTGACGGAGGAGGCCTGATAGCTTCTCGGTCTTGCCTTTAAGCTCTTGGCAGTCTAGTTTGAAAGATTGTGCTTCATCCGCGGCCTTGGTTACCTGATCTGCCACTTGTATTGGCCTTGCCAAGATCTGTTTCACAATGTCCGCCATGGCCTAAGCGGAGCCGGAAAAAATGGCAACGGGAAAGCAAGGACCTTTCAAATTATACAACGATCCTTTTTGGAGGAAGAAATAAGGGTAAGAGAAAAAGATAATGTGGTCCCAAACGGTGAACTACGTGTTTCCACTTGTCAGGTTTTAACGAAGAGAGAGAGAAAAATGTTTCTACATATATGGAGAATTTATATTGCTTTTGCTTATTGGACCTGAAAAATGAAAATGTAAAACCAGAAAAACCGGAGTTCAAGGTGTTTAAGGAGTTCTTGTAAAGAAGAAGGGTCTTCGCATCAGAATTGCATGGTTTTCCGTGGTGGCGGTGGAAGGGAAGGAGGTGGTGGCGCAGCCAGTGTATGTAAAAAGGGAGAGAGCAAGAGATTAGTAATGGTCAAACGAGATTTTCTCCATGTTTGATGTCCAAAAATAAAAGCACCGATCTTCTTGCGTTATATAGAGGAATTCAATTGGTTAGTCCATAAATTATTACAAAATTCAAGTTCTATGAATATTATGACAGTCTTAAACAAAACGACTTCACTTTCACATAGTTTTCTAGAAGACAAATACAGGCTCAATATACTTAGTTTCAGACTTTGGATGAGTGAGACTCAAATGGTTTCATCAAGTAATGACTAAAGTTCGAAGTGTAGCTAAATATTGTAAAGATGAGGCAATTCTTCATAAAATTCATTGTGTTAAATGCAAGAGAGATTCATGAAATTATTATTCAGAGAGCATGATTGGTAATAGAGGGAATATATGAGAGGATGGAACAGATTGAAGGAGACTGGACAGGTTCAATGTCCCCACATATATTTGAATAAGGAATAAACTTTGCATGCATCCCGCTTATTGAATCCCACCAAACAAAAGTCACAAGATTTCACCAAACTCCAAAGATTCGATGTCATCCACATTCTTCAGCAAATTAATCAATCACCCCAATGAAAAATTTTAACCGAGCTAGAATATATCTTTGAGATTTTTTTTTTTTTTGCAGTTTGATGGGCCTGACATCGTTGACATACCGAGTAATTTTATCTCCTACATATTCCACACTTCAGGTTCCACGACTGTGAGTTTGACAGGCAAGAAAATGAGGTGTTTTAAGCTTTCTATCCTCCTCCATTTCAAGGGAATAAGGATAAAAAGGAAGAAAAAGCATGCATATAAAGTACTGTTGGGTGGCCTGGCTAGATTTCCATTTTATGACAGGTTGGGCTCAAGGCTTGAGCTACGTAAGGGGAACTGTGGATTTTGGTTACTATAAACATGCGCAAAAATAAAACAGGGCACATCACTTTTTTTTCTGTCAATTGCTTGATTTTCATCATTTGCAAAGTTGTAAGAATTCGAGTCACCTTTTTTTCTGGGCCACTACACGTGAAATAGGTGGTTAAAATTTCATTTTCTATTACTAATTGAGTATGGAAAGGGTGTGAAATCCTTCTAATTCTTTATAACTGGTACGAATCAGATCAGATATAAGATGGAAAAATCTAAGTGATAATAATAGGAACAATAGCCAAAGAACTTTGTTTTACAGGCAATGAGAAATAACATGCATGATTAATCCTGTAGTTGTTGAGATCTTAATGTGTTAGATACTTCATTTTGTCCATCATTTACATAAGCAAAAAGGTTAAAGAAAGTAATGAAAGTAAAAATGAGTTACTTGATCTTGACCTCTGTTGTAGTCTTGCCGGTTAGGAATATTCTTGGCTCTCAGCAAAAAAGACCTAGGATCTACTTCGGGCAGTGTAATTCTTAATTGCAGTACTATTTAGTTAACGATAATAAACTCAAGAAGGTGATTCCGGAGCTTAGCTAAGATGTTTTATGCCATTGGTGTCCTAGCTCAAATTCCAGTACCTACAACTCCTTTTCCCTATTTCAAGTTGCGGCCTCTTTGTACAAAAAAAAAAAAAAAAAACTCAAAAAAGGTATATGTTACCTTCATGCCTAGTGTAATTTTCAGAGGTTTACTTCAGAAGTTGCTGCAATCAAGGTTCTGTTTTTGTCGGATAGTACTTTATTTCTGGGGTACCGTGTATGGATGAATCAATAGTAATAACATTCCAAAAAATTATGCATGTTGCTTTGAAAGGACAAAAATGTTAAAGGGGTTTGTCTTTGTTTTGCTGGTTGGGGGGTAATTCAGTAGTGTTTCACATTCATTCTGCATATATATGGCAGTCTTAAATTTTACAGTGGTGTTGAATCTGTTGATATGTTCCTGCTAAAAATCCATCCTTCATGAATCATATTAACTGAAGATTGTCACATCTCTTAATTGAACGTTTCATGAAAGATTGAAATCAGCTTCATATTGAAAACCAATCCCTGAAACTCTGCCATATTTGTTTAGCTGTATTATATAATTTATACTGTATCAAAACCTGAAATTGAAAGCTGAAAGTTTTCCTTAACAAAATAATCAAAACCAGTTTCCCTGTAATTTGATGGCATCAAGACATCAAAATTTCAAATAATCCTTCCCCCCCCCCCGCATTCCAATGGTTGTATTGGACAACAAAGTTTAGGCCTCTTCTTCTTTTAACCATGCAGGGTGATGACAGGATTTGATCCCAATTTCGTCAAGAAACGTAGAGCAACCTCTCCATCCTAGCTAATCCAAAGTTCCAAATTAGAGCCTGGTAGGCCATATGCAGGAAAGGAAATCCACAATAATTCACGGGTCCGATTAACATAGAAAAAATCGGAAAAAAAGATGTGATGACTCATGGGATAAATATTCATATGTCCAATCAGCCATTTTCGGACCGGGTCTACACATTTTGCCTCCCCCAATGGAGAAATCCACGGAAATCGCAATGAAGATTCCAACGAACAACGACAAATCAACTGTCAGATTTTGTTGCATACCATAAACTACAATTCACCTCATATGCTGAAAATTTTGATGACAGAACAAGTTGTACGAGGTGTCCTCCTCAATCCTGCTTCTGAACTGACCTTGCTTGTCAACTTCTTCAATTACTCCCAACATTTTATAACGTGGATCCCACTGTTTCTCTATGGGAAAGTAGTAAAAGGAGATTGTGAATTGATAAGAGAATTACATTACAATATATACAGCAGACTAAAGAACAAAAAGAAAGGAAAGATTATTATTGCCTAATTATTGATTTCCTAAACAGAGGGATATCCTAAATAAAATATTTACAAGCTAAAGACAACTAGAAAATCTTTGACCATGCATTTTGCTTACTATGTAGAACTTTGATTTTTGGTAGACATAATCATTTAACTCAAATAAACCGGCCTACAACTCACAAAAGTTAATCCAGTCTGTAAGGAGAGATTTTCTATACTCTTGTGAGATCACTAGGAAAGTAAAATCCGGAATGCAAAAATCGATGCCGGAGTTAGGTTGAAACAAAGCCTACTCTGACGGCTTTATAAAAAACATCAAATACATATAGCCGTATAGCCTATAGGTATAGATATATGAGTAAGCTGCTGACATGATACGTAGCTATACTTTGCTAGTCCTACTTGCTTGTCCCATGGGATATCAGTAGGATCAGAACTGCAAAAAAGTTCTTGTTGCAGTCCAGAATTTCACTTCCAAACACATTGCCAGCACACAAATGACAAAAGGATGTTGCTATGTCCTACAACTTCCCCTCTTGATTTTCAGATATAGATTATATTACAGTACATTGGATTGGATTTATATATATACCTGTTTATCTGCATTAGTCTGCGGTTATAGTTATTATGTATGTATCCGATATTCGTTTTTAGTTCAAAGCAATATATGAAAGAACCGGATATGGAGTATCTTATATGCTTACAGAGAGAAGTTTGGAATAGATCCTAAAGAAAGTCTGATACATAGCGTACAAAAGTTTCCGCCAAGTTTAAAAGAGCGGAAAAGAGGCCTGGAATGTCTTCATCTACTTCACTCCACCTCTCATTACTGATCATGGCTCCGATTATAACACTTGACTTCAAGAAATCAAATCCATGGCAAGGAATAAGCAGTGATCAGGTTTCCCTGATTTGATGTACCTTTACAGTTACACTGTATCAAAGTTTCAGCTTTCAGTACATATGTGAATGTCAAAGCTGAAGCCTGCGAGCAATTTATTTCCGAAGGACAATGTCGCAAATTTTAGGGTAATTTTCTTGAGAATATCTTCAACAAGAGAGTTAAATATTCCTGGCAGTTTTATGTAACAAAATATATACATCATGGACAAATTTGACTCCCATTTTCAGTTTCTAGCTCAACACATATTCATCAAATTGGTAAAATATGAGGCTATGAACATCATAAACAGACTGTAGTACTTTCCTCCAGGTTCATTGATAAAGTTTTTTCTCTTTCTTCTTTTTGTATGAACAGGATAAAAATGACAAAAGATTTCAGAGATGTGAATATTATTGATCATAGGAAAGCAACATTTATAACAGGGTCCTATTAAACCGTAGATACACGACCTACTAAGGCAAGCTGCTTAAATACTAACAGATAACATATACTATCAATTGTAGGACCATTTTGCATGAGGCATGAGATAGTTTGATAGTTTCTCCATTAACAAATCTGTACAGAAATAAAAACCAACTTTGCACCGTGCAGTGTGCATGTAGCTAGGTTTTCTGGTTTATGAACATATTTACAATTTACATTCTTACCATTTTCTACTAGTTGTGCATAAATCATCCCTGTAAATTAAAATGTTGGTGACCAAACTGATTCCATCAGGACGCTATTCATCTCTGGTCCTGGTTTCGGATTCGAACATCAATATTCTACTTCTGGGATTTGGAGAGTTAAATCAGGCAAAGGCTATTGCATTGAAATGAATGAATGAACATAAAAAATGAAAAAAAAAGAAAGAAAGAAAGAAAAAGAGTTCATGGAGAATGAGGTAAACCATAAAAGATAAATGTAATGAGAATATATACGAAGAATGCAAAGTACTCAGCAAAATATAGGTTTTTTTTTTTTTTCAATTTTGTCTTTTAAGGATTCTTAATTTTTAAATATTATGAACTAATGAAGGGGCAACATATGATGCATTAATATTGTTTAAAATTTATATACTAATCAAATATAAACTTTTTTGTGATTAGACTTCACTCATAAATTTATGAGAACAATGGCAAGTATTTTTATTATATAACTTATTAAGTAATTGATTATTTTTTAAATTAATTGATATATTATTAAAGTTAATACTTAAATATTTCGAATTCGAGAAAGTTTATATGCCTAATATCTTTTTCAGCTAATAGGCAGAGGAGATTTAAGTTTAGATTACAAATTTCAAAAACAAAAAAAAAAAACCCATCAATTTAAATGAAATAAAGTTAAAATTTGGGCCTACTTTAATTATGTCCTGATCATAATTCCTAACCAAGGTCCAAGTGACAATAAAGAAAGGCCAACAAGGCCTTTCCATATTTAGGTCCGAAAACGGGTTCTTGGGTCGTCCAAAGCACTCAAACCCATATCCGTTATCCCATTACCAACACTGATCAGTCTCCCAATTCCTACGACCACTATAACTAGAAAGCCCCGATGAAGGAGCAGCAGCTGCCATTGTTGCAGAAGTGAGAGCAGAGGAATGAAAGGGGCGTTTCGGCCTGTAAAGATCCCTGTCATAATCTGCATTTTTATCTGGATCTGATAACGTTGAATATGCTGCACGGATTTTCATAAGTTGATTAGCTGACATTTCTTTCTGGTTCATGGATACAACATCGGGATGACATGTTCTTACTAGTCTCCTATAGGCTGCCTTGATTTCATTCCCGTTTGCATTCATCGGAATCCCAAGAACCTCGTACAATGATGTTGATGAAGCCATATGCAGTTCCAAGATACTTGGTTAAGTTCTTTTTTAGGATCTCTTTCAGGTTATAATCTGAAGAATATTCAAGGAATGGATTTGGAGATAAAGGCCAAAATTTCAACAGTGAAAGCTGAGGATTTTGACGTGACAAAGATTTGAAGCGAGGTGGGCTTTACATATAGAGTTGAAGAAATGTAATAATTGGAACAGATTTAATCATGGTCCATTTTGATCATGCTATGATAAATCCTTATCCACAGGGTGCTGTGCTGTCCCTTGCTGAGTCAGTGACTGTTTATATGGATGGGGTTACCCATGGTGATTGGTCCCATTCCCACCTCCATCTCAGTCCCACTAATGCAGAAAACTTGAACATAATGATTTGTAATCTTCTACCATTGGAATATTGGAAACAATTGTGTTATATAGAATTCCATCCAGTTTTCCAGGAGCAAAAATTCAAGAACACGTTTAAAGGAAATGTTCTTTTTACTCCCCTCTTCCACATTTTTAATTAGTGTACTAAAAGGACACCTAACCCATTAATTCCAGTTGGCCCAAAAATCCCAGTTATTTGTTATGGACATTGTGAGGACAATAGTCGGCTATGGCCTATGGGTAGACACTGGCTTGGGTCTCCTTAGGCTCCATTCTATATGGATGAAACTGGGTCAACATCTTCAAACTTGGGTCAACATTTGTTTTGGGTTTAAGTCTGTTTTGAATTTTTAATTTATGCTTAATCGTTTGATCTTTATCTACTTAATTTCTTTTTTATTTGGAATTTTATTTATTAACCTCTGATTTTTAAATTATTATTTGAATTTTAATTAAGGTATAATAATAAAATAAGCTCTTGAATTATAAAAAAAAAGTTCATGTAAATTTTGAATTTTCTATTTAAATAAATTAAACCCTCAACTTATTATTTTACGCGAAAAAACCACAATTTAAACTCAGTGGTGATCAATGCAGTTCTCTCCTGAACAATGAAGTAAAATATCTTGATGAAGTTGCTGCAATTCGCAAGAGGCATCCTCAAACCTGTGCTTTCGTGTTTCAGTATGGTTACCTCCTTGCTTGTCTTGAATATACATGATTGCAATATTTGTTTTACAGGTTTTTCAGCAAATCCCAGGCACACTTCTTGTTAAAGGATCACTCTCAGGTTTTCAGTTACTGAGATCCTAATTTTGTTGGAACATGCGTTCTTGAGATCACTCCTTACAGATGACTTTTTGGCTAGCACTCAAATTTACCATCTAAACTCTAAGCTTACTCGTTGTCATCAAATTTCATTACTATTGACAATATGATGTGGGCTTAAGATGGCTAGTCATGAGAATTTGGAATTGATTGTCCTATAACACTCATATTCCCATCTCTATCATATATATTTCATGTCATCGAGAATTCACTAGCAGTGCAATCTTTCTTTTGCAGGATTATTCTCCTTCTAGGCTCCTACTTACCTTATTCAGCAATGCAGCATTTAGATTCGATAAATTTGAAGCTCCTGTATAGGACAGTATCCAAATCAGCTTCAGCTATCTTGTTCTTCTTTTGAAAAATGTACATGTACTTATTGTTGAGCCAAATGATCGGGTCTTAATATATAATCTTCATGATGTTGCCTTCCATGGAATTTTGAATAGGATAAAACAGTGAAAAAATTGAATAATATTGTATGACCTTCTCGTTCTAAGAAAGTTTTGAATATTGTATAACATTCTGCAGATAAATTGGTCATCAGTGCACGATAAATATACTCAATGCCATACACATCACATACTACATTACAAACAAATAACTGAACAGCCAATTCAAAGGATGAAGAAACTAGTTACAAGAGAAAATATCACAGATTGTTCTACCAATGATAAGAGAAGGAAGCTTTACAATTTCATCAACACTTCCCTTCAATCCTGGCGTGTGTAAGGCCAATACAAGCATCAACGAAATCCTTATCAATAAAGTCTGTAGAGAAAATCTGCAACCTATCAGCACAACCCTTGGCAAAGCACTGAGTAATGAACAGTCTAGCATATCCATGAATCCGCCCTGTCACTGGTTTAACACATACCACAGGGTTATCTGCCTGTGCTGTTACTGTGTTCTCCACCCTGTAGAAGAATTTCCTTGATGAAACTGGTTGTTGCTCACCCAAATGCTTCAAATTGCTATCAAACTTTGTTGATGGTAAATCTGTGTCTATCCAATTGTCCCTCAGATAATTAGCACTCCAGAATGGAGATCCTGCCTTTGGCTGGGGAGACTTCCTAGGTTTCCAGAAACAGACAATTCTCTTTGGCAACAATGCGGCAATTGTTTTGCCAAAGACGTGATCATCCTGGTGGATCAGGAACTCCCCAAGTGCTTCCTCCAAGTACTTCTCAAATTCAGGAGGATCCTGGTGCCCAAATTCAGTGCGGACCTCAAGAATTATTATCTCTGATTCTGTCTCCGACAAGAATTTCTTGACATCGTTGATGACAACATCAACACTGTAAGTCGACAGGATTCCATGGCAGACACGACGATTTTCATTAACTCGAATATCCAAAACTCTGGTGCCTTGTACAAGCTGTTGGTAAATGGACAAATACTGACATTGCGCAAAAGGGCGAGAGATACATGGTATTCCAATCTTGTTGGTAGCAGAATCATGAGTTCCAGGCCATACAATTTTGTTTATGTAAACTTTCTCCGGACCAAGGTCAGCCATCCAATTCTTCCTATCAGCAGGATGGTAATCACAACCAGGAAACGTTTCCCCACAACTTTCATGAAGGTCGCAGAGCTTTTTCTTTTCAGTCGAGATTGCCTTACGCCTTTCCATCTGTTTAGAGACATGAGAACCCATTTTTCAATCAGAGAAGAAGAAAAAGAAGATTGCCTTACGCCCTCTTCTTCTTCTTCTTCTTCTTGATATTTCCCTTGCTTTCCTTCTGTTTCAAGTTATAAATTAAAAGCTTTCCTCTATGGGGTTGAATATATAGCATTATAACGTCAGATAGTGTTATTGTAGGGTCGGCCTTCTTGTATTGTAGATAATAAAACTGATAGAGACAGTTTTCTCAACGTTTTCTATTGGTTTTTTTTCCTATATTATCTTCGATATTTTGGTTTCAGACGGGAAATGAAAACAATCTTTTGCGCCGCTTTGATTTTCATTGGTATTATTGGTAGAGAGTTAAAGTCGATTCTATCTCTTGGATTCTTCCACATGTATGGATGTCCAACATTGTCTAAACTTTGTTGGTTTTGATATGTTAGATCCTTCTAATCCAAAGTTAAATGAAGGCTCATGATCAATGGCCGGTAGGCCAAATGAGCTGGCCTCTGGTAATATAAAGCCAATCCCATTCGTCAATATTCCATTTCTGGTTCAACCACTTCCGAAAGTGAAAGCCCCTAATTATGAACCCTTTCCATGAAAGAAATTTTTTGCTAACCCACAGCTTAAGCTTTAATCAATTAACTCTCCAACTGTCAACGAGTAGACACAGTAAATATCCGTTCAGATCCAAAGTTTAAGGATCCAACATTCCAATTTCTAGACACCACTCCTGAAGTACTTTCAATTTAACGAGAACTAAGCTAATAAAACAGTTCTGCGAAAAAAAAAAGCCTGATTCATTATATGGAAAGACTGAAGAACCCGAAAAAAGATGCTATTCCAATAACAAGAGTAACAAACGGGCTGATGGCCCTTGGAGCTCCAAGAACGATGGTCCCAATGGATGATTATATAACCTCATTGAATAACGTGGACTATACAATGAAGATGGAGGAGCCTACCATGTGCACAGATGATCTGTAGACTAGGCTTCAATGTTTATAGAATGTCAGTAATTTCAATTTGGGGATTACCACAATGAATATCAAGAAAATTAAACATGAGATTTTCGTGATCATGAGTTCTAAAAAACTTGGTTCAAAGAATCAACGGCTATGAAGAAATCAATGACATTAACATTTGTAATCTGGAAAAAAGGTAAAAAGAGAATACCATGTTTCCACAAGAGCTCAAGAGTGAAGCCTACGGTTAATTCAGCTCGTTTGACTTCTTAATAAAGAGTCTTAATCCTCGAGGTATACACGATGTCAGGAAGTGTGAAACCAATGATATTTACTTCAAAAAGAGCCAACAAAAATATAGCAAGAAATGGCAAAACACATGCATAGAAAGATCTAAAGGCAGAATGGGAACTTCATCCAGTGAATCTCTCATCCCTGCTTTGTAGAACCATTTAACTGTTTCTGAACATAGTTAGTTGATCAGAACTGGACCTGAAATAGAATTTTTGGTGGAAATGGACTGCTTCTTTAACATAACTAGACTTAAAAAAGGAAAAATACACAGCAAGAAAAATTATAATCAGTAATGGTTTTATAGTTCTCCAGTTAGAGTTATTTTCCATGTTATGTATGATGTAGTCAGGAACCACACATTTTGTACTATTATTTAGTAAGCTCTTGTCTGTCTGAAGATTAAAGGAGGGACTCCAAACCAGCAGATGCTCGAGAGGGGACAGTGGACCATCTAATGTGTGGAAAAACAACGTGAAACAAAGGAAAGCCTTGGTAAGCCCATGCCTCTGTTTAAGGTCTTGGTCTGAAGCTCTACTCAATAGCATTGGTCCCATTCAATTCCTACGGAAACGCAATGCTGTCTGAAACTTTGAAGCTGAGAGTACTTGCATCTTATGTTTGAAAATTACGAAAAAAATTCCAGATAATGCACCAGAATCTCTTCATCTGTGAACAGCTTTGTGCCATAAAATAATGGAAAGATAGCAGCTCAGAATTTGCCAATTTTAGTCAATTAACACTTGTAGTTGTTACTTTTTTTGCATTGAAAGTTTACACAAACATGTTACATCAATGGTGAAGGCTGTTAACCATTAAACTTCGTTTTTTATATTCAGACAGGGTTTGGATTTGGATAAACGCACAATACCATGTTCCATTGTGTAATAATATAGTCATTAAATAAATCTTATTGTATAATACCTGAGCTCTTTTTTATAAACTTAAACTTTCAATTAATCCATCATTGCCCAAAATTTCTGCTGAAAACAAGGCCAACTCAAAAGAGAAATTTTATTGACGAATGAAAATCAACTGCTTCGTGTCTGCGTCAGATGGTAAAGCATCAGTGGAAATGCTTAGAATTGAACTATCCACCGGTGACCACTTTTTCCAAATATGAATGTGAGCAAACAAATCAACAAGCTCTCTTGATTAAGTTCCGTTTAAATTTCATCATTTTTTTCATATATAATTAAATTTATCGTATCATTAATTGAATTTAAATATTAACTCTAATAAAATTAAATTTTTTATTAAGTTTTTAATTATAATGATAATAATTTTTATTATTATTTTAAATTTTATCACAATAAATTTCATTACTCATCCAACTAAACTTAACTCGCTAAGGGATTGTACAAAAATAGTGAAAAGGGAGAATTCCATTCCCCTAAACCCTAACAATGGTTTGTTGGGCTGGGTTGACGATGATGATGATCAAGAGTTGGGTAGGAACAATCAAAATCACGGAATCAGGAAAGATTAGACGGCCCACAATTGCCCGCTCTCATTATCAAACTCAGGTATCATCACGTGACACAGTCAAACGCAACCCCCACACATTTTAATTAAAAATTATAGAATAATTATTGAAGGTACTCTATCCATAGGTTTCTTTTGGCCATATGCATCTTTTTTTATGTCCACGTCACCGTGATTCTGCTTCTTTCACGATAAAACCAATGAACAATCTTCCACCGTTTGATCAACCCCTCACACCCATTTTCGTCCGTTGATCATCCTCTTATTTGTTTTTTTAATTATTACACCCTTTCTTCTGCAGTTCTGCTAACCCAAAGACCAAACCAGCTGTGTAGTAGATATACGAAGACAGAGGAAAAATAAAATACATGTAACCAAAGATCCTTTCCCTCATTATCCTGAAAAAGCCCAGAGATCCTTTTCCTTCCTTTCTCTATCTGAAATTCTCTGTAGCATCAAAAAGACCGGGTAACCTTTCTTTTATTATTATTATTTATCTGTTTATTATTTATATTTATTGTTTTTATCCTTTTTATCAGAAAACCCTAATAAGTAACCTTTATTATGGACTTGGGATCGGATATCTTTGAAAAAGAAATGATTCTTTGATTGTAGGGAAATGGAAAGATCTATTTTTTCTGTTGACATGTGGATCAATATTGGATTTTTATGTTTGGGTTTTAGGAAAGGAGGGCTTTTTATTTTGTGGGTTTTCTTTGGTTGATTGTTTTGATTTTTTTGGAGGTTGTTTTTAGACTATTGATATGTTGTTTAAAATGGGTTTTTGATGGCTGTGGTGAATATAGGTTTTTGAAGCACCATTTGTGAAAATGGAAAATGGGGTAGGAATGGTTGATGATTCTGTTATGGTAGAAAATAAAATTATGGAGGAAAGAGTTGCCAATGAGAAAGGGGAGGAGAGGGCTGTTGGGGGTTCGGATGAAACAAAGGATGTTGAAGATGGGGTTTTTGAGGAGGAAATTGAAACACAAGAGCACTTGTGGGAGCAGAGAGAAAATTCTGGACTAGGGAACGGCAGTATGGTTGCCATTGGAAATGGTGAGACAATTGGTGACAATGGTTCAAGGGAAGTTCAGGAGAATTCAAATTTAGAACCTGAAGCTGAGACCTTTGAAGAGGCTATTGGGGTTCCAAGTGAGGTTGGACATCAGGAGGATGTGATTCCAAGTGAGGTTGAACCTCAGGAGGATGTGGTTCCAAGTGAGGTGGAACCTCAGGAGGATGTGGCAGTGTTAATGGATGAGCAGAAAGTGGAGGAACTGTCAGGTGGGGAGAATGTTGGTGGTGGGGTGGTGTCTGATAAGATTGATGAGGGTGGGACTGAAATGGGAGCAGGGATTGATGAATTGAACGGTGCAAAGGAGGTACCTGATATTAGTGGTACTGGAGAAACAGAATTCCTGAGGGACGAGGATGAAGCAAATGTGAAGTTTGATACAGTAATTCAGAAACCTGCAAATGGAAATGCTGATAAGGTATATTTAAAGGGAAAATTGGTAGACAAAAAATTGGAAACTTTGGAAGATGATAAGGTGGAGGAGGATGTAAAAATGCAATCTAAGTTGGAGGTTTTGCCTCTAGAGGTCAAGGGTGAGGAATTAAGGGAGGATGCTCTGGCTACTGATTATCAAGATGAAAAGGTTGGGGAACCTGCTGGTACTTCAGCTGGCATGATTGTCAAGCTTCAAGATGATGAAGTTGAAGAATTGAATGAGAAGTCAGATAATTTTGATACAGGATATTTGGGAAAAGAGAATGTGGAATTTAAAGGTGCCACAGCCAATCTTGATTCAGTGAATGATGGAGATGAGGGTGAAAAAGCAAACAAGACTTTGACTACTGTGGAGGCGGAAGATAACAGGATTGGTGAAGTAAAAGATTCATCAGATGAATGGGACTTAAAATATAATGGTGAAATTGATGAACTGAAAAATACTCTATCTGGACTGAAAAATACTCTGTCTGAGCTGAGTGCATCTGTGGAAGGTTCTGTCGTACCTGAATTTGGAAACTTATCTTCTGAAAATTTTAGAGATGAGAGGAATGAGAATATTGAGGCTTCTAAAACTGATTTGAGAACAGAGGTTCATGATGGTTTTCAATCTCAGCTCCCTGATGAAATGGTGGATAAAGTTCAAGATATTGATAATTCTGTGACTGAGGAATCTGAAAGGAAAGCTGAGAGAGATCAGGAAGATAAGCAAAGCACCCAAGTGACTCTAGAGCAGGAAGTGCAAAATGCTTCAGGGTCTTCTTTGCCTGCAAAAGCTGAAGAGTCCATAAAGAGAGCAGATACAGATCAGGAGCTGAAGCAAGATACCCCCGTGACTAGAGAATGTGAAATTCTACCTTCTCCAGTGTCTTCATCATCTGTAAAATCTACAAATTCTGCTACACCTCTTTCTCGTCCCATGGGCCTAGGGCGCGCTGCTCCGTTGTTGGAGCCTTCTCCTAAGGTGGTGCAACAACCCCGTGTAAATGGCACTGTCTCCCAGGCACAGGCACAGCAGATTGAAGACCGTGCTAATGGAGAGGCAGAGGAAAGTGATGAGACTCGTGAAAAGCTTCAATTGATTAGAGTTAAGTTTTTGCGGCTTGCACATAGGCTTGGGCAGACTCCCCATAATGTTGTTGTCGCGCAGGTTTTGTACAGACTAGGATTAGCTGAGCAGCTCCGGGGGAGAAATGGGGGCCGTGTTGGTGCCTTCAGCTTTGACCGTGCAAGTGCTATGGCAGAACAGCTTGAAGCAGCTGGGAATGAACCCCTTGATTTCTCTTGTACAATTATGGTCCTTGGGAAGACAGGAGTTGGTAAAAGTGCTACTATTAATTCAATATTTGATGAAGTTAAATTTGGTACTGATGCTTTCCGGACGGGTACAAAGAAGGTTCAGGATGTTGTGGGTACTGTACATGGGATTAAGGTGCGTGTAATTGACACACCAGGCCTTCTGCCTTCCTGGTCTGACCAATGCCAGAATGAGAAGATCCTTCACTCTGTTAAGCGTTTCATTAAGAAAACACCTCCAGATATTGTGTTGTACCTTGACAGGTTGGACATGCAAACCAGGGATTTTGGTGATATGCCCCTCTTGCGCACCATATCTGAGATCTTTGGACCATCTATATGGTTTAATGCAATTGTGGTTCTGACTCATGCAGCTTCTGCTCCTCCTGATGGTCCAAATGGTACTGCTTCTAGTTATGACATGTTTGTCACTCAACGCACTCATGTTGTCCAGCAAGCTATTCGTCAGGCGGCTGGGGATATGCGGCTAATGAATCCTGTTTCATTAGTGGATAACCACTCTGCATGTAGAACAAATAGGGCAGGGCAGAGAGTGTTGCCAAATGGTCAGGTTTGGAAGCCTCATTTGTTGTTGCTCTCGTTTGCATCTAAAATTCTGGCTGAAGCAAGCACACTTTTAAAGTTGCAAGATACTCCTCCAGGAAAGCCTTTTACTGCTAGAACAAGAACACCTCCTTTACCTTTCCTTCTATCATCTCTTCTTCAATCAAGACCCCAAGTTAAACTGCCTGAGGAGCAGTATGGTGTTGAGGATGATTTAGATGATGATTTGGATGAATCCTCAGACTCTGAGGATGAATCAGAATATGATGAGTTGCCACCTTTCAAGCGGTTGACCAAAGCACAGATGGCAAAGCTTACTAAAGCTCAGAAGAAGGCATATTTTGATGAGTTGGAATATAGGGAAAAACTTTTTATGAAAAAGCAACTGAAGGAAGAGAAAAAGCGGCGAAAGATGATGAAGAAAATGGCTACTGCAGCTAAGGATCTGCCTAATGAGGTTGGTGAAAATGCAGAAGAAGAAAGTGGTGGTGCTTCTTCTGTTCCAGTTCCTATGCCAGATTTGGCCTTGCCTTCTTCGTTCGATTCTGATAATCCTACTCATCGGTATCGTCACCTTGATTCCTCCAACCCATGGCTTGTGAGGCCTGTTCTAGATACTCACGGTTGGGATCATGATATTGGTTATGAAGGTATTAATGTAGAAAGATTGTTTGTTGCTAAGGATAAAATTCCCATTTCATTTTCTGGCCAGATTACAAAGGACAAAAAGGATGCCAATGTCCAAATGGAACTAACCAGTTCTTTAAAGCATGGGGAAGGTAAAGCAACTTCATTAGGTTTTGATATGCAGACTGTTGGAAAGGACCTGGCCTACACTCTGCGTAGTGAGACAAGGTTTAGTAATTTCAGGAAGAATAAGGCAACAGCTGGCATCTCAGTTACACACTTGGGTGATGCATTATCAGCTGGAGTAAAAATTGAAGACAAATTGATTGCTAATAAGCGGTTCCAGGTAGTCATGACCGGGGGTGCTATGACCGGTCGTGGTGATCTTGCTTATGGGGGCAGTTTGGAAGCACAATTGAGGGACAAGGACTACCCTCTGGGTCGCTCCCTGTCTACACTTGGGCTCTCTATAATGGATTGGCATGGAGATCTTGCCATTGGATGCAATATACAGTCACAGGTACCTATTGGACGGTCTACAAACTTAATAGCACGTGCCAATTTGAATAACAGAGGCGCAGGACAAGTCAGTATACGAATAAATAGCTCAGAACAGCTTCAGCTCGCTTTGATTGCTCTCCTTCCGCTACTTAAGAAGCTACTTGTTTATTCCCAACATTATGGACAATGATGAAATTTAGGTTACATCAATTGTGCTATGGCAGCCATGCGGTGATAGGACAAAGTTTTTAAAATTGCCATCTCTCAGTGGTCTTCAATAGTGAGTGAAAGTAAGGTGCTGAAATTTCTATAATTTTTGAACAATATCTTCCGGGATTATAGTGATTGTAGTTTCTTTGTTAGATATTTTGCATAAGGATTTTTTGGTTCCCATGAAACCATAGTCATGAATTGCTTTATATATATATATATATATATATATGTATATATAGCCGTAAGAAATTTTAGATTATGAATGCATATTTTCTTAAATTGAATCTAATAAGTTTATTTATGTTGAATTCATGAAAAATTATTATTATTATTTTTTATGAATTGCTTCTTTTTATTCATAATTATATTATGCATGGCTAACTACTTGCGTCATGAGTGACCTCAAATTCCACTCTGCATTTCTCTAATTATTTTTTGGTATCAATAGCGTTGTTGGTGTTGTTGGGATGTGCTGTAGTTGGTTGATGACTTGATGTTTGAGGTTCTATTTCTTCCAACTTTTCGGATCTGTTCTTCAGTCAGCTCTTGTCTGATCTTTCTAGATCGTATCTTGTCATTTTGCAATCTTTGATTTTGTCTGGCCTGAAAAAAACAAAAACTTAAATTACGTAATTTAAACTTTGAATTACGTATGTTCCATCTCATTTAAACTGTTCACTTTTATAAAGATATCTCAAAATATATTTTTATTTTTATAAAATTATAAATATAAATGATAATTATAATTAAATAAAAAATAATCAATAAATTACAATAAAATTAAATCAAATAAAAAAACAGTAAATTGTTTAATTTAAAAGCTTAAGGTAACATTTTATATTTGATTAACAAAGAATTCTATACGAATCGTTTGCAAATTTCATGGAGATTGGATCTGTCATAATTTATTTGATGAATAATTATGTTGATTCTGATCTGGCATGCAATAATAACACATTAAATTATGATAACAAAGAAACAAAAAAAAAAAAAGTGAAAAATTAAGGTGCATGTCTTGTCAGACTTACGCTAATGAATCATGGCAGTCCATAAAAATTCACCTTGCAATGGCCAATTATCTTCACTACTTTTCTTCAATGGTTCTAATAACAAAACTAATTTGGGCCAAAGAGAAAGAAAAGAACAAAAGCGGCACAATCGAAATCAACCCACAGCTTAAGTTAAAATAATTACAAAATTCCTTTTGGTTTGTTCCTTTCGAACTGTGCAAGGAAATTTATGCTCGATAACTAACTCAATTAAATTCTAACTTTAATGAAATATTTTAGTTAGAACAAGAGTCCAGATCAAAACACAGTATTTAAGTAATTATACAATAAAACAAAAGAAAAAGAAAATAAGGTACGCATGTTAATCCTAGTGAACAATGGTAACGTTGTAGCCAACTATGGCATCACCGGTTGTAATATCGATCCAGTGAGTTTTTGCGAGGGCGTACCCACGAGCCAGCCTGAAAAGGCCGGTTCCACCGACAATGGGCATCTCACGAACAGGATTCAGAGCTGAGTTTTTGCCAAGAATGCTTATAGAGCTACCATTGAATATCCCATCGGTGAAGCAAAAGTTCATGGCCATCATTAGGACTAGCTCTGTCTGCCCAGCTGAACCGTAAAGTCCTTGGGCTCTGCCGAGCAGCTTGGAGTTGGGATCAGGAGACTCGGTTAGTGGATCATCTGCCATTAACAAGGCTCCAAAAAGAGTAGGCGATTTTTCAGTGTCAGCTGCTTGAGCCACCCTAATGGCACTTGGGTTCTTGCCACTGAGTGTGTCATGAAAGTAGAATTGAAGATTGGTCACTGTCTCTTGTTTGGCCTCAAGCTTTGTTGCCCAACTCTCTACATGAAAGCCTTGAGCCCATGACGTTGCTGCAACTATGGAGATGATCACTAGAATTCTGCCTAGCTTGGTCATCTTTCACTTCGTTTTTCTCTGTGGCAGAGATGCCAATCTCTAGCAAGAAAATTGAGGCAAATCTCTCAAGCAAAAAAAGAAGAGAGAAGAAGCTGAGAACCTTTGCTTTGAATTTGAACAATCTGCCACTACACAAAACCTTTTATAGACCAAAAGAAAAAGATTCAAAGGCAGTTTAACTACAAAAGAAGAAAAGCGAATTAACTTCCTTAATGGGTCGGTGATGGGTCCAGCTTTTCTCGAAGGAGTTCCTAAATTTTATCATGCAATGGGCGTAGGGCTATGGCCTTTATTTAGATGGTGATGGAGTTATGGACGTATCTCATTGGGCCTGCTTTTGAAATTTATTCATATCTTGGATTTAATAATAATCATGATAATTTAAAACATAATATAATGATATGATATAAAAATGATATAATTAAAAAATATAAGAATAACAATTTAAAATTTTCATAAAAACCATAAATAAGTTTAACAAAATTTAAAAAATATAGTTTATATTTTCGTATTGACACGAATTATATCACGTAATTTTTATATAAAATACGATACGGATACATAAATTATTAATATTTTATATAATATTAATACTTGAATTGTCAAATCTAAATAACCTTTGAGACATATTTTCATTTTCATTCGTATTTTCTTACATGAATATGAATATATGATTATAGAAAAGGATCGACTTGATAACTTAAAATAAACAAATTGAAAATATTTTTGGTACTAGTTATTACATCTTACTCAATAAAAAAAAAAGTGATTAAAGTATATCTTATTCTTGAAAGAGGTAATCTCAACTTCAAAGTCCTCATTATAGAACTTAATTATATAAACAAAAATCATGAAAAAAAAATTTGATTAAACTTTCAATGGGGAATAGTCAATTGATCAATTTGCTTGCTTCTCTACAAATTTGAGTTTAGTTCAACCAAATGAGCAATGGGATATGAGTAGTTGAGGAAAGTTGTCTGATTTTCAAAATGAAATGGTTATAGTCAATATAATGTAAGCTACCTACTTCTCTATTAATTATCACCACATCTCTGCCTTCCTAGAGTCAAACCAGGACATTTTTACCCAAAGGAGAGCCAAGAATTCAATAGTCTGGTCGGCTATGCACACATTTGTGACTTTGAGAACATATATATATATATATATATATAATTTTCATTCAATAAAACTCATTTTATAATTTAATCATTAATGTCATATTTATCACTTTTAAAAATATAAAATATTATATTATTATATTTAAAATTTTATTAAAAAAATATTAATTCGATTATTAAATTTAAAAATAAAAAATCATTCGATTAAACGTTTTTATTTAAGCTATAATTATAAAAATCAAATCGCACTTAAACAAATCGGTCCAACCGAGCTAATCTCATCCCTAATCTTAATGAATAACAGTTACATTATACTCAACAATGGCATCACCATTAGTCGTATTAACGAAAATAGTCTTAAGTTGTGCAAACCCTTTAGCCATCCTGAATTTCCCCTTCCTCCAACCACAGCAAGCTCCCGTTCAGTCTCTAAAATCGGATTCCTTGAAAACACGCTGATGGAACTTCCATTGAACTCGCCCTTAGTGAAGCCAAAATCAAAGAAAGCCACCAGGGTCGGTATATCTTTACCAGAAGACACATAGAGCCCTTGACAATTCCCAACAACCTCCGAGGTCGGCTCAGGGCCTACAGTGAGGGGATCATCTATGGCAAAGACGCTGCTGAATGGTGTTGGTGACTTGTCGTCGCTGGTGATGTTGGCACGGGCTACCAGGACAGCAGAAGGATCTTTCCCACTGAGAGTGTCATGGAAAAAGAAGTGCAGATAGGTTACTTTCTCCGCCATGGGTGCATGTGGCACCGTCTTGGAGTAGTACCGGCTATACACCGGTGAGGTGGCCATGGTGATGAGGACCAAAATCCAAGTGATGATCAATCCTCTTTTCATTTTCTATGCCTTTACTATTTAAAAATAATGCAGTTTTCAGTACTTTGATTGAATATTGAATATTGAACATAGGAGATAACTTGTTTTATTTTATGAATTTATATTACCAAAAGGTTAAGTTTAACAAGAAGATAATTAATAAAAAATTATTATAAGAATAATTGAAATACTTTTTTAAGAAATTTTTTTTTTACTATCTTTAGTGAATTCAAAAGGAAATAATACAGTAATGAAAAATTTTTTTTCTTTATCATCACATAATTTTCAATTTTGAAGTAAAAAACTCAATTTGGTTTGGTTAAATCAGTTTAATATTATAGCTCTAATAATAGGAAATTGGTGGTCGGATTACACGGTGGATTTCCTTATAATACGAGTTTTAATATGGAAGGCATAATCCAAAATTCATGTATGCTTTAAAACTATTTTGCAAAATAAAAAAAAATCAACTTTGATTTTGTACATTAATCGAATTTAATTATGGAAACAAACTTATGATGATTACCACATTCTTTTAGAATGTTACATACAAAAGAATATCAAAGAGTATAGAAAATTAGACACTGATTCATGTATGTCGGTAAAGCACTTTTAAGTCTTTGCCAAAAAAGAAAATAATTCAATTATTTTTTACATGTGAATGAATTTAAAAAATCATCATGTATTTTTTAATAAATGCATTTTATTTATTTAAAATATTTTTACTATTTTTTATAGTAATATTTTTATTACTTAAAAAATAATTAGTTAACTACAAGAAAATTACGTCACTAAAAACCAAAACTTCAGTCTAACGTTAGACTAAATTAATTATATTTATTACCTTTTAAATATTCAATATTTTTATCTTATATGAATAAGTTAAAATTAATTTGGTCAATAATGTAAATAAAAATAGAAACTAAATAAAGAGCTAATTATTCATAAATATATTTCCATATATTCTAATTACTCATGAAAAATTAAATAAAATTTAATGTAGTAAATAAGGAAAGAGAAATTAGCCATTTAATTGGTTGACAATAATGATATCATTAACTTAGGAAAGATTTTATTTTTCTTTTTTAAAAATATAGATTAGGCAAGAATTCAAAATTTGTAATTTTGAAATAAAAATAGCATTAATTTCATGTATTTTATTACTTATTACATTATACAATTAATAATAGTAACTTTTTAATACCTTTATGATAATGTCTCTCGATAATAATATAAATACAAATGTTCTTCCAAAAAAAATATTAAATAAATCTAATTTGACTATTCTTCAACTTTGTTTTACTCAATTTTTTCTCTATTATCTTATAAAAAATTTATTTTATAATCCTACTTGCTATTCTTTTATAAGTTTATTGGGGTTTTATTCATTTTTTTTGTTTGTAAAATTGTTAAGTCTTATTTTTAAAATAAAAATTTTATCAACTATATGTTTTAGTATAATTTTTTTTTTATAATTTGTCTTTTATCAACAAATTAGGCAAGAATTCAATATTTGTAACTTTGAAAGAAAAATAACATTAATTTCATATCTTTTATTACTTATTACATTTTATGGTTAATAATAGTAACTTTTTAATACATTTATGATAATGTCTCTTGATAGTAATATAAATGCAAATGTTCTTTCAAAAAAATTATTAAATAAATTGAATTTGACTATTCTTTAACTTTGTTTTACTCAATTTTGTCTCTATTATCTTATAAGAAATTTATTTTGTAGTTTACTTTTACTCATATTTTTATTTGTACAATTGTTAGGTTTTATTTTTAGAATAGCAATTTTCAACCATATATTTTAGTATAATTTTTTTATAATTTATAATTTTCAAGATGAACCTTTAATATTATATATTTATATATATATGTTGAATGTGATGTTATTAGAGAATTCTTTTTTTTTTTTTGGTGAGGTATCGGTTAGCAAAGACTTAATAATTTTTATTTTGATGATTACTTAATAAAATTATGTTGATTTACAAAACTTTACAATAAAATGTCAAAAAGATTGATTAATTTGAATATTATTATATTTAACGACTATGCATTAGTTGAGAGTTGAATCATAAGAATTAATAAAACTCAAATAATATAATATTTTATATATTAATATAAATTATAATACATAATTTTTATATAAAATATGACATAAATATATAAATTATCAAACTCTAGAGAATATGATTATCTAGATAATTTATATGTGAATCAGCACGCGCTTTGTATTGTAAAAAAAAAAAAAAACACAAATAATTAAATTGCATGTAGTCATAGTAAAGTCATATAATAATTCTAGCATGTGCTAAAGCAGACCACCGACCAGCCTGATTGGAATCATGTCTTTCCTTTTTTTTTTTAACTTAAAAAAAAAAAACAATTAGTTTTTCAGTGATCAGTTCTATTTTCAAACAAAGAAAGGGCCTGACTGATTATTTATATAAAATTATGTAAATAAAGCATACGTGAATCAACCATTGAACATGATCAATTTTTTTCTTTAATGTTTGAAGCTAGCATTCAACCCAGCAGTAATAGATTCAGTGCTTGAAAGAAGGAGGCCTCCTGATCTTGGTTGCCTGCTCAAAGGCATAGGCAATCTCAATCAATGTTGGCTCTGAGCCTTTCAGTCCTCCAAAACAAAGGCCGAATGGCGTCCCATCTGTATCATATCCCGCCGGGACAATAACACCAGGGTATCCACCCATTGCAAGAACCCAGGAAATTGATGCAAAAGGTGATAACAACGCGTCTAGCTTGTTCTCTCTTATCAGTTTCTCGAATCCATTTCTTGACATTTTAGCCATATTTAATACTGCTTCCTTCTCTTTCTTGCCGATGCCATTCGTAGCTTCAGCGTCAACGAAAAGCTCTTGGCCATATTCCTTGATTTTTTCCTGCATGACCCAAAAACTCAAGCATGTCACTCTGCATCAAATGTGTAAAATTGTTGGCCATATTCATTGGTTCTTCAGACAATATGTTGATTGCTGGAATACTTACCAAGTTTGAGAATTTGTTGTTGAATGCAATAAGATCTTTCAAGGATCGCACTGGAGATACCACGAGCTGTTTTAAGTAAGAATTTATTGCCAATTTGAAATCAGCAGCCATTGCTATGGATTCGTAGTCTATGCTGGAGTTATATGCAGCCAAAAACTTGGATATGTTCACATTTTCTACCAAAATAGCACCTCCATGCCTTAATTTGCAGAAATTATATTGAGTTAATCACAAGTTTCATCAATAACTGTATGGAACTAATGTGAGAATTTTACATTTTCTTACCTTAAAGTGGAGAAATGACGCTCAAAAACTTCAGTATAAAGAGGTTCGTTCTCGAAACTGAAGAATACATTCCTCACTAAGCCCAATCTCTTCCCTTTGAGACCATCAGGCTTTAGAAATTGTTTGTAGCCACCATGTGGAACGTACTTTAATGCTTCAATGGTTGCTTTATCATTATAATCTAAGCCTGCAATGGCATCGAGGACGTATACTGCATCTGCCACAGTTCTGCACATTGGTCTGTTTCAATTCAACAGATCATGAGCCATAGTTAATCTTATATTAGGGCAGTCACTGAGCCAATCCAAAGTCTTGATCGAAAAGATTAATAGCACATACCCAACAGTGTCCTGTCTAGGAGTAATAGGGATGACTCCTGCTCGGCTGGTAAGACCAACAGTAGGTTTGATGCCAACTACGGCGTTATTATTAGATGGACAAAGGATTGAGCCATCAGTCTCGGTCCCAAGTGTTACTGCTGCCATATTTGCTGCTACTGATATGGCTGATCCACTACTTGACCCACATGGATCTGTTGAAAGGTTATAAGGATTCTGCAAAATAAAAAGCTCAGGAAATTATGTTTCTAAGTCAAATTATATTTGGTGATCAATCCAAATTAAGTATAGCAAACTACGGACAAGAGCATTAGGATGTTTTTGTATACAATTCTATTGCTGTCTATAAATAAACTCATAACCTCACAGCTTTGTTTAATCTTACTTTCTATTTGTATATCAAAATTCTATACCAATTCCTTTCCCTGTTGTCAATATCCCAGGTTCATTTGTTTCAAAACATGTTAGTTCCTAACTCACCTTTCCCTGGCCACTCCGAGCACACCAGCCACTGGGCACATTATTGCCCCTGAAATGAGCCCATTCACTCAAGCTAGCCTTTCCTAGAATAATAGCCCCAGCTTTCCTCAATTTGGTTACCACGCCTGCATCTCGGGGTACAATCGACCCTAGCAGCGCAAGTGAGCCAGCGGTGGTGTTCATCTTATCCTTGGTTGCGATGTTATCCTTGAGCAAAATAGGAATACCGTGGAGGCCACCCAGCGAACCTGGTGCTTTAACCTTGCGCTTTCTGTCTGCCTCATCAGCTTGGCACAGAGCATCAGGGTTGACCTCTATGACCCCTCTAAGGAGCGGGTTGAGTCTGTGGATTTCTTCAAGGTAAAACTCAACGAGTTGCCTTGAGGTGAGTTGGTTCTTCTCAAAAGCTAGTTGGAGATCCTGCACAGTTGCTTCTTTGATGGAGAAAGCATGGTTCGTTTTGGAATGAGAGCCAGACGATTGAAGAAACAGAATCAGTAAAGTTGAATACAGGGATAACCTTAATGGAGAAGATTTGCTAGACGCCATATCTGTAATTGGAGGGATCTGGCTTCCTTATTCAACTCTTTTCAGCCTGCATAGAATCACTGCTCCTCAGTAAATAAATAGAAGCCGACTGAACTATAATTTCTTTAATAATTTAATCATATGATTTGAACGAAGATACTAAAATTTAGTAGGAACGCCAACTTGTTGGACACTTGAGCATCTAAAGTGCCACGTTTACTCATGTTTCAAAGTTGAGACCGACAACTCTGACAGCAAGTCATCGGAATTTTCAAGTTTGATTATTTTTTGTGAATAAAATATTATTTTAAAATTTTTCGACCTACGATATTGTAAAATAATCAGATGGGGCTAAGTCTTTCGTAGCCTTAAATCTGTAGATTGAATTTTTAATCCTCTCTGCTCTTGCTCTTTTTCTGTTAGGGCTTGATGCCCACTCGCCATCTTTCTTGTCCTTTTTTTTTTTATCCATTATAATAAGTTTTTTTTTTCTGTCAGAAAGTAAAAGAATGATTGTAATGCATCGTGAAAGTAATGATTTGACCTCAAACAGTCACGATTCGCGAAGCCTTTATCTTTTTACCTATAAATATATATACGAATATATCGTGAATTAACGAACTTATATTTATATTTATTTATAAAAGTATTTTTGTTTTAGTTAAAAAAATTATTTTATTTATTTAGATTCATTCGTTTAAATAATAATTTTTTATTTTTATTTTTATTTATTTAATTAAATTAAATAAATTTATTTGTAAATATTAAATAAATATATTTATAAATATATTCATAAATATATATAAATAAATATAATCATAAATAATAAACAAATTATAATCAACTAAATTTAAACAAATAAATTCTTAACGAATATAAATAAATCTAAATAAATCTTAAAATAAAATTAAAATAAAAGATAAAAATATAATTTTATTAATATTATTATAAATAAATAATAAATAAATAAAATAAACGAATTTTAAATAAATCATAAATAAATTTATTTGTAAATATACATAAACAAATAAATCATTATTCATGTTCGATTCATTTAATAAATAAATATAAAATTAATAAAAATCGAATATATTCATAAATGATTCATCAAAAACTCTATTCGTTTACATACTTAATTCTCTCAAACTTGATCACCAAGATAAATACAATACGACGCAAAGAATAAAGAAAAACTTTCCGCTTTTTTCATTTTCTTCAAACATCTTTGTTTTATGGTTTTGAATTTAAATGCATGGTTCCTCACAGTTACTGTTGGAACATGCCTTAGTGTGAACCTGCATTAACTCTGTTGGGTATTGAACCTGGCCTGGATCCAGGGATACACGAAAGGTAGTTCTGGGGTACGCCTTTATCAAATTAATTTTGTGTAATGTTAAGCATAATAATATTGATTTGACGCCATCAGTATAGTGTTGCTGGGTACACACGTTTTACTCGTATTATTCCACTAGGAAAACAACAAATACTGGGTAGGTATGCATGATTTCTTATGGCCTTATGGCTTATTGGTCGACTATGGTGAGAGCCGATGGGGCATATGTTAAAGCAAATTCTTTTTCGTTTGTAGTGGCTGGGACCAATGAAGAACATTTCCTGACCACTGATCTTGCTAAATTTTGTAATTAAGGATAAGGTACTTTATCTTCAACACCAATCGTGGTACACGAGGGAAGAAATTTCCTCCTTTCATTATTGTTTTACAGATCAATTCTTGTCAAATCAATACACATTCAACTATCACATCATCACAAGAAAGAATTGTCATCCAAATTTTTTGTCAAAAAAAAAATTCGTCTTACAAAAAAAACTCGACTAATTATCTTTATTAATATCTCATTAAAATATCATTCCATAATAAATTTATTAACTTTCAATTTGTATAAAATCATTAAATATAATTTATTTTAACATAAAATTATTAATTACAACTCACATTTACTCATATGATTTTTTCACGAATTTCATATAAATTTATTATTAATTATTAATTATTTTAATCATATAACCGTAATTTTTTTATGTATAAAATAAAAAAAAGTTGAAGTACAAGAAAGAAAAACAATCCTTGTCTAAAAGTTTATTTCATGCTTTTCCTAAATAGCATATAGAAAATAGGTAAGGGAGTAGAAAGTAAACCCCTAGTCATTTCCATTTTATTTTCAAGGTTTGAATGAAGTGGGCTTCCTAATCTTTTGAGAATGAACAATTGAATTTGCAATGCTAAGTAATACTAGAATTTGAAAATTAAGTGGAAAAGAAATTAGTGAAGTCTGTAAAACCATTAAATGTAAAAGAATCATATATAGCCAATATTGTATGAAGTTGGGGACTCCAATTTTATTCTCAGAAATGGGTAAAAGATAAGAAAATGACATACGAATCAAAGAATTATAAAATGGAAGGCTATAGAATCAGAAACGCAGTGGCAAATAATAAAAGATCACTTGCAAGGGGTTAATTTGCAGGTGACTCTGCCAGAGCCAGAATTAGCTCTTATGAATCGTAAAGCAGTGATGAGGACGCCCCTAGTGGAACCCATCAGGGCCAAATTCATATGTGTGACAACACTAATTGAATTGTATGGGAATTGAAGGCTGTTGTAGGAGTTGAGAAGGGCAGTTGTCCCTTCCCTCAGGAGAGTTTTATAAGGGTCTCCTGTCCCTTGAAGGCCTTCCCAAAGGGTTATACCAGTCCCATATGTCCTCCAGCAAGTGGCCCAAAAATAAGAGCAACCTTTGACTCAGGCTTCAGTACCCTCCAGTGGCATTTGTACTCCGGCATTGTCCAATACGTGGAAAGTGGAAAGTCACAACAAAATCATAAGACTACTTCTGAGTTGAAAAAAAGTTTTAATGTACTACTCCCAGCCAACTAACAGATAAATACAGTTATAGACAAAATTGTTAATTTTTTGCATTAAAGTTCCTGTGAATTGTGAAACTCTAGCATGATAAAAGTTTCAACAAGTCTGATCTCTAGCTTTCACATCTTTAAACTTTTCTACTCACATGGATTCACCAAAAAGTACAAATGTGGAATGTTAGCATGAAATTGTACGCTTGCACGTGTGTAATATGAGCATGGGGGCAATGTTTGCCCCGAGTCTGGTGCACATGTAGATTCCCTTATAAACACAGCTTTAAAGTCTACATGTGAACCAGTCTGGTGGTTAGGGGTGGGCTTCCCTGAACGCATTGCTTGAGAAAGCTGTAATATCGATCAACATCTTAGCCCCATAGTGGGAACGTGAAGAAAAACACAGGTGACAACATCGTCATTTTCGATTGAGCCAACTCATTAAATTTAACTGAAGCTACCAACGCCATTGGCTTTGCAGGCCAATTTGCCTTCAATCATGCTTCCCAGTTCTCTAGAACTCCATTCCTTGCAACATACTTACAAGCCTACATGTCCTTGAAAATAGGGCACGTGCAATAAATAGTTACCTGTACAGCTCTCAATTTACAACCATAACTTAAAACTTGGGCAAATGTCAAGCTGCCGCCAGGCGTCTCTTATTGAATTCACCCGACCTCCAAGGAGTAACCCTAGAATTCTGTCTGTTTTCTGGGTTTGGAAAAGTGTGGATTTTCAAGAGCGAGAATCTTATAAAACTTGGGCAAATGTCAAGCTATCTCATCAGGGTATCAAGTTGTGCCATGCCTAGTAAAAAAAAAGTTTATCATCCCAGAATGTCTATAACTGACCTCAGACAACCCTTTTTACAGTTAAACCAAACATAAGTCATTTTAAATTGGTCGGAGAAAAAATCACCTAATAACAAGTATACTGCAATGGTTTCTTCTGCACAACATGTGTCTTTAGAAAGTCACTACACTGTTCTTATCACTTTTGCACTTGAATGCCTAAATAACATGGCTTCTCCTAGAGTTGGCCGGGTTTTGCGTTAAATGTGTTAGGTTAAAACTTAGAAACGATGTGTGCTTCATAAACTTGCCAAAAGGTTCCAATAGGCTATAAGCTCAAACTTAAGAGTTCTAAATGGTGGAGAGCATAAGAATCTTCTATGACACGCTCAAAGACCAAAGTAAACAAGAACAAAAACTTAAAACATGAACAATAATACATTGAAACAAGAACAAAAAAATTAATACATGAACAATAAAACATTGATTTACTTGGTCACCAACCAAAACAATTATAATCTTAACTCATGCTCACAATATAAAAGAAAACAACAAAAAATAATAACTCTGATAGCATGGGCAACTATTAACAACACTCCTACAAACAAGACATGTTTGACCAAGCCAATGCAACTAATTCAATGCCTACCAAAATTGTTTAAATACTGCCTTGACAGCAATAACGGTCATAAAAAAAGAAAAACAAGTCTCATCAACTCAACAAATTAGACATCCAAAAAGTTCAAAAGAAGTTTTCTTCTCGCTTTCTGTGGAACTAAGCTTCGAATTTGTAAATCTCTATCTTCAATTCTCTTCAAAATGGCCATTCTCCATTTCCTCACCACTGGATCCCAAAAGAAAAAAAAAATTCAGAGTTAGCATGTCATGTTGTTGCAACACACAGTTAATGAACTGACAAAGTTTTACAAAAAAGTGAACTCAAACTGGTCCTGAATTCAAAAGAAGGATCTGACACGCAGGCTTTGCATGGACAAGATAAAATGTATGTGCATTTTTTTAGAGGGGAAAGGGCTGTTGAAAACAAGCATCAGTTTGTTAATTACCACGATATCTGGTTATGGAAAAGTATAACAACTAACAAGTACTCCAACTCTTTCACTAGAATGGAAACACTTCAGTATCCATGCTTTAGATTTATCATAAACACCTATACAAACAGGAGAGATGAAAAAAGATGCATGATTATACGTGCATTTATCTAGTTAAAATCAAATTCATTTCCTAGAATCCCTAGCCTAAAAGAAATACAGTTCAAGTATTGCTACATACATAGGAAAACACTGTTCTAAGATAATTGTGGCAGGCAAAAATACAATTATGCTACTTTTATTCTGTTTCTTAAGATCAAAATGAGTTTGAAATAATAAAAGTAAGACCATGAAAGAAACCAACATATCAAGTAAAACGTATTAAACTTTATGAGAGGGAACAAAATGCCCTGGAAATATATAAACAGTTAATATCTGAAACCAACAAGCTTCATAGTGAAGAAAACACGCTCCTACACAATTTATGGATGCCTTAAACAATAAACAAAAATAGCAATATCTCAAATTAACCAAGCAATCAAATTTCAGCTAATTAAACAAACCTTTGGGGTTGATCAGCATCAGCAGCAGCCTCAACAGAGTCACTCTTCCTCCAGCTCCTTTCCACCGGGGCACGTCCATTCCCGAAACTTGCCTTTCCTCCTCTCTCTTTCTCTGTAACAGCCACTGTCTCTTTAATCCTCTGAGTTTCCAGCTTCTCATCAATCTCTTTCCAATCTTTCCCCTTTTCCTTCAACACCTCCTCTCTCGGCCTCGCCTCGCCAAAAGGATTTGCCCCTTTGGGCTTGGCAACAGTCGCCTCCTTTTTACCCTCCTCGTTTACAGGAACCGTACGTGGCTGAAGTACAAGCTTTGGCCTAACTCCGCCACTACCAGAAGCACTGCCACTCTCGTCCTTTTTCTTTCCCCAATTATCCAAATCCCTCGGCGAATCCCTCGATTGAAGTGAATCAAAACTGCTTCTTCTTTCAAAACCCCCACCAAATCTCCGTGGCGGTGCCTCATTGGCGCTTTTATAACTCTTATTAGCTGCCCAGTTATCTACCCCATCGGCTTTCGATTGTGAATCAAAGAATCCTCCCCCTCTCTCTCTCCTCTCAAATCCACCCCCAAATCCGTTCCCAGTGGGTGTCGATTTCTTAGCCGAGGCCCAATTATCGATCTCATCAGCGCGTGAGGGAGCAATTTCTCGATTGGAATCTCTATTCGAAACCCTAGAAGATCCCCATCTACTATTACTGGACGAATCATCGACGTTGGCATTGTATCTGTTCGAACTATAGGATTTAAAACCACCGCCAACACGGTTACGATCGAGTTCCTCAGGGGAGCGTTCGCGAGGGCCAGTAGGGAGCCCGAGGAGGTCCTCGTGAGTGAGACGGGTTGGCTCACTCGGCTTAGCAGAGCCGTAGGTATTAAATTCAGCTAGAGATAGGGCTTGGCCCTTCTTTTTCTTGCCCTTGGTGGTGGCGGCGGAGGCTAAAGTAGGGTAATCCACGAGTTTTTCGGTGGAAGAAACGACGCCACTATGTTGTTGGTGTTCAGCCTCATGTTCTTCGGCGTCGAGAGCCCACGCGCCGGGCTTTCCCCAAGGAGAAGAGACAGTTGCCGCCATGATCTTTCTTTTCTTGTCGGGAGGGTGCGCTGGCTTTGTTTCAAAGCTTGCGTTTTTTGTTTTGGTTGTTTAAGCTTGCGTTAGATGGCAGCGAAAAGGATAGTGAAGGAGAAGCGCTTTTATAGATGATGGGATTTGATCGGACGGTCGAGGAAATTTTATAAGATGAAAATGGAATGTTGGGACTTTTATTCCTCGAAGTTAATTGTTTTCCTTTTCCTTATCGGAGTGGGAAACTGATTGCTGTATTTTCATGGGAATTGAAATCTACGTGAAACCATTCGATATAAAAGAATTATTTTTTAAAAGTTTATTGGTAGAATTTTTTTTTTATAAATATTTATATATGTTTGTGGCTGATTTTTTTAATACACCCCATAAAATTTTTAAATTATGAGGTTTAATTTTGGGAATAATTTTAATTATTTTTTTAATTGTTAATTTTTGAATTTTGATAATTAAAATTAAAATTTAAATATTTTATAAACAAACTACATGATTTATGACAATTATTTTTTGTTTTTATATTTTTATCTAAAAAATTAATGAGAGACTTTTATATTTTTACTTTTAAAAACTAAATTAAAAGTTAAAAATGATATTTTCATTTTTTTTATGAATTAGTCTAATAATTATTAGTGGACGTGATTAGAGGAATAAATAAGATACCAATAATTACAAATTACTTAAATTTGATTTAAATAAAATTTAAATTCGATTTGATTATTATAAAAATAAACTCAAACTCAAACAGTTTAATTTATTGAAAGAGTTAAATTTAAGCATATTAACGCACAATTTTTAATAACTCACGAATTAAATCAAATTTTATATTTTAATTAAAAAATTATTATTTTACTTTTATATATATCAATTTAACTTTAAATTTGACTTAAAATATAAATAATTAAATTTAAAATCAAACATGAAAATCAAACTTATTTTTTTTTTTATTTGATAAACGAATTTAATCAAATAAATTCAAATAATTTAATTCTTATGTCAAATTAAGCTCAAATTTAAAAATTAAGCTTAAATCGAATTTAAGCAAATTTCAAACGAATTCCAAATTGAATTCAAAATTCTTATCATATCAATTTGATTTAACTCAATTACACCCCATACATGATAAAAACATTAATTAGTAATTAATAGTAGTAATTGTTAAATTAGACTTGAATTATGCAGTCAAAGAGACATTTTCCAAAGGGCAACTGGGCTGGAATTGGATTAACCTTTTGTTATTTTTGTAAAACGACAGACATCTGTTTCTCAGCCTCAGCCTCTCTTTTTAGAAAGGTGTTGCTCACTTCTAAAGCCGATTCCTGGAATCCAAATGTTTGGAAAGTTATGGACAGATAACCAAAAGCTTCATTTTAATGCACCAAAAGCTTCAATCACGGCAAAGATTTTTTGTATGAATAAAAACTAGAAACCAAAAGAATTTTGACCCACACTTCACAGAAAATTCTAAAAGAATCAAGAAAACCCGAATCATTACAACCCCTCAACCAAAGAAGAATAGCTTTCTTTATGTACAGATGAGATGGATTACCATGGCAAAGGGAATGAGATCACCACTGTCAAATGGGAATTTATACTGCATTAAACTCCTCGTTCCAAGTTGACAATGATGCGAGAATTCACGAAGCATTAACTGATTCCATTTGGAGTCTTGTTAGCGAGTCATTAGGGAAAGGCATCTCGGAAACTACCTTTCTGGCTTTTGTTGACATCCCCAAATTTTGTCTGAGAACAAGGAACTCTCTGGCTTTCCACATATTCTATCCAGATTAATGTTCGTCCAACAGAGATCAGAACACTAATCTTTGAAGGAGAAAACTCATGGCTCATAATACTCTGAACTGCGTAGAGTGATTAAATGTTCATCTTCAGGGCTCTTCATGGAATCGCTACTAACATACCATGTCACAGTTCCTGCAATGTAAAGGCTCTACCATAAGCTCAAGTGAAAAGGCTAACATGCCAACAAAATATGATTATTTACTTGAATAGTTGACAAAGCATTTTCAAACAGGTTGCATAGAAAGTTGAAGAAACTCCAGGTTTGCAGTCTCACTTTGCACATGCAATTCAATGAAAGTCTACCTGAGTAGTTCAAATATCTATAAAGTTTCAACATGTATGGTTATCCGGCACATACAAGGGAGTCCAAATTCATTTTGCTCAACCAAGGAAACAAGTGAAATGGTGGGGTGGGGATGGCCCATCCCATACAGGACATCCTTGTAGTCAATAGCAGGAGGAGGGCAACTCATGAAATTTAAAGTTTGACCTCTCTGGCCCAAAAAAAAGGGAATCAAAAAGAGTGGGGGGAAAGGATAAGTTCTACACATACCTACTGGTGGAGGTGGCTCCTGTTCTCTTGTTGCATGAAGTATGATTGTTCCAGAGAGTACAGTGATGAATCCACATATCTCAGAGGCAATACTGCTCACATTTTGGCCTGACCAGTCCTGTAAAAAGAACAAGATAACACACTCAGTTTGTGCTCATCATTTCCTGTAGTTGAGGATAAATTCAAGAGGGATGAATTAAATAATTTACCTTAAACATGATTACACTTGCAATAATGGTCAAAGTTGTGAACATCACATAGTATACAGGAGAAACAATTGCAGCATTGAATGTATCCAAGGCCTACAACAAAGCCACATACTCTTCAGTCAAAAACAAAAGCCAACCAGCCATTCTATTTGAAAGATAAATGTCTTCGAAAGCATTGTGACTTACATGAGAAGTAAAAGATAAGGCTAATAGTCATAGATATACTCAGGGCTGATTTTGCATACAAGGATATTTTCCATGTTCAAATACCAACTGTAACTAAGTTTGGCCGGGTAATACAAAAGGATTAAATGCAGAATTCATTCAACAGAGGATACTTTGGAAGAAGCAACACGTTGCATGTAAATTTCTTATCACATATATTTAAAAATTGTAAGTACTTCTCGGATTTAGAATAGGAGATTTTTATCTATATGGTCAATTATGAATTCAATTGATTAAGTTGCCATACCTGATATGCAATAATTAATGTACCCTATGACACAAGTATGCCAGCTAGTAGGTAAAGGATATGTATTTCATTACCATGGTGGTCATTCACTCAAAAGAAGTTAAAAAAGAAGCTTAAATTTTATAGGAACAGACACCCACCAAGGCACATAATCAATAACACTAACCTTATTTAGGTAATTTAATTGTGTAATGACACAGATTGAAGCAACTGTAAGAAAAAACCAAGTTTGGGGGTAAGCTATCTGACTTATCCCATCCAATGTAAGCTTTATAGCAATTCCAATGGCTTTGATGCTTACAACCTGTGACAGCACCCAAGAAACGCTGTTACATTATGCTTACAGCATTGTAACTACCATGGAGCTATTCAAAAGTGTCAATAGAAGTTCATAAGGAGATCTACATACCGTAAGAGAACCCATTAAGGAACAAATTCCCAAATAAACCAGTATATTTGTCTGCCCATAACGAGGTTCAAAATATAAAACCAAAGCTAAAACTATTGAAAGTGTAGTTGCTACATAGATTAGAAAAGCTGCCATAGACAAGAAAAGGAGCAATAATTAATTACTCATGATGAGAGTTGAACAGAAAAGAATAACAAATATAAAGAAAAGATCTAAACCTGGTTGTGTAGCTAGAGTCCAAATTTCTTGTACAGAAATTGGAGTATGCTCTTGTGGTGCATGAATTACAATCACTACCGAACCTACAATGCAGGACACACATCCTACAATCCCCATTTTCTGAATTCGTTCCTTCAACATAAAGTGTGCCAGACAAGCACTGTTCAAATTTATCAAGCATGTCAGTTACCATAAACATATAAATAAATAATTCTGATTTAAATCTAAAGAAGTTAGCGCAAACAGAAGAAGCTTACCTCACAATTATACTTAGCGCACCAAGCGGGGTAACTAGAACCGCAGGAGCATACACGTAAGCCACGAAATTCGCAACCTCTCCAATAATCACTATTTCCAAAAAAAAGAGTTCACAAAAATGAAACTCAAAAATCAATTTAAGAAGGAACGTGATTTCATTCTTATATATTCGGAGAAAAAAATAATCTTACAGCAAGTAAAATACTTACTTGTTATCATGCCCGCCCACCAAAGTGGCTCTAATAAGTATGTATAACCTCCAACTCCTACATTATACATACAAACACAAAAAAGAAAGTGAATTTCATTAATAATACTATTCATTTTTGTATTGCACAATCTCAATAGCTATCTGCTGATCGAACAATGCAGTACATAAGAATCAAAAACACATTAAATCTTACTACTTGAAAAGTTTAAACCTTTACATAATAAAAAATTCTGAATTATTGGGAAATTCTTTACTAATTAATTATCCAATCAAAACACTAAAGAAAGCACACGGTATGAATTGATTGGACATATCCCATTTTTTCCCTAAATTTCCTTCTAAATTGAAGGTTTTAAATCTGAAAATGGATGTCACAAATTCAACAGTAAGGTCCTAAGTGAACACATTCAAGAACAATGGATACAAAATTAAGCAAAGCAAGCAAACTCAAGCTAGATTAGGATTCCACCTCACCTCCAGTGCAGTGCGATTGAGCTCACCGCAACCAATTGAATCCAAATGCCAAATGCCAAACTCCAGTGACATAAATTCAGCATAAATTTCTCATTAAATTTTTTTTCAATTACAATTACGATAACTTTTATTATTATTTTTATTTTCACCGTCCATCAAACGAAGCCTCAATCGATATTGACCTATAAAATAAAGGATTAAAAATAATTACCAAGAAAAAAGCCAGACCTGCGCGAGTACCCGAAGCGCCAGCACGCTTGAGCCCTTTCTTCTTCAAAATAAAACTGGAGCCGATAAACGCGCTCGAAGCCACTGCTAATATAACTCCCTTCGAATTGTCCGACAATCCCATCTCTCTCTTTAATCACATCAATCAAGCTTCAATTGGTTTTGTTTTTCAACGATAAAAAATGGAAGAATGGGAACTCGAATTCCCGCCAAAAGAAGAGCTGGAATTGGAGCGACGGCTCAAATGAACGGCTTTTGACTCTGCAACGCAGCGTTTTAGTCGAGATTTAGTTTAGCTGTGACTTTTCAGAAAGAAAGAAAGAAAGAAGAGAAGCCCTCTTTCTCTTGAAACGGGAAGCCTCTAACTCAAATTTTTTTATTATTTCTGTGTGTTGTCGGAAACTTCCCTTTTTTTTTTTATAAGCCACATAAATTTATTATGATCCCCTGCTTCACGCATTTTTTTTAACTTACACTCGGCCTTCACCTAATCGTTGATCCGATCATATAAGAGTTCAATATTATGTTTTTTGTGAACTGCTTTTCCGTATTGGGTATTGCTGCATAAACGAATTGACAATATTACCCTTCCAAGAAGCGTACTTTAATTGTCGGAAGGCTTATCAGAATCTGATGGGTAGAAACGTAATTTTTGAAATATAGATTTGAAGAGGTTGTTTGGTTGGTCTGAGGTTAGGTTGACGACTCAACTCAAGTCAAAATTAACGGTTTTTATCTGATTCGACAGGATTAAATCGAGATGAAGTTTTAAGTAAACTTGTTTTAATCTGATATATATAATATTTTTTATTATTTATTTAATTATTTATTTATATTTAAAAATAATATTTTATTAATATTAAATTAAGTCAATTACGATTTTATTCATGACTGCCCTTGTTACCTCCTGTCTTTGTTGACTGAAGTTGTAACAAAGTTTATTCTGTTTTAGCTGTAGGAGTTTGAATTCGTGTAAAGATGTGATAAGATAATTATTTTTTAAAATAATGTTTTTAATGGTTAGGTATAATTATGGAGATGCAGACATGAAGCTGCTTGTGAAAAGCAACTTTAATTGTGATTGGTTTGTAAGAAAAGATTTGGCTGATGAATGGAGAGGACCTAGGGACGAACCAACAGGATGATCAAACCTTTTAACCAGCTGCTGCGGCAGCGTGAGGTTTTTGGGTGATCAAATAGTGGGAATCTTACATTAAAGACGGGGAAGAGATCAACTGAATCTGAGGAAACTTTCCGAGTCTTTTACTATTGAAGAAAGCTTCCTAAGGTCCATTGTCAAAGTTTTTCCTATGTACAGATGTTTGTATTCCCCACTTTCATATTGAAAAGGGAATAGTGCTAGTACTTGTCCAAGTGAATGAAGAACCAAATTTGACAGCCAACTTCAAGGCCCAGAAACAAAATTCAATCAAAGGCTTAGCCCAAAAGGAAAGAGCCTCTTTCGGTAAGTTTATAAGTCACTCTGAGCCTAGAGTTCACTCGTAGGTATATTTAGTAATTTGTATATTTATATTATATAAAATATTAATAATTAATATATTCATATCATATTTAATACAAAATTATGTATTATAATTTATGTTTATATAAAAATATGAAATAAATTTTTTAATTTTGTTAAACTTATTTATAATTTTTATTAAAATTTTAAATTAACTCATTTTTTTATTTGTTATTCATATTGTTTTCATATTATATTTGAAATTGTCAGATCTATTCACATGATATAATAATGGAATTTCAATGCTAGTACCATAAATAACCTTAGGCCTTAGTTAAACTACAAATTAAGCAAACTTAAACCTTCAATAGGCAATTAAAGCTTATTTGAGAATTTCACATCAACTATAAATTTATTCTACATTTGGATGATTGATGAAAAAAAATTTAGAGTCGATCTGAAGGCGATTTTCATCAAACATTCAAATAAAGCATTAAGCCTGGGAATATGGTTTGGAAAAATTACCCTATCCATTTGCAACTAAAAAAGGGGTAAATTAGCTAATGTTTGTTAAGTAACCATTACCATTATTAGTAGAGATTTTCTATTATCATATTTAGTGTAAAAGTGGAGTTAATATTAAATGCATGCATTTAAGTTATGTTTTATGTATAAGATTATTAATAGAATAAGATGATAATCATTGCATATCATATTTAATTTGTATCTAAAAAAAAATAAAATTATAAAAAATATTAATATACTCTTGATATAAAATTATTTAATTATCGTCAAGTAGAAAAAATTATTTTTAATAATGAGATTAAACTTACATATTCAATTATATCCTTAAATTACATTGATAATTTAAATTATATAAATTTTAAAAAATAATTTTAAATAAATAAATAAATTATTTTATCTTAATTTTTACATACATCAAATATAAAATAATATAAAATAAAATAATATTATTTAATTTAATCTTATTCATAATATTAATATTATATTATCTTATTCTGTTTATCTTATTATAATTTTATATTTCAAGCATTATCTTAACGCGTTGTATAAAAAAAAAAAAAAAAAAGACAATTTGGCAGAAAATATATTACAACTCAAAACATTATTCCGCATGCTTCTATGTTGTATTATACATCAGCAAAGGCAAAAATATAGTACCAATGATTGAGTGAGCGACCCCCACGGCCCCACCCACGAAGACCATGAGGAAAAAAGGTACCCGTTATTCATTACATCACCAGGCGATGGTTGTCTGCTCTTCTTTTGATTCTTTAACTGACACTTCATCCATGGATCGTATCTCCTACACATTTCCTAAGATAAAATTAGTCATGCGCTGTGGCTAATGTCATAGCATGAAAAATCAAGAAACCCGATGAAGACCAAATGGATATTTTTATCTGAATAAAGGTACGTATATGATGATTATGATAAAAACTTACGTTATTCATGGTAGTTCATAAAATCTACATAAAGAAAGTTCTTGAAAACGACATAGCCCAAACACAGTGATCATAAAAAGAAGCATAAAAACCCCGAATTAAGTTTTTTTTTTTTAAGAAAGCTGTCCACAGTCAGCAATAACAACAGGCTTCGAAGTCCTTCCACCGCTGGACCCAACCTTCTCAATGGCTCTAACCACATCCATGCCTTCAACAATTTGTCCAAACACGACGTGCTTTCCATCGAGCCACTCGGTCTTAGTCGTGCAAATGAAGAACTGAGATCCGTTAGTTCCGGGTCCAGCATTCGCCATGGAGAGGACGCCGGGTCCGGTATGCTTCTTGAGGAAGTTCTCGTCGGCGAACTTTGCTCCGTAGATGGATTCGCCTCCGGTTCCGTTTCCGGCTGTGAAGTCGCCTCCTTGGCACATGAAATTGGGGATCACGCGGTGGAAATTTGAGCCTTTGTAGTGGAGGGATTTGCCGCTACGGCCGACGCCTTTCTCGCCGGTGCAGAGGGCACGGAAGTTCTCCGCCGTGCGGGGAGTGCAATCAGCGAAGAGCTCCATCACAATCCGACCAGCCGGTTGGCCACCGATCGTCATGTCAAAGAAGACCTTAGGGTTTGAAGCCATAGTTGGAGAGAGAAGAAGTTAGTGTGTTTGGTGATTTATTTCGTTTTGTAGGGTAGTTAGGGTTACAAGAGAGAGAGAGAGAGAGAGATATAGAAGGGATTTTATAGAGGAAGGAGAGGGATCTGGACTGTTGAGTGATGGACACGTGGGTGTCGTGGCGGGGGAAGATTAACCAGGGTTAGTCTTTGGGATCCGAGGTGGGTTTGGTGGCATAGCCCTTTAATTGTTTGGGAGTGTCATTAAAACGACACCGTTTCTCTCAAAGATAAGGCAGTAAAGTAGTAAGAGTTTCATAGCCTACAAAGATCAGTTGCGTGCGTCCACATAAAAGATTAACCTGTAATTTTTAAATTGTAAATCGGCATCTTTTACAACCTTAACCCATGAATTTCATTGTTTTCGTTAGAGCGATAACTGTACATCAGATCAGATTTAATTTAATTTTTTTAATTAATATATATAATTATAAAATTTTATATTTATATTAAATTTTATTCTATTTATTAGTTTTTTTAATTAAATTTTTATTTTTATATATTATTTAAATATAAAACTTTAATATATTTAAATAAATTTAAGTATTAAATAATTATTTTTATTTTATAAAATTTTAAAATATATAAAAAATAATAAAAATATATAATTCAATTCAATTCAATTTATTTTTTTATATTTTTTATTTAAATTTAATATATATATTTAATATCTAAATTTAATGTGAACCAATTAAAAACATTTATTTGAATCGAATTTATCATTTTAATTATAAATGCATTTTTTATTTTTTTTTACTCTAATTTTTACTGAAAAGTAGTAGGGTTCTCTTTGAAAAGAAGTACGGTATCACTTTGCTTAAAATATCAGTAACTGAACAACTGTCGCTGCGACCAATGCCAAGCCAATTCTCCAAATGAATTTGAGGCTTCTCAGTTTACACAACGAAGATTATTGCATTTTAGGTAGATTTATTAATTTTAAATAATATAAAAATGATATAAATAAAAAATATAAAAATAATATAATTTAAAATTTTAATAAAAATTATAAATAAATTTTATAAAATAAAAAATATATTTTATATTTTCGTATCAATATAAATTATGACACGTAATTATAATATAAATCACGAATAAATACAAAAAATTTTAATATTTTATATAATATAAATACATAAATTATCATATCGAATTTTAATATTCAAACCCCGGAACATCAACCAACCCCCAACATCTCCGCCCGAATGAACCATGATTCGCGGAATTTGCTCGAGCAGTCATCATGAAATTTGAGTGTGTTGTCACCTCTTAATGTTCCCTTCTTCCAACTTAATTCCAATACACAATTAACAGCCCCATTTTTCACGCAAGAATTCAAGTAGGTAATGTTTTACAATGGTTTTCTTAATCAAGTATGATACACATATTATATACGGTTTTCTTATTTGCTATTTGAATTTAATAAGCATAGAAGATAATAGGTTTAATAATTTGTATATCTATATCATATAAAATATTAATAATTTATTTATTTATATTGTATTTTATATAAAAATTATATATTATAATTTATATCGACACAAAAATATGAAATATTTTTTTTATTTTATTAAAAATATTTATAATTTTTGTTAAAATTTTAAACTATATCATATTCGTATTATTTATTCATATCATTTTAATATTATATCACCATATCGTATTTGAGATTATCAAGTTTAACAGATAGCATCGGCAAATGATAAAATATTAAAATTCTGTCTGATTGTGAGAATTGTTATTAAAATTTTCATTTTAATTATTATTCTCTTTCAATTACTTAGAATTAGATCTATATATATATATACATTCATATATTAGTGTTTCCAATGGGATAGCTCTTAAAACTTAAAATTTTTGGAGGAAAAATACGTATACCACAAAAGAAAAATATAGACTAATAAGTAAAAATTCATAGTGAACCCATTTTCATCACCATGACGATATGGTTGTGTACGTACATAAAAAACCAGACTATAGAACTTCAATGAGAGCTACAGAAATGTATATTAACACAACCACACTACTTATGGCTTCCAGAAAGATTTGTTGGGACTTAGGGGCATCAATTATAAATGTTTGACACTCGACATATCCGGTCAAATGGTGCCTATCCATCTTTTTTTTTTTTTTTTGTTCCCTTTCTATATAGATTGAAATGTAAATTTCATCCAAAAGAAGATGGAAAAAGTGTGACTTTCATCACGAAAAGGTGTTTGTTACTAAATTCTTCTATTTTGAGCTTTAATTTGAACATAAAAAGGAAATCATCCATGTCGACTTTTGCAGTTTTGGCTAAGCAAAAAGAAAAGAAGCAGCAACTTTGTGCACTATATTCCTAATTATTTGATTTTTTTTGTAAAAAAAAAAAAAAATCGTAGTGTGCTGATAAGATAAAAATTATTGCTTAAATTAATTGAATTCAACTCGTTAGAAACTTAAATTACTATTATTGCAATAGAAAATTACAAATTCACACCTTATTATGATAACCAAATAACAAAAACAATCTCCGAGCTTCCAACTTAATTTATCTGATATAAAGCATAAATTAACAATGAGCATAAGTCTTTCCTTCGTCTCTTAATTTAAACTTTTTTTTTTATTCTGCTTTCTTCATTTGTCACTCCTTGAAAGACTTTTATTGCATGCTGGGAATCGAACTTCTTCACACTAACCTTCATTAATTGCATCAAACAGTTCACTCTACTTGCACCTATCACCACAAGAGTTTAAGGATGATGTGGAGCAAATGGTGGCAATGGAGGCCATTTTCCGAACTTGGGGTGGTGGAAATACTTTGGAGGAATCTTGGGGAGAGGAGGGAGCTTAGGAAGGGGAGGGCATGGCTTCTTAGGGAATGGAGGAATCTTTGGAAGAGGTGGAAGTGGCTTCTTATAGACTGGAATTGGAGGAGGCTTGTAAACTGGAACTGGGGGAGGAAGTGGTTTCTCGTACACTGGAACTGGAGGGGGCTTATAGACTGGAGGCTTGTATATTGGAACTGGGGGAGGAAGTGGTTTCTTGTATACCGGAACTGGAGGAGGTTTATAGACCGGAGGCTTGTAGACTGGAACTGGAGGAGGAAGTGGTTTCTCGTATGGAGGGGGTTTATATACCGGAGGCTTGTAGACAGGAACCGGAGGAGGAAGTGGTTTCTCGTATGGAGGGGGTTTATATACCGGAGGCTTGTAGACAGGAACCGGAGGAGGAAGTGGTTTCTTATATACCGGGGGTTTGTAGATTGGAACTGGAGGAGGAAGTGGTTTTTCATATACTGGAACTGGAGGAGGCTTGTAGATTGGAACTGGAGGAGGAAGTGGTTTTTCATATACTGGAACTGGAGGAGGTTTGTAGATTGGAACTGGAGGAGGAAGTGGTTTCTTGTATACTGGAGGCTTGTAGATTGGAACTGGAGGTGGAAGTGGCTTTTCATATACTGGAACTGGAGGAGGTTTGTAGATTGGAACCGGGGGAGGAAGTGGTTTTTTGTATACTGGAACTGGTGGGGGTTTGTATATTGGGATTGGTGGCGGAAGAGGCTTCTTGTAGATTGGAGGGAGTAGTGGGTAATGATGGTGGAAGCTTTTCAATGGGGGAAGTGGTGGAAGCTTAGGCAGTGGAGGGTGCTTAAAGTGAGGCCAAAAGAAAGCTGAGGCACATGTTACTGGTGAGAATTTGAGCTTTCCTTTCGGCCCAAAGTTGTGTTTCTCATCACTTGTGGACTTGAAGACTATCTTGGAGGACTCCAGGCCATCATGGGCAGGGCAAGGTGCAGCTGATACACTGTGAAGCTGCGCATAGCATTCTTCCTTCAATTTGCCATCTTTAACCAAGTCCTCAGGAAGAGACACCTTGAAATTCCCTTGCTTATCAAGCTCGCCAGAACCTCGAGTTTTGAACTCCCCATTTTCTGGCTTGCAGTCTATGGTTACCCGAAGCCCTGGAAAGAGAAAAACAAATAGCATAAGATCAAAATTGCAATATCAGTGTTACAGGACCACATGTTTTAATGACCATTGTTCAGCAAAGCAGTGTAGCCAGCACATTTAAGATTTGACTAGGTTATCATAAAAATACCTGAAAATGCATGGCTAGTCTCGAACTTATTCTCTGCACAATCTGCACATTCTCCAACCCCGACTACCTCAACTGTTTTACCATCAGCATTGCAAAAACTCGCTACAAATAGCAAGGACACCAAGAAGCACGCCAGTGCGCCTCCTCGAAATGGGAGGATCTGCATCGCGAAGCCAAGCTTTTACTGCCCCAAAACAGCAAACGACTAGGAAACCAAATCAAAGAATATCAGTTTATCAGCTTATGAGCTGATCAGGAGCAATGAGCTTGACTGCTCAGATTGATAGCAAGCCTTATTATATAATGATGTCAAGGGGAAGCCAATCCAAAGGCTCACCGACACCACACTTAAAGGCTTCACATGAGGTTAGGGACCCCTTCCCCTTTGTCCCTTAGAGATAACCTAGGGTTATGGTTTGAAAAAGATAGAAACGTGCTACACCGGCGATCATTGAGCAAATGACATTATCTTCATTGAATGAACTTTCAACTGCACACAGCTAAATTTTGCCGTGTTCTCATCTCTTTAAACCTACTTACTAACTTTCATAAATATTTTGCTTATGGAAAAATGTTGGTTGAATTACACAAATGGTCCTGCAAAATTGCATAATAACAAATCTGTAACATTAATATTTGGTTTTCTTGATCCCACATTATTGATGAGCCTGAAATGAGAGGAATGAGTGACAGAAGAGTTAGCAATTTGCATATATAATTAAGGAACATGACAGTTTCACGTGAATCAACCACAATGCCAACCACTTGACTAATACTATGGGGTGCAGTTCAACCATGACTTCACAATGCCAGCTTATGGAGCAGAAGAAGAGACTCATTGAAATTTTGTAATTTTTTTTTCTTTTTGTTGACTTAAGCTTGGACACATGGCATACATTGCATATAAATTGACAGAACTGATGAGTCAAGTGACTCTTAATGAGCTAACAGCTAATAATCTAATTGATCATGGTGGAGGTGGACCATGTCTCCTGCCATCAAAAGAGATTTTAGTAGCTAAGACAAAAACGGCATTAGAAATGATAGCTTTTGAATAATTAAATATTTTCTGATAAATTTACATTTAATCACCATGTGCAGATTGCAGATAGGTGAGCTGTGTGATTGATTAAGTGCTTGCTACTGATAAAAGACTACTGATGGGACTATCATATACATCAGAAAAAAAATCAATAAATATGATTACATCAAAAGAAACTAAAGCATAAAGGCTGTTCCTCATAATCCAGAAAACAAAATCACGGTTTAATATTGAAAATTTAGGTATAAGTCACATACAAAATGTGGGGTCAAGCACTACATCTCAATTTCAACAAAGACATTATTGTAATTTATGCACCTTAATATTTGGTGAGAGGAATTGTGGATGATATTTGTCCACAATCAAACAATGACGTGATAAAATTGCTAAATTATATGTAGGGTTTAGATATTCAGGTAATATTTTTGACAAGAGTCATGACTTGAGCAGGTCATTAACAGATAATCCAACGGCCATTTTTAATTGTTATGGTGCATGGCCAGCCTTCACCATCAAAGATGTTTCCCCGAATGGGGTTTTTTGCTGCATGTAGATGGCCATAATGCCGCAAATTTAGGTTATAAGAGTTGAAAACACCTTCCAACCAATAGGTACGACTACTAGTACTAGTATTAATATTTAGGTTAAAATTGTGAATTGACGGTCGAACTTAAAGACCTATTTTGAGGGTGCTTTATGAATTTCAATTTAGCCTATATAATTAAGTAGAATAAAAAAAATTCGAGAAACGATAAAATGTTAAATTTTTAAATTTCAGTTATCAAAATTTAAATCATTACAGATAAAAAAAATACAAAAAATTCTCAAACAAAAGGGTGATGGTGTACTTTGCAAGTTGGTTGTTCTGATAGATTTGACTGCCTTTCCAAACAAAGAAAATGGAATTTTGTAAAAGAGACTTGACAAGGGAATTTAATGACCACGATCAGATATCGTGGAACCTGACAATTGTAAGCAGTGAAAGTAACGGAGAAAGTAACCGACAAGGATATTTAACACACCACATTGTTCGAAGTTTCTACTTTTGGTACGTACGAGAATGACCTTGCTGGCTTGAAGCAGGAAAATATCATGTGATCTGGAAAAATTCCTCAAGTTCAATAAAATGTATCATTCTGTCTCATATCATAGTTTTTCAAAAAGGCTCGATTCCAGCATCCTCAAGAAAATAAAAATGTAAAAAAAAAATTTTTTCAAATGCTACAGCAGCAAGGTATGTCTTTTCCTGGCCTAATTCTCAAACTGCCCGTGCCTTCACTTAGAATTTCCAAATGCCTAGCATGAGTTACAATAGCCTGCACTTCACAGGCACTGCCCATCTACTTCTTCTTTAATTTGGAAGCAGACTGAGTGTAAGCAGTTCCCTATAATTTAGGACAGCCAAAACAGGAAATTATCAGCAACACTCCAACAGAGTTCGTTAATAATTAATATAGCCTGCAATGAACTCATGATATTCTATATTTAAAAGAAGTCCTAAACAGATATGAGTGGTCAGGGGCGAAAGGAGTGAAAAGAAAAACAAAGCCAACAGCATTGGAAATTTTTGGGAAGTGATGATGCATAAGCCAAGCCATAACCTGAAGCCATTCATCCAGCGAGGCATCAGTAGTCCCAGTTCCGACTTCCACCTTTGTAGCCCTCTTAGTTTTCTAGCAAAAGATTAAAGGCAAACATATTAGCTTTATTCCACAAAAGAAACATAAGAAGCATGTATATAGATACAAGCACTGATCCCTCTGGCTCTCTCTCTCTCCTTACAACTGTCCATGCCACAATAAAGTAACATTGCAAGTGGAAACTTTCTTCAATGTAAGAACAAAAATCACAAATATTGAACATTCCCAGCTCAACAGCTTGCTGACAATTTGAAATAGCTCATTAATGCTAGAACAATGTAGATTTTCCTCAATGTATACATGGATGTGAACGTTTCTGAGAGAGATCCAACAATATTTTCCATCAGCAAAAAGCCTTGTTAGATTGGATTTTATAATTACTAGCTTCAAACACGTGTTAATCGTGTCTCATGCATACTGCATTGTCGTACATAGTTACTGGAGTAAATTAATATAATAACTGCAAGGTGACACAATTAGAATACCTTGGAGATACGTTGAAATTGACCATGAAGCCATAAACCAAAGAGAACAAGAAGTGCTATCCCAAGGGTAACAAGAAAAACGGACTCAACACTGAGGAAACCACCAGCCTCAATAACTTCAATGGTACCATTATAGAATGTATTTTGGTATGGGTGCTGGTCAATATCATAAACAATTGTACCCACAAGATCAAAAGTTCCAGGCTGCATCAAAGTTCTAGACGTGTAAGCTTAACTGCAATACTGTCCTTCTCACAAAAAAATAACTTATATAAAGTTCTAAGCATAAAATCCCCAGAGTAAGCATTTACCTGTAAGTACTTGCTAACAGCAAATATGTAAGGGAAAGTGGCTTGTGCTGAAGGGGGTACAGATGCATTGTTAAAGGCCTACATTAAGATAGACATTTTCAATTACAAAATCTACAAGCAAATGTCACAAGGCAGTTTCAATCCAACAACATAGGGTGTAAAACTCCAAGATAACAACTTTGCAGCAACAGGAAGCTCAAGATCTTTTTTAAATAATGCCACAAGCATTTGATAACAAAGTATGGAAAAAAAAAAAAAATCCCCTCAAAACTTAAACCACAGAATAGTCAAAACCAGCTGCACAGCATTATATTTGCAGAGTGACCAATTAGAGCATGAATGTCTAAAACTGTGTCTACATGCTCAGTCTCTGATCTTAATATTATTCTAAGGTCTACAATAAACAGTTAAAGATACAGCAAAATGTACATTAGTGCCAAACTCTCTGCTGTTGTTTCGTCAACTGAGATATAACATCTCAACACAATTTCAACATACATCCATCATATTAATCAGCTTTGGCTAAATTAATCAACTCCACTATAACTGTTAAAACTGATTAAAGTGGGTAAGCAGTTGCAACGGGAACATAAACTAATCTGTCATATTGCATAAAACTCATATTATTGGCCAAATGTTTGACAATGGATATTTAAAACATTCAATAAAGATACAACTCAACAAGAGAACATACAAGATTCAATGTCTTTCACTTTGTAGACAACATAGGATAAGCAAACAAACATGAAAATGATCTAGATTCCAGAAGAACAAACTCAATGTATATTTAATCTTTGTTTATAAAGACAAAAGGGCAAGATATTCAATTATGCAAAGTTGAAATTGGGAAATAATAGAAATTAATCAAAATGAAACTGAACTAATTAATCATGAGTATTTTAAAATTTTAACTAGTACAATGTATTTGAAAATTTTAACCAGCAGAATATTAAGAAAACCTATGATTACCTGTGCTGTAAGATTTTGAACAAGCATACGATGATCAAAAGGGAGATGAACACTGGCTTTGACAGCAATGACATTCACAGGTGACTCCCCTGCAATTTAAAGAAGTTAAGCAAATGAGAGAAGGAACACCACATGGCTAACGAAAAAGAGGCAGGCATTTAAGCGTAACCACCGCAAGACGGATAAATTAAACCTATTCAACACATTACATCACATTTCACTGTAAAACAAGCCAGTAATGTTGTGAAGACGAATTAATTACCAACATTTTCCATCCCAACAAGGAGTTCTGTCTCTTCTCCAGCGACAACCACTGCCAAAGAAAAAAAAGGATAGCCGTAAGCAATCAAATAAAAATTCACATCACTCTCAAAATCATAAAACATCAAAATCCCACATGCAGCATCAAAAAGTTCTTACATTTGGCGCTATTTTTGGGGAAAACGCAGACAGTTTCAACACCTGGAGCTGGGCCAAAATTCCCATCACTAAAATCCTGAACATCCTCACCAACAATCCCAAGATCACCTCCTTCAACAGCTTCTGCAACATCTGCCTCTGATTCTAATTGACACCTAGCAACTATCACACAAAAGAAAATTCATGTCATATCGTAATTTAGAAACAACATTGACAATTTATTTATTAATTTATGAGAAACAAAAAATTAAAGCAACAAACAAATTCAACATCTAGAATGTCATAGAAAAGGACATCCAAGTACTTGAAAAGCACTCTTTTTAGTTGCCTTTTGTTAGAGCAAAAAGGAAAGCTAAACAGAACTTTCAAAAGGCACTAAAGTAACAATAAGAAATGTTATCAAAAGGATGCCCAAGCTTTTTCCAAACGAATAAAAATGGAAAAGAAATCTACTGAAATTTTAAGGCCACGCAATGCAACCGTGAATTTGAAAACAAAGAAATCACTTCGAATTCCCACTATCGAACCATAAATCAAGAGAAACACATCAATCTCACATGGATTTAACTGTAAAGACATAAAACGAATCGAATTGCATATCATTTCAACAGAGCAGAACAATCGCAGTAAACAAGGAAGCAGAAATTCGAAAAAAAAAATCGAAGCATAAATAGCTACTTATAGAGGTTAAGTTACAGTGAATAGATCTAGATCTGGGAAATAATTGACGAACCTTGAAGGAGAGGAGAAGCGAGGAGGAGCAGAGCTAAGAAGAAAACCCTGAAATTTATCATCGCCATTTGCGAGAGTTTTTTTTTCTTTTTCCTTCAAAAAATTAATGAAAAAAAAATGAAATGATCGGCGTGCGAGAAAAGGAAAAATAATAAAGACTGGGACTTCCGATGCCTACAAATAACTGAGAGCCGAACACACAGACAGACCAAGCCAAACGTTGACTCTTCGGTCAATGGCGTCCTTATATAACACTACCACTGCTTGTTCGTTCATTCGTGCTCCACGGTGTCGTTTTGGAGTCCTGAGAAACAAGATGATGACGGTATCGTTTTCTGGTTCTAAATGATTTTGATTTATCCACGACTAAATTACAATTATATTTTCTGTTTTTTTTAGAGTTCCTAAAAATCAAGCAACCCATATTTTCCATCATCAACTTTTAAATCTCTAAAAGCTCTAATAAAAATAATAAAGATACAAAATGAAGCCCCAAGGCAATGGCAACAGATAACAGCAAATCATCCGTTTGTAGAAAAAAAAAATTTTTTTGTTAAAAGAAATAAACAAACGGTCCTCCAACGAGCAACGGCTAATCAATCTCCATGGATGGTGTAGCGCTCCCATTTCTTTGTTGGGTCATATATCTGACAAATGACAACTAAAAATTAGTCTTCAATCTTCCCAAATCACAATAATTCTCCTAACAAGCAAAAGCAAATCACACTGTCAACCCGACAAGGATATACAGACGCAAGCACAGAGAGAGACAAAGTACCTCCCATCTTGAAGCAGGGAAGATGTGCTTGTTCTTTTCGTACCAATGCCTCTCCACTACTTTACCAGCATGAGACTGTCAACAACCGGAGAAATGACTTCATTGTATACCACAAAAATCTATGCACTATGTTAACCTCTTCAAGCAAGAATAAGAGGGAGGAAAAACAATACCTCATCCTTCTCAATCGTAGCATCAGCTATCGTTCGCACATCTTCGTGCACATCAAAATGAAAAAGCTGTTTGAAGAAAAGGGTAAACCAAATTAATAAGCAATGGGTGCTAATAAACTCTACAAGACTAAGATTTAGGATGATTTAACAATCTCAAAATGCTTGAACTACTGATGCTAATTTGTTCTTTTCATCATATTCAGAGTTGAATAAAACAATGTTAAACTGCAAAAGATGGAATCACTTGTAACAAGCAATACGTGGCAACTATATGCAGAAGAGTTTATGGAGCAATACGTCACTTTTGCCCCTTGCCTTATTAAAAATCAGTTCGTAGAAGCTATGTTGCTGAACTTTCATAACCATGAAAAGAAATGAAATCAAATTAGTTAACATCCTTTAAACACATTAAACATCGTAGTTGTAATTAAGATCTTGATTTCACATCCAACTCACATGAGGAATGATAAGATCTTCCTTCACATAAAGCAGATTTTCCACAGAAGTTGTTCGAATTTCTCTAAACTCTGGTGCGAGTTGCAGCTGAACTGCTCGAAGGAATTCTCCTATGGTATCACCCTTATGTACCTGAACAACAGAAAAACAGAACCACTTAAAATGATCACTAGATGAGAAAAAAGATGCAGAAAAAAAAAGCATTCAAATTGGTATATTTTTTTTAGGTAATTTTACTTGCCTGGATCACTCGTCTATGGCCTGCTCCATCCCAGTAGCTGTAAGTAATTTCGAGGAGTTCATCTGAAACACACACACACACAAAAAAAAAAAGAAAAACTTGGTCAAGACGCTATATTTCATGCATCCATTTCAAAAAGGAAAATGTCAGAGTAAAACTTACTCTTAATTTGCTCCTGTTCACGAATCCACTATTTCCGCAGCCTTTCCCGCTCAGCTTGCTTCTCTGCCTCCCGTTCACTGAAAGATCATCCTCATCAACCCTAAGCTCAAATGTTAGGTTCAATTCTGCTACAAACACACATGCACGCATGGCACACCAACAGAAACAAACTATAGAGAGAGATGTCACCAGTCAGGTAAAAACCTCGTTTCAACTGTGGGATCCTTGCCAAATTTTCCACGAGTAAACCTCTTTGGTTCTGATCTTTCTGCGTAAAGCATAATGGAAGCTACCATCTTGAGTCTTCCATATGAAAGAATCAACAATGAAGTTTTAAGTCTCTAGAAAGTAAACAACAGTGAAATTTGTATATTTAACAAAAAATGCAAAAATGCCATCCTATGTCCAACCTTATATAGCAAAGAACAGGATCTCAAAAAATCAAACTGTAGTTCACAGCAGTGACAAAATAATTAGGTTAAATAATAGTGAAAAATCGATACATAAATCATTCTAGAGAAAACCCAGCATGCAAATGAAAAGCAGTTATTATCTATGATTGACTGAAATTCAATTACCCAAGGATAGAAAGCCAATGCCACCTAGGCAACATTCTCAGAAAGAATGACATCAAGTCAATAGAAAAACAATCTATAACAGCTCGCATGACAGCCCACAACAACAAAGAAAGGACTCAAAAGGTAGTTACCGTTTATAATGCAACAAAACTTCATGCTCCTATGCTAATCCTCCATGTTCATTGACCCAATGATCCATATAGACTAAATCCTTCACGATGGGAACCAATCTGTGGCTCAGAAAAAATATTAAAAAATTAGTTGCAATCCTGGAAATATGAAAGAAACTAAAACACCATTTTTGGGAAGACAAAATGGTCCTTGACGACAACTCGCAAAACAATCCCCTTTACCAACTCCAATTAGTTATCAACCTAGTCTATCCACAGACTACTTGATTACCACTTTGCCATACAAATGTTAAGACAAAAAACTCTAGATCTCAGCACACTATAGATAAGTGGAACAATCGAGCACACGATAACAAGTTTTGATTTGGTAAAATTTTATAAGACCAATTTGCATATTGAAGATACAACATTTGTAAATTAGGGTCATGTATGATGCATAAGATGATGGATAGGATAGGATAATAATCATCATATACTATGTTTGGTTCATTTCTAAAAAAAGGGATAGGATTGTAAGAGATTAACTATCCTCTTGGCATAGGATGATTCAATCCTCCCAAAGTGAAGGGGATTATTTTTAATTAATGGGATTGAACTTACATGTCCTATTATACCCTTAAAAATTACATCAATAATTTAAACGGTACAAACTTAGAGGAAGGATAATGTTGACCAATAAATAAATCATCCTATCCTAAGCCTTGAATACATCAAACACAAGATAATATAACATTATTTAATCTAATGCTAACCATAATATCATCTTATCCTATCTTATCATAATCTTATGTACCAAAAACACCCTAGATACATACAAATTATATTGCAACTAACATAAATCTATTACTATGATGTTTTTAAGTGTAAGAGAAAACAGATAAATTCTCACTGTTTTGGACATCTGCTTCCATTCTCCATATCATCTGCAAAAGATAGTCGAGAATTCCCCTTAACCTTCCTGTTTCTACGCTTTTGCAACTGAAGCTCTTCCTCCCTATAGCATTAAGATGATAACATATTAACTAAATAAAGAAAAAAAAAAAGATCCACAGAAAAATATAACAAATTATATATGCAATTTACTGTTGTTGAAGCTTGTGGAGTTTCTCCTTCTCTTCCTGTTCGATTTTGTTTCGGATATTAACTCTCTGTCAAAGGTATCAATAACAATTCGCTTTAGGCACCTTATTTTGATAAGCATAAACACAATGGAATGAACAATTAAGAGAGTAAATTACCTTCTCAACATATTGCTCTCCGGTAACCAAACCAACAGTTTCCTTCTTAAATGCAGTCTCAAGAATCTGAAGAAACAAACAAAACGGAAAAGAAGATGAATGAAATGAAACTAACAGATTTCGAAGAGGAAAAAGGGCAAAAAAAAAAAAACCCTAGGGTTGCAAATTACAAGGGAAAAGAAAGGAGATGAACCTCGGAAGTGCTTGAGCCGAATTGGAGGAGACCAGGTTGGGCCTTAGCGGAGGCGGACTTGGTTTTAAGCTCTTGGATTTTGCGGCGCTAGGCTTCTCTCTGCTTCTCCAGACGTCGGATCCTCACCGCATCTTGGGCCGTGCCCACGTACCCGTCTCCCATCCCCGACATCTTCGGTTTCTTTTGCCTTTTCTTCCCCTCGCTTTTCGGGGTTAACGCCTCTCTCAACCGCTTTTCTTCCCTTCAGAGGAAGAAAGAATTAACCGCCGACTTTAAAAAACCGCCAATTTTTTTATGTTTTCAATGGAATTTTTATTTTTTTATATGAAATATCAAAAATTTTTAAAGTTCTTTCAGTAGTATCACTTAATTATCATTTAATTTTATCAAAAATTTGCACATTTCAACCAAAAATTAATTAATTGCAATAAATATATATTTTGTACATAGGAGATGGTCGTATTTTTTGAGCCGAATGTACATTGGAAATGAGAAAAACCAATAAAACATTAGAAGAATTTAAAAGAACTACTCTTATGTCCGCTCATAATATGGGTTAAATAAATAATTAATTAAATGTTAATATAATATTTAAAAATAAATATTATATAATATTTATATTATAATTAATTATACTTTTGGTATGTCAACTCTTAAAAAATGAACAATTTGATATATGAATAAAAATAAAACATATAATTTATAACTTAAATTTTTAAATAATATATTATTTTAATTTTAATATTATTAACTTAATTTGTTTATATGATTCGCAATAATATAATTTTGTTATATGTATGTTATCATATATAATATTATAAAACATATATAAAAACCTAATAAGATTTACTTATGTGAACGTTGAGATGGGTAATTATTGACACATAAAATAATTTTAAATAATTTTATTCAATTAATTATTTAATTTTTTAAAAATTTAAAATTTTATATTTATCCAAAATTGTTAAAGTATATAAGTTTTATCATAATTTAAACTTGAAAAAATATATCACATATCTCACTTTTACCATGTATATGAAATACAAAATTCAAATAATTTTTAAAAGTATGAATAATAAAAAATCATATACTGTATAAATTAATATTCATATAAATTTAAAATATTAAAGTTTATGGTTAAACCATTATTATTTATCAAATTTTTATTTTTATTTTTTTATAATTAAAAATAAATGTGAAAGATATTCTATCTCAATTTAAAATTGTATGCATATTTAAATTTAAAATTATACTAATCTCTTTTATCTTAATTCAAAATTAAATTTGGATAAACTACATTTTAAAAAATTTTAAAAATTTTAAAATTAAATAATTATCAAATATATATTTATAATTTCTTCTCACAATCAATATTTTATTCTTTATAAAAGATAAAGCAATTATATATTCGTTATAAAAGTTTGATATGATAAAGTTTCAAAATTAAATATGAAAAAGTATTTCATGATATATCGCATGTGTAAATCTTAGTTTTCATATTAAAATAATATATGTAATTATAAATAAGATATTGACTTTTTCATTGAGATTTATATGTAATTTTATTTTTATACTTCAAAGCTTTCATAATGCTTATTTAAATTCTTTCATAATAATTTATACATTATAGGCTTTTGTAATTTTAAATTACAAATTATAAATGATTAGGAATATTTTTATTATCTATATACAATATAAAAATTAGTATAAATTTAAAAAATATATAATACAAATTTTCATGTATGGTACAAGTAAGAAAAACTAGTTTGTTAAATAAAAATGTTAGATATTTTGTAAAAATTTTAATGTGGATCTCATGTGACAAAAAATAATTAACCAATTCTAAATAATTTTTAGGGTTAAGGTAAAAATATATATTTTAAATTTATATTAAACAAATATGTTGATAGCATGTGCAATGAACATTTAACTTAATAATATTCGTCAAACGTAGCATAAATAACTTGATATAATTAACGATAGTAGAATTTGTATTAATATGATATATAATTTAAAAGTTTATAACGTAAATTATACATTATTTGAAAATTTAAGATGCAAATTACATTTTATTTTTTCATGTATTAATGTATGCATTTTTTTCAAAATTCAAATATCAGTATTGTAATTAACTCTTTATATTAATATTAAAATATCTAATTGAAATGATATCATGAATCAAGTGAAGAATAAACACCAATTGGATTAATAAATTTGCTTAAAAACTAAATTAAAGATATAATAATGAAATTCAATCAAAGATATTAATATCTCTTACTTTTAAAAACCTCATATATCTGATATCAAATAAATTTTTTTTTTCAAATCACTTTTTTTTTTCATCCATATCGTGGGTGTATAATATTTTCATAAAAATTATTATCCAATATTGAAATTTATCACTTTAATTTTATTTGATTGAAATTTACTATTATAGTTTTATTTTTTATGAAATTTATTACACTTAAATCAATTAATCAACGATCAATTTGATCAAAATTTAATTAATACAATCATACATTCGGGTCACTCAAATAAAACACACTTAAACAATTACATCACCTACTATTAGAAAAATGGCTTGTCATTCATCCAACAAAGGATTCACCTAAGATCACATTAACAATTTATCAAAACAGTCACTTCAAAATGAATCATTTATCATCAAATTTATCCGAAATCATTAAATACAACTCATACTTATCTAAAATCATTAAATTTGACTCACATAAATCATCGTTAAATTTCACGTAAACATCCCATTAACCGTAAAGTGTTTCGGTAAAGTTACAATCCCTTAATCTTATATATAAGATAATTGGAGACTAATTAGGTAACAAAGTAACAAGAAGAATAAGAATACATAATCCTACTACATACTATGAGGTTATTTCCAATGAAACTTTTCTCATATATTTTATAATTTTCATGCTTTTTACTTTTCTTATCCTATCTCACATACAATATTGATTTGAGCGGCAGACTGTATCTCAAAATTACAATTCCAACACCCCTTAACAGTGTTATTTGATTGTAAATTCAAACTGTTTTTACCTTTAACCTCATCTCCTCTTTTCAGATAAAATATTCAAAAACATCATCAATAAAATTAAAATTGATTAAAATAAAAATATAATATAGACATTCAACATTAATACCTTTAATTATATTTTATTATTGTAATTTTAGTTTGACATTTAAATAAATTTATCAATTAAATTGGTACCACCACTTGTTGCATTAACATTATATTATATATTCTTTAATATTATAGATCGATTATTATGGACAAAAAAGGGTTAAAGTTTTGTTTTTGTTTTTTTTTTTTCTTAAATTCCTGTGGGTCACAAAACGACGTAATGTTTGGGTTCCGATGGGTTTTCGGTCGTGGATTTCCGGTCAACAAAGGCAAAATAAGCAAAAGAAAAGGAGAAAGAGACATCGATAAGAAATCGTCAAGCGACTCACCGGTCATTCAGTTTCAAACAATCGATCAACTCAAAACCAATGCTGCTTATGTTCAATCAATTCCATCTTCAAATCCTTCCTTCATCGTCTTTCGTCAACCCCACATCGATCCGCTCGTTCCCACCACGACCCGCACTCAACCCAAATCCAGGTTAGGTTTCACTTACATACGATTTGTTTTATCAATTTTACCTGATTTTAATACTTTTGATTTCATGTCTTTTGCAACCAAAGGGTTGAAGGGGAAGCCATGGATTGCAGCGCCGCGAGAAAGCTTCAAAAGGCTGACCGTGAGAAATTAAGAAGGGACCGTCTCAATGAACATTTTCTTGAGTTGGGAAATATACTTGGTATATTTTTAATTTTCTTTAAAACATTCAATTTGTAATCTTTTGGTCTATGGAGTTTTATTCGAAGACATGGGTTCTATTTGCATAAGTTCAGTAGTATATTAGGTTTGAGGTGTTGAACTTCATTTCATAGTGCCAATACTCATGAAATTTGATTGAAAGAGTGCTGCCAAACACACCCAGTTGTGGGGGCAATGCTAATTTTTTTATGGTATTGTTGGAGAAGGTTGTAGAAATCAAATACAACAAGAATTTACTTGGGTTTTTGCCCAAGTTAGATCCGGCAATGAGGATATTATTGATTGAACTTGTTTATAAATTCTAGTTGCTCTTTTTTCTTTTTTAATTTTCCTCGACATTTTGAATGGTCACGGGTATTTGCTTGCATAATGCAGATCCTGATAGGCCCAAAAACGACAAAGCAACTATACTTACCGATACGGTTCAATTGTTGAAGGAGTTAACATCTCAGGTCACCAAGTTAAAAGCAGAATATGCTACGCTGACTGAAGAATCTCGTGAGGTGAGCTTTCAGTATATTTCAATTTGAGGATGGTGCTTAGATTAGCGAAACTCCTTTAATGGAGATCTCAATGTGCTCGTTCCTTTGGTTTGAAGCAGTTGACACAAGAGAAGAATGATCTGAAAGAAGAGAAGGCATCTCTTAAATCTGATATCGATAATCTTAATATTCAGTATCAGCAGAGAGTTAGGTCTATGTTCCCATGGGCAACTGTAGATCACTCAGTTGTCATGACCCCTCCTTATCCTTTCCCAGTACCAATGGTAGTACCTCCTCCAGGAGCTATTCCCATGCAGCCATTCTCATTCTTTGGGAATCAAAATCCCAGGGCCATTCATAACCCCTGCTCCTCTTTTCTTCCATATACGACTCCTAACACCATGGTTGAACAGCAGTCAGCGCAGCATGTTGCTCCACTTGCACAACCAGGCAGTCGGTCCCATGCTTCAGGCAAACGAGATTCAGAATACAAGTCCTCAGGGGAGAGCAAGATTGAAAAAACTGTGGATTCAAATGATGTTGCTACTGACCTTGAGTTAAAAACACCTAGTTCTACATCAGATCAGGTTCGTTTGAGTGTTTTGGATTGGTTTGTAATGGACATAGTATTTCATTATGTTTGTAAAGATAATTGATAGAGAACACAGCTTACCTGTTGGTGCATATGTGCAGGATTTATCATCAGCACAAAGAACGCTGAAGAAATCTTTTAGGAACGAAAACAGTAATACAGAAGGGAGTTATTCAAGTAGGTGTTCTTCATCTCATAATGCACAAGATAGCTCATCCAATAGCGAACTTAGTAGCAGAAAGGCTGATGACCTAGATAGGGGAAAGGATTGACAAATACCAGAGCCAGGTTGTTTCCAACTATACCCCAGTAGTCCTAAATTGCCTACAAACTGAAATCACTCCTCTCATTTCATGAAGGCGCCAAAGAGAATTGCTCTAGTGAAGTAGTTTGAGGCTGGGTTTTGTCCTGTGTCTCTCTTCCTTGAGATGGAAAGGTGGTGACGATCTTCAGTGCCTTCATTTTCTAGTAGGAAAGGTGGTGATGGAAAGGTCTCTCTCAAGTCTGCCATTCTAGTAGGAAAATATCATATGATTGGCTAGGAAACACCTAGATTGCTGGTGTATAGGTCGTAGTTCTATAGAATGTCAATTTCAACTGGTTTATTTAACTCATATGTTGTTTTTGCCAATGCTTCAACCCATGCAATTTCACGCTGTCAGATTGTAACAAAAAAATCGTACGACCATGATCTTGTGAAGAGAGTAGAATATGATATTGAGATTTAAGTCTCGTATCCAAAAGATGTTATCTCTTAAACGCAAATGAATCACCTGAGAGTTCATATTGAATTATAATTTTTTTTTTTGACAAATGTATGATAATTGGGTCATTAATTATTTTGATTTAAGATTTAGCCTATGATTGGATGTAATTGCATCTTTAGTGAAATACAGTCAAGTTTTAACCGCTCTTAATTGAATTTAAATATTAATTTTAATGAGATTTATTTAATATAAATTTTTTATTAAGTTTTGTTAATTATAATTACAATAATTTTTATTATTATTTTAATTTATGAGAATTAATTTCGTCGGATCCGAAAGATGTTTTGATTTTAACAGAAAATAAATCCGCATTTACGGTCCCCAGAACTCGTCACCCCAGATTCGCGAAGATTCAGATCACTTTATCCACGTTCTTCTGCACTTGTGTTAAGCCACGCGGCAGCAGGGGAAGGATTCTCAACGGTAAAAAATGAGAGCTACGAAAATCTAAGCAAACAGTTTAAACGACATCGTCTCCTCCGAGCTTTCAGTTTACGTTGTCAACATGTCTTCTCGTTGAAGGGCAGCGACAACTACGAACTATGAAAGTGTTGATTTTATCGATTCTAACCCCAGCGCTCCCCATTCGCGTACTGTGCAAGTTAGTGACAACAATGATATGATAGATATCCACCAACCCCGCTGGAGCGTGCTTTCGACGCTGTCAAAAGCCACGTGAGCGCGCCATCTGGATCTTTGACAACCCTGCCTGCAATTAAACCATAAACAAAACACAAATCCGAAGCGAACACCACAACTTTAAAAGCTCCTTGCTTTACCCAGCAACAGCCACATAGCCCAAAACTCAACCACACCAAACTAAAGAAACAGCCCCAGTTAGAAGATATGGCAATGGTATCAACATATTGCCCACAGTTCAATGGACTTCGCCGATCATGTCCGAAACTCGACAACGCACAACCCCAATCTTTTCTTCAACACATCAACTCACAACTCCGTCTCTCCTCTTCTCGCAAACCTTGCAGAGCTGTTATTGCCATGGCCGGCTCTGGAAAGGTACTCTTAAGTATTTTTTTTAGATCTATGTTTAATGTATTTAAGATACTAGAAATAACCCATTGCTTCTCTTTGTCATTAGGTGCTTAAGTGAATGGGAGCTTTTCTTTTCTTTTCTTTTCTTTTTTGCAAATGAATTAATAATTTTGTTGAATTATGGTTTTTTCTTTGTGAAGAATAAGCATGAAGCAAAAGAATTTTCTAAATGCTTTTTGCTAACCTTTATGGTACTAGTAGCTTTTTATCCCTTTATTAATCTTTTATGTTTTTCTTGTACTTGCAGTTCTTTGTTGGGGGTAACTGGAAATGTGTAAGTACCCTTTGTCACGGATATTATGCTGTCTTTATTCTCTATATCAATTCTTGGTTTTCTTCTACTGTCTGTGGTTTGTGTCAAACATTATGCGTTCATTGACTCCATTATGTGTTTGTTAGCATCTCCGCCTACTTGTTATCCGTTATGGCAATGGGGCAGGTCGGGATTGGTTTATGATCCTCAAGTGTGTTGGTTTTCCCTTTTAAGTCTTCCTTTAGAGTTTCTGTGGTTATCTGATGTGGAATCTTCTTGCTAAGCTTGTTTAAATAACTCATGTTGCTTAGGTTTGTTACGAACTTAGTGCCAAGTAGACTCTAGCAATTTTCAATTAACTTTTGTGTTTTCATGGTGATTCTGATTTTTTCTCCTTACCTTCCCTCTCCCTTTTTTCTTTTTATTATTTTAATTATGGTATATCAAAGTGTTGTATTGTTATTGTTAATTTTGATGCCTTTTCCAATGATTTATACCTTTCAAAAGTTCATCTCACTCTTTGTAGATTCAGATTCTTCAATGTTGTCATGCACTGCTAAGTGCTAACTCATTTTGTTAATATATTTTTGCATTTTTCCTGTGAATTAGAATTTCACACTGTAATTGTTGTTATGCTGGGTACTGTTTACATGGAACAACATTTGCATGGCTATTGTATTATTCTCTGGTTTAATTTCCTTTATTGATGATGTAATTCTTGTTCTTTCAGAACGGAACAAAAGACTCTATCACGAAGCTTGTTTCTGACTTAAACAGTGCAAAGTTAGAGACTGATGTTGGTAATTTACAGCCCTTTACTTTGCAATATGTGTTAGATGTTAAATTTATTATGGAACTAGGCTTGGGGTTTATATTGCGAATGGCTAAAAGATTTGCAAACTTTTTGTCGTACTGCCTCAAATGCTACTACGCATGCTTTCTTTGGAGCAATTTGTCTAATGTTTCTTAATTCTTTTAACTAGAATTTCTTAGTGCATTCTAGATGCCATGTAGTTGTATATTCATGAGGTTCATTGGGATCATGTTAAATATTATGAAGATTGCTGATATTCATGCTTGTTGGACAGATGTTGTTGTGGCACCTCCCTTTGTCTATCTTGATCAGGTGAACGCCACATTAACCGATCGAATTGAGGTGTCTGCCCAGAATTCTTGGATTGGAAAAGGAGGGGCTTTCACTGGAGAAATCAGGTTATCTACCTTTTGGTTGATGAGCCTAACATGTTAATTCTTCATAGTTTTTTAGCCCTTAACACAGTGATATTGGCTTTTTAGCCCTCATGATGGGAGTATAAAACTACATCATTGCTGAAGTTACATGTAGAAGTGCAATGGACAGAAGACTTAGTGTCTTTTGCAGTTTTGCTGTACTGCTTCATTGTTATCAAGTACCAACATGTGCTCTACTTTTCACTGTGTAATTTCTTTCTTGTGTCAAGGCTAGTGGCTTAACTTTAATCTACGTCTAAAACTATGTTTAAAATATACATGAGTTCAGTTACTTCTGATGCTGTCCCAATGTGCTTAATTTGGTGCCTTGATGCAAGTGGAATATTTGTTCTTTCGGGTGGATCGGTTTCAACTTATTCAGTAATTAAATATATATTTTATCTCCCTTAATGCAACTACTTTTGTTGATTTATTGGGAAAACCAAAACAGAAGTAGTTGATCCTGTTCCATATCTCTTTCCCAATATCGTTTAAGGTGTGGTAATTTTGTATAGGCTGTTTCAGATTAACAGGGCATCTGTTATTTCATTTGATCTGTTTCTCAAACATAGTAGAAGTTATTTAGTCACCTTCATCTTTTTGGTAGTTGTGGGCATTTATGTCTTCATATACCAACTGGTTTGATTGGGTTATCGTAACGCTTTCTGTGTCTTTAATATGATTCGTCTGATTCTTTCCATAGTGTGGAACAATTGAAAGATATTGGCTGCAAGTGGGTCATTCTTGGGCATTCTGAACGCAGACATGTTATTGGTGAAGATGATCAGGTAAAATTTTAGGCACTTACATTCTTCGGAGGTGTCAAAGGGCATAGCTGTTTGTGCTAATTAATACAAAATATGAAAGATTTAGAACTGACTGAAGATTTGTCTTCAGTTTATAGGAAAGAAGGCTGCTTATGCTTTGAACGAGGGTCTTGGGGTAATAGCCTGTATTGGTGAATTATTAGAAGAAAGAGAAGCAGGCAAAACTTTTGATGTATGTTTCCAGCAACTGAAGTCTTTTGCTGGTAAACTTTCTTGACATTTTTGTGATTTCTGTTACTTTCTTTCCTCATGAATTATCAGTTTAGGTTTTCTTGTGAAGAGTGAAGAGGAATGGACTGTGACCTAGCTCCAATGATTTCATCATTTGCAGATGTTGTACCCAGTTGGGACAATATAGTTATTGCTTATGAGCCTGTATGGGCCATTGGAACTGGTAAGGTGGCGACACCCCAGCAAGCTCAGGAAGTACATGTAGCTGTCCGTGATTGGCTTAAAAAGAATGTTTCAGAGGAAGTTGCATCTAAAACACGTATCATATATGGAGGTAACTTGGATACTATATCATTCGTTGTTTTAGAGGAAGTTGCATCTAAAACACGTATCATATATGGAGGTAAATTGGATACTATATCATTCGTAGATGTTGTCACTATGTTCTGATTTATAAGAAGACAGTGCCATCAGACTCTAAAGCTGAAGAGAGCATTGACCATTTATGTTAGGACTAGGGTTGTCAATTACGTCAAGCTTGTGAGAATGTCCTATTTATGTCCTATTTTCCTAGATCAGACGGTCACTCCCTGCAAGCTAATGGATTGGACATCTCTTTTGCAGGGTCCGTGAATGGAAGCAACTGTGTTGAGCTTGCAAAGCAAGAAGATATTGATGGGTTTCTTGTCGGTGGTGCTTCCTTGAAGGTATATTCTCGCAACTCATTCTGTGATAAAATGTAACTATTGTCTGCTTACAAGAGAGCTTAGGATATTCAAATATCAATCACTTGGGGCAGCGCTGATGATTACACTCTGATCTTGATGGTGCAGGGGCCCGAGTTCGCTACAATTGTCAACTCTGTAATATCCAAAAGGGTTGCTGCTTAAATATATAAAGCGGATTAAAGCAACAAATAAAGGACAAAGGGAAGCTAGTTCATGTTGAAGCTTCATGTAACCTATGAGTTAGTCTCTTCCAATGGAGTTTTGATTACTTATTGAGTTCCTTTTTCCCCCAAAATGATAGGAAAAATCTGTTGTTTCTCATGTGCTGCTGATAGTAGAACTCAAATTTAGGCTTTACATGTAAAACATCCGAATCTTTCTAACTTGGGTTTTATGATAAAGTATCGAAACTTATCAACAAAATCAATCTTGTTGACGTTTGACAGCGAAACATGTTCATTTCTCAATTAAAAAAAATTAGAAAATGTTCTTTTAAAATAATTCAGCGCCCAACAATCAATTCCCCGACCATCTATTATGTGACTTGAATTGGCAACGACCCTACAAGCAGTTGGGATGGATAACGGCTTGATTAACAATGGACCACATGGCCAATGGTGGTAAGTTTGAATGATTGATACATCATTGCTGCCAAGGCTTAAAACCAGAGACGGCTCTTGCACCATGGCTCAAAAACCAGATACAAAGTCCTTGGAATGTTTTTGGTCCTGATTATTCCTCATGCCTCACTCTTCGTTTATTTTAATTCTAGTAATACCTAAAGTTGGTTTAGAAATTGAAAAAATTGAATCTGAGTTAATTAAAATTGAAGTGAATCATAAGGATCATGTTCCTCCTGCTAGTTTGTTACAGTTACGTCAGACAAATTGGAAGGCAATGATACTTTCATCAGCAAAAACACTTCAAATGCCTAGACAGGATTCATTTAAATCTGAATAGTTCCACTACTCTGCTTTTGCACTAGGACAGCTAATACATTCTGAAAAGAGATAGATCAGCATTGAACAACATAATAATAGTATTTTTGTTTGATAAAGTATGTTTTGTGTTCTCCCTTGTCCTCAAACTTTGAAGAAAGCTACAATTAAGCATGCTTTTGTCTGGCCTTTTCATCATCGTAATGCCCAAGTTATTGTGTGACTAATTCATTGATTTTTTCTTTCTGAACAATTTTTTTTTGTATATACGATGCTGCAGTTGTAAGTACTGAGATTTGAACTCTCGAAGTTACAGAGAACTTATCTTTAGAAACATTAACAAGTTCTAAGCAATCAAGCAATTACCACAAGAAAAGTAGCTAAACTTTGAATCTTGGACTTCAATAACCATTTCAAACAATTCAAGAAAACTAAACTTCTGCTCAACTGATCAAATACGGTTATCTGGTTTATTCCAGGAAAATTTATCTTGTCTTGGGAACTGAAACAACATAACCTTCAAGGTTAAACCACCTAATTTTCTAAGAATCCAAGCTAGGGGCTGATTTTTCAGGAATATGAAAACAAATATATATATGATCAAAAGAATACTACTGCAATATTGATCTATGTGAACTACTTTAACGATCAGAAACTATATATTAAACATGAACCCAAATCCCAATCTTAAAGCAACTTCTTTTCTATTTTTTAGTGTTATTTAAATACAACTATCTATGCTAGCATACATATTTATCTTCGATCTAATAATCCAACCATAGAACAGAAAATTTTTTTAGCATAGTTTTTCAATCTATAGTGCTATAGTAAGCACAATCATATCAGCCAGCTCTCACGAAAAACTGACTGATACTGCAACAAAATCAACAGCAACACAATGAAAGCAGCCACGGCCCATGGTGAGCTACCCTCTGAAGGGCGATGGTGAGTCTGGTGGCGACGGTCCCAAGGTGATGAACTAAATGGCATATCAGAAGTTTCCATAGATGACAGCCAACGAACTAAGAGTATTAACACTACTGGTGTGGCAAAAAGTACCCAACTCATTTGCTGCTCCGCAGTTTCCATATCTGATTCATAGTTAACGTACCATGATATTCCAAGAAAGATGGATGTCACCGCTAGGATTAGTAGAACTGGATATGGCAGAGGACTTAAAGAGAATGAATCAAAGATGGAGTCTCCTCTTCTATAGTAGGCCATAAGAGATCTGTGTTTTTCTGGTTTGAGAATTCAAGGAAGGCCCTGTCTATTTATAGCAAAAATGGGTGTCTGATTTTGTGTTTCACAGCTTAAACTAAGCTGTAGCAAGTACTTGTAGGCCGTAGATCTTTTGTTTTTAATATTATCACTTAAAAATAATTATATAAATCATCTGAGTTAAACTTGATACCTGTCTTGCCTAGTTCTTTTCTTGGTTACTTTCTTCATTTTTTTGGATTGGTAACTATCAATATCATGTATCAATCTTGTTTTAAACGTGAAAGGATGTTGATAACCCATGTGAAAATGAAATCATAAATGAAAGATTGGAAATTCCTTTTATTTTCTGAAAATTTTAAAATTTACTATCAAATTCATTTACATGATTTGTTGCAAAAGGTTGAAAGTCTGTAACCCAGGAAACTCAACCATACTTGACTCTGTAAGCTCCAAGTACTGAACGCATAGAGTTTGAAAGAAAAAAGAGAAGAAAAGGAGAGCAAAATTTGGAAAACCTGAAGCTGTTTTTCTACATTACTGGGAAAATGGTGCTGTCTGGAAATGGTTTGCATCACAAGAATGAATGCCTAAGATGAGAATATAATATAGGAGTTAACATTTAACAAAAGAAAAAGAGAGAGGTGGAGGAGTGGCCTGGGGGGATCCTCAATGCTAAAGGGTACAAACACCTTGGAATTTGTTGTGGGAAAGATATGACCAGTCCTCTGAATTTAATCATCTTTCTTATCCAGTTGTCTTCAAATTAGCAAATACTACAAGCTTTCATTGTGTTTAAAATAGGTTTATCTTTCCTAGAAAGTTTGACATCAATAAACTCCCAAGTTTATGCATGGTGAGTCACATGGCATGACTTGAAAATCAAGACTGTATTAGTCTATTGGAATTGAATATCTATCTAAACACTTTAAAAAAAAAAAAAAAATTTGACCCTGTTAATAATTTCATAGATAGTTGATAGAATATTGAATTTTTAATTTTTAATAAATAGCATTCAAGAATTAAAATTTAAATTGCGACAATTTTAGAAATCAGAAAAAAATTCTCATAAGTCGGGTGTTTGGTTTCACATTTTATAGGACCTAATTCTTTACCATCCCTCCAAGGAGGAGTTGAAGATTGTAAAACCAAATGTTCAGAGAAGATTTGCAAGCAACATTTGAGTTTTTGGAAGGATTAGGATCTGACCGAAACTAGCGTAACCTAGTTCATGTGTCAACATTAACAAATTTAATACTATTCTAAGTTTTAATAATTGGTTTACAGGCATGTAAGCAAGTGTCAAATCTTAATGTCCTTGGAGAAACTGAAACTGCGACAGAATTTTGTTTCATCTTCTTTGGGTGTTTCACGTGACTAAGCAAAAAAAATGAGGGTGGTTTGCGATGTTGATGTTTACGGCAAATCCCAGAGCTGCAAAATGCCAGAAGAATAAAATTGTGGCCTGCAGGCTACAGAAAAAAGTACAATTCTACAGGCTCCAATAATTCCATGAACCAAACTGACTCCGCATCTAGCATTAACAATGAAATTAAATTCGATAAAATTAAAAATAATATAATTATGATTAAAAAATTATTATATTTAAAAATATATATTTTATAAAAAAAATTATGTTAAATAAATTTTTTAAAAATTAACATTTAAATTTAATTAATGATATAATAAACTCAATTACACTACATTGAAAATGCGATAAAATCCAAACCTCGATGAGTTAGGGTGACACTTGACAATCGGTTCAACCAGCCCCTTTAAATTCACCACAAAAAAAATAAAAATATTAACCTCATAATTATAAGAAATAATTTACAAAAAATATATTGTGGCATTTAACAACATTCCAGAAACTATACACTAGAAAGCTCTTAAGAAAATAATTAGTACAAGTTATAATTTGGGTGATCATCATCCAAATCTGGTGCCAGGGGCTGAAGGGAAACTTGTTGCAGCTGGCAATAATATATTTGGACCAAATGCCATCACCAAGCTTGCCAGGTATCGCAAAAACTGTACAATAACATGAACCTCTCTTAAGTTTATTTCTTAGTTTGTTAGGAAGAGTTGGAGAACAATTTTGATTGACTTGCCAATATATCCTGACAGAGGAAATGGCTGAGATCAGACTTTCCCCTCAAACTGGAAATTCAGTTTGTAATCACTTTGCAAACTGGCCAAAGTATTCCTGCAAGGACCCTCTACAAAATACATAGATGAAACAAAGGTTAGATGGAAGAAAGCTGTCTTGCTCGATTCATGTTTTAAGTTCAGGACTGGTCGAGAGTGCTTACCTCCAAATACAGTATGAAGATATTGAAGATCATTAGCTGAGCAAGCATCTATTAAAGCATATACACCTGGTTTTAGAGCTTCATCTATCTCCCTGCCATTCATTGAAAAGGGAAAATGGTTTCTCAATTACAAAATATATCTAGCATAAAATAAGATCGTATATAAATATCATGATATAATAGTAAGCAGCACCAGATACCACCTTCTGATGCCAGTTTTAAGGGGACCAAATCCAGAATAAACCCATATGTAGGTTGATAAGAACTTATAACAGTGCCCTCCAAATACATCTTTCTGCTGCCTTATCTGTAAAATAACAATGAGTTCTAAAGGTCAGAATGACAATTCAATTGGGCTCTAGATATGCAATGCATGGTCAAACTAGAATACAATCAAAAGTTTTAGCACAAGTTAAAATTTCAAAACAGTTATAGATGTTAAACAAATTGCCATACCTCTTCGTAGATTCTTCGAAGAAAGCAAGCACATGTTACTCCCTCTTGTATTTCCCATGAAAAATAACCTTTTCGGACCATTAGATCAGCATCCACCGACTCCAAACAATGAAGAAGAAGGGAAACAGATTCTTCAAGCACCGCAATGCACCGTTCACATTCACTTGAAATTAGAAAACAATCAGTAAATGACTCTTCTTGCAATGCGGGATAAGGGGAAAATAGAAAAGGTAAGAAATTAGAGAAACAGAAAATACATGTAATAGCAGTCTAACATGCACATTACCCAACTGAGGACACTAGGGAGAAAATATTCCCATACATCTAAAAGGGTGAATCTATAAAGTTTGCAGCATCTTCCCTTTCCCTTTTCTAGTGTCTCCTACAATCGCTTTTGGATTTTGGATTCTGTTTATGATTTCCAACTGCTACAACCCAGGAAGGAGGAAGGGAGGGGGGACTTTTTATGGACTAAAAAGAAACACGAATTAACACTTACCTCTTGTGATGTTTCAGAACAGTACACAACAACCTGCAGCAAGCAGCAAAGAGGTTTACAGAAAACTGTCGGTCCACGGCACAATCTTTCATGCTTGCAATGGAATCGTGGTTTTCTTTATCCAAAAACAAGGAGTTACTCAATACTGGTGCTTCAGAAAGCCTTAGTTGACGGAAATCTTGAAAAAGTGATCCAGGGATACGTAAAGACTGCCCTATGTGCCAGGGATCCATTCGAAACAGAGCATGTTTTCCTAAAACTCTGGTCAATTCCTCAACACACATAAGAACAACCGATCCCGGATCTGGATTTCTGTCACCTTCACTACTCACAAATTTTCCATAGAATATTAATGGACTCTGCAAGTGAAGGATTATATTGAATAGAGCTGCAACTAAGCTTTGAATATGTCTTTTAACCACACTCAAACATTTGCGACCTAAAGAGCAAGTCCAAGGCACCACCACATAAGTACAACCAAGTAAAGAGAAGATGTTGTTAAAGGGATAAATACAACATTAAAGTGAAAACTTCACTCTAGATTTTAAGATCACAAATATAAATGATTAATGAAAGAAGAAGCAGAAGTGGAATTCACTGGCAAAATCCAAAAGTCATCCACATCCATCATAAGACACATGGAACTCTAAAAGTTGTCTTGACAAATACCAAAATTTCATCCAGTCCATGCTATAAGAAGCAAAATTAACCGTTTAGCAGATGCAGTGAATGCTACGAGTGAGATAATTTATGTTTTTATGTTATTGCAATGACCGTAATAGATAAGAAGATATAATACCTGAACCATACTCCAGAATTAAATCCAAACAGTCAATGCCCGCTGCAACAGTTGAGGAAACCATGCCACCATCAGCGCTCCCAGTGTTTATTTCATAGATCATTGGGTGACCTTGTACTCCTACTAATGCTCTCTCTATAGCCTGTATTGCTGACAACAGTTGCAACTCTGATGGATTCCGAATAAACACTTTGAATGACATCCTCAACCTAGCTTTGAATTCATCTAAGCAATGTGAGCCATGAGAAAGAAATGACTCAGGCAAACCTGTATCACCATGGAGTATCTTAGTGCTTGATTCTCTTTCATGAGATTCCAAAGTTGCTCTTTTTCCTTGTAAAGATATGCATTTTCCTATGGCCCTTAAATGCAACTCCATTAGCTTGGCATATGCATTTCGATTCAAGGTAGAATCAGTCAATGGAAAGCGACTCCCTAGCTCTTCCAAATACTTAACAGCACCGTCTAACCAAACAAAAGTAAATGGCGGTGGGATTTCACTCAAGTTTGACAACTCCAATAACAAGACTTGTGAAATGCCAATAATGAGAGGTGCCATGCCTGAGGACAAGGAAGCACCATCAACATGCAAATTTAGCCTCGGAAAAGCAGAATAAGAAATTAATAGCTGCCTAAGTAAAATTGCCCTGTCAGGATGATCACCCTTCAGCAACCCCTGCAACAAATGCTTATTTAGACAATGAAGCTCAACTAAATCAAAATCAACAACCTGTGAATCCCTGCTGCAATCCAACTTTTGAGAACTTTCAGCATCATAATCGTTTTTGGGTTGCTGATCATTCTCAAGAAACGTGCGTAAGAGATCATTAATAAAATCTACAAAGACGTTTATGCAGAGATTTAGTTTGGAGAGAGGCTCACATTTCCACCGTAACAATTTTGCCTTCAGCTTACCACTCTTTTCACCTTTCTGATTTAAAGCAGATGCTAGGCCCCATAAAAACCCACCAAAGCAAGAAACTGTGAAAGACATTTTACTAATGTTTACAACTTTATTCTCAATTCCTACTTTTCTGTCATCAAGGGCTCCCTTCAGAGGAACGAGTAAGCTTTCCGCCTGTTCCTTCAAACTCTCAGCAATAATAGACAAACTTCTCAAGGCTTCGCTATCTTTCAAGTAATCAAAGTGCAAACCAGGTTCATTTAAAATACTTTGTTTGCTACCAACACCAGAATAAGGTTGCTCAGAATTTCCAATGAAATGAACAGCCTGACCAAATTGATATTTGCTTATTGCAAAGAAAACATAGGATGTGTGATCCATCAAGGAGGATTTCTTAAGTTTTGATTCAGGCATACAATCTCCCGACATTGTGTCTAAGAGTCCAATCACTGCAGATACTGACTTCAAAAGCCATGCGACAAAATATGTATCCTCAGCAACTGAAAGTAGTGAAGACAGACTAGCTTCAATCTTATCCTCACAAGATGTCATAATTATATGTTTCAATGTCCTCCGACAAGCAACAAACAATTGGAAAAGCTCATAGAAACAATATGAGGACAGTGCACCTTGAAAGTCTAAAAGCTCTGCAACTACAATGCTGAAAATGTAAAGAGTTCTTATCAATGGAGACTTCACAAAGTTTATAATAAGAGTAAAAGCACCAGTGGTGTATAATAAGAGATCTTGAAAAGCATATGAAAAAACATGCTCCCAACTATGTAATAAGTTATTAAAACATACTACTTCAATGCAAAAAGAGGGGAGGGGAAGGGCTAGCTGTCTAACATAGATTGCAAACAATAGAGATAGAGAGCTCACCATTCAAGGTTGAGGACACAAGTTGCTAGCTTGGAGAGTGATTTCGAACTCAAATATTCTTTTGGCATCCAACACAGACGATTAAGTAAACTCTTACAATCTTTAAATTTCACATTAGTGAAAGTAAATGCTTTCTGTTTCATGGAAAAATTTGAAGATAGCCTGTTGGATGAATTTGAAATTGATCTTGTAGCTGAATCATGCTTAAGACGTCTTCTGCCAGAAACAACTGCAGATGAGTTATCAAGGGTGCTTAAAACCTCTGGCCAAACAGGTAATGAATTAAAATTCCTGTCACTAACTAATGAATCACTAAACAACAATAGGACCAAATTCTCCAATGCATGACAAAACCTCGATGCCAAATTCCTGCGAACAAACTAATAAAACAGAAGGGTGAACATCATGTCACAAAATAAATCCATGAAAATTTCAGACTACTAGCAAGTAAGCATAAGAAAATTACAGATGGAAGGTGTAAAAGCATGAAGAAAACAAATATGGTAAATTAAACAGGAGTGCAGAAGAAAGAAAACATATTTGAATTTTATAACATTGTCTTACTTTATGTTCATAGAGAGTTGAATCTTTTAGAAGCCCTTGTGAAATCTGACAAAGAGTAATTTTCTTCAGCTGACAATTGTCGTTTTTATGCTTTTCAACCTGCAAAAAGCCGTTTGATAAACAGGGAGGGGAAGTCTGGATTAAAAGAGTGAGGAACATTTTACACTTCTTTTTTAACTTCTTAGCAGCAGCGTAAATGCACCAAATATCAATATTTTGGCAAATAATCCACCAAATTGCAATGGACAATGACTTCATGTTCAGAGAACAAATGCCAAAATCCCATTCATAGCTTTCATGCACTTCGAAAGGTGCCATTTTTTCACAAGATGTGTCATCAGAAAAGAAGACTGATGAGTGATTATTAGCCACTAATGAAAGGTATCCCAGCATGAAATCAGTAAGTTCCACTGCCTCTTGCTCCAAAACTATGACACATCTTTTCAACTTTCTGTCTTTTTTACTATATGGTGACAAGTCAGCATTATCAAGCTTTTTAACCTCCATCACCTTCTCATTCTGCTGCAATAAATACTCAAGAGAGCTTCTATGCCTGTTCAAATCAACTAGCCTTTGGAGAGCCATAATATGCAGTACATAAATCAGTGGACAACAATCTTCAATCTTGTCTTCAAGGTAAGCGTTTGAAATGTGGTGTATAAGATCAACAAGAGATGGTGAAGGATTTGTAATCCAAGAAAAGTAGCCCTCATCAGTCCAATCTGACTTCTCCATCCAATCCCTACCAGTATATGCTGTGAATGCATCCCGCATTTCTGATGACAATTTCTGTGATGCGCTGGGAGGTGTAAGGCTAATGATTTGCCTGTACAAGCTTCGGCCAGACATGTACAGTCTAAAGAGGAAAACAAAGATCCATTGTGTGGATATCCCATGCTTCTCTTTTTCATTTTCAGCCACCATATTCTCAGAAGTCCTTCCCATGACAGAAATTAGAAACTTGTTGACACCGTCAGGGTGTTGTCCAGCCAGACTACTAATGCACGGAGAAATCATACTTACTAGCTCCTTCATAGAAGGTCCAAGTAGCCTACAGTTTCCGGTTGTGACAGTCAAAGCATCTAGCAATATCACATAAATTTCAGATAACACTCTTCCCAAGAGTTCAGCTTTGATGTGAAAACTTAGCATGTCATGATCTCTTACATCCAATCTTCCAATATCTTTTCCATCGGTTATTGAGCAACCGATTTTCATCCATTCCATTGATTCTAATACATCTGCTGTTAACTGCTGAATAAGTTCAATTGCTTGCCCTTCCGGTATGGATTTGATAGCATGATGGATAGCAAGTTTAAATTCTTGAGAGCATAAAAGAATTCCCAATGATGCTGCAGTTGCTCGGTCAGGTAAGGATGTTGTGTAGGAAAAATATCTGGTGCAGCTCATTTCACCTTCATGGTGGTGTGACATTAAAAGCCTCACTGCTTTGCACAGTGTAAAAATAGAATTATTCACCTACATCAGTTACAAAGTCTATGAATTGGAGTTGGAACCATTTTAATGAAAAGGAAAGAAAAAGCCACTTATTTAAAGGCAAGAATAGGAAAAAGATGGAAAAGGGAAAGGAATGAATAAGAAAATTAACAGAACACACCCAAATCCCCGTGAAAGACAATTAGCATTGCACAAAATGGTTTAAGAGTTATTAAACAAACAATATTCAAGACCTAACACATGGAAAATGTATATATTGAAAAATGCTATACTAACCTGGCGAAGCGCACTATAAAGATTAACCAGCTGGCACCCAAGATCTAGTATCTGGCAAGTCAATAAGCCTTGATCTTGTGAATCCAAAAAAGAGAGACCAATGGTCAAATAAGAAAGCATCATAAGCCATAAGCTAATTAAGTCATTCGCAATAACATCATATTCAATATCCAAGAAGTATCCTACAGCAAGAAATAACTCCTTGGCTAATACAGGAAACATCTCCCTCCATTTCTTGCTATCTGTATCTAATTCTGATGGGCCAACTAATTTGGCGGCAAATGAAACTACTGTATCATAAACTTTCTTCAAGAAATTAAGGCAAGCTCCTTCTGAGATATCTTCTGTTCTTACATATACCTTTTCATGTAAAAAACTGGCAAGTAAACTATTAATGGATTTGAGTGTGCAATGAACATCCCACAATGAGGACCTTGCTGCCGGGTTAGATTGAATATAGTCATCCATCTCGAGCAGGAGAGGCTCCAAAAGCTGTATAAAAAGACCAAATAATGACTTCCGTGCTTCTGCACTAAAATTACTAGAGCTATAATTATTATGTGGAAATGCACTACTACTCCGAGATGGATCCATGGACAAATGACCTGATGAGCCATCTTCCAAGTGCCTTGAACCTCCATTTTTTCCGATAGTCCCAGTACCTGAAGCTCCTTTTTGCTTTTTAACTCGATCAACAAACAAGTGAAATAACTGCCCCATGCCACTCAATACTATGTCCTTCCCCTTTATGATGCTTTCCAGTTTGTCAAATAAATGTCTATGATAACTTTTAATGACCACTTTTGAGTCTTTTGCTTTGCCATCAAGTGACCCAGCATACTTTTCCACCCTGTGCAAGCCCAAAAATCCATCGATGTGGGCTGGATGAAACAACCCGTGAGATAAAACTTCTTCAACCAACTTCAACACGTTCTTTGTCCAGCCAGAATCATTCTCATTAACCCGAAAATACAAGACATCTAGCAGAAGCAACAGGGGCTCAAGAAGTTTATCCACAAAATCACGAAACCCATTCTTCCGAGTTGGGTGGATCTTTAAAAACTTAGCAAATGGTTCAAGAACCACACATGAAAATTGCAGCGCAAATGCACCTATATTGCCACCATCAAGGTTCTCAGCATAAATTTTGTGAACAAGTTGGAGCACCACATCAATAATGGAAACCCATAACTCTATATTTTCATTTGACAAGCCACTTTGGAATGAGAACAACAAGGAAACAGAATCAAGTACTACACCATACAATTCAAACCCTTCCCCTACAAAAACTGATTCATTCAAAGACAAAGATGAGTCACTAACTAAAGACAAAACATTTCTTGCAATATAACCGATTGCTCTTAACAAATTCCGCGAGAAACTCAAAGAAACATGCAATTTCAAAGACTCCTTCATACAGAATTCAAAAACCCGCCAACATCGAAAATCCAAACAAGTCTCAACAATTCCATCGACTTTAACTTTCTTTTCAGGAGAAACCAATAATGACTGGACCCAATCATTGAGAAAAACAATTAATCGCGATAAATTCACCGTCTCATTATCTTCATCCACATCGTTCCTTCCTTCTTTCTCTCTTGAATCAACAAAATCAAAAGCCATCTCCACCTTTCTGCACCAATACACAATGCTTCGTTACTCAAAGAGAAAAACGAAACACATACTAATAAATAAACCGAATAAATTAAGCAAATAATTCATTTTTTATGTTAAAGGAAAGAGAACACTAACTTTTGAAGGTCGATTCGTTTGTTTTGCAAGGAAAGAATTAACTGTAAATTTCTCCATGGGCGTTCTTCGGTGGTATTCAGCTCCGGTTCTTCTCTCTGTGCGGAGCTTTCACCTTCTTCAACTTCTTTTGGTCCCTTCTTCGAGGAATCTGAATGGTGACGTTTTCTAAGATTCGGTTCCTCTTCGGAAGCTTTTAGCTTCCTCTTCTTTTTCTTTGATGATTGCGCGGATAAATCAACCATTTTTGAATCGTTGAGCGGAGATGAGCTTAGCATTATTTGCGTCTACTTCAATTAAATTTAGAAAAAGTATGGTTTTGCAGAATGGTTTTTTGGTAGGGCTTTGGCTTCGGTATAGATACGCTGCGTTTTGACTATTGACGGGTGCGGGCAAACGCATTGGTTTGCTTACTAATTTATTTATGGTTATACTTAGTGATGTCAAGGGATAAGATTTCGATTATTTAGTTGGGAGAGTATTTTTCATTTCATTTTTGAATTTTTTTAATATTTTTATTTTTGTATTTACATTTAATAAATATTTTAAATTTATTCTTGTTTTCATTTAAATTTATTGATTTATGTATTTGTATTGTATAAAATATTAAAATTTATGTATTTATTTAATATTTTATATGAAATTTATGTGTCAATATTTATATTGACATGAAAACATTAAATATTTTTTTATTTTGTTAAATTCATATATAATTATTATTAAAATTGTAAACATCGTTATCCTTATATTATTTATTCATATTATATTCGTGTTGCGTTAGAGTGTTGAGTTTTAAATTATCACTAATTTTAAACTCGTGTGATGCACATAAATATATTCATATATTAATAAATCTTATATAAATATAAATTTTTAAATATATATAAGCTATGAAATTTATAAACAACTTATAACTTATATAATTAATTTTATTTAAATTTATATATTTTAATATAATAAAATTAATTAATTACAATTTGAATATACTTAGGCAATTATCATCAGTTTTAAATAAAACTTAAATTATAATATTGAATCCAAATAATCTCTAAACAAAAGATAATAATGTTTTCGATTTCAATAAATTAAAAATTTTATTATTAAAATTAATATCGCATAAAAACTTTTTTAATGGGAGATTCTTCCTATAAATTGTTATTGAAGTATATATACAACAATTGATTCTCCAATATTTTTTATTATCTTGAAGTATCTGTCATTTTACTCGATAAGCCAATAGATTTCATAAATAAAAGTGAAGAAATAGATAAAACAATAATTTATAATTTATAACGATTAAGTTATAATATAGATTATATAATTTTATAACAAACATAATCATTATAATAAACTTATACATACCTCTTCCAATAATTTTTAACATTTAAATCTGTTATCAAAATCATACACCTTATTCAGTGTAAGTTTGGTACTGCTTGTCTCAATATTATACTTGGTTGCTCTTGTTTCGAACATACAAATTTTACTTATGAGATATTCAAATATTTATTCGATTTTATAATCTCTATTTTCCTAAATCATAAATATAAATATACCATTCAATTAATTTAAATGTTAAATAATATTAAAATAAATTTTAACTCAATACCTTAATAGATATTTCATAAAAATCATCAATATTCTTTAATTAAATCATTAATTTATGTATTTAACAGTATGAACGTCGACCTTTCAAAATTATCACATGCCTTAATATTCAACTCGTACATATAAAAAATGTAAAATTATACAATTATAATATAATTTAATAATTTAAAATACTTTTATTATTATCATGAAATAATAATTTTTTATGTATCAAATATAAAAAATTTAGATACTAATTACCTTGAAATTGGATCATGGACATTAATATTACAGAATTAACATTGAAATTTTTTATCAATTTCAAATGGTTTTTTGTTACACTCATGTGACATGGTACCAACAAAAAGTGATATCAAATTTTATGATAGTAATTTTACTAAAAAAAAAGCTTTCCCTATATATATATATAATTAAAAAAATATAAAATATAAATATAAAAATATAATAACTTTTGAGCAGTACATATCAAAAAATGATATAAAGTGAAAATTAAAGAGAAAATTGAAGTATAATCAAGTAATGATAAAAAATATATAAAATTAATGAAAAATAGTTAAAAATACATTATGCTTAATCGATAACTACTTATACAGAATGTGTGTTGCAAGTTAATTAATAATATAATTTTAAATTATGAAAGTTAATATTGAAATAATAAAAATGATGAGTGAATAATGATCTAACAATGACCAATTGATTAATATTGAAATATTTTATTTTACCATTAACATTTAGAGATCATTTAATTTAAAATAATAAAATAAAACAAATTTATTTTTTTAATAATGACAATAAAACAAATTAAATTTTAATTAAATCAACTTGCATTAATATATAGATTTTAAAATTATAAAATGTTATGAAGGAAATCAAATAAAATTCATGTGCATTAATATTTTATTAAATGAAATCAAACATGCATTAATATTTTATCGGATGAAATCATATTTAATGAAATATAAATCTATTAATGAAATAGAAATTAATAAAATATTTTATTCCATTTATTTAATTATGAATAATTAATTTGATATATTTGCTTTCTATATTTATACATGAAATGTATCAATTACTCAAATAGATATTATATTTAATTAAATACAAATTTATTAAATAATTGATTAGAGAATCAATTATTTTACTATTGTAATTATAGTATATATTAAATTATTAATTATATATCGATTCATTTAATTTGTCAAATTAAATTTTTTTAAAATTTTAATACTTTTTAATATGAATTGAATTGAGAGTGATTTAAGGTTACTAATATAAATATAAATATAAATATAAATAATTTATTTTTTGAATTATTTTTAAATTAAAAATATATTAAATAAAATAAAATGTATTTATTATATATCACGTGATGATTTTTAAGACTGTCTATATATCAATATTTTAAATCGTTTACATAAGATTTTTTTATTTTTACCAAAAATTTTGACTTTTATATATTTATATAAAACAAAATATTTACTCCATCATAATGGGTATTTAATAAAGAAAATGTTTAAAATATTCGAGTAATTCTTATATTTATATCTTATAAAAATAAAAAATAAATTTTTATTTTTATTTTTCTTAGTTATATAATTTTTTTTAAAAAAATTCACTGTCAGCTTTTACATATTTACATATTATTTTACATATCACTATTTTAATTTTACTTGTAAAATAAAAAAAAAAATTCATTATCAATACATTTGGTATACATTTTTTAAAAATAGATGTTTATATATTATATTTTTAAGTAAAAATATATTAATTTTAATTAATTTAAAATAATAATTTGGATTATTTAATAAAAAATTATTTTTAAATATATAAATAAATAAAATATGGATATGATTACGAGACAAATATTATATTATGCATAAAAATTTAAAATTATATTTTTTTCCTTTCTTTCGTAATATAATACTCATATTTATTTTTATTCAAAAATTATTTTTTTTATTAACTATAAGATTAACATCCCTATGTTTCATTATGAGCATCAACTTGAAGCTTTTAGCACAAGTTCACCAAGGATCCCCTCTCGTCTCCATCAACACCATTGTAATTTGTGACGCTCGAGTCCCCGACACTCGCAGTTCAATCATGTAACCGTCACCCCCGTCACAGTCCGCTTAGCAGCCTTCCACGTGGGTTCCACCCCATGGACTGCTCCGTACATTTCACGAGCCCAACCTACCTAAACCACAAAAAAAAAAAAAAAAAAGAAAAGAAATTGAACCGGCTGGATGCATCATGCTTTGTGCAGGTCCTTGTTTTGAGCGCTTCATACCCAGCTGCCGGTCACCTCTACTAATCCAGCAAACGAGGTTTACCGGTTGAGCCAGTCAGGCTCTTGGACCCCAGTTCGATAGATTACCCCATCACCCATCACTCTCGAAACGGAGCTTATTTCTTCCATTTTCTTGTAAGAGTGAAACTTTTTTCTCTAAGCCACTTTCATAGAAAGGTAAGTTTTCTTGCTTTTTTTTTTTCTCGTCCAATTTTATATGATTTTACGACGAAAATATTAACGTATCTGATTCATTCAAAACTGTCTTCTGATCTCGAACTGATTGTTTCTTTTGTTCTTTTACTTTTGGCTGGCGTTAATCGTAAATGTGTATTAAGATGTGAATTTTGAGAAAATTCTGAATTTGTTGGTGTATAATTTAACTTTATGTTTGGTTAATTCGCCTGTCTGATCCAGGAATTTTGTGGCATTTCTTGGTTATGATCTGTTCTTTCAAAGGTTAGTTAATGAGCTGCTTCCATTAGTTTTGAACAACGTGCAATTAAGTGATTAATGATTTGAATCCTGTTCTATTTGGAATTGTAGGTTTTAGAACATTTGAATCAGGATTAGATTACTACAATTTGTATTTAGAATATGGATGTGAATCACAATAAAAATATGAAAAATGAGGATATGCTCTCTCCCTTGGCCGAATATGAAGAGTGTGATTTTTCAAAGTTGTTAGAGAAGCCAAGGCTTCTGAGCATAGAGAGGCAGAGATCACTGGAGGAAAGGTCACTCAGTGAGTTATCTATTGGGATATCTCCGTGCCTTTCTAGTAGAGCTAATGATCTTAATTCATTACGCATATTTGAGCAACCAGATTTTATTTGTTCGCCGGTGGGTAGAAGGTCGGGTATTAACACACCAAGGTCACAAACTGGTTTTGACCCGCATCCAATGGTTGCCGAAGCTTGGGAAGCCTTGAGAAGGTCTTTGGTGTATTTTCGTGGTCAACCAGTCGGGACTATTGCAGCATTGGATAATTCTGAAGAAAACCTTAACTACGATCAGGTGACGACTCTATTTCCTGGTAACTCCATCTAAGTCTAAAGCAATAGCAGTTCAATGAGCATTTACCCCATGTGTTCTCTTTTTCACAAGGCATGATTACTGTATGGTGGTGAAATGTGAAAATTTTCAGTCTAAGAGCTGAATTTATTGTCTATTTGTTCATTTTTTTTGCAGTTCTGTGGCCTTTTTTGAGCAAAGAGTCTAATAACTGCTACCTAATTCAAAAGTAAAAGATACTATTAACATATTTTTCAGTACCAGACTTCATGTTTCTTTTCTTCTAAAAACTAGGGGGTAAAATGTGGTTATTTCTAACCTTTATTATGGACTGCTGGATGATTCAAGTTGTAGAAGTATTTTACTTTTTCCTGTTTGGATGGTTTGAATATATCATTTGCTGTTATTGATTTAATAATTGAATTTATCTGGTTCATGTTTTATTTTTCCCTCCATTTATTGTTATGCACAGATATATTACGTTTTCTTTTTTAGATGTATGTGATGATTTTATCCATTTGATTCTTGTGTCTTTATTAAGCCTTTTATTTTTTGAAGCTCATATGATACTGATTGTGAGTTTGCAATGAATGATCTGGTTTTAACAAGTTTTTAATGTAATTGCTTATTTTTTTTCTGCAAAGGTCTTTGTGAGAGACTTTTTCCCTAGCGGATTGGCTTTCTTGATGAATGGGGAACCAGAAATAGTGAAGAACTTTATTTTGAAGACCCTTCGCCTTCAATCATGGGAGAAAAAGATTGATAGATTTCAGTTAGGAGAAGGAGTAATGCCAGCTAGTTTCAAAGTGCTCCATGACCCAGTTAGGAACAATGAGACATTAATTGCAGATTTTGGTGAGAGTGCAATAGGAAGAGTTGCTCCTGTTGATTCTGGATTTTGGTGGATTATTTTGCTTCGAGCGTACACAAAGTCTACCGGAGACACTTCATTGGCTGAGTTGCCTGAATGCCAGAAGGGTATGCGCCTAATTCTGAGTTTATGTCTCTCGGAGGGATTTGACACATTTCCAACACTTCTCTGTGCTGATGGTTGCTGCATGATTGATCGTAGAATGGTGAGTTCTTCACAATATATATTCTTACATATGGTACTATCATCAAACAGGGTTTTGTTCTATCTGAAACTTGCACTGCTTTGCGTATGGATTCCTGTTGATTTTATCATATGTAATAAGCTCTGTCTAACTTATCATGTAGAACTTTGTCTTAAATTTGATTTGCAGTGATGAGTTTGTCTTATCTTTAGTCTAGCAATGAAGATGAATCAAGCGTATGAGATATGAGTGACTTTTTTCTGAGATAATTATACTTTGCGCTTTTTATTTTTTGGGATAGTTTACCCGACTGTTGTTTACTTTATGGGTCACAAGCAACTTTATAATTGAAATGGTTATGACTAATTGATCCAGAATGAAAGTGGTGGATCATCCTTTGTCTCATATATTCTAGCGGTTGAGACTGATAACATGCTTGAATTTTTGGGTCTTTGGATGAATGGTAATGCATTTATGGTAAGAACGTGCAGATATTTTATCCAAAAAATACATTTCCTTATCAATTTATCTTGAGTAAATTAGTTTGAGAACTGATGTGTTCATATTTTACCTTTCAATATTGCTTGGCTGAACTTTATGCTTGTCATCATGTCTACAGGGTGTATATGGCTATCCCATCGAAATCCAAGCTCTTTTCTTTATGGCTTTAAGATGCGCTTTGCTTCTACTCAAGCAAGATGATGAAGGAAAGGAGTTTATGGAACGAATAGTTAAACGACTGCATGCCTTAAGCTATCACATGAGAAGTTATTTTTGGCTTGACTTGAAGCAGCTCAATGACATATATCGTTTTAAGACAGAAGAGTACTCCCATACAGCAGTTAACAAGTTTAATGTCATGCCTGACTCTCTTCCAGAATGGGTTTTTGATTTTATGCCAGTTCGTGGTGGCTACTTTATCGGTAATGTTAGCCCTGCAAGAATGGATTTCCGTTGGTTCTGCTTGGGCAATTGCATTGCAATTCTGTCATCATTGGCTACTCCCGAACAAGCCACTGCAATTATGGATCTTATAGAGTCACGCTGGGAAGAGTTGGTTGGAGAAATGCCATTAAAGGTTTGTTATCCAGCCATGGAAACTCATGAATGGCGGATTATAACAGGATGTGACCCCAAAAACACGCGATGGAGTTACCACAATGGAGGATCATGGCCAGGTACGTATTAGAGTTAAAAGACCCTCCTAATAACACCTAAGTTGTAGGTCAGAGTGCTGCGGGTTGTTTGTGAAACTGCAAAATTAGGAAGTTGAAATGATTTCTTGTATGCAAAATTTTCAAGAACGATATTAGACCAGCTGCCACTGTGTGCAGTTTCTTCAGCTTTTCAATTGAAAATTTCCTTTTCTTCTGGGAAGTTGATAATTGTAGTTTATAATCATTGGGATATCTTGTTAACATTCTTGGAACTTCATGAAATAGACATAGTGAGATAATTTTTTCATGCTTTATTATCTATCAGTTAATAGGATTTTTCACGCTGAGATATTTCCTTTGAAATTCATTTTGGTCGCTGCATTGTGTCCAGTGCTTTTATGGCTGCTGGCAGCTGCATGCGTGAAGACTGGACGCCCCCAAATTGCAAGACGCGCCATTGAAATAGCTGAAACCAGGTTGCTGAAGGACCACTGGCCTGAATATTACGATGGAAAGCTGGGTCGATACATTGGTAAGCAATCGCGTAAATCCCAAACCTGGTCTATTGCTGGTTATTTGGTGGCAAAAATGATGTTGGAAGACCCATCTCACTTGGGTATGGTAGCAATCGAGGAAGACAAACAAATGAAGCCCCTCTTGAGGAGATCAAATTCATGGACTCTATGATTTTTCTTTTACAGTCCAATCCCCCCTTTCCATTCTAATTTCTAGCTTTTGACCAATTGGCCTGTTCAATTGGAAGGAAAAGCTGGAAACATAATGAAATTAAAACACCTCAATGCCTTTCACCTTTTGGCCTAGCGGCTAAGATGTTTTGAAGAAGGCACGTGATGTGGGCTCTAATTCGACCTTTTTTTTTGTAAGGATTTTGCCTTTTTATGAATAAAAAAAAGGTTAAACACCTCAATAAAAATTTTTTTTGATCATTGTAGAAAGTATTATGTTTCTGTTAATTTGTTAAATTACTTCCATGTTTGTTCTTTCAGATGGTGGAAGTTGGATCTGTTTGGTTAGGCTGTTTCTTGAGTACATAGAGACAAAAGAGTGGTCGTGTCGTGCTGGGGACTGGGTTGGCAAGCCGCACTTTCGTCTTGACTCTTTGATATTGATATGAAAATCCGAACTCTTTCAAAGATACGGAGATTTGACTTCTGTGTATTCCAAACCTCCTGAAGTCAATTTCCTTAATATTGGTCCACTTTCGCTTTAATTAATTATATCTTTAAAAAAAATGCATGCGTTTTTGAGTTTTTCCTTATCATTAAACAAAGCAATGAAATGTGGCATTTTTTTAGCATTAATTAGGTTAATATTTTATAGAGATATATGCTATAATAGTTAAGGAAATAAAGATTTCACATTTTAGACTATATTAATTGGATTAAAATTAGTTTAAAATTGTTTTTTCTTTAAAAATATTATATTAAAATTCGATATTATTTTCCATTCCTTTGTAAAAAAATTTAAGTGAAAGAATAATTATAAAAAAAATTGTTGGTAGCGAAATCAAATTTAAATTTATAATTAAAAATTAAATTTAAAATTTATAAAACATTTTATTTAAGAGTGATAATAGTTTGAATTGTATTCAGTCCGTTTTTTTTAATATTACAAAATATTATGAAAAATTAAAATTCAATATGAACCTGAACCAAACATTTATTTGATCTAAATTAAATTAAATTGAATTTTATCTATTCGGTTCGATTCAGTTTATAGATTTTTAATTTTTATATATTATTTTAATATACAATTTTAATATATTTAAGTAAATTTTTATGTAAAATTATTATTTTTATTTTTAAAAATTTAAAATATATAAAAAATTAAAAAAATATAATTCAGTTTATTTTTTTTTATTTTTATCTTTCAATCCGAAATTCGATTTAAATTTAATATACACATATAATATTAAACTTAATTCAATTGAATAAAAATAATTAATTCGAATCAAACTGAATATTATAATTTTGAATCAATTTTTTAATTTTTAAATTTTTTTCACAACAAATTTTATTTTTATCAATTCAATCAATTTTGGTCTAAAATTTAAAATAATTCTTATCATGATTTGGCTGAAAAAAAAAAAAATTGGAGTGATGAAGTTAGGCAACTAGAAGGTAAGTAGTTTAGTATTGGTCACCGAACGTACTAGAATTCAGATCCGGATTTGTCGCCGGGTACCCTATAAACCAACCCGAATCACATGTCTTTTTTCTATTTAAACCAAAAAATATAAAATCAAACTCCAAAAGACTTCCATTAACAATCAAGAATCCCACTTCTGCCAAATCCCACAAAATTTCCCACACTTTCTCTCTCTTTTCGAAAAAAGAAAAGAAGAAAACATGAGGCTACATAAAAGGCCGATCCACGCGGTGTCGATGTGGGTGAGACGACAGCCGCCGAAGGTGAAGGCTTTTTTGGCTGTGGTATCGGGGATGGCGGCGCTTGTTTTTCTCCGATTCATCGTACACGACCATGACAACCTCTTCGTCGCGGCCGAGTCTGTCCACTCCATCGGAATCTCTGTCCTCATTTATAAGCTCACAAAGGAGAAGACTTGTGCTGGTAATTGTAGAAAAGTTTTAGTTTTTCCCAATTGATAAGAAATTCCAGATTTTGTTATTGCAATTTTTTTGATTAATTTGCAACTTAAATTTAATACATGATGCATGGTTTTTTTTTCCCCTAATTTATGTCGATTGGTAGTAGGTTTTTGCTTAATGCTTTTTCTGGTTGAATTTCTGGCTTGAATTTTCTTTTGTTTCAATTTAAGGTATCGGTTTCCTTGTTTGGGGAGACTTGAATTCAATTCCAGATATATAAATTTTTTCCCCTAATTTAATGCCGATTGGTAGTAGGTTTTTGCTTAATAGCTTTTTCTGGTTGAATTTCTGGCTTGAATTTTCTTTTGTTTCAATTTAAGGTATCGGTTTCCTTGTTTGGGGGACTTGAATTCAATTCCAGATATATAAAATTTACTGCCTTTTCTTTTTCTTCTTACCTATCATAAAGAGAAAGAATTGTGCTGCTATGGGCGAAGTTTAAATTTCATTAGGACATTATGCACTTGTGGCAGGTTTTGGGTTGAGTTGTTTGATTGAATTTTATTTTATTTTCTTGAGGCTTTTAAAATTGAATTCTGATGCCTAGAATATTTAGTTTTATTTTTGTTGGGTATTAATGATCTTACTACGGTATCATTATCATATCAATTTATAATGAAGGATTTCTTCTTAATGCAACGGGAAGAACTTTTTTGTTTGTCTCACCAGTTTGATGAATTTTATGAGTTTGGTCTGTTTTTATTTTTATACTTTGCTAATTCGTTTGCACAAGCCCTTTTTTGTTTGTCTCACTAGTTTGATGAATTTTATGAGTTTGCCGTGTTTTTATTTGTAGACTATGCTAATTCTCTTGCACTTAGTGAAATATGCTATTTATACGGTTTTTCCCTAACTATATATTTGAGAAGAATATTTGATTGATGAATAAAGGTTGTTTTTGGTACAAAATGAGTCTCTCTCTCTCTCTCTCACACACACACACATTTGTGACTTTCCTGCTATTGTTAATACTTGTTTGCCGTTAAAATGCAGTATGTCTTTTAATCTTTAGTCATTTGTTTACACTACATAAATAATTTTATTAATTAACCCAAGATTCTTGGCTAAGTATGTTTTATGTTTTATGTTTTAACTGAAGTGTAGATATTCTTTATTGCTGAAAATATTGGTTTTATTCACGTTACTTAATTCCCTAATTATCCGAAAAAAAAAGAAGAAAATATTGTTTTTACTCTTTCAATTGACTTGTTTTGAAAATATTTTTGATTGGTCGCAGGACTATCACTTAAATCCCAAGAACTAACAGCTATATTTTTAGCTGTTAGGTTGTACTGTAGCTTTGTCATGGAATATGATATACACACCCTACTTGATTTAGCCACATTGGCTACAACCTTGTGGGTTATTTATATGATCCGTTTCAAACTAAAGTCCAGCTACATGGAAGACAAGGACAACTTCGCTATATATTATGTTGTGAGTTTCCATTGGTCATATTAACCTTTTCTTTACTTGCAATTATATTCATATTATTTTTCTTTACTTGCAATTGTATGTATGAAGCCCTGTATTACATATTGTTGGGTTTAGAAGTGAATCCTACTAGCTTTGTCTCCTGTAGTGCAAGTTTTCTAAGTCTAGAGAAGTCATGTTCTGTAGTAAAGCTTATTCTCTCTGTCGTTTGAGGTGTATTTATACCCTTGAAATAATGTCCATTCTTACAGAGGCAAATTGCTAATTAGTATCTCCATTTTGTGGTGGTATTTTTCCTGGGTTTCATTGTTAAATTGTTATTTCTTACAGTGGCTTTGGCATCTGCAAATTAAAAAATATAAATCCCCTTTCTTTTCAATCTATTTCTTAGATAAGACATCTACTTATTTTTTGAGATTTTTTGTTCTCTTTTTTTTATTTCTTCATGTGTTGCTCTTTGAATCATTGCTAGTCTTCTAACTGTCTTATGAGCTTCCATTTGTTTTCCAACTGTTCTTAGTGCTGTTTTTTTCAAATACCTTTGTGAAAGTCAACTTGTACTTCATTGTTCTCGTTTAGCTTAAAATACTGCCATGCAACTAATTGAACAATAATAATTAAAGGTGTTACTTGTTTGTGTTGTTATGCACAGACTCATATTAACTGCTCAATTATCTTCTTTGTTGCTCAAGTAGATTCTCTTTCTGAACACTTTCTTGATGTCATATCATTGCTTTTGAATTTGGATTCAGGTTGTCCCTTGTGCAATACTAGCTCTGTGTATTCACCCATCAACTTCTCATAATCTATTGAACCGGATTTTCTGGGCATTCTGTGTATATCTGGAAGCTGTGTCAGTTTTACCTCAGTTGCAAGTGATGCAAAATACTAAGGTACAAATTACTTAAATAATAGATATGCATTTAGAAGGTTTATATAATTTCCTTCTGTAATCCATCTTCTTTTTGTGCTTTCAGATAGTTGAGCCTTTCACAGCTCATTATGTATTTGCCTTGGGTGTTGCAAGGTTCCTCAGTTGTGCTCACTGGGTTCTCCAGGTTTGATCTTTTGATGTGAAGTTGAATGTGATTGGTTTTGGTTAATTGTTTATTAATGCTTAGCAAATTTGAAATTGAGATCCAGTTTGAGCATTAAATGGATACTAGTCTGTTTATTGTAGAATTTCTCAACTTTGGAAATAATATACACTTTGAGCCTGCATGATGAATGGTCCTGAAGGTTGAATTGAGTGCCTATTGCCTAAGATGCATCTGCTTTTTTGTTTCTCTATGCAATTGATGTCATTTTAAAATATTAGCCATATTCTGTGTACATAAGTATTTTTGTGTGGAGGGGAAACCTTTGTATGATACTGTTGGAGAAGTGTTATTGTGCATTATTATGAGGCTGATTGCATTAACTACTTCTTTCAACAGGTTTTAGACAGTCGAGGACACTTGCTGGTAGCCTTGGGTTATGGATTGTGGCCTTCTATGGTTCTTCTATCAGAAATTGTCCAAACTTTCATTTTAGCAGACTTCTGTTACTATTATATCAAGAGGTTGGTCACAACCTTTATAATGTGTGGTATTCAAGTCAAGCTAAACATCATTAATGTTTACTCATATAATCATTCATGCTTTGCAGTGTCTTTGGGGGCCAGCTTGTTCTCCGTCTTCCCTCTGGAGTGGTATAAGTGAAAATGCTGTTATGCTGTGGTCGAAGAGCTTGCTGCTGAAAAGAAGTATAACTTGGGTACAAACATGACTAGGTGTCCTTGTTTAAGTTCTGGTTTTTGCTTTCTGACAAGTTTCTTCTGACTGGAAATCAGTGGATTGTTTGTAAATTTCGGGATGCAGACACTTTGGGTGGATATTTATATTGAAAACATTTCATAGATGGATTCATTTTTGGTGTCAAATGTTAATCCGCTGCTTCTAGGAAGTTGAATCATTATAGACTATTCCTACATGTGATGATGTGCTTTTGCTCTTATATCGGCTTACAATTTTTGAATTGAAGTAATCATTGGAATGGTCTGGAAGTGACGAAAATTTCAAGCTTGCATTCTTTAAAATTTCATAATCATAGTGTTATTATATATGGACAAAAGCTGGGTGCTGCCATGTTGGGTTGTCGGAGGAGTGTGCATTTGCTTAAGGCTAATTAGATAATTATGAACCTGTATATTCTGGTAGACATTGAGAACTTGCTATCCCTTCTGTTAATAAGATTGCTGGTAAAAAGCTAAATTGGCTTGAAGAAAAAAATATGGTTGTAGATTGAGAGTTTTAAGTCAAGAGGAAGTATGAACTTTTCATATAGATTTTTTCTGGAACAGTAAATGATTAAGGTTTCCCTTTGCTTATGGGACATTATTTTCACTATGATAAATGTAGAAGATCCAGCTGCACTGAAAGATAAGACGAGACATATTTTATGCTTATACTGTCAGGTTCCTTGCAAGAATTCCCTCGAAGGTGACCCCTGGTCCAAATGCTAAAATTAAGCCCCATTCGTTGTCTTCTCGGCTCTCTGTCTTCCTCTTCAAACTTTCTTCTATCATATACTACAGCACATACACAATTGTGTTACTGCTAGCATTTCAATAATCCAGCAGAGCTCGTCTACTGGCATTTAGTTTCTCCGGGAACAAGTCTAGTCGTTTTTCTATTCGGTTCATGATTGCAGGCCCACCAGGATGAACCGCCCAAAACAATTTTTTATAGTCCTTGTCAGTCAATCCAACAATTCCCATCAACTTTTCACAGAAACCTTCAACATGATCTTGAATTATCTGAGGAAGCTCTCTTCCTAGCTCGAAACTAATCCCCTCTTCTGTAAGCTTCCCATCAATTGTCTTTTCAGTATTGGGCAAGAAATTTTGGATTGCCGAGTGAAGTTCGAAGAGAAGCTCGAAGAGAGGCCTCTCAATGCCCAAAACTGGATCAGAGCCTATTATCATAGCTCCAGCACCATCTCCAAAAAGTGCCGCACCAACGAGGTCATATGGTCTATTTGCACTTGGAGGTTTGAACCCAATAATGGTAGTTTCAGAAGTAGCCAGTAAGACCCGGCTCCCTGGATTGTTCTCATCAATGTCTTTTGCAACACGAAGGCCAGCCACACCTCCAGAGCAGCCCATGAAATAGAGCATGACCCGTTGCGTGTCAGGGCTGAGACCAAGTCCTTTTGCCAGGTAAAGATCACCGCCGGGCAGCCGAGCTTCACTTGAGGAGACACAGACTAAGTGGGTTATGTTTGATATGGGCCTTCCCCATTGTTTGACACAAACTCGTGAGGCTTCAATGGCCATCCCTGTGACAGCATCGTTACTGATATCTAATCGTTGCTTCACGGTAGGGAGGCCTTCAACGGTAAGCTCTGGGTACTTCTTCAGGATATCTTCTGACATGACCACATACCTGGTTTTGACGGTAGTTGTCTTACCTGTAAAGCACCAAAATGCGGGAAAAGATTGAATAGCGGTTTTCTACAAGGGCAGCGAATGTGGACAATCATAATCTGACAGCATAAGGGAGGAGGGGGGAGGGGAAACTAGTAAGCCAAATGCATCAAAAGGTAATCACAAATTTAAGAGAAGGAAGTTCATAGTGTTACAGAGTCGGCTTAGCTTCTTCCTGAGATCTGGGTCATCGCAGTTGGTGTTCTTAAAATACCATAAACCAGAAACTCCTGCATGACAAGCTGGTGAGGAAAGGCCTTGCCGAGAGCCAGAAGTGTAGCTTTGCCAGGGTTCGCCATCTTTGGGAAACCTTTTTGTGCTTCTTCTCCACTTCCCATATTTTCTTTCCCTTTCCGACGTTAGTGAATTTGCTGGCAGGGAGGTTGTATAGGAACTCCTCTTTTATCTCACAAAGGAGCATTGATGGAATGCTCCTATATATACAGTGGAGCTGCCATGCCTAAATCATTATAATAAGCTTGAAGGGAGTTATGGAATATCAATGCCAATTAAGGAAAATGTGAAAGCTTCAATTATTATTATATAATATGGAGTAAGGTATTCGTTGAGAAGCAATACCTTCATGCAGGTATTGTTAACAAGCGTTGGTAGGGGTTTGTATGAGGTTTGGATCTGCATTTTACTGTATTGATAGCATTGTTAGAGGGATATAATGTAAATATGAACCTCAAAATCCTTAATTTATTTGACTGAGCTTTAATGATCAAGAAAAACAAATGCGTGACCTGAATCACTTGCCAACATATGCCACTGTCTACTGAAACGCAGTTATTCTGTAAGTCGATCGATGGATGGTTAACTGTAAGAAATTTGGCAGGATTGAAGACCGTGAATGCCAACTGCAAGGCTATTAATGAATTATTATAATGTCTTCCGGCTGTTGCACTAGACGGCAGGGCAAATGAATAACTAGGCCAATAAAAACCAACTACTGGACTGAGAACCATGTCGATGAAAAGGTATTCCTCTGTCTTGCCAGTTCCTGATTGGCCATCTACCATAGAACTAATAGCTGACGTCAGTTTGAACATGTCATACTTCTATTTTTTTTTTTTTTAATATATGATTCATATTTGGTTAAAAACAAAAACACAAGCTACGCATACACTAGCTGAGACACATCAATTCAGACGACCACCAATTGAGATACCCCATAACACATCAATTCAGACGACCACCATTTAACACCACGGGTCAATTTCTTCCACACAAGATACCCCATAACACATTCCTTGACAAAAACACATCCTGTTTAAGCTATAGCCAAACCAAAGAAGTTACGTTTCTTTTCGAAGACGCGAGAAAAGCAGCTATCAAACTAAGTTTCCCTAGGCTATAATTGACTCCAGAAGAGGAACCACATAACAACTATGAAAGGCTTAGATTCATACATTGCTTGAAGTAGGTAAACTTGTAGGAAATGCAAAAGGCAGTGAACAATGAACTTAACTACATTTCACAAGACTGTTTTATTCAAAGTTCAAACACGTGCTTGCTCAAACTATGAATTTTTGCTGTTTTTATCTTAAAAAATACCTAACTCTGGTGTTGGCATCACACGGAACTAAGAATTACAAGTTTTATTATCACATATATTTCCAAACAAAAGAAGTGAGAATAAGACAAGTCAAAGTTCAGACAGGCACTTTCCACTGATAAAATCGACAACTTGAGTGACTGCTTGATCAAGTGCAGCAGTCACTGCAGCCAAATTCTGCAGGAATTCTTCTGCAGTTGGTTTCTCACCATCTACTAAATCTGTCACTGCTTTAACAAATATTGCAGGTACTTTCAAAAGATCAGCCACATAGGCTACAGCTGCTCCCTGAAACAAAGGAATAGAAAAATTAAGGCCTAATGCATTGTAAACTTTTAAAGTACAAAAACCATCAGTTTCAAGCAGCAATGCATGGTTTGCAAGTATCCATTTTCCATTTCTTCATTAAGAGATTGGGTGTTTTGGTGATTACCTCCATGTCTTTAACTGTAGCATCATTTGCTGTGATTGATGCTTCATCCTGAGGGGACATATCCAAAGAGTCGCCTGTGGACAGTCTGCCGGTCTGAAACATAGAGAAAGGTATAATGGAAATTGCCCTTGTTTGTGTGTCTTAACAAAAAAGAAGAAAAAGAAAAACAAGAAGGATGACAGAGAAGGGGGGGGGGGGGGGGGAAGCAGCAGGAATAGTCATCGTCTATGAAGTCAAGAAGACAAACCAAATTGAGAGATCAAGTGCTACTTAAATAATAGAATCCTCTATCATGAACTACATGAATATTGATAACAACCAGCATTAACATGATTAAATGATTAACTCCATTAAAGAGTTTAATTGAATTACTATCCTCCATATGCATAAAGTGGATGCCTACTTGTACAAAGTAAATGCAGTTGCAAACATATTACATATCCTCAACCAGGAGAAATTATCTAGGAAAGACAAACTACAACCTTAACAAATTGACAAGCAATTCCAAAGGAAGACACTTAAACAAGGAAATGAAAGAAGGATGTTAGAAGTTCAATATAAGAAAAAAGTACAGAAGTTCAACATGGTCAAAATCTCCCCCCCCCCTCTGCCAAACAAAGAGGAAAATAAACAAAATAATTACCTTTAGATTAAGCTCTTTCAAGAGATTGGGCATAGAGAAGGCCTGACGCAAACCAACTCCATACAGATCAAAAAACTATAGAAAACAAGAGATGAAAACAAAATCTGGTTACCAAAATATACTTAATTTAGTACACACAGTAAGGAAAAAATTTTCTTCGCAAAACACAAGTTAGGTTCTGTGTTCTTGATGAAAATTAACAGTTTTTACAGAATAGAAGTTGTCTTATCAGAGTATTGCCACCCATAACAATTAAAGCAATCCAAAAAGAAACAGAAAGAAGAAAGAAAGGAAAATGATGAACATTTTTAGATGCTTGTAGTGCTTGCATGCCAGTTACTTTACATATTATGTAAAATTAAAGTGAAACTGAATTTAGTTTTACATTGCAAATACAAGGTATTAAAATAACCAATTAAAAGGGACTGAAAATGAATACATGAGTGATTGGCTTCCTTGTGAATCAACTAGCCTTCAAATTCATTATTTAAGAAATGAAAAAGATGCAATGATAGTTAAACAGCATAGCAGCATGAGTTTCTGATTCCAGGTACCATTTACTAAGAATGAGATGTAAATGAATTGAAGACTAAGGACCGGTACCACTTACCGGGATTGGTATTCGTCTATCATGGAATGCAAGATGAGATACGAGAAAAACATCACCAATCCCTGCTCCCTTTGCCTGGAAGAATCCAAGAATCAATATACAAAATAATACACATATACAAAATTACAAGTCCCCAGCACATTTCCTCCGGCACTGTAACTTAATTCACAACATCTAAGCTAAAGCCTTTTTAAAAGGTAAACCAGTCTCTACATGCTAGTAAGCATTCAAATCAGTAGTCTGAAAGGGGATTAACAGAGTTTTATGGCAGATCATTATTGTGAATATCCAATTGAAAAATAAAAATTTAGCACAGACGGGCAACAATCAGTATAAGCAATACATATATAATAGAAAGACGGCTAACAATCAATTTTATTATTATTCTTTTTTTTTTAATTAAAAAAGGAGCAAAATTTAGGGCTTGCAGTTACCTTAAAGCCACCAGCAGTTCCTGCATTTATGATCAGGTCTGGTTCCAATGCCTGGATAGAACCATAGGTCACAAGAGAGGCAGAAATCGTGCCAACACTATCAACCCCTGCAAAAAATAATCAGAGAACTTAACAAATAGGAATATCGTAAATAGGAAACTTTCCATTCCTTGACATATCCATTACCCACAAGTCAGATGTAATGTGCCTTGTGCATCTGACCCAAATACTTACCAATACGTATAAGTATTTTCGTGTAACTTATACTGGAAACATTTGGTTACAAATACTATCTGAACAAAAGTTTTATTTTACCTGAGATATTGAAAAGAATTTACATTACAAGCAACCTTTCACTATATTATTTCTTTTTTCCGCATTTTCAGTAAAGGTCTTAATCAGAGCCCCTAAGTTCCTACAGAAACCGTAGAGTATAGGTTGCAGCTAATTGAAAATTGCTAGATGACCTCATAGGGAAGATTAACAAGAGAAATTAAAAAAAAAAGAAGTTGCAAGAACAAAGTCCTTACCAAAAGTTAAATCTTTTCCCGGCCAAACTAGATTTATTTTAATGTCTTTGTATGTACCATGATAATGGACCCAAGGAACCCCTTTTGGAAACCTGCACCATTGTGGATGAGCATATGAAAAGAAAAACCGAATCATTATTCAATAATAACCAAACTAGATAGTAAACAATCATCATATAATGAAGTCCTCTCTAGTTAACAGTGATGTTTTGCTCTTTCTGATTTGCAAAAACTAGTTACATCCCAAATACCCATCTGAATCGTGAAACGAAACATTCAAATATGTACCTAGCATGCACAAAAGAAATAATTTTTTCGAGTATTTTAAAGCTGAAAAACTCAAATATATAGCAAGCAAGCATTTTTCTTAATAAAAATCCTGCAACCACTCTGTCTACTGAAAGATTGATCATAATAAGATTAACCCAATATCAAACTTACTGATCTTGAGGGCTTAAACCCTCCAGAGAAACGTACTTGAACCAAAATCACTAAAAATAACATAAGGGAAAAAAAGGAACTCACGAAGAATGGGGATTCTCAGTCAGCTGGAACTTATTAACCACTGGCAAAGCTTCTGTTTGCATAGCTGCATGGACAAACTCACCGAATAAATAATCCCATAAAAAGGCATACAAATATGGAGGAAGAAAGAGAGAAAGTGGGTTTTTACCGATGATGATAAGAATAGATGAAATGGGGTGCTTTTCAACTTGAGCAACCATGGCTTCTACTGCAGTATCTGATTCCTTTCCATGAGAAGCCATAGCTGGTCCCTTGATCTCTCTTGCTCTGCCTGAAGATTTTCTTCCCTGGAAAATCTAATATACCCAAGAGAAAACGAGAAAGGAAACGATTGGCCACTGCTTACATTTTCTTTTGCTGTATTATATAGTCAAAAACACTTTTTTTTAGACAAAAAAACATGGAATTTTGTGGATGCTGCCATTGAAAATTTGTCAGCCGTCGATCGAGTGGGGTCCACAAGACTTTCTTGATCAATGCTGTAATTGGCATGTTACAATGTACAAAGATGGAAAATGGTAAAAGAAAAAGTTATAAAGGTGTAAAATAATCATACTTTTTCATTTTTCTTTTTTGATTCCAAACAATGAAATGGTGGAATGTCATCTCTTACAACAATTCATGCAGTCTCTCTCTTATAATTGCACGTTGCATGTTATGTGTTCAAATACAATGAACATGTGAAAGAATAATTTATGTAATTCTAAAAGCTTAACAATTTTACAAACCGGAAGAAACAACATTCTCTCTTTTTCTTTTTCATGAAATTTGGTATGATGATGGGCCAAAAGTGCACTAAAATCTTTGAAAAATAATGGAAAGATGTGATAATGAATGTTGGTAACTTTCTAACTTTGGTGTTAATGGCCAAGAGAAAAACTTACTTTCAAGTAAAAACATTATCTTCCACGCGTAAAGGGCAGGCACATGGTCCCTGCAGACAATCAATCTTTTTTGTTTCTTTGCTTAAATCAAGCAACCTAAGTCCTCCAAAATTTCGCATGTGGCCCGTATTTCTGGTAAATTTGTGCATGTTTTAGCTACGTCCTTTTGTTTCTTTGTCGAATCAATCAATGTTAAGAGGCAGTCCAATTCGTTGAAACTTGGCTAGGAGAGAAGTCATTGTCGTTCATATATTATGTAGGGGGATTTATGTATAAACTTGAACATTGTTCTTTTAATCTTGTGAGATGTGCTCTGTAGCCAGTCAGAGTCTTGAAAGTTTGCTGGTATGCATAACTATTTGTGGTCTCCAATGAGATTGTCTGGAATGTTTAGAATAAGAGCAAAGGCGGAACCGATTTAACATTTAATCCTCTGGAATAGCTTGTAAGATTTATGAACAAATAGTACAATCAGTTTTATGCATGGACATACCAGAAACAAGTCACATCTTACACTGAATTATGGCATTGTCCCTGAGTTGAAATCCCAAGTGGTTATCTGACATTAAGACTTTGCATGAATTTATGGCAAACATTTACAAATTCAACCTTTTTATTGTGCAAATTAACACACTCATTAAGTGTACAATATCACAAAATCAAGTAACAAAGAGTAAGTAAAACATCATTTTCTTGCCATCACAATCTTCCAATTTCTGCTTTGTGCCTGGTGCTTTATTATGCTCGTCTGTTTCTTTTCTTGTCCTGCCTCCACCGCTTCTGCTGCTCTCGTTTTTTCTGCTGTCAAAAGAATTTTTCAGTATCGCTTCCTTCACTAATTTGCAGCTAGAACAGGTAGCAGCTCTCTTGCCATATATATATATATTTATATTTCTCTTTGACTGTTTTTTATGTTTTTCTTTAGCTACCTCTGAGATTTTCTTCTCTCTTACCTTCTATTTGCCGCTGTCAGGTCTTTATTTACAGCCAAATATGCAAGTGTATGAATTATTAAAGCCAGGTAACCAATGTCTTGAAAGTCAGACAGATCAAAAGAAGGAAAAAGGGGTGAGCAGGTTTCAAGCTGGAGCTGCCATTTGGTAGCATGAGGAACGTGTCTGGAGGAGGCATTTGACAGTTCTCCCCATTGAAATATAATCTTCGAGGTAGCGCCCATCCGTTTCCAAGTGTGAAGGAACCTAAATCCTTCTCCAGTAAAATCTGTGTATAGACTGCACCCACTTGATCCTTATCGGCATTCACTGGCTCGTTATTATAGTACTCTATTCCCCAAAACAGAGCAACCCCATCTGCAAGAGTTCCCTTCAGAATGAGTTGCAAAAAGTTGGAAACAATAGTGAAAACTTAGGCTAAATATTTTGTTATCAAAATAGGTACCTGAAAATCCAAAAGAGGGAAGCATTGTACTGTTAAAGCTATATGCTGTTGACTTCTGGCTGAAACCAGGATGCTGAACCAGCACATTTCAGTTTGAGTAGTTTCTTTTATAATTGTAGTTTGAGATGGTTAGCTTTACTTTCCAACGTGTAAAGTAATTTTTCATAACATGCCAGTGAACTCGAACTGGACACATATGATCAGTGCATTGCACTATGTCATAATCATCCAAAGAACCTGACTGTGGTGCAGGGTAACCTTCTCTGCCATTACATGAAGAAAGAAAGATGAGTGGCATGGAGGCTTGGAAACTATAGTTGGAAAACAGACTGAAGCTACATAGGTTTTGGACTAGAAATGAAGGCAATTCTAAGAACCAACCTTATGCGATAAACTGTATTTTTGTCTTCCTCTCTGCATCCACAGCTGCAACTAGGGCATGATGTGATCTTGGGATTGTAAAATGTTGAGAGTGAAACACAACATAAAGGTGTTTGCTTCGCAACAAAGATGGAGTAAGTGCATGTTGATTTCCATGTTCCTGGTGAACAAAAAAGGAATTGATTTGTTGGCGCAGCACTATTTTAAATTTTCACTTTAGGATGCATTCTAAAAACAAGATGAAATCTATCTCTGCAACACTTCCTGACTTCATAAGAAAATGCTGGAGAATAATGTACCATAGTCTACACATTTGCTGAGTTTCAGACATCTGATTAATTTGTGAAATATGAATCGGTTCAACTTTTCATGTAGACAGATCCTGGTTGTGGATCATCATGAAATGTTGGAAGTTGGAACTGCCAAACGATGCAGAAATCAGAATATCTTAAAATATAAGTTCTCTAAGTTGATGATCAGAGGAGTTAATGGTTTAAATGCTCACAATTGCTGAAAGCCTGAAATTAACATAACATTCAAGCTTAAGCCACTGCATCTAACAATTTCATTGATAACTGACAATAAGAAGAGAAGTTTATCTAGGTTTTCCTTAGTCTGTTTCCTGTGACTTTTAAGGTTGTTGAAGTGATAAGCATGCTACCAGAACACATGTAAATGTTCAGGATTCCTGGAAACTGACATAATTATCAACAAGCCAAGCATATAAGATCTGATTAGAGGTTGTTGGACAAGCATGACAGTAGTTTTTTCTTTTTTAAGTATCTTTTGAAATCTTGATTAGGCAGATTTATAAACATAGGTTGGTTGATTCATGGAAATCTGACATGCCGATGGATTTCATTTCAAAATATACCTGTAGAGAAATCATTGTATTGAGACTGAAGCAAAATTAGCCAGATAGGAAATTAAATCGTCCTCACTCCTCGGTGCCAATATTCAAATTATTGCATGATTTTACTTCATCATATTGTTTAATGTTTTTATCTAACAATCATTATAGTATCATAGTTCGGACATCTACAATCACGACGAGGATGACATGTTGTGGCTTTTGAGTATTTATTGATCAATGCATTGGCTAATAAAGGAGTTAAATTGGGTACTTACTATAAGCTTGGAGTTGTCTTTTACCCCCAATATCAGAAGAAACCGTGGGATGAGTGTCCTCAACTAAGCCACAAGTGTAACCAGGACCTGGAGCCATTAAAGTAAGATTGACTGGTGCTTGCACATTAGGATTCGCCCCCAAGTTGCCAACCATCATTTCGAAGGATGAGAGTGACATAGAAGGGTTGATAGCCCAAGCAGCAAGAAGGCCACCATTACAACAATCATCTGTCCTGTTTTCTGGCAGGGCATCTGGCATAAGATCAGCAATGACAGGGCTTTTCTGGCAAGAGTGTGGGATCTGGAACCTGAACGATGAACAGTTCCCTTGTGTAGTTGCAAAAGCACCAGACATGGACCAGATGATCTCATTATTAGCCCATGTCCAACCCAATTTCCAACCAGATTCATCAACATGGCGATATTGATAGTAATTTTGAATTGTTACCCTTGCCTACAAGCAAAAGAATCCTGAACAATTAGACAGTGGATAATAAATATGGTGAAGTGAAATTCTAGAGTGCCTGAAAGCTACTGGTTGGAAAATTGTGGTTGTCCAAATTATTGGAAGATTTCCACAGTAAAATTCTCTTCCTTTCTAAAAACTCATCAGTTCACTGTCAGATTTTTTTTTTTTTTGATGAACATACTGACCACATAGCCATCTCGTGTCCATTGCTTGATGTCAAAAGTAACTGTAATGTTCCCGTTGGGATCCAAAGGATCAAAGCCATCTGCAAGGCAGTAAGAAATGCAAATAATCAGCAACATTAATTGTTAGTGTCTCAAAGAAAAATCTAAGAAGCAAAGAAGGAGAAGCTTGATGCCTGATAAAATGGAAATAGAGATTAACCATATCAACATCAAAGCAAGTGACCGTACAGGAGAAAAGAACAGCTCCATTTTTTGTTTGAAGAACAGCAAGTTGAGATTGGGGTAGAAATTATAGCTGAAATGTGACGAACGAGATCCACATGTACGCTACTAACAAGGAAGAAATACGGTGTTTGACAAACTCAGTTGGAACAAACTGGAATCATTGGAATTACCGAAGTGGAGATGAAAAGACAAATCCCAAAGAGCTAATTAGAAGATTCTAAGAATGTCGTACGGATACTAAGCAAAAAGAGACATCCTTTGGGTTTTGGAAGACCCTTTCTGTCGCTTACAATATCAACTGTTCAAACCGGAAAAGGACGACACATCACCACTTGACAAGAATTTTGCCAAGATTCCTTGTAAGTTTAGGCAAAAATAAAGTTGTCTTGAAGTCATGACTTAGATGGTAACATAGGTCTAAAATTTAAATCTCAACACTAATAACATCTTTTTTTATTCTCAGTCTGCAGCCTTTTTTATATTAAAAAAGATGAAGTTGTCCAAACTGTCCTCCAATTATCAGAAATAAGTAAAAAAAAAAAAGTATTCCTTGACTTATCCATTTATTTTATCCAGCTTTTCTTGCTGATGAAAGATCCAATTAATGTTCAATTGCTGAAGTCTCAAGATGTGTGGTAAGCTTTTTACTCATGTAATTAGCTTAAAGGAAAACTATTCGTTACACGGTCAGTTTTCTTGCTGCCTTATTACTTATTAAATAAGAACAAAAACGATTCATGCCTGTAAACTTTCATTCTCAGCTAGCCTCTCTTCATCAACAACAATAAATGACATTCAATAAAAAGAACAGACCTAGCATTTGAAGTTTCAGTGGAAACTCTGACTTTGTGCTTTGTAGTTTGTATCCCTTTAAAGTTGAATTTTTGAACCTTTCAAGTGCTACCAGTTAAGTATGCTTGTCTTCCAACTCCCGATCAGTTTAAATGCAACAAAGACCCCAAATTTATACAAAGTTCACTGCTGCAAATATATAAACTTCCTTTTTCATTTTTCTGGCTGGGAATTTAGTGACACTGCCGGCTAGCTAGTTGCTAGATAAGATTGACCAGCAACCAAACCTTCAATATGGCAAGTTCCCATTGATTGCACTCTCCCAACTTATCGGGCGAATTAAAAACTAGTAGTAATTCTAGATGTTGAGTACCTGTTCTAGATTTGTGATGCCATTAATTCTTGCAAGTTGCATCCAAATTGTCAAGGTACTTGCCCTCGATGACTTCTGTAATAGCTCGAACCTGTTCTCATTGGCATGAAAGATCAATAATAGCAGTTTACCATGTAAATATCTTAAACTCAGGATAATTACCCTTACAAAACCCTTCCACTCTAACCTCGTACATGTAATTTATGTCTAAATCTTTATGCCTGAAAAGGCATAAGATAAAGGCATAAAGCGAGCTGAAAAATCACATACTATATAAGCAGCAGGATAATAGCACCGATTAAGTGGTTCAAGATAAACCCATGTTGCATAATTAAGGTAAAGAGATTATGCAGTAGTTAGGTCGACTATATCTACAGGAAGATACAGGGCAAAGACTGGACTGAGAGAGCTGAATCAAAGATGGCTGGAACTGGAAATGTTGGCGTTGTTGAAGATGACGAAAATGTCTACACAGGAACTAGAGTCCGTCCCTTCGCCCCCCACAACAAGGCAAGTTCTTTTGATCCTTCCTGACTCTCCTTTCTTGTTCTTGTTTACCTTAATATTTTCAAGATCAAATTGTTATGAACTCCCAAAATTTAGTTTGTCCTTTCTTCATATAAATTTTCTGGGTAGAGCAACGAAGAGTTAAGGAAGAGAAGAAGCAAAATCCTACTGCCTTGAAAAGATTGTTTTCCCTCAAAAGAGCTTTTCTCTTTGGAGGTTCGCGGAGGTTTTTTCAGTCTCTTAACTGCTTTGTGCAGTTATTAAAGATCATAACTAATCCTACAATGCTACTGAATTATCATGTCTGGAGAGCATCCTTGGCGGAGCTCCTAGGCACAGCAGTGTTAGTCTTTGAAATGGACACTATAGTCGTCTCCTATGAGACAAACAAAAACACCCCACCTTTTAATGGCATTTCTTATTGCTGTCACTATCACAACTATCCTCCTAACTACGTTTCCCATATCCGGTGGCCACATCAACCCTTTTATCAGCATTGCGGCGGTACTTACCAGCCTTTTTTCCCTTCCATCTGTCCCCGTATACTGGCACAATGCATTGGTGGCATGCTTGGAGCACTAGCATTACAAGCTGTGGTGAACACCAAGATGAGCCAGGCTCCATGGCTCTAGCTAATTTGCACTTTTGTGTCTCTTTTTGCTTCCATAAGGATTACTTTAGTTTTGACAACTGCCAAGCCAAGCATCTGGGACAAAGGGCTATGCGGGGGTTGCGATGAGCCCAGCAAGATGCCTGGGTCTAGCCCTAATTAGAGGCGGCCACCTTTGGAGTTGGCACTGTGTTTTCTGGGCCGGACCTACAATAGCTTGTCTAGCATGCCCTCTCCACCAAGATCATCCCAAGTGAGCTTTAGCACAACCGAATGCCTTAAATCACGATTCCATGAATAACATTTGCAGAGTTCTTCATGTCAGGAAAATAATCTAAATGATGTAATCTTATAATTTATAAGAATGTTTATTTAATCATTTACATATGATTTTCAAGCTTGCTTTTTATCAAAGCTGGACTAACTATAAATGAGGGAAAGTGTGAACTGTGAACAACTCAACATGTATTCATTCATCTTTTTGCAAACTATAAACCGAACCTGGTAGATTTTTTGAGCCTGCAATTTGTTAACGAACATGATCCCATAACTGCAGGGATTTGATCGATCAACGTTAGATCTGTGCAATGATCCTGCAGTTCATGCAATAATTTGAGCACCAACATGATTGAATGGATTCGTTGGAGTATATTACAAGTCAAACCAGGAGCTAATATCCGTTGAAAGTTGACGAAGTTAACAGCTTAGCAGCAACGTCAAATAAAGAAATAGTTCCAACTTGGAGAGGGAAGTACTTGCGAACTTGGTTCTCTGCCATGACACTCTGAAACTTTTAAAATTAAGCACGATTTGCACAATGTAATTAAATAATCTAAATATTTAATAATTTGGAATGACAACTGAGAATCTTGAATCCCCAGAATGAGATTGAACTTTTTTTTTAAAAAAAAAATTAAAGTGTCTTTTTAGAGGCTATTTTAGCACAAAGATCAAGGAACTTAATTTGGACTTCAAATAAATATGATTATAAGGCCAGGATATTCAACTTCCATCTTCTACCAACTGATGTCTAGGCTATAAAGAGCCAACTGACAGATATGCATCCACAAAAAAGAGTTTGAGCCTGCAAAGTTAAATTAAAGATGGTAGGAAATGGAATTGTTGAGGATGAAGAAAGCAATCTACGGTCGCAATGAAGTCCAGCCTTTTGCCTCTACTCCAAAGCATAGTACCAAGTTTCATATATAAGCTTCTGTTTTCATTTTCCTTGCTTTTACACGTGCTTCTACATTTTTCTTTAATTTGGTCTGTTCAAATTGGGTTGCAGGCCAGGGCAACTTGAGGAAGGAAAAGACCCAAAAGCCTCTTTATTAAGCAAGGTGTTAGGCCTTGAAGAGCTTTTCTCTTTGGAGGTTAGTATGATATCCACTCACTTTCCATGCAGAATTAACAAATTATAACTACTTCTAATTCAGGTGCAAAGGTTAATGGAATCCCCTACAAATCAAAGGCTTGCATTGAATCTACCCCATTGAATAACAGAGATTGTCTTGTGTAGTAGCTATTAACAAACAAACTGGTGGTGGATTTGTAGGTATGGAAAGCTTCTTTGGCAGAGGTTCTTGGGACTGCAGTGCTTGTTTTTGCATTGGACACAAAAGTTATCTCCGCCTTACAGACCGAAACAAAAACGCCAAACCTTGTAATGTCAGTCCTAATTGCCTTTGCTGTTGCAGTTATCCACCTTGCTACCTACCCTATCTCCGGCGGCCACATCAATCCGATTGTTACTTTCGCTGCTTTACTCACCGGCCTCATTTCCATTTCCCGAGCTGCTATTTTCATTTCGGCTCAATGTGTTGCTGGCATATTGGGTGCGCTAGCACTGAAAGCTGTAGTTAGCAGCAGTGTCCAACAAACGTATTCGCTAGCAGGATGCACCATAACTATTGTTGCACCAGGTCTAAATGGGCCAACTGTGATCGGCCTAGGGACGAGCCAGGCCCTTAGGCTTGAGATAATCTGTTCCTTTGTGCTTCTGTTTGCCTCTGTATGGATGGCTTTTGATCGTCGCCAAGCCAAGGCTCTGGGTCGAGTTACGGTCTGTGTTATTCTGGGAATAGTGTTAGGTCTTCTTGTGTACATTTCAACCACAGTTACAGCAACGAAAGGATATGGTGGTGCTGGGCTAAACCCAGCAAGATGTTTGGGTCCAGCAGTTGTTAGACCTCTGGAATGAGCACTGGATATTTTGGACAGGGCCAGCCATCGGTTGTGTGGCTTTTGCCCTTTATGTTAAAATGATTCCAAATGAGCATACTGACAGCTATTAAACGAACGATTTAGTTATTTGGTTATAGTTATTGTTCGTCTTGCAATAATTGAAGGCAAAATATGTTGTGCATATAATTTGAGGGGACTTTCTGCTGTTTATATCTTGGCATGTTTTGCCTGTCTGTAATGAATGTCAATGTTCCCAATAATGTCTCTGCAGATATCTGTCAAGGGCCATTTTCAGATGATTATACAAGCTTTTGGATTTCTTTTGGGCTAAAAAGCCAGTGACAAGCCGTGCTTCCATGCAATTCTGTATTTGCATGTACAAGTTATAGTAATATATTTCATTAGCACAACCCATTGAGCTGTACAGCAAACAACTTAAGCTAGTGGCAATTTACTTAATTAAACCAAAATTTATTGTCCCTTTTTTATTTTGCTACCCCTGATGTATATGAGATATATATAATAGGCAACTAGGATGGTGGCTGCAAAAGCGATGAGGATGATGCAAGGGGCTCATGAACAACAGAATTTGAAGAAACTGAGATGGGATTGCCCTCTAACTGCAGCATGATGCTCCCCAGGAAATCTTTCAATAGTTTCTTGAACTCATCTTCTTTAACCATCTTCACGTCATCCGCATTTTTCATGTTGAAAATATCAGCAACAACCTTGTCAATCTGGAGAATTTCAAGAATTTTAGTTGGTGGAATGGAATAGGGTATTCTTCTCTATATTGATAGAAAAGAAAATTAAGCTCAGGCAATCAATTCTGATAATCCTCTTTCAACATAACCATAAGTGTCCATAGTAAACCTTTGGAAATAATGCCGAGAATCTATTGATCAACTTGAAGATGTATGTATGATGTGTTACTGCACTACCTGTTCAAATGCACCGGTTGGAGGTAAACCAGCTGATGGAGCCACTACATCTAGCACCACGCGTAAATACTCCTTTGATATTTTCCCATTGCGAACTTTTGGAACATTTTCTAAGGCAGCATTCAGTGACTACATAGCAAAATGAAAGAATTGATTAGAAATGGTGGAACAAGGGAAATGCCTTCTTTAGGAAACCCAACATTTCTGGAGACTAAAGACAACGAGACAACATATACCTTGTCTAGTTCAAACTTGCTCGATAGTAGCCTTTTAATGCCACTGCCATCAAAGGTGTTTTCGCTATGGGCAACAATTACAGGCTGCTCCTTGAGATTTTGAGTCACACGCTCTGCTACTTTCTTAAATTCTTCCAAGAATGTTTCTTGAGGGACAGGTTTCTCTTGATCATTGCCACGCCAATCCCATGATCGCAAAGCTGGTTCCGCTATGTTGCTCATAACCTGCACAAGCAACAGAAGCCAGAAAGAAGTGGGAAAAGAAATATGAAACAAAGGCTTAGGTTTCTACTACATTTTCCTAATATTACTGACTGAACTATAGATGTGGAAACTGGAAAGTCAATTACCCAAGAATCTGAAGAAGGGGGCATTCCTTGATCAACAGTAAGTTTCTCCAAAGCCTTAATAATGCAATCACGCAACGATGCATCATCCGATCGTATCTGTGAAAATAAGGGCGCCATCTCTGCTTCATAACTTGGACCATTGATGAATTCCAAGAGGTCTTCTCCGTCAATACGGAGAATCACAATAGGGTCTCGCTTCAAACCCGCTGCCATACCCAGTAGAAAATCTGAGAGAACCTCTTTAAACTCAGTCTTGCTCACTTTTTCTTGTTTTCCATGAGTGAATTCATTCAAAACCTGAAAAACATGTCTAAATGTCAGCTTCTATATCCCCTCACCAGTCCAATGAACCTTATATTCCTATGATAATTCAGTTCCTAATTTCCATTCTATTTCTATGGACTTTTGCTAACCTAAATACATCCAAGCAGCTTATGAGGTTCTCTTCTTTCTAGAAACACTTCTTTTTCAACCCAAGAGTGGAGTGGAGAAAACAATGATGAGAAATTATGCAGACCCTGGACGTGGTCCAAAGTCTTAACCTTGCTTTTCCTTTTCTCGGGCATGGCAATAGTGCTCCATTGTCTTGTCCCACGTTTATCATTATGTGCTTATATTACCATAATTGATCTCATCAACAAATTATATAGTATTTGATGGTAAATTTCGGCAAATGGTTAACAGGTTAGGTGCAAAAGTAAAGGGAATCCATTGAAGAAATTACTTGCAGTTGTCCCCACTAATTATCACGTCCACAACATAGAAAGAAGGCTTCATTAATTGAATTGGAACCTCAGAAAATGATAGAGCAACTTGACTTTGTCAAATTAATCATTCATGACTTATATGCGCAGTAAAGATCCAAAAAGACAGCCACAGTTTCCACAACATTCGTCCCCAGATTCCTCCCTGTATGAAGATAAAAAGAAAAGGAAAAAGGAAAAAAAAAAAAAAAACAAGTCCAAGTGGGAAAAGCAGAAAATTGCCTATAACACCGACCAAATTGAACAATAGGTCGAGTGTTATAGAACTAGCTAGAAATGGAAATTTGACAATTTGTAGTTCCATAAACAGCCCCAAGAAGGCAATTAGTCAAAGTACAATCGCTTTCTATTGAAACTTGGATAACCATCAGCAAAATTATTTAAACATTCAAGCATGTAGGCATCTGTGGGCTTGTGATTGCATCTTCTCCTTTTTGTTTATTCAGCAATTTACAATGACAAAGCGACGAATAAAAGATAGGATTATTGCAAATTGAAAGAGCAGAAAATGATATTCGGATTCTAATTTATTGAACGTGATGATGGCATGGTAGAATTAGGATGCTTCTAAGACGAAATGTACAGCTGAAGAGTCAATATCAAATATGCAATCCCCTATCGTCCTCACCCTGTCTAACAGCTTAATTACATCGGTGCCTAATGGTGATTTAATTTTTTCCTCTTTGAAAATAGTTTGTTTCTTCTTCTGCTTACCCTCTAGACTCAAACTTCATTTCACAGGTCACAATGGTATGTATCCTGTTTTCTTTAGCAGTTTTCTCTTGTTACAGGTTTTAATAACTAGGAAAAGAATGCTAACATACACGAACTTTCCAGGCCCTGAAGTCTTGGAAAGAACCAAACTATGCCAGAAGGAGGAAAAAAGAGAGAAAATGAGGTGGGTTGTTGGGGACAAACCTCAGAGTAAATATGGTCAGAATCAGGAGAAGAACCCTGAGCAGGCAAGCCAAGAGCAGCACCAATATCAGCAACAGCAGGCTGTAACTCCTTCACAGAGAGCTGACCATCGCTGTCCTTATCAAGTTCCTTGAACTTATGATCCACGAAACTGCTAAACACCTCCTCGTTCTCAACCAACCCCAGCAGCTGCTCACTTTTCTTCTTTAGGGGGGTTCCTATTGTTGCTGTACTTTTTTTCCATTAATTCTTCGCCCCCCTTCTTTTTTTTTCTTCCTTTTTGGATCAAAAGCCAATGGTTTTCTTGTGAGTCTTGTGATGAAAGGAGTTAATGCAAATAGCTATAGAGCCTTTTGTTTTTGTTGTGAGTCCCGTGAGTCAAACACGAGTTAAAGTGATTAAAGGTTTACCTTTGGCCTTTGGATGAGTCTCCCCTATACTTCTTTCCTATATTGGATATTTGGTTTCAGGCTGTATTATACGACAGGGAAATCGAGGAGAGTTTTTTTTTTTTTTTCTCTCTCTCTCTCTCTCTCTAAGCAAAGTGAGAAAAAGTGGGGCATGTTTGGTTTCATTTTCATGAAAACGGCTTTTTTGGCTTCTTTAATTATGGGAAGAGAATTAAAAAGAGACAGGTAATCCACTCATAATATGCGAAGACACACCCACAATCTGGAGTATTATCCATTTTGATAAAAGAATCTTACGATTGTCTTAAAAAAACTTATCATAAGTATGAATTCAAGTCTTTACGTAATAGTACTCCCGTACACACTTTCTACCAATATTTGTGAGAAAACACCATATATGTAATGTAACCAGTTCTTGCGTTAAAACTTCAAAAGACTTGAGCTAACTGTTTTTATGGGCTGCACTACTCTTGAATATCCTCCAAATGCCACGACATTTGGTTACAGCTTTCTTGTGACATGTTTGTTCCTGAGATGAATTTGAGTCTCCATTACCTAAGGATAATGTTGATGTTGGTTGAATTGCCCCTGTTTCTGATATACTCACCGATAATTGGCTAGTTGTTTTAATACAAGATTGACCGGAGATCATCCTTTTATCACTCTGAGATGCAAGGCGAAACCCTGGTTCTTTTATTGTGTCAAACAGCTCTTCCAACAAGCTGGAAGAATCTGGAAGAGGTTGTTCCAACTGCTTTGATTTGGCTGGAGATGCCTGACTTGAAGCAGGCGGTTCTGCTATTCTGAGATTTTGCTGTTGCTGCCAAATTGAATGGTCGAATAGTAAGGCTGAACGAAAAATCTTGTACCTCATCAGGAAACAAGTTAATTGACATTTTTGCATCACATTTTCACTGATAGGAGTTTCAATTATTCAGTTAGTGAGATCATATATCCATCAACCAAGTTTAATTCTTGCAATTTGTGGAAATTAAGATTATATCAAACCTGATCAAGATAAGGCTCTGATGCTTCTTGAGAAGAAAGACACTTCAGGATCTTAAAAAACCTTGCCTGGCCATAACTCATTGCCCTATGCCAATTAAGAACCCCAACCTCCCCCGTCTTCACCTCTAGCTCAAACAAGATTCGATCAATTTCAGTTTCATGTTTTGCAACATAAGGCCGAAGAAAAGAATTATAGACATAAGTTGTTCCCTGAAACGGTGATCAAATACAACAAGAAAAGAAATAATTTGAAGAACTTCAGAAAGGTTGATCAATTTAGATAATCGAGCCAAAATTTTGAACGTTCAAGTGTTGAATGCGTACTTTCCATTTAGGATACCAAAGGTACACAACAAATGCCAATTTTACTTCATTGTACAATGGCAACCTTCAACAAGACAAGGTAATAAAGACAGTCATGAGTATTGTAGCCCAAAAAATAACCGTGTGATCTGTTTGTTGAGATACAATAATCAAAATTTAATACATGAAAACCACAAGTATCCACAAAATGTAAGAGTACATACCATGAGACAGAAACATCTGCAACCCTTTCACAAACTGTTAGAATAGCAACTAAAATCCTACAGAATAAAATAATCAGTAAATAATATTAGCCCTTTGATATGTTTGGGAGGATGATAATATAAAACTGTAGAATGTCAAATGTTTATACCAGTATTGACACCAAAATCGAAGTTGCTGAATTTCAGGCTTATTGTTTTCCACTGCCTTAAAGCAATGGTAAGCCGGGCAAGCATAACCAAAAACCATTCTATGAAAACACTTGAACCATCAGTTTCCTGCCCTGGAAAAGGAAAATGGAAATATATTGTGGTAGTCGATAGTTACATACAGAAGGGTTCTTGAAAGAAATGATCCCATCTTCTTGATTCCTTGTTTGGTGACGTTTGCTGTTGAGTTCGTCAAAAACAAACTAAAGACAATGAAGCAAGCAAGCAAGGAAATTTAAAAAAAAAAAAAACAATGGTAAAATTGTGCCTGTGAATGCCACAATTCGAAATAGAGAGAACGTGAAAAAAACCGTTTAATGCAAGTGATCTTTGGTGGCGTCCCACGAAAACGACACTTAAAAGGGTCCTTTTGTTAAGAGTTTCTTTCAAAAATAGTTTGGGTCCGATGAACATGTACGGAAAATTCGTAAATTTTTTTATTAAATATAATAAATAAATAAATTTAATAAAAATTTAAATTGATAAATTAATAAAATTTAATATGAAAATTAATAACATATAAAAATATTAAAAATATTATTTATAATTTAAATTTAATCAATATTTATTTAATAATAAAAATTTTGTTAATATTTTTATTAAAAATATTTATTTAATAAATATATTAAAATTTATTAATTTTTTTAAAATTTTATATACTTAATCTACGTAATGAAATTTTATATTTTAATTTTAATTTATTTTTTAATAAAAAATTTCACAAATTTCATTTATAAAATTTCATATAAATTTTTTTCATAAATAAAAGACATATAGGTATTAATTTGCATGGCATATAATCGAAATCACATGTCAAACATATATAAACAAATAATTTTTTTATTTTAAAAAATCATAACTAAAATTTTAAAAAATAAATCAAATTAACTTCTTAAGAATCAATCACTCTTGATCACAAAGTTGTAAAGTTTTCCATAGCTAACAGGCACCCATCTTGAAAATTGAAACAAATATGAATTTTAATAATTTATTTTTTATTTTAAATTTATATTTAATGTATTAATAATATATAAATTTTATACATTATCAATAAATCGAATAATATTATTTTTTAATAAAATGAATTAAAAATAATATTTTATTAATAAATAAAATTTTTAAAAAATATTAATTTTTATATTTATTTTAAAAAATAATATTTACAATTAAATTTAATTCGATTTTAAATTTATTTGTTTCATAAGTAATATTTCATGTATTATTATTATTATTATTGATTTTTGTATTATCTAGAATTTTACGTCCGTAATTGGTAACAGAAAAAATGTCAACCAGATCCGTTTGTCCTTGGAGATCCGTTAAACTGTTAGTTGAGTCCATTAATTCCGTTAATCTTTCCCCCCAAAATTTACCAGTTACATGGTAAGTTTTCTACTTCTTCCACTTAAAAAAAAAAAAACCATTAATTCCTTTGCTTTTAAATTTAAATTTATAAATTAAAATATGATATGATAAAAAATAATATAAACAAAAGATATTAAAATAATAAAATTTAAAATTTTAATAAAAATTATAAATATATTTAACAAAATTAAAATAATATATTTTATAATTTTTTATAGACTCAAATTATTATGTATAAATTTTATATAAAATATAGTATAAATATATAAATTATTAATATTTTTAGCGGTATATAATCAAATTATCGAGATTACTTTTAATACCTTCCCTGAACGTGGAATCGGTAAGTGAAATTGAAGAAAGATTCAACATTAGATTCCATTAATTTCTCTTGAATTTTCTTTTCCAGTTGCAATAATTTCAAATTATTATAAATACAGTGATTTCTCAGTGCTGGGTTCGATCATCTGATGTCGGTTCGTATTTTCCTTTTTTTTTTCTGAGGAAAAGTTACAAATTTTTTTTTAACGGAAAAATATATGTTGGAAATTGATTTATTGATTTTTTTTTTCAAAAAAGACAATGTTTGCCACGTCAGCAACAATATCCGCGGGTGAATTGATATCCTCCGCTTCCTTTTGCTGTTCCACTCGATCCTTTTGTTTTGTTTTCGCTGTGTTCTCTCCATGGATTCCAACACAATCTTCTTCTCTTCAAAATTCCGAACCCCAAATTTCCAACCTTCTTCTCCATTGCTATTTTCAACTAACCGCCTTCTAATCAGTCGCCAATTCCTTGGTTTCACTCACACTCTCAGGCCTCCCGGTGGTGCTTCTCTCAGAAAGAAACACAGGAACTTGGGGCTTCTATGCCTCCAATCTCCTGCCTTTGCCGTCAGAGCTTCTATCGACTCCGATTTGATTCTCGTTGTCATTGGTGTCACCTCAGTATCTGCTTTATCTCTTGCTTGCTACAATCAGTTTTTTAGAAAGAGTGAGACTTCAAAAGAGGTGAGTTAAACTGATTGGAGTTGGAGGTTTCTATTTTGGTTAAAAATATGTTTTGCTAACTTGGGTTTTTTTTGGTAGTTGGTTTTCATTATCTGGCTCTTTATTAAGTGTTGGACTAATTATGGTGATTATGGAAAGAACTATCCGATAAGGCTTGAAATTTTGAGTTGTGAATCAGCCTAAAATGTGGAAGTTTAGTTTCGTTTTAAACATTCAGAACAAGTTCTTGAACATGAATTGAGATGCCTTGATGCTTATATTATAGTTGTTGTAGAACTAAGTTGAGGCCATTGTTTATTTCATGGTAATTATGATGATTTTGCTTTCTATATCAGGATTCACCAAATTCTAAAATTTGGTTACCTTTGGGTTTAGTTGAGTTTATTTCCTGAAGTGACTTGCTTTTCTAATGTGATGCCCCTGCGCAGGTATCTGGTTCCTCACTTTCTGCTTTACCTTCACAAATAGAAGTAAAAGATGTGGACATCCAAACTGCTGACAGTCAGATTTTGGACATTAGTGATTTTCAAAGGGAGACCTTTGAAAAAGAAAAGGATGGTTTAACCGAGAAAATGAGGGAAGTGACCGATGTTTCTGAAAGTAAAGAGGTGCTTTCACAGTTTCATGAAATTACGGTGGTGAATGATGATTCTCTGTTGGCTAAAGCATCAGAGTCAAATGGTGCTGATTGTTTTACATTTAATGCTAATGGTTCTGATGTTTCTGAAGAATCTGGAACTACTGTTCTACCTCTTCCACCTACTGTGCTGCTTGAATCAGGAGTAGTGCAGCCGCTTATGTTTGCAACAGAAATGTCAGAACTTCATTTGGAAGAAATTGAACGTGTAAATGAATTTAAAGCTGATCTCCCTAGACTAGCTTTAGAGCCTACGTCTAGTGCTTCTTCAGTTTTTCTAGAAGATGCTGATGTCCTTGTTGCAGAAGGTGAAGTTACTAGACACTATGACACATACAAAGAATCTGTCAGAGAAGAGCTTCACACCTTTTATGAGGCTGAACAGTTGGTGACAAAATCTTCAGCAAACTTGAATTCTCTGACTCTGAAACCAGTATCTTCTCATGTGTTCTCTCCAAATAGCAATGGTTTTTCTTCACTGAAGCGGAATAGTGAACTAAACAGGGCTCAGTTATCTGTGAAGAACTCTCTCCAAACTGCAGGTTATGCCATAAAAAGAAATCTGTCCTTATGATCCACTTTTAATGTATGTTGTTGTTTAGCATCAACATCTCTCTCTTCTTTACTTTAGTCTATATTTAAGCAGTTTATCCCCAACTTTGGCTTTCCTGTTTACTGAAATTGTTTAAAGGACACTTTTCATCCAGATATGGTTGAAGGAAAAGTAACTCAGGCATATTCCAACAGAGGCTTTTCTCACAAAAGAAAAGTCTTTGGAAGGGGTAGAAAATCTCCAAGAGACAAGGAGAAAAGGCACTTGATTCAGGAAAAGGATACAAAGTTGCCCCAGTTCCCCTTCCCAAATGGGAAGCTTGCTAATAACAAGTGCCATCCTGAAGAGCATTTCAGTTCTTATAATCATTTACTAAGTCATGGAAGGTAACTTGCTATTTTCTTCCTGTTCGGAAACTTCATTTGTCCCCTTTGGTAAGACTAATTTAATATCATATCAAAAGCTTGAACTCTTCATGTTTGGAAACTAAATTTGTCCCCTAGGTAAGACTAATTTAATATCATATCAAAAGCTTGACTTTAAAATGAAGCAAAACTGAGGCGAAATTCATCACTATTTTTAGTAGGCATCAAGAAAATTTAATTTCATGATGGCATCTCTAATAACCTTTTGTTTTTTTTTATCATTTCTTTGCACCTATTGATCCTGTCTTTGATTCATATTAGGTTAAGTGACTGTGTAGATTTGCTTGAAGATATGGAACAAAAGGGTTTACTGGATATGAATAAGGTAGGGCTGGTAATTTAGATATATTTCTTTGTTTGCCGTATTCTTATTCTCTTTTGTGAGAGTATCAAATTCTTTGTTTTCAGGTTTATCATGCAAAGTTTTTCAAAATCTGCAATAGGCAAAAGGCTGTTAAGGAAGCTTTCCGCTTCACAAAGCTGATTTCAAACCCAACCTTGAGTACATTTAATATGCTGATGTCTGTGTGTGCAAGTTCTAAAGATTCAGAGGGTGAGTCCATTATGTGTTGTCAGTCTGCTTGGTGCTTATAAACACTCAATCAGGACAGCTACTTTTGTTGTGAATATGCTTTGAATATCTAATGTCTTTGCAAAATTTAGGAGCCTTTGAAGTTTTACGACTTGTCCAGGAAGCTGGGTTCAAAGCTGATTGTAAACTTTACACTACATTAATATCTACATGTGCCAAAAGTGGAAAGGTTGACATGATGTTTGAGGTATGGAAACTTTTTCAAACTTTTCTTGGTACCAAGGTGTCCTTGCTGCAACAGTTTGCATTCTCTTTTTTTTTTCCTAATCTTTCCACCCTGACATGGAAGTTCTTCCTTCTCAACCTGATTTATATGTAGAAAAAATTCCTTGTTTAATCTTTTTTATCTTTGGAATTTTGAAGTTGACATTTCTGCACTAATAACTTTATTTTCTAAATGTATTTGTCCAAGTTTCTTTGAATGCCAAACTGATATAAATGCTGCTTCTCCTTATTTTCATTTAATATCTCATAATGACCCAATCTAACTGATGAACCTGTGGTGCTTATTGGTTTTTCAATTACATTTCATAAAAACAATAAATAACTTACTAGTAAATTGATTGCTAACCTGAATCCCTAGGTATTTCATGAGATGGTTAATTCTGGAGTGGAACCTAATGTTAATGCATATGGAGCACTGATTGATGGTTGTGCCAGAGCTGGGCAAGTGGCCAAGGCATTTGGTGCTTATGGAATAATGAGATCTAAGGTATTGTTGTGACAATAAACTGTCTAGTCTCATTTATTTAACAATTATTTTATCATATTTATATAGTTTTCTTATAACTGATGAAAACAATGTATGCAGTAGAATGTAAAGCCAGACCGAGTTATATTCAATGCACTTATCACTGCATGTGGTCAATCTGGAGCAGTGGATCGTGCTTTTGATGTGTTAGCAGAAATGATGGCTGAAACACATCCTATAGACCCTGATCATATCACTGTTGGTGCATTGATAAAGGCATGCTCAAATTCCAGTCAGGTGTGCATACTGATTCTTCTCATATTTTCTCCGTATTTTTTTTTCTGTAATGATTGTCTCTGCATAATGTATTGCTTACAGGTTGATCGGGCACGGGAAGTATACAAGATGTTAGATGAATTTAATATCAGGGGCACCCCAGAAGTTTATACAATTGCTGTTAATTGTTGCAGCCAGACTGGTGATTGGGAGTTTGCATGCAGAGTCTATAGTGACATGAAAAGGAAAGGTGTGGCTCCTGATGAGGTATCTTCTTACTCCTCTTCCTTTTCTTTCCTCCTCCTCCGACCTTTCTCTCTTTTTGTCCATCTTTTTGCACCTTTTTACTTCACCCCAGAACAAGGAATATTGTTTTAAGGTGTGGTTGAGGGGGGGGGGGGTATGGGCTCTTTCTTGTTACAGTACTCCTCTTGATCTTAGTTTTGAGTTTGCGAGGTCTTGTTTCAAGACTTAAATCTGTGTCTAGTCATTTAAGTCCGGGGCTTTTCTTTCAGATAATACTTGTGGCACATGAATACAGATGTCATACAACTGTGGAAAGAAATATCCCTTTTAATTTAGTATATTATCTAAGCTTTAAGTCTAGCTATCAAAGCCATTTTAAGAACCGATTCAGTATTTCATTTGGGAATTTAAACTTGATTTCTGGTCCATAAAACTGACCAACAGAACCTAATAGGTAAGCACACTTGCTTCTGGGCCTAAAGAAAATGGCTGCAATGCCCTTGACTGGAATTTAGCACATTCTTGTTCCAAGACAAACTAGAAGCTCCTATGCCTAATGTAGTAAGACTTTTAAATATTCTGAGGTTCACTAAACTACAATCAAATTTTGCATCTAAGTTGCCATCTCCTTGATTTCAGATTAATTTTTATTTTTATTTTTTGCCAGTAATTTTCATTGTTTACAGTATTTTGATTACACTCCTGGCTCTTTTGGCAATCAATTCAACATCTTAATCAAGTTTACTTTTAATGCAGGTGTTTATCAGTGCATTAATAGATTTTGCAGGGCATGCTGGAAAGCTGGATGCTGCTTTTGAAATCCTACAGGAAGCAAAGAATCAAGGGATGAGTATTGGAATTGTGTCATATAGTTCATTGATGGGAGCCTGCAGCAATGTAAGTCTAATCAGGCAGTCTTGTTGTTAATGTTGACTTAACATATTACTGTATGGAATGTCCTAAAAGCTTCATTATTATTACGTATATATTTTTGAACTTATAGGCATGATGTTTAAGGTTTGGTCCCAAAATAGACACTTGCTGAATCATTTGAATTTTGCATTTCTCAGCTTAGGCATGCAAACATGCTGCTTGGGTCTGGCATTGAACTTGACTTAAACATGCAAAATTTTTAATGCCACTGATCTTGTCACAATAATGATAATTTTTCTGATCTATTTCAGGCTAGAAACTGGCAGAAGGCACTGCAGCTGTATGAGAATATAAAGGCTGTTAAACTGAATTTAACAGTTTCTACAGTTAATGCTTTAATTACTTCCTTGTGTAAGACTCCATCTGTTGCTTATTATTATTGTGAATATACTTTATTATACAATAATCTGATTAATTTTTGAAACTCTAATCTGCTTTGGAAAGTATACTTTCTTGTATTCCTCATCCTTGTGTTCGCTTACTTCGCTAGTTTTATGATAATGAGGAGATGCTTCCAGATGTGAAGAGTACGTGGAGCTGTCTTGCCTTTTAGGTTTATATATTACAGGCTTAAAACCATGTTTGGAACTTTGGATTATTATAAGGTGTGATAACTTGTTATCCATGGACATATGTACAGAACTGACTCATTTTGTTATCCATGGACATATGTACAGAACTGACTCACCATCTTTATAACTTCATGAAGTGTATCACTTTTATAGGATATTTATGAAGAGGGAGATTGCTTAATGTGGTCCTGTTATATACGTTTGGCATTTGGAGATCTCTAATGGTAGACAAATCCTTTTGAATATCAACACACTTGCAAACCTTATCTTAGCATCTCACACTAAATACTTTTTCTGCATTAAGGTATCCTTAAGGCTGAAATTGAGCATAAATGAGATTATAGAAGGCTACTAGGGAAAAACAACTTGATATGAGGAAAAATTACTAGATGGGAGAGGGCAATGTCCATGTCCATTAGCTGTGAAGGTTCCAATTTCCGTATTCCTTCCTCAGATTCTAGTGAGGTTTTTGCTTCTATGCTATTTCCTGCTTGCATCTTATGAATATAATATCCTGGAAAGGAAGTCTGTCATTCTGTTGAGTTTAATTATCCTTTTAGTTTAAAAATGTAGAACATGTAAGGAATGGTGAAAGGTGGATATATACTTAACTTTCTGATGTCCGTATGGAAAATTTATGTGCTTATGATGCAACATATAGTATGTGCACTCTAGTTTTGAGGTAATCCTTTATGTAGGGTATTCCAGTACCTTGATAGTTTTCATAGCTAGATTAGTGTGGTTCAAGTTCTGTTTATACATTGGTTGTGGGGCATGTCTCTCTTTGACACAAATAAGTTGTTAAATTGTCAGAGGTCAATGAAAACATCAACTCTGGTATATGATCAGTGAGAGTTGTTTTAAATTAATAAATATTTTATATATTCTGCCTTTTTCTTAAAAGGCTGCATCTCTTTTAACCCTTAATGGTTTAGGCTAAAGGCTTAGAGTAATGATAATTTTAAAGTATTATTTAGATATGCTTTCTCTGAATATAATAATTTATTAATGATATTGGAGTATAGAATGATACTATCAGACTTAAATACAGGTGAAGCAGATCAGCTGCCAAAGGCCATGGAAGTTTTATCAGAGATGAAGGAGTTAGGATTGTGTCCAAATACCATCACATACTCCACACTTTTGGTGGCAAGTGAAAGGTAAGTGCTCACTGGAGTTTTCTTAGTATCAATGATACACACCAACTGTAAATGTGCATACTGAAGTTTGGTTCATTAACTCCTTTTTCCCCCATCACCTTGTCTTTAATAGAAAGGATGATCTTGAAGTAGGCCTAATGCTCCTGTCTCAGGCAAGAAAAGATGGGGTGGCACCTAACCTTATTATGTCTAGATGCATAATTGGTAAGTTTAAGTTGTTAGCTGCTTAATAGTGCTACTATATTACCTTTTCAATGACTCTTACCTTGCTATTCTACACTATATCCAATACACAGGCGTCTATCATGTTCTTTTCCTCCCCATCCCCTCCCCTCAAATTAATTCCATATTGTCTGTAGTAAGTTCAATTTTTAAAACCAATAGAATGTGCCAGTTTTAGGTGATGCATTTGGTTTTTGTTGTACTTCAAATATTCTTACCCATTCATATACTGTTGATACTAGCTGAATGTACATGCTATAAACATTTATTTATTTAAATAGATATATTTAAAAAAAAAAACTGATTTTATGGATATTGTGCGTTATACATTTTGTATTTTAAGATAATTTTATAATATAAACATGCACATGCGCTCACACACACACACATCATCTTCAATGATTTTATATAACCTTTTCAATATTTTGAAGGCATGTGCTTGCGAAGATTTGGGAAGGCTTGTATAGTTGGTGAGCCTGTTTTGTCTTTCAATTCAGGACGACCACATATTGAAAACAAATGGTACTTGACTGCTTTGACAAGTTTAAGAGTTTTTTTTTTTTTTAATTAAATCCATTGTGAGTGGAGCTGCAGGCTTTGGTCCAGCAGCTCATGTCCTTTTTTTTTCTTGGGGGGGGGGGGGGGGTTGGGTTGTTTGTTGATCCTGCAGTGCCAGGGCTCAAATCCTGGCTCCTGCTCTAAGTTGGGGGTTATCCCCTGTTACCATAGCAAAAAAAAAAAAAAATTGTGAGTGACCTTAGAAGACAAATTATAGTAATAGTGCAGAGTTAGAGTCTTTTTTTTGGGGGGGGGGGACGGGGGTGTTCTGTAACTTGTCTATATCATATATTTAAGGGGAGATTACCCTCTACTACCGAATAGTTGTTTTAGCTTTTGCTTTACTTTGTAAGTGATACCTGAAGGGGTGAGTAGGGCTAATTTTCCAACTTCATGGTCATAAAGTAAAAAAGGCTTTGATGGTAAAAGGACAATGTATGATTTACCTTTTCTATATTTTCTTAACAAAAGTTTTGGTGATAACTAATGTTGATATCTTCCTTGGTTTTTAGGACGTCAATTGCCCTGGCAGTCTATCGTGAAACTATTGTTACTGGTACAGTACCTTGCATGGAAGTTGTTTCACAAATTTTAGGATGTTTGCAACTCCCTCGTGATGATTCTTTGAGAAGTAGACTCATTGAGAACCTGGAAGTTAGTGCTGATTCATCAAGATTTGCTAGCCTCAGTTCATTGATAGATGGATTTGGCGAATATGATCCACGTGCTTTTTCGTTACTTGAGGTAAGTAATGTTAAACTGCTATCAGCCAGTTTTTTGTGCTCAAGTTTTGGAAATAGAGGTTATTTAATCTAATACTTGCATTACCCTTTGGTAGGAGGCTGCTTCTTTTGGGATTGTTCAATGTGTATCCTTCAAAGAAAGTCCTATTGTTATAGATGCAAGAGAGTTGCAAATTAATACAGCAGAGGTGTGTGATCTTTCTACTATCATGCAATATTATAAAAAATTCCATATCATCAAGGAAGTTTAGCTTTGCCTGCATTGAGACTTACTACTTCCAATGAAGGTGCATTGGAAATTGGAAGCATTATATGCCTTGCAGTTTGCCAACAATATGAATTGGCTGATCTTTATTTGTTTCTGTTTTACGGCAGATTGTATTTCCTTTGTAGCAATTGAGCAAACTATCTGCTGCCTTACTTAAAATTTAATTCCTGTGAAAATTTGTCAGGTTTACCTCTTAACTATATTGAAAAGTCTCAAGCATCGGCTTGCTGCAGGTAGTATGATCTCCTTTTTTTCTGTTTTATTGTTTACTCTGGGATTTGCACGCACTTTTCAGTAATCCCTGGTTCATAAGATAGCATTTTTATTGAAATTACGAGAAGCATTTAACAGAAGACTGCAGCGTATTTTCTATACATGCCATTTTTTCAGATTAGAATGGATTGTTTTCTTGTGATACTGATAATCAAATGATAGAAATGACTTATTTAATTGGATAATATTGTATGTGATAGGCTAGCTTTCACAATTGCATTACTAACTTCTGTCGGTATTCTTGGCACACTGACCTTTTTGTAGGTGCAAAATTGCCCAGTATATCCGTCTTGCTGCCCTTGGAGAAGGCACAAATCTTGACTTCTGAAGGGGAGAAATCAATTAATCTTGCGGGAAGGTTAGAGGAGCTTCTACTTGCACAAACATTGAGTCACACATACCGCACACCCCTCAAGTATTTAATGGGAGAAACTGCTACTATCAATGCTAGATACCAATAATAGTTTATCATGTGCTATGAGTTTAATGGTCCAGAAAGTAATATCTTTAAAAAATTAAAGAACAGAAGCGAATATTTCCACTTAAAAGAAAGATATAGCCCGTTATAAAGGTGGTAATGGTCCATAGTTGTGGTTGGATAAAACTAGAGGTTTCATCAATTTATACTTCATGCAATGAGAATATATTTTGGACAAATCTGTCTTTCAGTTCATTTTGTTCGTGAATTGAAATGGAATGATAATTTTGGTGGACAGGATTGGCCAGGCAATTACAGCATTATTGAGGAGGCTTGGACTACCATACCAAGGGAATGAATCCAATGGAAAAATCAGAATCAATGGCCTTGCGTTACAAAGATGGTTTCGACCAAAGCTGGCTTCTCCTTTCACTGGAAAACCAGGAGAGTGGAATGCCTCCCAAATGCGGTTAGGAAAAGGAATCTCCCATCAGCAACGCAGCATTCGAACTGGCAATCTGTCCTTGGATTAAGGGTAGAATCTTCAGAATTGGCAACATGGAAACAACTTGGAAGAATTACTTGTGTTTCCTCAAACATAAGCTGATCCTCTTTAGAAATTTAATCAATGACTTCCACCTTCATGCTCCTGATCACCATGCTCTGGTTGCTATCTTTGAATCCAATAAAAATTGCAAAAGAAAAGTCAGAATCTCCCTTCTAATGAGTAGATCGAGGAGTTGTTGATGGGAAGATAAACAGAATCTGATCTAATGGTCATTTTGTGTAAAGAGGGTGATGGGTGGGAAGGGATTTCAAAATCCTTCATTTTGTGAAGCATTCCAAATGACTGGGTGATTAATGCATCAGATGCTTATGAGTCAACCGTCTACGTCCATGCAGATTCAGGGACGGACATAGAATCAGTTGTCAAGTATAATAAGAATCTGTACGAGGGTTGTTACATCAAGTTATGCAAGGCCTAGTATACCATTTGTGAAATATTCTACATATGAAGGCAAAAAGAACAAAGAGATAAGTGCATGATAATAAAAAAATTGAGTTTTTTCCAATTGAGTAATCAAAGTGATGTAACCGTGAATAGCTGATTCAACTTCCCAGCTTTTCCCATTATCAAGAATTATTAACTGGTCACGAATAGTGTGGATTTCCGTAACTTCCAACCAAAAATCTAGCTCAAGACCCTGATTGTTGTTGAGAACAGAGATAAAAAGGTTTAAAATGTCGACACTTTCTTTCCTGAAAATCATGTAATCTTTTCCCCCAGGTAGCTCTGTCAGTTGCAGGACTGGACTATACAGATGGGGTTTGCCACAAGTTTTTTTTAATGATTATTTTTTATTTAACTAGAGTGGAAAGGAATAATAAGCAACGAAAAGCTCGTCAAAATTGTTTGAGGACTTTCTTTGTTCTGTCATGACAAGCATTCGATCGAGAAGCAAGATCGATGAACATGTCCACTTTTCATGGTATTGTAAAACCGCCCAATGGATGATTGAAGCCGAACTCTTCTTCTGCATGGTTGAGCAAGTCTACAAATGAAGGATGGTTCAAGAAAGATATGAAACGACCTCTGACTGCATCGAGTCCTTTAGGCACAACCGACTAAGGGTGTTGCACTTTAGGAATTTGCTTGGCATTAACAATAATTGATGTAAAAGGGAAACCGTGGTTGATAAAATTTGACTTTGGATGATAAAAGAGTGCTAAACAAGTGAAGCAAAGCCTTGGAGATTGGAGGTAGAGCCGCAATCTTGCTGTATACGTGTAGAATTCCTATGGGCTGCCATGATTGCAAATAATAAAGAACCACATGGTTATGGGCGTGTGTTCAGCAGATACACAAGTGGGGATCCTGAGAGGACCCTCCCACGCAAAAGCTCACATGGCTTTGCCTCTTTCACTCGCTCTCTCGTTTGGTCATTTCAATATATCCACCAATTTTTGGATAAAGAGAAGAGACCCATACTTTTTGCTTTCCAAGTCAGGTGCCCAATTAGTGACATCTCCAACTGGCTTCTTATTTCTAAGTATTGGGCAATGGGCTCTCAATTCAGTAGCCGTACACTAGATAGAAAAAAAGGGGGAAGTAGCATTTTGCGCAGCAAAGAAAACACTCAACATCTTGACTCAATTGATAGGATATTTTTTACGATACAAGTGATTTTGGGTTTGATTCAGTTGATGATTTTTTATTTAGATCATATTAAATACATAATTTATAATCATTGATTTTTAAAGCGTCAAATATGATATATTCTATCATGACTTGATAGATTGAATAAATTTATTTAATACCAAATTTTTGGTATATATATAAAACACTTGGACCGGTTGTTTTTGAGTGTGACAGAGTGGAATTGTGCTTTTTGAAGCCGCCAGCTGGTCATATCTGTTGTAACTTTGTTCACTCCCTAGTGGTTTGTTCATACCTGTCACCCAGTCCCGGAAAGCAAGAAAGAAGATCGATTGGCTAACACATCTCAATGGTGGCCAGTAATCAGCATCATCTAGGTGCTTACTTTGGGCTGGAAAGCACTTATGGAGTCTTGGAATATCTGATTCTACAAAATTGGGCCCATTTTCCATCTGGAAATTAAATCAAACTGGAATTATGGTTTGCAAATTAAATAAGAATATATGGGTTTTAATTGTTCTTAGTAATGTATTGTGATTTATAAGGATAGACGTATTCAAAGTTAACCATATTGCTTAATTGAATTTTACAGAATAGAACGCTTTTTTTTTGCCTAAATCTAAACAATCTATCAAAGTCTAGTCAATCTTGATATTGTGTTCAAAAAACGGATGAAATTAATTACACTTTCAAAATTGCGAAGTTTAGTTTTCTGCAATGAAATTATACTTTGATTCCTATATTAGCAATCTAGTATTGCAATTTGTCAAAATATGCCATAAATTACTAGTGCTTATCAAAGTGATTGTTGAAGGTTTTCTAGGATCTTTTTTTAAGGTTCTTTTCTATTAATTCCTCCAGGTTTTAGTGTCTTCTGGAAGCCCCTCAGATGTTAATTTTCAGCCTTTCAGGTAACTATCAATCAGAATTCTAATAAACGGAGGCATCTTGATTAACTGAAGAGAGTCACAAAGGGTTCAAAAACAAAGGATTACGTTATCATTTGACAAAATCTTGGTGGGAGAGAGCATATGTACAATCTATCTCGTCACTCACTTTCATGTCATTTGTCAAAAGTTTATCAACATTTACATTTCTCATATTCTACATGGGAATGAAAGAATTTAATTAACAAAACTTCTGAATTCTGGCTAAAGCACATTTGGTTCATCTTTCAGCAGGCATGCAACCGAGAAGTGAGATCAATAAAGGCATCTTCGTCGCATGGAATTGTAAGACCACCCATTGGATGATTAAAGCCAAACTCTTCCTCAGCCCGGTTGAGCAAATCTAGAAAAGAAGGGTGCTTCAAGTATGAAATCGGAACGACAAACCTTGTCTTCTGGATTTCTCCAACATAAACAGCAATGTGGCCTTTTGGCACATATGTCTGGTTCCTTGACTGCAGTTTGAGAACTTGCTTGGCATGAAGAATCACGGAAGGTAAACGGATACCCATATCTGATCCTGAATTGAAGTGAGAAAAGGGTTAGCTGATCTGATCAACCTAAGTTATTTTTGGTTGACAGAACTGGGAATGAAATTAAGTTGCAGTACTTGTAATTTTGCAGGTTGAAGTTCCTTGGAGCTTGTATTTATAGGCAGTAAGGTCTTTGATTATATTGGCATTGATATTGAAAGATCGATGGCCCACCTCCTCAAAGACTCACATGGCCTTGCCCAATTGACTCAACAACAATCTCCCTTCTCTTTCTCTCATCAGTTAATGGTGAAGTCGTAGTCTAAATATAAACACAGCCATGGCTGGTCAATGTTCATGCATTAGATAGTAAAGCAGCAAATTCACGTGACAAGTCCTTCCTTGTTGCTATCTCCAAAATCTCATCAAAGACGTCATAACAGTTGGCTGGCAGTTATCAAAAATTTGATCATTAGATTCGGATTAGACACCTGTTTTTTTTTTTGGGTTTGCCTTTGCTTATCCTTAGGCACTTGCAATAAGATTATTATCATTATTTGATGCTTGATTTGGGAAAGATTTAGATGAAATTATTTAGGTAAAATTTATGAAATTTTTAATTAAAAACGATTAAATAATAATTAAAATAAAAAATAAAAAAATGATTTAAATGTCTTATTATATAAATCAAGTATATAAAATTTGAAAAATATTTTAATAAATTTCAATATATATTTCTAGATAAGTATTTTTAGTAAAAATATTGACAAAATTTTAATCATTAAAAAATGATCAAATTTAAATTATAAATAATATTAATAATTTATTTACATATTATTGATTTTCATATTAAATACTATCAATTTATCGATTTATATGTTTTATTAAAATTTTTATTAAATTATTTTCTTAAAAAAATTTAATAAACTTCACCTAAAAAATTTTATATAAATTTTTTCCACGAAGGATTGTGTTAATTTACTAAATGAATAATCTGCTGGCTTTCGTTCATTTTTTCTTTTAAGCTTTTAATACTAAATTTTATTATTTATAATAATAGCAGGATTCAGATTAATATTGTTAATCTCTTGCTGCCAATAAAGGTTTGAGCTCTCACATGCACCAATTTCTTAAATCTTATGCAAAAAATTTTCATAGAAATAGGATCTGGACCTGGTTCTGTAACTTGGGAAACAGCAAATTTCTAGCTAGTTCCAGGCTATACCGACTTACCATGATTTTTTTTTTTTTAAATAAAGCAAAAGGAAATCATTGATTTTGATCGATTCTCGGATCTCGAGCAACTGATATCAAGAACGCCTTTATATGTGGGAAGATGTGCGCAATTGTTTGCATAATAGGATCAATGAAATTCCCGAAATCTGTATCTCCCTAAATGTGAGTTTTACTGCTTTGACCTGCTCAATGGGTTGAGATTTTTTTTTTCTTTTAAAAATGGTTTTTTAATGACTTCCAAGTAAAAATGATTTTTATATGAATCAAGACTTTTATTAACTTAATTTTTAGTACTTGTGCTTTCAGTGATGTTAGAGTTGGTTCTTCCAAATATATATATATATATATATATATGTATAATAACAACAATAAACTAAAATTTATTTCTTATAATTTTGAAATTGTTTATGAGAAAGATAGAAAAAAATTATGTTAGATTTTAATTATAAATATTTTTATGTCACTCATTTTTATAAAAAATAATTTTTTTATTTTCATAATTTTTATTACTTGCATTAACTTCTTTTATAATTTATTTTAAAAAATTTTGATTTTTTCTAAATCTAAAAGCTTATTTTTTTATATAAATAAATATATGTTTTACATATTCAAACCATTTCAAACGATCTATTAGCAAATTTTCTTTGTACATAGGTCAAAGAAATAGAAAAAGAAAGAGAAAGAAAATCAAAACCTATTTAAATTGTGAGGATTTCTCTGTTTAAATTGTGTGGATCTCAACTTGGTTAATTTGGACTTTAATTAGTTTTCTATGTGAAATGAGAAATTATGAACTGATTACAATGCTGTATTAGTCATGGATTGATTTATATTAGATACATTTTTGGATTCAAATTCAATTGTAAGCACTCAGCTAAATTTTTTGGGGTAAAAATGTGGGGCTAACTAATTTTCTTGAATTGTATTAAGATTCCAGAATGTATGAAGATTGGTACTCAGAGGATCCTTCATTAATTCCAGGTCTAGCTCAAATAAGATTCCTTGCTTTGAACAAAATTCTGGAGCAACAGGACAAAATTTTCCTTATGTAATTTCAAATTTCATGAATATAGATAGATATTTTCATGTCTTGACCAGCCAAGTAGACTTGTTGTATAGTATAGTCTCCACAAGTGAATTGCATTAGCCTTTTACTCTCTGAAAGTTGAAACAGCCCGAGACTAAGTTTCCCAATCTCTAACTAAAGCAGGAATTTCACTAACAGAAGGGACAAGAACTGCATTTGTTAATGTGTTAAAATTTAAACATTGTGCCAACTGCTGTGTATCCATCATTGTTCAGGATGAGGAATGCAACTTCGACGTTAGAATGATGAAAGCTTCTTCTTTGCACGGAATTGTAAGGCCGCCCATCGGATGATTGAAACCAAACTCTTCCTCTGCGCGGTTGAGCAATTCTGCAAATGAAGGATGGTTTAAATATGAAATTGGAATTACAAAACGTTTTCTCTGCGCCTCTCCAACATAAACTGCAACGTGGCCTTTGGGCACATCGGGTTGTTTCGTAGAAAAACCAGAATGTTGTTTCAGAATTTGCCGGGAACTGAGGATTATGGATGGCAAACGGAAACCCATATTTGAGACTGAATAAAAGGTTAGAAAATAACAAACTGATCTAAGCAGGTTTTGGCTGAAAGAACTTGGAGAGTTAAGATGAAGCACTTGGTATTCTGTAAGGAAAGAGCTTGGAGCTGGAAGACTGGACTGGTTTTCGTATTTATATGCAGCATATTTTGTTGTCAGCTGGTTTGATTGCAGTTCCTGGGATGACCCACATCCCCAAAAGGCCACATGGCTTTGCTCACTTTGGTCACTTTAACCTTCTTTCTCTCTTTCATTTATTAACTTCCCAAATTTATGGTGCAACAGATTCACTTGTTCCTTTGACGCCATTCTCCAAAATATGTCATCTCCAAGGCTTTTCATATTTTGATGCCTAAAAATGTCAATAGGCAGCGTATTTGTAAGTGGTGAATTTTTTTGTCAAAACTTCCTGAAAGAAGCTTATCCAAATTCTTCTTCTTCATTGATTGCGTAAGTCCAATTCAACGTTCAACACAACTATTGGGATAAGATTCATGTATGATTAAAAAAAATCTCATGAAAAATTAATCTGAATGATATATTTTATATATACATAGAAGATTAAAAAATCTAATAACTTAAATTTTTATATTCAAGTGATGTTTAATATATATGTATAAATTTTTTGATATATTCTTATGAATTTCAAATATGACTTATCTCTCTAACAACAATTTGCTCAATCTTGTCCAAAGAGCACACTCCCAATGCAGGTAAACTATTTTGTCTGGAAAAACAGATGGCCGTATATTAGAAAATCCGGAGTAGAATGCTAAAATGATAGGGTTTTTTCTTTTATTTTTTTCAATTGAAGTATGTGACGCCTTCAATCTCCTGTTAAAAAAAATGTAAAGATACGATGTAATATATATGTATAAATTTAAATTTAAATTTATAAAATATATTTTTATAAAATAAAATCGTAAAATTTTTTAGTTAAAATAAATAATATTTCGTAAGTTTAATGTTGATTTTTACATAGTAACACTCATGTTGGTCTATGTCTTAATTAAACCCCTTTTTGTAATTCTGACACCTGCCTTGGCTGATATATATGTACTGAAACTCACTTTTAGTATTCAAACCACAGCATCCTTGATAATGTGGCACCGGAAGGCTTGCCAAGAAGATTGGACTAGAAAGATAATGCTTCCCAATTAGTATGAAACTAATCCTTGATTCCTGACACACAGTGCTATAGCCATAGCTAAACGAATTGATTTACTATTAAAATTCGGATGCTTGTGAATTAATCTGATCATTATAGTTTGCATTTGGCTCTCACTGAGTTCTCAGAAAAAAAATTACAAAAGGAGAATACAAATGTAATAGATTGGTTTATGAATAAAAGATAAATATATAATAGATAGATAGATTGGCGTCAGATGCCAATTTGCAGCAGATCATTGCCCTTTTTCTGGGATAATATACAATTCATGAGCACATGCATGCATTGATTGATCGACTCAACTATCCATCTGACATATATTTATTGGGCACAAATTTGACTATTACACGCATTGGATCTTAAATGAAACATTATTTATTATTTATCTTTCTATTAAAGAATTGGATAAACATTGAAAGAGAGAAGCAAAGGGTGCTTAAACCCCATGAGCATGCATGCAACAGGTATGGGCCGCAATTATCAAATTTCCAAGCTATCATTACAAGAAAGAGAAAAGAGGAAAACCTTGAAAATTGATGCATTGGTTCCCGGATCTAGAGAAAACTAACCACTTTATTCAACTACGGACAAAAGGAACGCGCAACAAAAGCAGCAGAGAAATCCTTTAATGAATGTGCAAACCAGCGGGCGAGCTTCTTAAAAATAGTTTGGCGGGTCCCTTTGAGGCCCAAGTTGTAATATTATACAACTTTTCAAGCGCAACGACAAATTACATATTGATATTTTCATGCATGCAAAACTATCAATGCATTAAATTTTTTGAGCTCCCTTTGATATTTGTCTCCCCTATATACATCCAAAGGCCAAGACCAGAAAGGTAAAGAACTGCCTTGCTTGAAAGAAAGAAAAGCTTTGTCTTTCATTTCCTTTGCAATATCTCAATAATCCTAAGTAGTGGAAGAGAATGGGGATTCGGTTGCCTGAGATGATGCTTTATGCAAAGCAAATTACCCGAAGACGGTCACATTCTAAGCACCAATGCTCCTACCAAACATCGAGTGCAGCAAACGTCCCGAAAGGCCATTTCGCTGTTTATGTAGGAGATGAAGAGAAGAACAAGAGATTTGTGGTTCCAATATACTACTTGAAGCACCCTTTATTCCAAGCCTTGTTGAGCCAGGCTGAGGAAGAGTTTGGTTTTGATCGTCCAGAGGGTGGTCTCATGGTTCCTTGCGCTGAAGATGAATTCATCAATCTCACTTCTCGAATAAATCAAGCGTGAGTCAAGGTGCTAATAGTTAAGCTACAAGGATTTTGATTTGTTTTTGGGTAGTTTGATCTTCCATTGTAGTATATATAGTACTGAGCTTTGTAAATGAGTTTATTAGCTTTGCTAACAGAAAATTTAACATGTTTTCTTGTCAGCAAAGAATTAGTAATTACTAAAATTTTACCCAAAAAATTTATAATTTACAAAATTGTCGATTGTTACCTCAAGGGATTTAATTTGCAAGTATGCTCAAGTATGCTAAAACAAAATTGAAGAGACTACTTCGATTGCCTTTACATCTAATGTTATGTTCAATATAGGTTTTGTCGTATCATTATGGAACGTACGGCCACCTATCTCCATCTATGGATGATTTTAACATTGTAGTAAGACTGATGAAATATTCTTCACTGCATGGAATTGTGAGACAGCCCATCCGATGATTGAATCCGAATTCTTCCTCAGCTCGATTTAACAGGTATGCAAATAGAGGATGGTTCAAGTAAGATATAGGAATCACGAATCGCCTCTTGCTGCCTTCTCCAACATATACTGCAATGTGGCTGTTTGGAACATTTTTTGTCCCAAACGTATTACGAATCCTCAATGTGGAGCATTTGTTTGGCGTGAGCCAACACAATTAATTGAATGCCCATCTTAGAGTGGGAGTGACAGAAAGCTTTAGTGTACTAACTGAGACTGAAATTAAACTTGGGTTGAATTGGCATCTTTTGTACGTAAATCTATATATAGAAAGATTTCAAAACCTTGAAATTGGATAAGTTAGAGAGCTTGACGCCATTGAAGAATGTTTAGAAAACCAATCTGAGTGAGTTAGTCAAGTTTCACATGTTTCTGTTTTGTCTGTTGCAAAGCATTCTGTCCTACCTTCCAAAGAAACTTAAAAAACCAATGTAAAACTCTAGAAATTATGCATGAAATATGGACATTAGGCCCCTGTGTTTTGAACTAACAAAGCTTTGAGTTTATGAATGCTAGGCATGTGCGACATCAAAGACATCTCAATCTTAACTCGATATTCATGATTCATATGACTTATTTACTGAAGCATTGAACTTAGACTAAAGTTTACTTCCTCTATATTTGGATAAATATTAATAAAGGAAAGGAAAGGAAAGTTTTTTAAAGGTCCCATCTTGATTAGCTGGGTTGTTGCAAACTTGCATTGTCTCTAGGTCCCATCTTGATTGCCTTTGCTCAAAGCCATTTAAGATTTGCTAACTTCTGTAATGGTTCTTCCACATTTACTCATTTATTCACTTACGAGTCAAGACTATCCTTGATTACTGTAGCAAGTTGGGCTAAAATAAACTGATGCGTTACAAATTGCAAAGTATAGAATTTCTTGATTTTAACCAAGGCTCTGAATTCTGAACATATTCAGGTTCGATTACTGTGTTTGAAGTTGCGCTGGCCTGAATCTTAAGAACTATAAGTTAGTATGGCAAAGCTACATGCATTTAGTACCTTATTATTATCCGACAAATCTTTAGACATTTCAACGACATACATTTGCATCCAGATTTTGAATACTGAAAGTGTAAGCATCAAGGTCCTTCTTGATACTATTTTCGCTGGGACACCTCTGATATTTCTAAGTTCCAACTATTGACATTTTCAATGGTAGGGGACAGCAGAGAGGAACTCATTTAAAGCACTACACGTACTCAATTAGTGTTTGGTTCCTCCTCCTTGGATCCATTACTTCGATATCTAGTCTCGGCTATATGATGTAAACAGCCTCAAGGCTAGATGACAGCTGCAACCCTGGAAGTTCCACGTGCTTCAATTTGAAAAAAAAAAAAAAAAATTAATTTCAAACTTTTCCACTGCATTGGAGGAGATTGGGTTTGGTTATATTGGTTATACTATTTCTGAATGGTGCATATAAGGATCAAGATCAGCAGGCAATTGTCTTAGGTGCCAATATATGCAATGCCTTCCATCCCTTTCTCTCTGCAATTCAACGAGTTCTTGAACATTGGTTCATGTATATAATGTAAATAATACTAAAACTAGATTCTTATTTCCATATAATAATTGTTAAATGTGGCAGGAATTGAGTTGTTGCACTTAAGACAAAATGATCAAGTAATTGAACTTCTCGGGGTTACGAACAAGAAAACAAAGGAAATTATGACAGAAAATGATAGGATCTCCTCAATAATTTTTCTGGCATATCATAATTAGAAGTTATTTCTCATAAAAAAGGAAAACTAGTTAAGCAGCAGGTTGAGCTAGTAAAGACATCTTTTATTTTTAAACTATGAACAAAAACAAGGTAGGTTGAAAGTTTAAATTTTTGGGTTAAATTGGTTGTCATAAATGGTGTGTGATTCAATAGTAGAATAGACCAATTGCAATATGCAAAATCCTGCTACTAGACATGCCTTGCAAAAAAAGTCTTTGTCAATGCTTTGCCTGGCAATAGGGACGGATTCAAGATTTTTTTTTTAGGTAAATTTATTATATAATATATTTATTTAAAATTTTTTATTTAATATAAGGTAATATTTTTTAAATATAAACAGATTTTTAATAAAAGAATTTGAAATATTTCTTATAATATCAAATATATAAAAAGTTCAAATAGAAATTAATACAAATATAACAAAAACTCATAATGTTAAATAAATTAAAATTTTAAATATCAAATAAACAAAAACACAAAATAATGTTGTCATTTTTCAAATAAAAATAGTATTATATAATTGAGTTAAATAGTTTTCATAAGTACAAATTGTAAGATTTTCTTTTCATTGTCAATATTAAAATATATATAACTTTATTTAATTTCAAATTTTTTAAAAAAATTCACTTTCTCTTACTAATGATATTTGTCTTTGACTAACTTACATTAAATAGTAATTAATTTCTCTATAGTTTATAAGACATAAGATAAGATATAAAAATATAAAATTGGACCAACAACATGCTACTTTTTTTATATATATATTTTAACTTTTTAAATAATTTAAAAATTGATGCTAGTTTTTTTTTTTCTTTCTAAATTTTAGATTTTGTTAGATTATATCTCTATAGGTTTGTTAGGTTACATCTTTAAGTATAACATTATTTTACATCAAATATATATTATTAAAAATTCTAAATAATATTAAAATAAAACACCTTATTACATTATCAATATAAAAGAAAAACAATAAGAAAAAAAATACTTTGATATATTAAAAATAAATTTTTATATCGTTGTAATTTCATTTTACTCGTTATCTATACTTTACTATACAAAATTAATTTACTTTAATTTGTGTTTTTTTTTTCCTTTTTATAAATATTTTGTTATTTTATGCTTGATTTTGACACTTTTATAATAATATAATGATATTTCACATAAATAAAAAAATGAAGTCTGCAAATGGATAAAGTGGAAAATAGATAGATGAGAGCAAAAGAGATAAAAGTAATATTAGGTTGAAACTTAAGTTAATTATAGTGAAGCTTGCATGAAATAATTATTTATAAGCTAAAATTTATTAATATTTATATATAATACTTTATTTTGAAATGGGTCCATTTTTTTTATTAAAGTATATTTATACTTTATAATATTTTTAAATCCCTCCCCTTTATATTTTTTCTTTTTCAATTTGGTGGGGGCAAAATATGAAAATATTAAAACTTTTGTCTAATATCGTAATATATTTAAAAAGGCTTTTAGGATTTCGGTAGGGACAGTTACCCACTACCGCCCATGTAAATCCGTCCCTAGTTGGCAAAGCTTTGGCAGTTGGCATATATGGCTGCAATTCATAAAGAAAATATTGTTGTGAATATTGACTCAAATTTCATAAGAGATTTGTTTGAGATTTGTTAGAGATTTGTTTGAGATTTATTAAATATTACTTGATGGACAAGAAGACTTGCAAATGAAGAATTCTAAGAGAAAGAGGATTCTTAATAGGTAAGTTTGACTTGCAAGAAGAATTCTAAAATGAAAGAAATTCTTAATAGTCAAGTTTGACTTACAAGAGAAGAATTCTAAGAGTAGAAAGATTCTTAATGGATAAATTTGTATGGTTATAAATAGGTGAAGTCTCTACAGGGTTAAGTATGAGAAAAAGATGTAAGAGAGTTGTAGGATTTTGTGGGATAGACACCCCATAAGAATATTGGGGCTCTACGTCTTATGGGTGTGTATGTTTGTTTGTGAGTGAACTAGAGAAGACTGAGAGGGTCCACATAGGTATGATGTATGGGAGCATATGAGTATGTGTTTGATTATGTTAAAAGGTTGCACAAGGGTTTGGGTTTTTGTTTATTTGGGTTGAGAATACTCCATAAGACTAGAGGAGATTGAGAGTGTCTTATGAGTATTGATTATTGAGTGATGTTGATGATTTGATGTATGTTTGTAATTCTCTACAACTAGTGGATTTTGTTTTTCATCCGTGGATGTAGGTCAATTGGACCGAACCACGTTAAATTATTGTCTCTTATGTGTTTGATTTATTGTTTGATTTCGCTTCCGCTGGTGCGATTGGATTGGAGGCTTTTAGCTCAACAAATGATATCAGAACGGGTGTAATTGGGTTTTGGGTTAAGTTTTGAGTAAGAAGTTTTATGAGACTTTTCTCATTCTAAAAGTCTCACAGTTGTAAAGATTTATTTGTTAGTGGATTGAGTTTGGAGTAGGCCATTTTGAGTTAGGCCGAACTAAATATTTGTGTGTTCTTATTCTTGATTTGAGTTTGCTATTGTGTGTGTGGTTGCTGCGTGTTATTTTTCTTAACAAGTGGTATCAGAGCTGAAGGTTCGAAACGTGAGAAGAGTTGAAGATTCAAGATGTGGGAAGAGCTGATGGTTCGAGACATAAAAAGAGTTAACAGTTCGAGAAATGAAAAGAGCTTGGTTTGAGACATGAGAAAAAGTAAGCTTAGAGGAGCTCGATTCAAGAGAAGAGTTTGAGTTTAAGTTTTGAAGATTGAGGATTAGTTTGTATGAAGCGTGAAGACACAAGAGAAGAGAAGATGATTGTGAGACTTTCATTACAGGTGGAGCCAAACATGTCTAGCATGAAGACAGATGATTGATTGAATTTGAGTCAAGGTGAAGATTGTTGGGAATATTGACTCAAATCCCATAAGAGATTTATTTGAGATTTGTTTGAGATTTATCAGATATTACTTGATGGACAAGAAGACTTGCAAAAGAAGAATTCTAAGAGAAAGAGGATTCTTAATAGGTAAGTTTGACTTGCAAGAGAAGAATTCTAAAAGAAAAGGGATTCTTAATGGGCAAGTTTATATGGTTATAAATAGGTGAAGTCTCTACAGGGTTAAGTATGAGAAAAAGATGTAAGAGAGTTGTAAGGTTTTGTGGGATAGACACTCCATAAGAGTATTGAGGCTCTTCGTCCTATGGGTGTGTATGTTTGTTTGTGAGTGGACTAGAAGAGATTGAGAGGGTTCACATACTCTTATGGGTGTATATGTTTGTTTGTGAGTGGACTAGAGGAGACTGAAAGGGTCCACATAGATATGATATATGGGAGCATATAAGTATGTGTTTGGTTATGTTGAAAAGTTACACAAGGGTTTAAGTTTGTGTTTATTTGGGTTGAGAATACTCCATAGGACTAGAAGAGATTGAGAGTGTCTTATGAGTATTGATTGTTGAGTGAGGTTGATGATTTGATGTATGTTTGTAATTCTCTACAACTAGTGGATCTTATTTCTCATCCGTTGATGTAGGTCAGTTAGACCGAACCACGTTAAATTTTTGTCTCTTATATGTTTGATTTATTGTTTGATTTCGCTTCCGCTGGTGCGATTGGATTGGAGGCTTTAGCTCAATAAATATAAAATGCTGTGTGTTTGCTAGCTGGATTTGATTCCATTCAACCCATCACGCCTTTGAAACTTTGTGGCGTTGATCACCACCTCATGATCAATAATCAGTACTATTATACTAGTCTATAATTTTCTTTTCCATCCAGTGGGGTTCTTGGATATATTATAAATACATTAAAATTAGAGTTAGAAAAAATAAATTCCAAAATTCATCCGAAAAAATTCTAACTTAATTTGATTAAAAAAATAAAAAATTTCAATTTGAGAACTATTTCAATTTTTCAGGGCTTCCAAGGCCTTCTGCGGGTAAAACTAAAACCTTAGCAAGAATTTACTTCTTCTTCACCTACAAAGCCATCTTGTTACTCTCAATACGAAGGATTTTATACGTAGAATCAATGGATATCATTGGTAAGAGGAATTTATCCACAATTTTCATGTTTCAATTGTATTTTTTTTTCTTTTCCATGAATATATATTGGAATCAAGTTGTTAACTGCTACGGATTATATATGGAACATGTTTTTGTCATTGAAGAATTCAAGACTTATTGCCAACAGTTTAATTTACAAAAATCATGGGTGATTACATGGGATTGAATTTGCCAGTACCAGAGAACAAATAGAAGACACTGCCTGCCTTGAATTGATTGTATCAACTCTTGAATTATGTTACATAGGTTGGTGCAGCAGCAGCATTGTGCTATATATACTGCTACTTTATCTATAAACAGTTCAAGATTGTAGTAGTGATAGTCATGAAATACTCTTCACTGCAAGGAATTGTGAGACCTCCCATTGGAGGGTTGAATCCAAAATCTTCCTCAGCCCGATTTAACAGGTGTTGAAACAGCGGATGGTTCAAGAAAGATATTGGAATCACAAATTTTTTCCTGTTGCCTTCTCCTACATAAACTGCTAGATGGCCTTTTGGAACTTTTGCTGTTGCCACTGCTTTCCCCATTCTTACTGATAGTGTTTGATCGAGCTTTTGCTTGGCATGAACTAATCCAATGCCCATTTTTTACATTTTTTTAAAGGAGGAATAAGGGCAGTTCAAAGGCTGATTAAGAGATAGAATGGTTTAGTGGGTTGAAATGGCATCTCTAGTACCTAATTACATATATATAGGAAGATTCCAAACCTTAAAACTGGATAAGATAGTGAGTTATATGCAGTGGTGAATTCAATTTTTTTTTTGAGCATGTTTCATATTTATCTATTTAAGAACTGCTATGAATTTAGTAATTTTGTAAACAAAAATAAAGAGATATTGTTTGCTTTAACCTGATCATACGGTTTTATTATATATAAAATACCTCACAAGTTTAAGTTTAAAGTGCTTCTTATTTATTATAATAATTTTTCAAAATCTCTCAATGTGAGATTGAGATATTACAAACTTCACCTATTAAATTTGACTTTCTCGTCAAACTCAACACAAATATCACATCAAATATGTTGAGTGAGCCCAACAGAAAGTATAAACAAATTATAGAATCATACAAAAAGTTAAGATTTTAGAGTTCGATTGATAATTACTTTAATATCATTTGTGAAAATCCACACCTAACTTGAGAGATATTGTTTATTTTAACTCAAATGTTTTATTATTTTGTCCCATAAAAATATAACAAATCTTCATAATTTTTCGACGTGGAATTGAGGAATTACAAATGATGTCCGGGAAAAATTTTGGAGGTATCGAAGGTAAAATTTTTCTTCCAATTCTCTTGTTTTTCAATCTTTGGAGTGTACATGGACACCCTACTAATCCGCCTATAGCTATATGCCTTTGAAGAATGTTCAGAAACATGTGAGCTGAAAGAATTAGTTATGTCTCACATGGTTTTGCTTTGTCTTTGGCAAGACATCCTGTCCTGTATACGGTCCTACCATCGTAAGAGAAACTCAAAAAGATGAGTGCGACTTTTGAATTTGTATATGTATACCTGTTCTCTGTCTTGAACTAAAGCAATGAACTCATGATGCCTAGTGGTTTATTGCCATCAAATACTCATCTCAATCTTAAATATATCTTTCAAACTTAAACTTTCGTTTACCAATTTTGCTTATCTTTGTACCAACTAGCCAACATGTTTTCCTCAGAATAATTGCAATGTCTCTAGATTTGTCCCATAGATTGTCTGAAGGTCATTGAATTAAGATTAGATAACTGGTCAACTTTATTGTTAAGATTATCCATGACTATCTTGGTCAAATTTGAATAAAATCATTAATTAGTTTGTTAGATCAAGCTTCAAACATTGCAACTATTAGTTCCTTTAACAATATCTCTGATTTATTAATGTTCTTCCATTACTGAGGTTTGACTACTGTGCTTTGAAAAATCTTGTTGCAATTTTCTTGATTTGATATTCATGACTCCAAATCTAGATTTCTTGCTAATTGAATTAAGAGTATGTACCATCATGCATCGTTGACTACTAGTTTAATATATATTTACTTTGCGAAATCGATTCATTAGAACTTAAGATTTGTATGATATCTACTTTGATTTATTCAGATTTTTCCTGTCCTCCTGGTCTGATTACTCTCTAGCACACGTTTCACATGCACGTCAACTAATTAAATACATTTGCATGTAGATGTTTGAATGCTAAATAGGTTTTTCTTGATACTGTAATCATTGACACTTTAAATACTTCCTAACTCTAATAAGTAACGAACTTTATTCAATGGTAGGGACAGCAGATACAGATTTTATTGCAGAAACACTAAATGCAGACTTTCCCATTTTATAATTACAAGCAAACGAGTCGGTTCCCCTAGTTAAGTGCAGGTTGATTTATTATTTATCAATTGACTCTTAAACCAAAAGTTAATCAAAGAGAGATTGAGGTATGAGAGTTGGTTTAGGAAAAAAAGAGTGCATAGATGAGTATTTCTGAACGGAAGAAAACACTTGCATTTAATTTTCCAGTTCTATAAAACATGAGTGACTGTTTAACAATTTGGAGGAGCAATGTTATACTCATTTAGCAAGCATACATAAGGATGAAGAGCAATGGATAAAGTCTTAGGTGCCAAGAATGCAAAGGCAATGCAATGTTTTATTCATTCATGAAAACTCAGATAGGCCTTAATTAAACTGTTCATCGTTCATGTGTGATAGTAAATAGTAGTCTCAATTAGACTCCTCTAAAGGGGCAAGAGAACAAAGAAAATTATGGCACAACATGGTATGTATGGAGTTTGACAATGATTTTTCTTTTTATTTTTTAGAATAATCGCCATACGCAATGATTTTCCTGGGATATATCACTTTCACATTCTTGTTTGTGCATTCCAAAATTTGGCGAGTAGCACATGTTTATGTCCTGCAGCATATAATGCACTACCATCTGTGCATTGAACAAGCACTGAATCCAAGCTATCCTTCTGACAATGTAGTCATTGTACCTTGAATTCTCCGATTCCATCCCACATAGGGGCCACTAATACTGTTTCTTGTAGGGAAAAACAGCTATTCTATTGAAAGATCAATCATTCGGAGATGGAATCGAATGAAGGAAATGAAAATTTTGCATTCCTTATTGGGAAGGGAAGATTGTACCAGAATTCCTATGATCATATTGAGAAAATAAGTTATTAGCTCTCAACTTTTGAAACCAAGACCAATGACATATCGGTCTATCCTTGTGCCACAGATGGCTTATTAATCAAGCAATTAGAATCAATCCATTGCAGTCATTGTCAAATTGTATCATAATTCCATGATCATATCGAGAAAATAAGTTATTAGCTCTCAACTTTTGAAACCAAGAGCAATGACAGTCTTATTGGTCTATCCTTGTGCCATAGATGGCTTATCAATCAAGCAATTAGAATCAATCCATTGCAGTCATTGCCAAAACCATGACAAGTTGGGCAAAGTTAGGCAGTTTCTCATCAATTTGGGGTCTATAGAAAGTACATGGCAGCACTCTTAACTATTGTATGCTGGATTAGCTGGATGTTTCCAGTCAACCTCTCATCCGATCAAAGTTTATGACTTCAACCCAAAAATAAACGGAGAATTTTAAATGTTCATCACCAGCTCATCAATCGTACGAGCAAATAATTATATCTTCACATGGGGTTACAATTTGACCGAAATTGCATTGATCACTAGTAGTCGGTATTTCACTCAACTGGTATTCATAAAAATCTGTTTAGATCCCATCATTAATATTCATAGTTGCAAGAGTTTTGTTAACGATTTGCTCGTCCTGATCTAAGAATGCAGTGAAGAAGTCTTAATTTCTTCATCAAGAAGAATTTTTTTGATGGGATCACACAGAACTTCTTAGATGGTGTGAAAAATGTGCTAGAAGGGACCTTTTGACTCTCTCAAACTAATTTTCTATGGTAAAACTATAGGGTTTTTATTGTTCCCTCCCATAAATGTAAGCTTTTTAATTTTTATAAATAAAAAAATTAAATATGCATGCATGTGTATTAGAAAATAAAACAGAGTTTAATTTAATATATTTTAGTGTACAAGCTATACTTAAAATAAGTTACCATAATAATGAACTAAAATATAGCAGGTCGAGGGTTGAATTCACAGTAACTGCAATCCCTTCTTTTATTGCAATTTAACAACAATGTGTCAAACATAAATTCTGATATAAATCGCTAACAATAATTGGTTCTGTTACAGGTTTCAAAATAATCCACTTGAGACCCAGCAAGCTTTCCGTTTGGTGTTGAACTGATGAGCAGCAATTTCTGGATTAAACAAGAAAATGCAAAGGACAAAAGCCGAGTACTACTTTAAGGCTTTCGTCATAAATAGTTTTATCTGATTTCAAGTCCATTTCTTCTTTTGAATGTTTAAAGCTCTCTACACTCTTCAGAGTTTCTGAACTTTCTGTGATTTAAGTTGTCCAATGATGTGAAATATACCAAGCATTTTGATCTGATTTTAACATGCAATTCAGGCATATTTTGTTTGTCTAGCACTTAACATCTTCAAATTGTCAGAAAAATATAATAAAACGATTGTGTTAGGAAAATGGGCTCCAGTCTCATGTAAGTGATTTTGGACCAAGTAAAGGTCATGGCCTTGTCTTTTTTTACAAAAACCTAGCTACTTAATAAAGAGTTGTTAATTGTTTCGAAAACCAAGCAGAGAAAGAGATAAAGCCAGGAAAAGCAGAGAAGAAAAAAAAAGAGTTGTTAAACGGAATGATCGTGGTCAATTAGTTGGAACTTGTCAGGATTTATGATCAGAGTTAACATTTGATGAAGATTTTTTGAAGATCACTAGGAACAATAAGTGAATTTGTTGATTACTTATTTGGTGAATTTCTCCAATTGTTTTCTAGTTTAGATTAGCCTAGTTTTAGCTAGAGAAGAGACTTTGTATAACTATATTTGATAGTGAAGATTTTTTCTGGTGGCCGTGGTTTTTTTTTCTTATACACTGGAGGGTTTTCCACGTAAATCTTGGTGTGCTTTATTTTTCCTGCGCATTTGATTATTGATTGTTGTCTATTGCTTCTGTATTGTTGTGATTATTGCTTCAGGCGCAACAAGTGGTATCAGAGCCAGCCCTAAACCGTTCGATCCACGCCGAGCGCCTCGAGGGAGGTAGGCAGGGTGACCGGCCTCCGTGACGAGAGCGTCACGAGGTTGGGTGCGGGAGAATGTCACGGACTTAAGGGGGAGTCCTGAATCCCACATCGAACATAATAGGAAGGTCCTTGGGGTATAAAAGGGTTCACACCATCTCCGCCTTGTGAGGCGCCTTTTGTAGGACAAAACCGTGAGGCTAGGGGGGCCAGAGCGGACAATACCTCACAAGGGTGTGAACCGTGGCAGGAAGGCTAATCTGGGACGCCGAAAGGGTGAATGCCCGGGTCCCGGAGCCGCGCGAATTTGGAGCTTGAGTCTCGACCCGTGACAAGTGGTATCAGAGCGAGGGTTATTTTGAAACATCGATACAGAAGCATCCCAGGATAGAAGTAAATTCTGTTTGAGATCATGGAGGGTGATACAGGTTCCATGATAAAATTGACAGCATCGAATTATTTCAATTTGGAAGCCTATGATTGGAGGATCATCTATACTGTAAAGATTTGTATGAGCTAGTATTAGGTGATTCGGCTAAACCAGCAGATATGAAAGATGAAAGCTGGAAGAAGCTAGGTAGAAAGACGTTGCTACAATCAGAAATGGGTTGATATCAGCGTGTTCACATCATGTAGCGCAGGACTCAGATGCTCACATTATTTGGAAAAAATTGGCAGCATTGTATGAGAGAAAAACAGGTATGAATAAAGTTATGCTTGTTAAAAAAGATTGCAACTTTACAGTACAGGGATGGACGATCTTGTTACAGAGCACTTGAGTGATTTTCAAGATATATTTAATCGGATGACTACTATGAGCTTAAAATGGATGATGAAATGAAGGTATTATTTCTTTTGGGTTCATTGCCAGACAGCTGGAAATACTCTAGTTGTGACTGTTCTTAATTCAGCTCCTGATTATAAGGTGACATTGGAGATGGTAAAGGACAGTATGCTTAATGAAGAAGCGAGGCGAAAAGATGTAGACCCTGGGAATCAAGCTCTGGTCACAGAGAAATAGGGGTAGAAACATCGACAGAGGTCAGGACTCAAAAGGCCGTGGTAAGTCTAAACATAGATCCAAGTCTAGAGGTAAAGTGAAGTGTTTCCATTGTGGTAAGGCGGGTCATATAAAACGAAACTGTAGAATCTTAAAGCAAGAGCGAAAAGATGAGAAAGGCAAGAGTTCAGATGATGGCAATGTTGCAGCAGTGAATTCAGATAGTGATTCAGTTACTTTGATTTGTACACATGGTGATTGTAATCATGTTAGTGATCCCGGCATTGAGTGGATAGTTGACACAGGAGCGGCATATCATTGTGTTCCTAAGAGAGAGTTGTTTACAACTTACAAAGCAGGAGACTTTGGTTGTACCAAGATGGGAAACAAGAGTGTGTCGCAGATTGTTGGGATTGGTGATATTAGTGTACAAACTAGTACAGGCTGCATGTTGACTTTAAGAGATGTCAGACACATTCCAGATATGAGAATGAACTTGCTTGCTATTAATGTCCTTGATAAGGAGGGATATGAAAGTCGACAAAAGAATGGACAGTGGAAACTTCTCAAAGGATCTATGGTAGTTGCAAGGGGAAAATTATGCTACACAATGTATAAGACATGGATGCAATTAAACGGTAACCAGGTAAATACCGTTGAAAATGATGCTTCAGCAAACTTATGGCACAGGAGGCTGGCACACATGAGTGAAAAAGGGTTACAGATTTTGGCAAGGCATTCTCTCATTCCCTTGACCAAAGGTATGTCTCTCGATTCATGTGATTATTGTTTGTTTGGTAAGCATCATAGAGTTTCTTTTCATAAAAGTTCTCAGAGAAAAGAAAATAAATTGGAATTAATTTATTCTGACGTATGTGGTCCCATTGAGGTTGAGTCATTAGGTGATAGCAGATATTTTGTTACTTTTATAGATGATGCTTCACGTAAGACTTGGGTGTATATGTTAAAATATAAAAGTCAGGTACTGCAGTATTTTCAAAAATTTCATGTCATGGTTGAAAGGATGACAGGGTTACCCTTGAAGTGTATTCGAACTGATAATGGTAGGGAATACACATCTAAAAGTTTTGAAGAGTATTGCTCAAAGCATGGGATCAGGCATGAGAGGACAGAACCTGGAACACCGCAGCATAATGGTATAGCTGAAAGAATGAATCGCACCATTGTTGAAAAAGTCAGATGTATGTTGAGGATGGCAAAATTACCAAAGTCATTCTGGGGTGAAGCAGTCAACATAGCTTGTTATTTACTTAACAGGTCACCATCAGTTCCTTTGGGCTTTGACATTCCAGAAAGAGTGTGGACAGGAAAAGATGCTTCATACTCTCACTTGAAAATTTTTGGGTGTAAAGCATTCATGCATGTGCCGAAAGAGCAGAGATCAAAGCTTGACAGTAAAGCTATAAGTGTGTGTTTGTAGGATATGGTGATGAGGAATTTGGCTACAGGGTATGGGATCCAGTAAAGAGAAAGACAGTCAGAAGCAGAGATGTGGTCTTTCATGAAAAAGAAACCATAGCAGACTTTAAAAAAAATGAGAAGACTACACGAGTTACTGTTGAGTGTGATGTTTCAACACCGACAGAGATTTCACAGGAAAGAGCCACAGATGGTGAAAATGAGCCAGAAACAGAACTTGGGGATATGGATGAGCCAGCTACAGTTGGTGATGAGCCAGATGCTATTAGTTTTGAGCAGGGGGAGCAATCTTCTCTACCTGAGAGTGTTGAGCAAGGAGAGCTACCTTCGGCATCAAGTGATATAGAGTCTCAGCCTAGGAGATCTACTAGAGAGCGCAGGCCATCTACCAGGTATCCAAGTTCAAATTTTATTTTAGTTACCAGTGAAGGGGAGCCAGAAAGCTTTCAAGATGTGCAGGCTACTCCGGATAGAGAGCACTGGTTAAAAGCAATGAAAGAAGAGATGGAGTCATTGCGAAAGAATGGTACTTATGATCTTGTTAAACTTCCAACAGGGAAGAGGCCATTAAAGAATAAATGGGTGTTCAAGTTGAAAAAGGATGGTGACAAACTAGTAAGGTACAAAGCTCGATTTGTAGTAAAAGGTTTTTCTCAGAAACCAGGCATCGATTTTGATGAGATTTTTGCTCTAGTTGTAAAAATGAGTTCTATTCGAGTGGTACTGGGATTGGCAGCTAGTTTGAATCTTGAGCTTGAGCAACTTGATGTTAAAACTGTATTTTTGCATGGTGATTTACAGGAGGATATTTATATGAATCAGCCTGAGGGTTTTGAAGTGAAAGGGAAAGAGCACTTAGTTTGCAAATTGAAGAAAAGCTTGTATGGCTTGAAACAAGCTCCGCGACAGTGGTACAAAAAGTTTGATTCTTTTATGGTGAGTCATAGCTATAAAAGAACAGCAGCGGATTCTTGTGTGTATATTAAACAATTCCCTAATGGTAACTTCATTATCCTATTATTATATGTTGATGATATGTTGATTGTAGGACAAGATGCTAGTATGGTTTGCAGGTTGAAAGAACAATTGTCTAAGTCTTTTGATATGAAAGATTTAGGTCCAGCAAAGCAGATTCTTGATATGGACATTATCCGGGATAGGAGAGCTGGAAAGCTGTGGTTGTCACAGGAAAAGTATGTTGAACGAGTGCTTGGTAGATTTAACATGCAACATGCTAAATCAGTTAGTAGTTCACTTGCCAACCATTTTCACCTAAGTAAGAAATCTTGTCCAGTGTCTAAGGAAGAGCAACTAGCTATGTCTAGTATTCCTTATTCTTCTGCAGTCGGTTCTTTAATGTATCTTATGGTTTGTACAAGGCCTGACATTGCTCATGCAGTTGGTGTAGTGAGCAGATTTCTTTCTAATCCAGGAAAAGTTCACTGGGAAGCAGTGAAATGGATTTTTAGATATTTGAGGGGTACCTCAAAAATGTGCTTGACTTATGGAGTTTCACAACCAGTTCTAGAAGGGTTTACTGATGCTGACATGGCAGGGGATCTTGATGGTAAGAAATCTACTTCAGGGTATTTGTTCACTTTTGCAGGAGGAGCTGTATCTTGGCAGTCTAAGTTACAGAAGTGTGTTGCTTTGTCAACTACAGAGGCTGAGTATATTGCAGCAACTAAAGCATGTAAAGAAATGCTTTAGATGAAACGTTTTCTTCTTGAATTAGGGTTGAATCAGAAAGAGTATGTAGTATTTTGTGATAGCCAGAGTGCTTTAGATTTGAGTAAAAATACCATGTACCATGCTAGAACAAAGCACATTGATGTTAGATATCATTGGTTACGTTCAGTGATTGAAGAACAACAGATGCTATTGAAGAAAGTCCATACTGATAAAAATGTGGCAGATATGTTGACTAAGATACTTCCCAGGGAAAAGCTTGAGCTTTGCAGTAACTTGGCCGGAATGAGTTCCCTGGCCAAGGTAAGTTCCAAATGAAACTGCTATGGTGATGAATCTCCTCCTAATGGGGCTGGAGGGGGAGATTGTTAGGAAAATGGGGTCCAGTCCCATGTAAGTGGTTTTGGACCAAGTAAAGGCCATGGGCCTTGATCTTTTATTTTACACAGAGCCCTAGCTACTTAATAAAAAAAAGAGGTGGGGTTGTTTTATGTGTGTGTCGACAACCAAGCAGAGAAAGAAGAAAAGCCAGAAAAAGCAGAGAGAGAAAAAAGAGAAGGGAGAGTTGGTTAAACGGAAGTCGATCCGTGGTCCGATTGAGTTGGAACCTTGTCAGGAGGTTTATGATTCAGAGTTATACATTCTGAACGGTGAAGATCGGGTTTGAAGCTCTCTAGGAACAAATCCAGGGTGTATTTGTTGAGTCACTTATTTGGTGAGATTTCTCCAATTGTTTCTCTAGTTGTTGATTAGCTCTAGTTTTAGCTAGAGAAGAACTTTGTATAACTATTATTTGATAGTGAAGATTTTTCTGGTGGCCCGTGGTTTTTTTTTCCTCTACACTGGAGGGTTTTCCACGTAAATCTTGGTGTGCTTTATTTTTCCTGCGCATTTGATTATTGATTGTTGTCTATTGCTTCTGTATTGTTGTGATTATTGCTTCAGGCGCAACAGATTGATCATTAATAAACTTGCTCAGAACAACAGGTTTTGTTGTCAACAAAGAATCATAATATTATTGCCAAGCAATTTTTTTTTTTTTTTTACAAATTACAAAATGTTTACATGGGGTTGAATTCGCTAGACTGACGGAACAAAATTTGAAGATAACTGCTTTTTTTTTTTTGGTGTGGTTTTACTGTCTCAAATCATGTTGTCTCAATGTAGACGAGAGAAGGAAGAGATCAATGTTTCTACAACAGTTTTGGTGCTGGAAGCATCTATGAACGGTTCAATGACGTAGTTAAACTAATGAAGTAGTCTTCACTGCATGGAATTGTGAGACCACCCATTGGATAGTTGAATCCGAATTCTTCCTCAGCTCGATTTAACAGGTCTTGAAACAGATGATGATTCAAGTAAGAAATCGGAATCACAAATCTCTTCCTGTTGCCTTCCCCAACATAAACCGCAATATGGCCTTTTGGAACATTTGATGTTGCCAATGCATTCCCAATTCTTCCTGAAAGCGTTCGCTGGAGCTTTTGTTTGGCATGAGCTAGTCCCATTAGTTGGATACCCATCTTAGAGAAGAAAAAGGATAGTAGAAAAAGAAGCTAAAAGATTTTATAGTGATTGAAAGCTTTTGTGTTATGAAGACTGAAGACTTGGTTTTAAATGGCATTTTCACTGCCTAAATATATAGAAGGAGATAGCAATCTGCAAACCTTAAAAACGTGGATAGGATAGTGAATGCCATTGAAAAATGTTTAGAACATACCAGGTGAAGCTATTAGTTATGTTTCACATGGTTCTGCTTTGTCTGTTGCTAGGCATCCTGCCCTACCACCTTAAGAAACTAAAAAAGGGGAATGAACCTTGTGAAATTTTATGTGAATATATTTTCCCTATGTTTTGAACTTATAACCCACTCTTGACACCAAACACTCGTCTTTATCATAGAGCAATGACCATTTATTTCGTTTATTCACTGAAGCATTGAACGTAGACTTTGTTCCTCACAACTTGCAACAGACTAACACACTTACGAGAAAACATACACTCGCGCCAACACAAGTAGCTCTCTGATTGACCATAATTAAGTTTGGATTGCAAAACTGATTCTTTAGGACTATAACATAACGTGACAAAATGATTTTAGGGTTTATTACTTTAATCAGGTTTTTTCTGTCGACTGATCTGATTAATGTCTAATATATATCTTGTTGACTTGTCAATTACATACATTCACATATTAGATCTTTGAATGATCAATGTATGGCCTATGTCAAATGTATGCATCCAAGTGAAGAGCACACATCAAGGTCATCCTTATACTGCTAAATATTTAGTGTGAATGAATGGTCTATGTCAAATGTATGCATGAACGTGAAATGTAAGCATCAATGTCATTTTTAAACTGTTATCATAGGGAATTATAAGATGATTCCCAAAACGGGTTATTTTCGGAAGTTCCTAGTTGTGCCTTTTTTCTTTATAATGCGCTGCTCCTAAAGTTCACAAACGAAGAAGAATGTAGTGGAATAAAATCAAAGTTTCCATTAGAACTCTGTTACAACTAAAGAAGCAGAAAATTAAATATACTGTAGATAACAATTATGCAAAATAGAAAGAACATTCAAGTAACTGTTTAAGTACTATTGCCTGCACCGAATTGGAGGAGATTGGTTTTGATTTTTTTGTCATACTCATTTTGAGGCATGTAGGTAAGGGCCAGCATTCGCAGTGAACTCATTTATGCCACAGGAAAAGCAAAGTGATGGATGACAGCCATAAGTTCCTTAGTGGATTTCAGCAGGTACTGTTCTTGGTTCATGTATGAACTAATACTAGATTCCCTTTTCTGTTTCTGTTAAATATAACAAAAGACTATTATGCTTAAGACAAATCCTCAAAGGTACAAGAAAACATAGAAGTTTATGACAGAAAACATTGTAAGAGGTAGGAAAATTTTTTAGGTTCTTGATTGTCATATTTACCAATTAATAAAGAGAGGTAGAGATATGTTGGATTCAAAAAGATGATCAAAACCACAAAATCACATTTTTCATCCTACATCCTACATCCTAATTTGGAATAATTTCAGGGTTTTAGGTGCTCTAAGTTCTAAAATAGTGCCATACCAATTTGTGCATGCATACACAGTTGAATTACTCATTTAGTGAATCTGCAGTTTTTCTTTTGAAGAAGGGAAAATTTGTTGCTAGTCTAATGGTCATATTACTTGTCTGCGTTTCTTTCAGATCATTGATTATTGGCACTTCAACACCATGGTGGGGTTTGTGATAGACAAAAAACCTCAATCCAAGCACACAAACAAAAGCAAAATCAAATAATTAATCAATCACACAAAAGATAATAATTTAACATAGTTCAATTCAACTGATTTATGTCCATGGATGAGAAAAAAAATTCATTAGTTATAGAGAATTACAAACATACAACTCATATCAATTAGCATTCAACAATCAATATCCATAAGCCATCTCAATCTTCTTTAGTCTTATATAGTCTTATAAAGTATTTTCATTCCGAACAAGCACATACTCATTTATACTCATGCACCCATACCTATGTGGACACTTTCAGTCTCTTCCAGTCCACTCATAAATATTCGCACCATCATACCTATGTGGACTCTCTCATTCTTTTATAGTCTTATGAGTTGTCTATCACATAAAATCCTATAACTCTTTTATATCTTTTTTTATACCTAATCCTATAAAGACTTATCCATTTATAAACATACTAACTAGTCCATCAAAAAAAATTTTTCTTTTAAAATTCTTCTTTTGCAAGTCTTCTTATTTATCAAGTAATATCTAGCTAATTTCAAACAAATCTATTATGAAATTTAAGTTACTATTCTCAACAATCTACTCCTTAACTCAATTTGCATCAATCATTAATTTTTATGCTAAACATTCTTGGTTTTACCTACAATAAAAGTCGTATAATCATCTTTTTTTGTGTGTCTTCACGCTTCACATAAACCGATCTGTAAAATACGAATCCCTTGAATCAAGCTCCTCTAGGCTTCTCTTCCCTTATATCGAACCTTAAGCTCTGATATCACTTGTTAAGATCACTACAACTCTAATAGCACTTATTAGGCAAAAAACCCCAATCTAATCACACAAGCGAAAGCAAAATCAAGCAATCAATCAATCACATAAAAAATAATAGTTTAACGTGATTCAACTTAATCTACCTATGTCTACAGATGATAAAAAAGATCTATTAATTGTAAAGAATTATAAACATACAATTTATATTATTAACACTTAACAATCAATATCCATAGGCCATTTCAATCTCCTCTAATATAAAGTATTCTCAATTCAAATAAACACATATCTATATATATTTATGCACCTACATCTATGTGAATCTTTTCAATCTCTTCTAGTTCACTCACAAACATTCACACTACCATATCTATGTAAACTATTTCATTCTTCTCTAATTTTCCTTCAATACATTCAAACATACATATCCATAAAAATATTAATTTTTTATATATATTTATCTTATAAAACCTTACAACTCATTTATATATTTTTCTTATATCTAACTTCACTTATTCATAAATATATTAACTTACTTATCAAAAAAACAATTTTTAATTTTTTTTCTGTAAATTTTTTTATTCCTCAAATAATATATAATCAATATCAAAAAAATCTATTAATAAATTTAAATCACTATTTTCAACAATTTGCACCACTTACAACTACTTGAGTATCGGCTTGTGTTTCTGTTAGAAGATTCATATCCTCGTTATAGCTGAAGAGTTGACTTTCAGGCTTTGTCGCACTAAAAAAAAAAATCGGTGGTCAACTTAAAATTAAAGATTTATTTGTCTAATCATTGGATCTCTGCAATCTAAATTCTGGGATTCTAGACAATTAGCATAGCATCAGTACTAGGTTGGTTTACTGCTTGTTCAATCTATCATCCCTTAAAATTCGGGCTCACCCGCCAGTTTTTCCTAAGATCACCCCGAGCCTCTCTTGTTCAAGTCACTAAAAGATGCCACATGGTCTGGTATTATTTCGTTCCGCATTCAACAATCATAGAATAAATAGTACAAGCAGCTAGGGCTAGTATACCGTCTCATAGTCGCTGGTGAATATGATTATTTTGACTATTTTTCTTCATAACACTTCATCCACATGGTCTGCAAGGAAAAGTCATTATCATCTGGCCATGATTCAAATGGGCCGTTACTGTTGGTTCCAATGAATGTGAGCTTAAATAGATTGCAACAAAATAGACCAAGGAACCCAATTTGTCAAAATGTTATTTTTTGTTGGGACGCAAGGCCACGTGATTCCTCACAACATACGTCTCTAAATCATTCTACTCTTCATCACTCAATTGGCCTGAGACTGCTGACCATAAAGCATTTGCTCTTTATAAATACAAATTCTAACCCAGTTCCACACTCACAGTTCCTCAATCACTACTCGTAAAACAATCTAAAATTCCCAAAGTCATAGGTTTTTCGCTTGCCAAGAATTGTTAACTCTAAGTCGAGTCTAAAACGGACTCTTTCATCATCAGAGACCGCAGTGGTGCTCAAAGGCCACTTTGCTGTTTACGTTGGAGAAGCTGAAAAGAGGAGATTTGTTGTCCCAATTTCAATCCTGAAGCATCCTTCCTTCCAAAATTTGTTGAGTCAAGCTGAAGAAGAGTTTGGGTTTAATCATCCTATGGGTGCTTTGACAATCCCTTGTAGCGAAGAAGCTTTTGTTGATCTCATTGCAATCTGCAAAGCTCATGAAAAGAAATGATTAAAATGGCTAACCAAGCAGATCTTGACTGATCGTTAGCGCAACTGACACAGTGACACGTAACAGTTTTCTTATTAGGAAGCGAGTGTATATCGTGGATTGTAACCAAGATATAAACGCCAATTTTTTTAAAGGAAAAATCGACTCAATCTTTTCATGAATTCTGTTTCTGATAGTTTTTGTGTACCAATGCAATTTACCACTTCACCTACTACACGTATCTTCACAATGTCAATATTTTCTGCCAAATTATATTTTCCAAGTTCAGAGGCCTTTTATTTCGAAATCAACCATCATTAGTCAGTATAGTCCATCGATTTGATGATTCTGTACTATTAGCAAAATATTATAAATGCGAAAATTCACACCCAACTTCCTTATAAGTTTGAATTTAAGTATTTATTTATATATAAAAGTAGATTAAGTTTAAGCATATTTATTTATATATCATAGTAGATATTTAAAATATCTCAATATATGAAATTGGACTGTAGACATATAGAATTTTAAAATCAAGATCATATTAAATATTGAGATTTTAAACATGACTTTTATTATATAGTAATTTCGATTTACTGGTAACTATCTAATAATATTTGTAAAAATTTACACTCAACTTGTGAGATATTATCTATTTTGATTCAAAATTCGTCCGATTTTATTTTATAAAAATTTTTTTTTTAAATATAAATTTTTATTTATATATCATAATAATTTTTCAAAATAATCCGATATGGGATACGGAATTAGGGAGTCATTATAAATTAAAGGTTGGTTAAATGCTATCATCCCATAAATATTGAGGCTCAACCGACCAAGTTCCTCACTTTTTGAAGGAACCAAACAGAGTCACATGGACTGGTAGCTTGTTTCATTCTTTGCTCAATAAAGTCATAGAACAAATAGTTGCAAGCAGCTCTGGTCTTCAGAATGTCTTTGATACTGATTATCAGCAAACACGTAGGGCTATTGCCTACCGATTCATAGTCGCCGGTAGAGATTATTATTTTGATTTTTTTGCTGGCCCCCACTACATAGCATTTTATCCATATGATCTGCTGAAAAAAGTCATTACCATCAGGCCATGATTCAATGATAAATAATATTTCAAATGGGCCATTACTGTTGGTTCCATTGAATGGTGAGCTATGATTGTAACAAAATAGACTCCGGTTAGAGAGTTGTCAAAAATGTTTCATTAGTTGGGAGGCAAGAGCATGTGATTCCTCATACTATACGTCTTCAAAGATTTCTGCTTTGGGTTCTCTCTTCAGCACAAATTCAGCCTCAGATTGCAGACAATATAAAGCATTTCCTCTCTATAAATACACGTTCCAAGGATAGCCACCCCGCAGTGCCAAAGCTTTTCCTACATTTCTTCCATTTACTACTCGCAAAAGAATCTAAATTCACAAAGTCATGGGTTTCTGGTTGCCAAGAATTGTTAGTGCTAAGAGTCTAAAACGGACTGTTTCGTTTTCAGAGACAACAGTGGTGCCCAAAGGCCACTTCGCTGTTTACGTTGGAGAAGTTGAGAAGAAGAGATTTGTTGTCCCAATTTCATTCCTGAAGCATCCTTCCTTCCAAATTTTGTTGAGTCAAGCTGAAGAAGAATATGGATTTAATCATCCTATGGGTGCTCTGACAATCCCTTGCAGCGAAGAAGCTTTCCTTGATCTCACTAGCAGTTTGCATAGCTCATGAGAGTTGATATGAAAATGGATAACCAAGCAGAGATTAACGATCTCTCTGGCTCACGCTGACATGCACCGATTTAATATAGGAAGCAAGTGTAAATGGTGGATTGTTTTATGCAATCCCATGCCCTTGTGAACTTAATTATTTTCTGTAATGACACTATAAATGAGAAAATTCTTTTTACCAGACATAATTTTCTTGTTATTGATATTTTAGCTTTGACGTTCGCTACTAGTATAATTATCCCAGTAAGGCCATGCAGTGGAGAATTGGATGGATATTCCTTACTTTTTTTTTTTTTTGAAAGACTGCAATATGAAAATAGAAAAAAAAATTATCACTGAGATTTAAATTCCAGACATGTCAAATATACCTGAATAGCTATGTAAGCTACTTTAACTATACAACCCTTACTAGTACAATTTGTTTACTTTTCAACCCTCTCAGACTTTAAAAAAATTATCAGTGTTCAACTAAAATGAAAGATTTCTTGGTCTAATCCGTGGATACTAATGTCTAGATTGGGTGATTCTGGACTATAAGCATAACATCGTTACTACATTAATCGGTGCTTCTATTCAGCATATCATCCGTCAAAATCTAGGCTCAACCAACCAAGTTCCTCGAATCTCCCGTTCCTCATTTGTTCAAGTAAACGAAACGATTTCACATGGATTGGCAACTTGTTTCATTCTGTTTTCATTAACGCAGTCGTAGAACAGGTGTTACTAGCAGCTCTGGCCTTTGATCCTAATCACCGGCAAACATGTAGGGCTAGCAAACCAACTCATATATGGTCGTTATTGAATATTATTTTGATTATTTTGCTTCAAAATATTTCATCCATATAATCTGCTAAGTTATTATCTACAGGCCATGATTCAATGATATTGTATTTCAATGGACCATCATTGTCGGTTTCATTGAATGAAAACCCATGATAGATTGCAACGGAATGGACTACGGTGCCAAATTGGTCAAAAATTTTATCATCATTTGGGAGGCAATGCCATTTGATTCCTCCTAGCGTATGTCTTTAAAGATCTTCTTTACGGGTTCTCTGTTCACCATTCAATCAGCGTGAGATTGCCAACCATGAAGCATTTGCTTCCTATAAATAGACGTTCCATTGATGGACACCCCGCAGTGCCAAAGCCGTTCCTTGTAAAACAATCTCGATTCACAAAACCATGGGTTTCCGGTTGCCAAGAATCGTTAATGCCAAGCAGAGTCTAAAAAGGACACTTCCATTTTCTGAGACCAAAGTGGTACCGAAAGGCCACTTTGCTGTTTATGTTGGAGAAACTGAAAAGAAGAGATTTGTTGTCCCAATCTCATTCCTGAAGCATCCTTCCTTCCAAAATTTGTTGAGTCAAGCTGAAGAAGAGTTTGGATTTAATCATCCTATGGGTGCTGTGACCATCCCCTGCGGCGAAGAAGCTTTCATTGATCTCACTTGCAGTCTGCGAGCTCAATAGAGTTAACATGAAAAGGTTAACCAGTAATCAAGCAGAGATCAACTCTCTCTAGCCCGACTGACAAATACCAATTTTTTATAGGAGCAAGCAAGTGTAAATAGTGAATTGTTTTCTGCGATCCCATTCTCTTGTAAACTTAAGTATTCTTTGTAACCAATATGTCAAATGACAATTTAAAAAAAAAAAAAAATCGACTTGTTCTTCTCATCAATTGGGTTTTCTAATGGTGGCTGTGTTCTAATGCAATCATTTTGAACTCAAAATCACCCATAGGCGGATTAATTAATCTGTCAAAATTATAGTCTCAAGAAGCCATTTAGTGCTTATTATTCCATCATTTATATCATCACTTAGTTGCTTTTTGGCTTACACTTTTCTTTTACAAAAGATAAAAAAGTTAGCCTGTCTGTAATCCTGGTTGAAAAAGGTTCATTTCATGAACAGGCAAAAGGGTCCATAAAAGAAATATACTGCGCTATTTTGGATAAGGGTTCCATCCAAAAGGCTAAAGCTTGTCATTCGAGGAATGCAGTTGATATCTGACCTATTTCTTTGCTGTCATTTGGGCCTCATGGCTTTCCAGTATATATGATTTTCGTCCGAAGTGGTGTTTGGAACTGAGGGGACAAAGTAGACCAGGCTTCATGTGAACTTCACGTACTTTTACACGGGCTTGTCCGTAAGCCTCTTCGCTGGCACACTTCATTCAATTATCGGCTCAATTACCATTGAATACCCTTGTGCCAATGCCGTTTTCCGGCAAAAATTATCCTCAAATTGGAAATTTCATTCAACATTTTGAACGAAATTTTTATTTTTCTTTTTTTTTCTTTTTTTCTTCCAATAAAAATTCATGACTTGTATTTCGAATATGGAAAGTATTTTACCCTTTTCTTTTCTAATAATTTCCTCCTAGATCCTTTTTCTAATCAATTTCTTGAAACCAATTAATCACAAGATCAGGGGTTTTAAATCTCATAGTCACAATTTTTTTTGTCATTTGGTGACCTATATATATTTCAGTAATGCAACTACTAATACATATAACAATAAGTTGAGATTTGGCAGATTAATAATATGTTAATTTCCTTCTGAATTGAGTGACCTGTAACAAAATTTTCAATAATTTGACTAGTAAAATATTTTACTTTCCAAATTACCTTCCACTGAATTTGCCTGATAGGCAATAACATTTTGACCTTGAAAAAATTTCTCTCCTCCCCGGTTGTAATGTGTTTCAACAGAAAAAAGATTTTTTTTTGGGCAAAAAAAAGGAAAAAAAAAACAGATGAAACTCTTTATCTCTTTTCCATTTTCATTTTTAGTCAAGTCACTATAGAAGGTCAAGTAGCCCATGTTACATGTTTCCTGTCACTGTATGAAAGATTATATGTCTCAAGCTTGTCTCTAACATAAATGACGAGGTAGTACTACTCTTACGCTGTGAAGAAGCATTTTACGTATCCAAATCTTCTGTATTTGAGTGGGTCCTGAGGCGGTTTATCTTGCCGGAAGGGTCGGCAAACCTTTTCTTTCCAGTCTTTGCCATGGAATTCTTTACAATGAGTTGGAAGGCAACACCATGTGATCCCCTTCATTACTGATCAAACCCCAGCAATTGCCCCTTCGCCGCTCATTCCACATCCCCACTTAATAGAGGAACATTTCCCTTGAACCCATTTCATCTATATATACAAGTAAGAATAAGTTAATTGGCAACACCAACCTTCACATTCTCAAGTACTCAAGTTGTTTACCTTCGCTTAATTTCCAACTTCTTTCAGATCTTCCTGTTCTTCCCTTCCAGAGGCACATATCCATGGCTATCCGCCTTTCTCGTTTTGTTAGTGCTAAGAAAGTTCCCAGGGGCTACTTTGCAGTTTATGTTGGAGACAACCAGAAGAGGTTTGTGATACCAGTGTCATTCTTGAACCATCCTTCATTTCAAGATTTGCTAGGTTTATCGGAAGAAGAGTTCGGATACAGTCATCCTACTGGTGGTCTCAGAATTATCTGCGATGAAAACATATTTCTTAACGTTACCTCTCGCTTGAATTGATTGTGAAAGAAAATAACAAAAATCAGCACATAAAATTTTGTAAAGCAAACATCACTAATGCCATGTAAACCCTTTTTTCCCTTTCTTTTTGCCTTGGGGAGCAGATATAAGTCTCCCTAAGTGAAAAATGAGAGATGGAGGTTACTGTAACTAATATAAATCAATCAAAATGGAAATTGACAGTATGAAACGGCATCATTCAATTGAAATCTTCGTTCTTTTCAGAATTTCCTATGGTTCCCTTGTTCTTGTTCTTGGGAAGCAGAATTTCCACATCATTCCCTTTACAGGTTTTGGTTCTACTTCTATTGTTATTTATGCTTAATCAACATTAGTCATGATCAAGAAAAATTTTCAAATTCTCTCACGCCACTCATGCATATGCAACCAAATAACAATTAGACAAATGACTGATCAATGCAACATCATATGGCGTTTAGACCATTTTTAGTTAGAGTCAGAGGACTACCAAGTGCCAACTCCTTGCTTTTCTGCTTCATGTGATTAAATGGTACTTCTGCACTATTTACTTGGAATGTAGTTGGGTAAGACCCTTTCTGATTAACCAAATTTGTTGAACAGTCAAATAATTACTCACATTCAGCTGAGGAATTCAATCCCTGCACAAATGGTCTAAAATTGTTTAAGGAAACTGAAACAAAGTAACAAATAAATGAAAAGCCCTTGAAATGATTTATTTTTTATACCTATAAATGTTTCTAAGTTGACTGATAGAATGAAATGATATATTTTCTTATTTCTTTGACAATTTTTGCTGGATTTGATTATTCTGAGAAGTAAGAACAATATCACATGTTATGGGCTTAATGTTCCCATTAAATCTTTCATCCTTTGGAAAAGGCCCCAGTTTTTATCATCACTTCTCTAGGATGTGTCAAGCAGCATCATCACGCAACTCGCTTGTTCTTGTATGGAGATGCTGAAAATAAACAGGCTAAAGATTGCAATCTGTTTTCACAGTGTGCTATATATGATGATAGAGTAATTAATCCACATAATTGTCCCTACATTTTATCCATTAATAAAACTGGAGAATTACATTATCAGCAGCTGGTCCAAACAAATATCAATTCAGGGTGGGGTGGGACAGCCTCTGGTTTGTTCCGTGAAGTGGTGGGTTATGATCATAAATCTCAAAATAATAGAAAACAATACGGAAATTGGATATCAACTTTCTTTACTTTCTGGGAGGCAAATCCATGTGATATATTGTTGCTTTAGCAGCTGCTTGTTACTGTTTAAGCTTCTTGTATGGTTATATATCTACCTTGCAGCTTAAATCTTCAAGAGGACAAAAAAAAAAAAAACTAGTCCTACTAGGATGGTCTATCGGTCTGTACAAAGAACAAAATGTCAGGCGTCGATGACCAATTTATGCAGACAGAATTTCATATGGAAAGGCTGGTTAGGTCGACCCCAAATGGATTGATATCACAGATATATCTACTAACTAAGCATGTCACCACAATTTTCTGTAGAATTACATCAAGAGAAGAAACTTTTCCTATCTTATATCTCCTTGATTTCAAGTGGGTCCGTTAATTGTTGGCTGTTCTTTCAGAAAGGCTGGGCAATCACGCATTCTAACAGATATACAATCTCATCAGCCACCTATTTCTTGATGATCTGTTGGAAGGCACAGCCATGTGATCCTGAGCTTCTTATGTCTTTTAACCAAACCCCACCAGAATGCATCATGACCACTCGACGTGCAAGTCATTAGTTTCCGATATACATTCTTCCATCTATATATATCTCCGTGCATTATCCACACCACAGCCAAGGCATTCTCACATCCTCCTCTACTAGTAAATCGTACCTTACGTTCTTCTTTCAAGTCTTTTTTAATCTTCTTCATACTCCAAAATTCTAATAGCAATGGCTATCCGTGTGCCTAGAATTATGCATGCAAAGCAGATTCTTCGTAAGTCTAAACAGTTTGCAACTCAAGCGGCCTCCACTTCAACGGATGTTCCCAAAGGACACTTTGCAGTCTACGTTGGGGAGAGCCAAAAGAAGCGATTTGTAGTTCGAATTTCATTCTTGAATCAGCCTTCATTTCAGAAGCTGTTAAATATAGCTGAGGAAGAATTCGGATTCAATCATCCTATGGGTGGTCTCACAATTCCTTGCAGAGAAGAGGTCTTCATTGACCTCACTTCACGTTTGCATTAGCACTGCTAAAATGTTAATCAGCTGATACAGTTTTCTCCATTCATTTACATCCTTCTGTTCTTTTAGCAGATAGTGATGACCAAATGTATACTTTTCTATGAAATTAATTTAATACAAATTACAGTGGTCCTATTCTCAAAATTTCCTTTCATTTATCCTTATTATAAAAGCATTTTTCAGTTGATATAATTTCTCCTTTCCAGGATTTAATGTTACATTTTCCAATCTCTCAAAAATTTGCACAATGAAACGAATTGTCAACTACTGTTAATCATTGGAACAAAGAATGACATCAATTTGTAGAGTCCTTAACAAGATCCACCCCCGATCAAAATCAACTTTCCTCCAATTTTCGTGTCTGATGAACATGCAGCAATAAAGTATTGGCAGCTTAACTGAAAACATCACTTGCTCAAATCCATGCCTGGAATCATACTCGCTTTCCTACGGAAAGCAACCCTAATTTTTTTTTCCAGGAAAATGAGTGCTGAGAAACTCGAGAACCTCGAAAACTTGGAAGGAAGAAAATCAGGAATACGAATATCACACATGCTATCGCTATCAGTCAGTCTTTAATTCTTTATTGTGTTACAAAACAATACTAGAACTTACAAAACCTGAAAAACAGTCACAATTTGGGAAAAGATGAGCTTGAATTAACTTTGGGTTGAAACGAGTTAGGCTTCAGCCTTCATATGTCAAAGGTTTTTGTTGCGCCTGAAGCAATAATCACAATAATAAAGAAGCAATAAACAACAATCAATAATAAAAAATGCAAGAAAAATAAAACACACTAAGATTTAAGTGAAAAACCCTCGAGTGTAGAGGGAAAAAACTACGGACCACCAAAAAAATCTTCACTATCAAATAATAGGTATACAAAGTTCTTCTCTAGCTAAAACTAGAGCTAATCAACAACTAGAAAAACAATTTGAGAAATCTCACTAAATAAGTAACTTAACAAATACACTCTAGATTTATTCCTGAGAGCTTCAAACCCGATCTTCACCGTTCAGAATGTAGAACTCTGAATCATAAACCTCCTGACAAGGTTCCAACTCAATCGGACCACGAATCGACTTCCGTTCAACCAACTCTCCTTTCTCTTTTTTTTCTACTTTTTTTAGCTTTTCTTATTTCTCTACTTGATTTTCGACACACCATTAAAACAATCCCACCTCTTTTTTATTAAGTAGCTAGGGCTCTGTATAAAATGAAATATCAAGGCCCATGGCTTTTACTTGGTCCAAAACCACTTACATGAGGCTGGACCTCATTTTCTTAACAATCTTCCCCTCCAGCCCCATTAGGAGGAGATTCATCACCATAGCAGTTTCATTTGAAACTTACCTTGGCCAAGGAACTCATTTCAACCAAGTTACTGCAAAGCTCAAGCTTTTTTTTGGAAAATATCTTAGTCAATATATCTGCGACATTCTTATCAGTATAGACTTTCTTCAATAGCATCTGTTGTTCTTCAATCACTAAACATAACCAATGATATCTAACATCAATGTGCTTTGTTCTAGCATGGTACATGGTATTCTTACTCAAATCTAAAGCACTCTGACTATCACAAAATATCACATACTCTTTCTGATTCAACCCCAATTCAAGAAGAAAACGTTTTATCCAAAGCATTTTCTTACATGCTTTGATTGTTGCAATATACTCAGCCTCTGTAATTGACAAAGCAACACACTTCTGTAACTTAGATTACCAAGATACAGCTCCTCCTGCAAAAGTGAACAAATACCTTGAAGTAGATTTCATACCATCAAGATCGCCTACCATGCCAGCATCCGTAAACCCTTCTAGAACTGATTGTGAAACTCCATAAGTCAAGCACATTTTTGAGGTATCCCTCAAATATCTAAAAATCCATTTCATTGCTTCCCAATGAACCTTTCTCGAATTAAAAAGAAATATGCTCACTATACCAACTGCATGAGCAATGTCAGGCCTTGTACAAATCATAAGATATATTAAAGAACCGACTGTAAAAGAATAAAAAATACTAGACATAGCTAGTTGCTCTTTCTTAGACACTAGACAAGATTTCTTACTTAGATGAAAATGGTTGGTAAGTGGACTGCTAACTGATTCAGCATGTTACATGTTGAATCTATCAAGCACTCGTTCAATATACTTTCTCTGTGACAACCACAGCTTTTCAGCTCTCCTATCCCGGATAATGTCTATACCAAAATCTGCTTTCCTAGACCTAAATTCTTCATAGCAAAGGACTTAGACAATTATTCTTTCAACCTGTAAATCATACTAGCATCTTGTCCTACAATCACCATATCATCAACATATAATAATAGGATAATGAAGTTACCATTAGGAAATTGTTTAACATACACATAAAAATTTGCTACTGTTCTTTTATAGCTATGACTCACCATAAAAGAATCAAACTTCTTGTACCATTATCGTGGAGCTTGTTTCAAGCCATATAAGTTTTTCTTCAATTTGTAAACTAAGTGCTCTTTTCCTTTCACTTCAAAACCCTCAGGTTGATTCATATAAATGTCCTCCTATAAATCACCATGCAAAAATATAGTTTTAACATCAAGTTGCTCAAGCTCAAGATTCAAACTAGCTGTTAATCCTAGTACCACTCAATAGAACTCATATTTACAATTAAAACAAAAATCTCATCAAAATCGATGTCTGATTTCTGAGAAAAACTTTTTACTACCAATCGAGCTTTGTACCTCACTAATTTGTCGCCATCTTTTTTCAACTTAAACACCTATTTATTTTTTAATGGCCTTTTCTCTGTTGGAAGTTTAACAAGATCATAAGTACCAATCTTTCGTAATGACTCTATCTCTTCTTTCATTACTTTTAACCAGTGTTCTCTATTTGAAGTAGCCTACACATCTTGGAAGCTTTCTGACTTTCTTTCACCGGTAACTAAAATAAAATATGAACTTGGATACCTGGTAGATGGCTTACGCTCTCTAGTAGATCTCCTAGGCTGAGACTCTACATCACTTGATGCCAAAGGTAGTTCCCCCTGCTCAACACTCTCAGGTAGAGAGGATTGTTCCCTCTGCTCAAAACTAATTATATTTGGCTCATCACCAACTGTGGCTGGCTCATTCATATTTTTAAGTTCTGTTTCTTGCTCATTTTCACTATCTGTGACTCTTTCCTATGGAATCTCTGTCGGTGTTAAAACATCACATTCAACAGTAATCTGTGTAGTCTTCTCATTTTTTTCAAGGTCTGCTATGGTTTCTTTTTCATAAAAGATCACATCTCTACTTCTAACTGTCTTTTTCTTTACTGGATCTTATATCCTGTAACCAAATTTCTCATCACCATATCTTACAAACACATTATGTGACTTTACTGTTAAGCTTTGATCTCTGCTCTTTCGACACATGCATGAATGCTTTACACCTAAAAATTTTCAAGTGAGAGTATGAAGTATCTTTTCCTGTCCACACTCTTTCTGGAATGTCAAAGCCCAAAGGAACTGATGGTGACCTGTTAAGTAAGTAACAAGCTGTGTTGATTACTTCACCCCAGAATGGCTTTAGTAATTTTGTCATCCTCAACATACATCTGATTTTTTTTACAATAGTGTAATTCATTCTTTTAGATATACCATTATGCTGCGGTGTTCCAGGTTCTGTCATCTCATGCTTTGAGCAATACTCTTCAAAGCCTTTAGATGTGTATTCCCCACCATTATCAGTTCGAATACACTTCAAGGGTAACCCTGTTATCCTTTCAATCATGGCATGAAATTTTTAAAAATACTACAGTACCCGACTTTTGTATTTTAACATATACATCCAAATCTTACATGAAGCATCATCAATAAAAGTAACAAAATATCTGCTACCACCTAATGACTCAACCTTAATGGGACCACATATGTCAGAATAAATTAATTCTAATCTTTTTTTTTTCTCTGAGAACTTTTACGAAAAAAAAACTCTATGATGCTTACCAAACAAACGATAATCACATGAATTGAGAGACATACCTTTAGTCAAGGGAATAAGAGACTATATTGTCAAAACCTGTAACCCATTTTCACTCATGTGTGCCAGCCTCTTGTGCCATAAGTTTGTTGAAGCATCATTTTTAACGGCATTTACCTGGTTACCGTTCAATTGCATCTATGTCTTATACATTATGCAGCATAATTTTTCTCTTACAACTACCTTAGATCCTTTGAGAAGCTTTCACTATCCATTCTTTTATCGACTTTTATATCCCTCATTATCAAGGACATTAATAACAAGCAAGTTTATTCTCATATCTGAAATGTATCTGACATCCCTCAAAATTAACATGCAGTCTGTATTAGTTTGTACAATAATATCAACAATCTCAATAATCTGTAATACACTCTTATTTTTCATCTTGATACAACCAAAGTCTCTTACTTTGTAAGTTGTAAATAATTCTCTCTTAGGAACACAATGATATGTCGCTCTTATGTCAACTATCCACTCAATGCCGGGATCACTAATATGATTACAATCACCATATGTATAAATCAAAGTAACTGAATCACTATCTAAATTCATTGCTATAATATTGTCATCATCTAAACTCTTACTTTTCTCATCTTTTCGCTCTTGCTTCAAGATTTTACAGTTTCGTTTTATATGACATGCCTTACCACAATAGAAACATTTCACTTTACCTCTAGACTTGGATCTATGTTTAGACTTATCACGATCTTTTGAGTCTTGACCTCTGTCGATGTTTATACCTCTGTTTTCTGTTATCAGAGCTTGATTTTCAGGGTCTACATCTTTTCGTCTTGCTTCTTCATTAAGCATATTATCCTTGATCATCTCCAATGTCACTTTATAATCAAGAGCTGAATTAAGAACAGTCACAACTAGAGTATTCCAGCTGTCTAGCAATGAATCCAAAAAAAATAACGCTTTCATTTCATCATCTATCTTAGGCTTTATAGTAGTCATCCGATTAAATATATCTTAAAAATCACTCAAATACTCTGTAACAGATCGTCCATTTTTGTACTGTAAAGTTACAAGCTTTTTAACAAGCATAACTTTATTCATACATATTTTTCTCTCATACAATGCTGTTAATTTTTCTCAAATAATGTGAGCATCTGACTCATGCACTACATGATGAAACACGCTAATATCAACTCATTTTTTTATTGTAGCCAGTATTTTTCTACCTAACTTTTTTCAGCTTTCATCTTTCATATCTGCTAGTTTAGCCAAATCACCTAATACTGGCTCATATAAATCTTTACAGTATAGATGATCCTCCATCATAGGCTTTCAAATTGAATAATTCGATACTGTTAATTTTATCATAGAACCTGTATCACCCTTCATGATTTCAAACAGAATTTACTTCTATCTTGGGTAACTTCTGTATCGATGTCTCAAAATAATCCTCGCTCTGATACCACTTGTCATGGGTCGAGACTTAAGCTTCGAACCCGATAGCTCTGAGACCCAGGCATCCACTCATCCGGTGTCTCAGATCAACCTAACCGTCATGGTTCATACCCTTGTGGGGTATTATCTGCTATGGCCCCTTTAGCTTCATGATTTTATTCTACAAAAGGTGTCTCACAAGGAAAAGATGGTGTGAACCCTTTTATACCCCCAGTGACCCTCCTATTATGTTCGATGTGGGATTTAGGACTCCTCCTTAGGTCCGTGACATTTTTTCCCACCCAATCTCGTGACACTCTCGTCACGGAGGCTGGCCACCCTACCTACCTCCCTCGAGAGGCTTGACGTGGGTTGAACGATTTAGGGCTGGCTCTTATACCATTTGTTGCGCTTGAAATAATATCACAACAATACAGAAGCAATAGATAACAATCAATAATCAAAAACGTAAAAAAAATAAAGTACACCAAAATTTACATGAAAAACCTCCAGTGTAGAGGAAAAAAATTACGGACCACCAGAAAAATCTTCACTATCAAATAATAAGTATACAAAGTTCTTCTCTAGCTAAAACTAGAGCTAATCAACAACTAGAGAAACAATTGAAGAAATCTCACCAAATAAGTGACTCAACAAATACACCCTGGATTTGTTCTTAAAGAGTTTAAAACCCGATCTTCACCGTTCAGAATGTAGAACTCTGAATTATAAACCTCCTGATAAAGTTCCAACTCAATTGGAACAAGGATCAACTTTCGTTCAACCAACTTTTTTTTTCTTTTTCTCTCTGCTTTTTTTTATTTTTTTTTTCTCTACTTGGTTTTCGACACACCCTTAAAACAACCTCATCTCTTTTTTATTAAGTAGCTAGGACTCTATGTAAAATGAAAGATCAAGACCTATAAATTTTACTTGATTCAAAACCACTTCTACGATACTGGACCTCATTTTTCTAATAATTTTTACCTTCTTTTTATCGGATAAACTCTTGGATTTCTGCATGAACTCGGGTTAGAATTCCAACCCTATGAATAGTCGAAATCAGACCCCAAAATCATTTCGAAGTATGTTTTGGACGAAAAGTAATAAGTATATTGATTTGACAACCACTTGATCCTGTTTAAAATATTGACTCCATTAGAATTGCCATTGCACCCAATTAAAACTTATGCTCGCCAGGAGCTAGAGCAATCATCCATTAGAACATTTTACTCTCTTTGCAATTGGAAACTCCCAAAACATATCTCTTTGTCATGTTCCTAATCAAGACGACAGGTAGGTTTGCATTATTTACATATGGCCATCGAGCATCCGATTGTCAATTTCTAATCTTCAACTTGTCTACCATTGGTTTTCATATTACACTGTAGGCCTTTCAGTTTCTCAACATACAGATACAATCTAAATCACGAGGCTCTATCTTCTAAGCTGTAGGGCATATTGTTTTGTCAACAGACAACAGTATAGTTTTCAACCCCTAATATTTGTGGAAGTGTTTATACATGACCATGTGACACCTTCTTGAGCAATGTCTTAACCAATTGTTTCATAGGCACTCGCTCGAAGATTTTAGAGGATTTTCACATATCATCCTTCTATATATACACCCCCATATTTTGATCACAAGCCACAGCCAACTTAAGTCTTCATATTACAAACTCAAAGCTTGCTTCACATTTTTCTTTCAAAGAAAACACATCAAGGAAAAGCAATGGCAATTCGTCTGCCTGGTGCTGCCAAGTATATCCTCCGCCGGTCTGCTCAAACTGCAAACAAAAAATCTTCAACATCTTTAGATGTACCAAAGGGCTTCTTTCCTGTTTATGTTGGAGAATCCCAAAAGAAGAGATTTTTGGTTCCTCTATCCTTCTTGAGCCAACCATCGTTTCGAGATTTGCTAAGCAAAGCTGAAGAAGAGTTTGGTTTTGATCATCCAATGGGAGGTGTCACAATCCCATGCCATGAAGATTTATTCTTGGATGTTACTTCTCGCTTGAATTGATCATAATAGAGAAGCCAACTAACAAATTTGTACATCAAGAAAAGCTAATTCATTGTAAATTTTTTTTTTTCCTTTTTTTAGCCCAAAAGGCTTATGTCAAGGGGAAGGAAAATTGAGACATTTTAATCATAGTTTCCAATTCAATTTTCTTTTTCAATTTTTATCATTCGTTAACGGCTATTACTTGATTAAATGACTAAAATACCCTTTTGGAAGAAGAAAATGGGTTTGGAGGACTCCATGATCATTTATTCTTCACAGTTTTAATGAGGTTTGAGTCCATCACCAAATTTCTGCAAATTTTTTCTCAAACAAAGAATCTAAAAGCCACCAAAATCCTTCATGCTGACTTGCTTAAAAAAGGGTTGCTTTTTCTCTCCCCCAATATCCAAAGCAAACTCATTTTGACTTATGTCACATGCCTTGACAGAAAAACCAACCTTAAAATCTTAACCAACTGCTTCAAATCCATAAACCCCAAAAACCCTTTACTCTTTAATGTAATAATATCTGATTTTTCAAAAAATGGGTTTGCTTTTTTTGCACTGAAAACCCTTTCTTTTATGCACTTTAATGGCATTTCTTTGGATACTTATGCTTTGTGTAGTTCCTTAACAGCTTCATCCTCATTGAGAAATGTTGAATTTGGTAGACAAATTCATTCCCACGTGGCAAAATCAGGTTGGCTTTCGAGTGTTTTTGTGGGCACCGCTCTTGTTTCTCTGTATGCGAAATTGTCACTTTTTGCTGATGCAGCTTTGGTGTTTGATGAAATTCCTATGAAGAATTCTGTTTGTGCAAATGCGCTTTTATCGGGATTCTGTGAGGCTAAGTTTTGGATTGAGGGACTTGAACTAGTTAGGAAGATGCCTGAATTGAGTTTGGATTATGATCATTTCTCATTATCGGCTATTTTACGCGTATGCACTGGGCTTTCGGCTATTCAATTTGGGAGGCAGGTGCACGGATATTTGATCCGTAAAGTTTATAACTTGGGGGAGGATGTGTTTTTGCAAAGTTCGTTGATTGAAATGTATGGAAAATGTGGGTTGGTGGTGGAGGCTTTGCAAGTATTCAATTTGTCAGGTCTAAGATTGGGAGGAGAGAAAAGGAGGGATATTGTTCTGTGGACTTCAATGCTTGGTGTTTATGGAAGAAATGGACACTTTGAAGATGTGGTTTTGTTATTCAAAGAGATGTTGAAGGAAGGGATCAATCCAGACGAGGTAGCATTTGTGACAGTCATCTCAGCTTGTGGTCACACTGGTCAAATACGACTAGGTCTTGAATATTTTGATTCCATGACTCACGTTTACAAGTTGATTCCTGGCCCAGAGCACTACAGTTGTGTGGTTGATTTACTATGCAGGGCTGGGCAGTTGGAAAAGACAATGAAGGTGGTCAATGAGATGCTCCAGAAAGGCCACAACAATGGCAGTGTTTCCTTGTGGGTGGCTTTGCTTAGTGCTTGCTGTGATCATGAAAATGTTGAGTTGGGTAAGTTTGCTGCCCAAAAGGCACTTGAGTTGGATTCCCAGAATGTTGGAATTTATGTTAAGCTATCTAATTTATATGCTAGATTTGGAATGTGGGATGAGATTGGACAGTTAAGAGAGGTGATGAAGCAGAGAGGATTAAAGAAAGATGTTGCATTTAGTTGGATTGAAGTCACTAGTTGAATGGAGCAGAAATTACTTATATGAAGGAAACATTTAGGATGACAATGGTTTTACTTGAATGAACAGATGAGATTCTGAAGCATACAGTTTAGCAAATTGACCATAATTATTAGATTCTGTATCTATCATCCTAATGGTCTGTCTGATCGTTCTTGAAATGTCAATTGGAAACAGTGGCAAGGGACAAAACAAATGGTTTTGGAGGGTGATTATGTTCATGTTAGCACATATGCTGCAGAGGGAAGTGCAGCATCTTCACTTTGACTGTTATGAATCTCTGATGGCACTTGCAAGGATTGTGTAGTATAATTGGTGAACAAGCTGTTCAAATGAGAATTCATACCTTGAAGTGAAGACATACATTTAATAGCCTGCGTATGGGTTTGGTTTCATACCCAGCATTTTTCACCTCATAGGATGAGTTCCATATTTATGAAATGTGAACCGTTAAACATCTTTACTTTTTCAGCATCCACAATCATAGTTTGTTTTTTCTCAAACTTGTTCATCGACATCTTTTCAAAATGGATTGTTTCATTATTACAAAGAGATGTCAACAAATTCAAATATTTTGACATTATAATTACATTTGTAGGAACAAGCTCATATTGCTAAGCTCAATAGACAGATTAGCATGATTGACTCGAAGAATTGACAGTTCAAATCTTCTTCTAACCAGTGAATTTATGCTAGTCCTGGAAATTTTGAGACGTTCACTTCCAGTTTAAATTGGTTTTTCGGCAAAGGCACATGATGGCATAGTAATGTAACAGTGATATGTATTTTGTAGACTTTGCAGAGTATTTTCTCTTTCATTTTTTTTTTCTTTCTCATGCCTTTTGAGCTCTGTACTAATAAACAATAACAAAAGGCAAAAGAATAGCATGTACTACTATTTCTTTCTTTAATAGAAATTGAGAAACACCAGTTTCTGCTAAGTGCTCTTGGAAGCTCTTCAGATGTACAAGTAAATGCTGCCTGAAAGTAAAAATACTGGATTTCAGAACTAGTGTTGAAGTCAGGGGGATGATTTTAGATTTTTACAGATTCTGATAAAATGTGGTGCTACAGTTCATCATCATGCTAGAAAGACTCATGACAATGATTTAGTCTATGCTGATGGACTGAAGTTTAAAGGGGCATCAAAATTGTTTTGAGTGAGAACCTGAGAACTGTGGCCACATTGATATTAACAGAAAAGTCAATCTGGAGCTTAAGACTAAAATCATGCCATTTGGAGCTAGACAAGAATCATTATTCAACTCGTCTTATTTTTCTTTAATGTCTAAAAGGGAGTACAGTCATCTCCCTTTTGTTAACTGCTAAGATTTCTGTTTTATTAGGGTCAGGTGATTGTATGGCTGATGAGTCTTTGCGGTTCTGCTACCAGTATTTCGGTTTCTAGTTAGATTGAACAAACTTTTGATGATATTATTATTTTCAGAAGCACCTCTTATCCCGTATTTGATTGGTTACTTTCGTCTCAATATTTTACTCCTAATGTGGTTATCTTTGAAATGGTTGAATTTGGCTGCCAAACTTGTATCACTGTTTTGCAGGCTACGTGACCTCTTGTATTGGAGTGTCCCTTCAATGAATTATTAGACAGTAGACTTCAAATTTTCAATAACGCTGAGGGCCGTTCCCCAGGTACATAGATCGGTCCTTGTGATGCTCTTATTGTAGGTTGTAAATGGAAATGGGGTCATCAACTCTGGCATTTAGATGGGTCCTGTCTGCTGTCAAGTCATTTCAATATAATTCCATTGTCATTATCATCTTGGTTTTGCAAACACCAGGTACTACCCTAGCATTTTGCACAGAGACCTTCCTTATGTAGGCTTCTCATACTCAAGCTGCTAATCTGTTTAGTATATTTACCAGTGTCTGTTCCATTGTTCTTTCAGCCGGTATGCTGAAGTCCTTAGTTATACTCCTACCTGGTTGATTATCATTCATCTCACTCTTCATCTTTTAGGAATTTTTGTTTTGATGATTTGCCCTAAAACCTATATGTACTCGAGCAAAATTATTCACTTTGATGGCATCATCTTCTGTCATCTTTTGTTAATATTTCTGACATATATGTTTATCAGTTCAAATGGTTAAAGCTGGTAGAAAGGACAAACATGACTCAAGAAACTGATGATTTTTACAATTTTGAGGGGCTGATAAAAGATTCCAAGAGGACAGTTCACAGTTTTGGGAGATGGTTATGTGTTTGTGGTTTGAAGTAGTTGGGGAATGATCTCAAATAGGACCTTACTATGTCGTCCTTACAGGAGAGATTAGGGGGCAAGAGTAACATGGCCTTCATGTGCTAAACAAAAGGCAAGTCTTTTTCAAGTGTAAAAGAAAATTATGCCTCTCAGCCTCGTTTGCCAGGCTCGACAGGGCACCCTATTCCGGTGAGCAATGGTGGGCCTTCCTCGTCTCCTGTTTTTTTTTTTCATCCATTTCTCTTCCACCCAATCTTATTCACACAACATGCAAGAGTGTCTTTCATAGATGGTGACCTTTGGGTAATCTGTCTGCTGCTTTTGTTTTCGCCTGTAAATCATGCATTAATCTCTCACCTGTCAACATAATACAACTTTCATTCAGCTTCTTGATCTCAAAGAACAACGCCATTAGTACTAAAAGTTGATTTGGTCTTTCTTGTGGAGGTTATTATGATCTGATTCATCATGAACATTTTTTGGGGGTCTCTAGCTTGAGAAAAAACAAAAAGAGAAGACGGAAGAAATGATGGACACTGCCGTACTAAATCTAGGTAGCCTTTTTGGATCACTTTCTGAGCCTCTCGGAACACGGAGATACAGCCTTTTTTGAAATGGAATAGGCCTAGGCTAGGAAGATATGAGTGGTGCACATTTGAAGTATAGCAATTATGTCTCTAAACTAGAACGATTTTCCTCCTTTGGTGGTGGAGATTTCAGCAGGACCTCATGCAAACCAGCCACTGCTCCAATGGATAATTAAATTATAACCCAACAAAGAAAAGCATAATTTCTTTAGATTACTCATATTCAAGCAGAGTATTAAACAATATAGGGTGAAGATAATAGGGTAGTCCTAGGTTCAGGATCTTTCTTCATTCTAAATTTCCTTTTATTTCTTTTGGTTTTAGAATTTTAAGGATGTAATTTGCATTTTCTGATGAATATGACTAACTGAACTGAGTAGTACTGGGTACTGACCATGTAAAAAAAACAATGCCACTGTGGTCAAAACCTGCAAATCTAGCAGTAAAAAAAACACATGGGTTTCTGCAAAAAAATTTGGATGTTGCTGTGAACAAACAAGAGTTGTTCTTTTCTGCCTCTCAGACCACAGAATCACAAAGCAAACAATCACAAAAATCCAAACGAATAAAACTGCTGTACTCTTCAGTGCACTTATTTTCTGTCCGTGATTTCAGGTAGAGAAAGACAGAGTTCATAGGGCTTGGTAATTAATTAAAGACAACAAGACAGATTACAATTTAGGCAAAGCCTTTTTTTTTTATCACCAAACTTAGTTGAATCCATAATTATTGAATATTTCACTTTACTTTTAAAGATTTAAATTCGATTTTCGTTATCAATAATCTCTTTGACAATTGATTTATAAACCCAATATAAATTTTTATTGAAATCTGCATATCAGGAAAAACTTTTTTAATAGGAGGGGATCTAACATAGTAATTAATAGTGATGGCAACGGGTCGGATCGGATCAGGACGGGTTTTTGCTCGCTCTGAATTCGACCTGATTTTAAATATATAATATCCGAATCCGTACCCGATCAGATAATATTTTTATTTTTAATACCCGTATCCGAACCGACCCGATAGTGTATAAAATTAAATCCGATCCAACCCGAAATTAATAAAATATTATTTTAAATATAAATATAAAATTAAATATATATAAAAATATATATAATTAAATATATAATTAAATATAAAATTAAAAAATAATTTTTTTATATATATCGGGTCTGGTAGGGTCGAGTTTGCTTAAAACCCGATCCCGACCCGAACCCGAAATTTTTTTTACTCTACCCGACCCTACCCAACCCGATACCCGATTTTCAAAAATAAAAAAATCGACCCTAAAGAGTCGGATCGATAGTTAATTACCAAGTTGGTATTATTAGGATTGAGGGAAGCCTTTTGGTAACCTCATTTCAACAATTCTTTTCCTTTTAACAAAAGATGAAAAACAAAAAGAAAAGAGCACAGGAGAGGAGAAGTTAAACCAAGTCACTATATTTTATATGACCATAAGAGATTCTAGTTTGTTTTTGAAGACTTCTTTGGCCTCCCACAGCCATTGTGATTACATTAATATAAATATATAAGGGGCCACAAAAGAGCAAAAGAGGAGCAAAGAAGAAAAAAAAAACTGAAGATTGCAACGCTAAATCCATAGATAGGAGGGAGGCTCCATGTTGTCGTTAGGAGGGCCAACAAAGAACAGATACTTAAATGGGGCTTGGCTCCCACCACGTTCTTTTCATTCATAACACATATCCTTACATGCTCATGACTCTTACTATGACTATGATTTTGGGTTTTTGGAATTTGTATAGTGTAAAATATTATAAAAGTTATGTATTATAATTTATGTTAATATAAAATATATTTATTAATTTTTTATAAAATTTATATATAATTTTTATTAAACTTTTAAATTATTTCACTTTTATATTTTTATTTTCGTATTAAATTATTATATTGTACTTTAAATAAATAAATTATACTTATCAGCCCTCTGCCCCGCTATCCCTTTCTCTCCTTCCAACTCTCTTCATAAATAAATACCCCTCCATCTCCCCACAATTCTCTCATTCCCATGCTACTCCCTCTCAGTTCTACTTCCTCACTCTCTTATCCTTCCCCCCAACTCTCCTCCTTTCCATTTTCTTCAAACCACAAAATTAAACCATTATTTTTCACCAGCAACAATGGCAATTAGAAAGCCATCAAAACTGTCTCAAACCGCAGTTCTGAAGCAAATTCTCAAGAGATGTTCAAGCTTAGGCAAGAAACATTGCTACGACGACGAAGATGGACTCCCTCTTGACGTTCCCAAAGGTCACTTCGCCGTTTACGTTGGTGAAAACAGAAGCAGATACATTGTCCCAATCTCATTCTTGACTCACCCTGAATTCCAATGTCTGCTTCGACGAGCTGAGGAAGAGTTTGGGTTTGACCACGACATGGGCCTTACTATCCCTTGTGAAGAAGTTGTCTTTCGCTCTCTCACATCTATGCTTAGATGAAAAAGGATAAATATATAGTTGTGAAAGCTAGCCGAGCGTTTCAAGCTTGCCTCGGAGAAGATGGCCAAGAGAAGCATATATAGCAGCATTATATAGCTCTAGTCTTCTCTTTTTTTAACATCATTCTTCATTGTGACTCTTGATCCCTCCTTTTTTGTGGTTTTTTGCTACTATGTTGAACCCATTAATTTGGGTTTTTTTATGTTTAATTAGTCACTTGTAACCCTAACTTAAGACCCAATAACTGAAATTTTCTGGGTTAGATAATTTGTATAAAGTTTGTTTCCTCGCAGATTGTGGGTTGTTACACAACTGTGAGTGAAGTTGAATATTAATGTTAAAGGAAAGCAATGGTATGATTAGTCTATTTAACTTCACAAGCTCTCTTTCTCTTGTTCTCCATCTTGTGCATGTGTGGCACCATTTTTATGTTCGTCTCACTGTAACTTTAGTCAAATCAAGTGAGGGACATGTTAGAGAAACATTAGAATGTGCATCCACAGCCAACATGATTTGTTAGAGAATGTGGGTCCCTAAGCAAGTACAGATCATAAGGTTTCTTATGTTCAAGCTTTGAAATTAATGCACCCAATAAGAATTAAGATAAGTGTTCGGGTTGTTCGGTGATAATAGATAAGATTTGATTTGATTTGATTTTTTCAGATATTATATAATATCATAAAATTTTATAATTTCATTCAATTAAAATGAATTGAATTAAATTTTATTTGTTTGGTTTGGTATGATTTATTAAATTTTAAATTTTTATATATTATTTTAATATAAAATTTTAATATATTTAAGTAAATTTTTATATAAAATTATTATTTTTTATTTTATAAAAATTAAAATATATTTAAAGATTAAGAAAAATATATATTTTGATTTTTTAAAATTTTTTAATTTTTTATTTTTCGATTTAAAATTTGATCCGAACTTAATATATATATATATTATTTATTTAATATCTGAATTTAATTCGAATCAAATAAAAAATCAATCTGAATCGATTAAACACTTCAATTTAATTTGGTTGTTGGTTTTCTCTATTTTTTTTCTTCTATATTAAGTTAGTGAAAATTATAAGCTCAAAATTAAGGAAGGAAAATGAGTTCTAAAGCAAATTTTGCCAATGGTAAATTATTAATCAGTAATTTTTCCCCCATTAATTCCTTCAAAAACTATTCAGCAATGCTAATTAAATAAAGTAAATTTTTTTCTTGTGATGGCTTCATACACACATTTTCAGTCAGACAGCATAATTTTCAAATCTGTTTTTGTCATTCTCAAAGGCTTCACTCTTTTTTATTTTCTTCGAACACCATAAATGTGATTGAAGTGTTGTGTCTGCAAATATGGACAGCCCCACCGGTTTCCATGGTGTCAATGCCTTCAAAAAAAAAAAGTGAAGAAATGAATGAGGGAGAAGAGAGGAGGCAAAGACAAATTTATCCATTTCATTGTCATCTATGAATTGACTATTCGGGTCTGCTCTTTCCTCCTACATAAATGATCTGATCTAATCCCTGCCATGCAGATCAGAAGCTAGCTTTCCAAAGTTATTAATTCCATTTCATATTTCCTTTCTTAATACCAAGGCCTTTTAATCACAAAACAAACATGTCTTACCTTAATCTTTTCATGGCAGAAAATCTTCTGATCAATATTCCCAACCATTATGGTTCAAAAGAGACAGTAAAATATTAAAAGCTAATGTACTTTTGGGCGTTAGGGCTGATCAGGAAGATGAAAAAACTAACCTATCCATGATTTGCATAAATCTCTCTCTCTCCCACCACTTTGGCAGTGTTTGGGAGATAAGGGAAAACCAGGGAATGCATGCATTGTAATCTGCATAGATCACCTCTCACATGCGCAAAAACCCATTCTCAGAATAAAAAGAGTACTATATATTATAGTTTGGTGGCATAAGCTAGGGACCATAATGATCAAACCATTGAGCCATTTATTTTTATGTGATTCCTGATGGTGTCTGCTTTTCCATTCATGGACCAGTTAGGAAGAAAAGGCTGCCTCTGGTAGTTAGTCCTCTCTCTTTTCTTTTAATGCAACAGTTTCCTTCTTTTCCTGCTAGCCACAAAATGCCCACCCTGACATCCACATGCTCTTCAATATACCTGCTTCTGCAAATTCCTCAGTCATAAGAATATATAATCTTCTGCTAAAACAAAATCCATTTGATGAGAATTTCCTCCTCAGCAAAAATATCTTTCACATCCACCATTATTGCTTTGGTGTTTTTTCATGCCTTGGCCATGCCCCTCTCCCTCTCCTCTCTCTCTCTCATTGGTCATACTTGTCCTGATTGAAAATATACAAATAAAAAAATTAAAGAATCTTACAAATTATTCTTGTTTCAGATTTATATTATTATTTTAGAAAAAAAATTACCCAAACTTGACTGACTCCATTGATTTTTATAATAATCAAAGTTGAACTTGAACTATAAAATGGAAAAACATAATGGAAGTTCCAAAAGTTAAGTGTACTTACTTAACCCACCTGAAAGTATATTTTGCTTGATAAAAAATAAACAGACATCTGGCTCAGCGGCTCAGGTACCTGTGGATTCTTAAAGTCCACAAGCCATGTGATTAGATCTGCAGAGAGTACTTGCCTACCCCAACACATAAACAAACAAAGCTATTGTGTCTCTTCATGCTTTAGCCTCCTTTGCTTTGGTCCCCATGCATCAAACTGTAGATTAAAGATCAACCACTCTTTTACCCTCCTTATTTTCTAATGAACAGGTACCAAAAAAAGAATAGTACTACTTCTGAAATTCCTCTTTCAAATGCTTTATTGAATTGAAAAATATGGTATTGGTTTAAGTTGATAAGTTTACAATAAAGAATTACTACAGACCCCCTTTGATTAAGATGGGGACAGAATTCACATGTCGCAATAGGTTGATTAATGAAAAAGAGGTCATGTCTTTCACATCAATTACACAAAATGAGTTGGAAATTTAAATATGCAGAGATACAAAGTCTCCAGTTGGCTGCATGTTTCTTCTGCAGTTGTCTCCAATGTCCCACCCCACGTTCTATGTATATTCATGGAAGGAGCCTTTGTCAGTTCAATGTTACACAATACCCTCCATTAAACTCTCTTCAGAAATATGAACGAATACATTCTAAAAAATTGGGAATTCTCCCTTTTCTTTTCTTTTAACTCCTATTTATTATATTTATCTAAATCTTTATCCTCAACCAACCAAGCTTTTTTCAACATATTTGAGCTTGTTAGGAGATGAATTTTAATCATTGAAATTATAAGTTCAAAATTTCCATCAACAGATCACACGACGGTCAACTAATTAAATTCTCTCCATACTTTATTCTATCATTTTCATGTGACATGAGGTATTCTTTCCAACTCCAACATTGCATGTTCTTATAAATAATCGGCGAAAGCAAATATGCTGACCTTGACCTGCAGGGTATATTCATGAATACCGAGTACCAACGACCAAATTCTGCTGAACAGATTAAGGGGTATTGAAGACAGTGATAAGGACAGTGAAGGTAGTTCAGCAAACAAATTTGGTATTATTAATGATTAAATATGCCCCATAGTACTATCAAATACTTGTACCAGCTCGGGTTTTGTGTTGCCTCAATATTTCATATATCACTTTCAAGCAAGCATCCACAGTAAAAGGGAAGAACATGAATGACATATGTTGATTTGTCTTGCACAAATATATCTGGGAACATTTGACACAATTTGATGAACATTGCATGCTAGTATTAAACTTCCGGGTCACCTGCAAATTATAACAAGCTCATCTAGCTAGAAACTTAGCCTGACAGATCTGAACAAATATGTTTTGAAGAAACCGAGTAATTAAGATGTGAATGAACCTTATTCTTTAACTATGATTCCAATTTGCTAACATTTTTACATCTACTCTCTTGCATTATTAACATTAATGTCCTTGGAGATGGATGTTCATGGGTGGGACTTCTTGTTACTATTGCATTTATACAGCCGATTAATTTGCCACCCCAGCAGAGAATATGTTGAATTCAGTCGGACCATATATACATATAATACATACGCAATGGCCCTCTGTCAACATAATGTGCGATGCTCAGGATAAAGGATGGATCCAAATCTTCAAGAGATATCGATCTCGGGTTAGCTTATCTGTAAACTGAGTATTAAGATTTACGAATCCCATTTACATCTGTCACCCTTTTATATCATACTCATAGCCAACAAAGAACCACTCATCATTTTTTTATGGACATATATATGAATCAATCCTGAATAATGTCAAAGATAATTATACGAACTAATCGAGTTAAATTTTTATTTATAAAATAAAATTTTCTAGATACATACAAAAATGATATCATCCACAATGTCACGGCAAGTATGTCCTTTTGTGGGTTTGGAATCAAATTCTGACTTTAACGGAATAATAGCTGTTACGTACCTTAAACAAAAAGGGTCGTCATTAAAAGAAAGAAAAGAAAAAGAAAAAGATTGTTAGGACGTCCTTTTTTATGCATTAAAAAAGAGATTACTATTCCATACAACAATGTTTGATGCTTTTTGTTTTTGTTTTCGTCATTGTTAATGTTGTTGTTTTCAAATTGTACGCCGTTGTCTTTCCCTTGTAAGGAGAACCACTGGTTCAGAGTGCGATTGTGGGGGAAGGCATGTTGGGCTCAGAAAAAAACAATTTCAAGACATCCTATCAGTAGGCATTGTCAGACCAATTGTGGGGCGTTATCTCTTTTTCAATATAATTTATGCATCATCAATAAGTGATTAGCTTATCTTAAGATTCATTTTCTTGACAAATCATTTTCTTCGGCAAATAAATTTTGGGTTTAATACGAGTTTTTGTTGGTGGTCACTTTTTAAAATTATATCAAATGTACAATTTACAGTCATTTGTTTAGTTAAATTATCGGATATGACACATTTTATTTAACTTAAGAATTGAATTTGAACAACTTATTTATCTCAATTTTTTTTTACCAAAATATATATATTTGCATAACTATTCGAATTCGATTTGAATAAAATTTGAATTCGATTTGATAATTATCGAGTCGAGTTTGAGCTTAAATAATTCAACTTATCGATCGAGCCAAATTTTAGTATTTTTATATTTGATTCGAGTAACTCGTGAGCTTAATCAAATTTTTATAGTTTAATATATTTTAATTACTTTAATTAATAAAATATTTCGAACTCTAATTAGAGTTCAAGTACAAATAATCGAATTTTTATCGAATATAATAATTAAGTTTATTTTTACTATTAATCAAGCTTAATGAAACTAACTCGAATAGTTCGATTTTTATCTCAAATCAAGTTCGAATTAAAAAAATAAAACTCAATTGAGTTTTAATATAATTTAAAGTCTCAAATTTCAAGTCAAATTCGAAATCGAATTTAATACTATATTAACTCAAATTCGATCAATTACATCTTTATTTTGCATGCTCTTCTCTTCTCTTCTTCACACAAATCAGCAATTAAAAAATAAAAAATCTGCGAATGCATGCATACATCATGTTACCAAACGAAAGGAGAAATAAACTTTTCTTTTTCTTTATCATCAAGTTGGCCTTGGTTTCTGCCTTTTGTTACGTCATTTTCATTATCTCCTGTATGATCTGCATTTTATTTATATTAGGGTTGCTGATATTTTACAGTTCATAGCTCATGTGATTTTCTTTTCCTTTCTTTTTTATGAGTCATGCAGGGCTCAAGGCCGAAGGGGATCAGGAAAGTTCATTTTATACCATATAAAAACTGTTCAGCCAAACCCAGCCAGGTCTTCAAGAATTACACTCCTTGTCAAAGTTAACTTTTTTTTTTAATTTTTTAATTTTGACTATTATTATCTTAAATAATTTAATTAATTAAATTTTACAAAAACACATATTTAAAAACTTTTTTTTAATTTAACAATTTTATATATTTTTATTTTTAATAAATATAAATGATAATAGGTTAAATTTTAAAAATAAAAAAATTAATATCTAACATTTTTATTGAGACGAAAGGAGTAATTGACGTAGACCTTGACTCTACAAATTTAACCATCTCCATTTAATTTATGAACAATTAATTTCCTATATAAACATAAAATTAAGTTTTGATTTTAAATAAATATTTTTTTTATCATATGGTGATATATCCGTACAGAAGAATCAAAGATATTTTAACATTTTTATTTATTTTTGCTACATAAATAGAAAATTGTTTAAAAAGAAATTGTCGCAAACATAAAATCAGAGGACCTTTAACGAGTGAATCCGAAAGGGTAGGGACGAAATTGTCTTATTCAAAAACATTGTTATGTACGAATCTGTACTGCGTGGCACGTGTCATTCGTCGCACAAAAATCGCTTTTCTCTTGGAGCATTTGATAAAACCACCTGCCGTCACCTATGAAAAAAAAACAAAACTAAAGTTAAAAATGTCTGCTGTTAATCTAAGTAGGCTGTTATTTATCTCCTTGTCCTCCGCTGGTTATGTCAGCGTTACAAAAGATGCGGATGAGATGCACGTGATTTGAGTTTTGGATCCCATGTATTGTTAACAGTAAAATAAGTTTCCTTTATAATTTTTTTATTATAATCTTCAAATCGACTAATCGCAATAAATAATTATATAAATATATAATTCATTAGTCTAAAATTTATATTATTTTAAATTATAGTAAATTAATTTATTATATCAATAATAGATAATATGTTTTCAAAATTTTAATGTATATATCAATATGTATGTGTACATAGATCATTCATGAAGTGGGCATCATGCATGCATGACATTACCATACAGGCAATATCATAAAGGATAATCTCATTGTATTGCTTGAAAGTTGAAATATATAGTTACTGGTAAATTTTATTCAGGTTCGTGAATTTTAATTATAATCCATGTATAACTCCATTAGTTTTGGAATAGGATAGCCTATCCCAAAATCTTAATTAACAGATCAAATTAGTTATTCGTTTAAGTCATTGTTAGAAGTTTTATTAACTCAATTTTAATATTCATGTAAAATATTAAAATTCATATATTCGTATCATATATATTTTATACGAAAATTACGTATCATAATTCGTGTTCATATTAAAATATAAAATATATTTTTTTATTTTATTAAATTTATAAATAATTATATTAAAATTTTAAATCATATCATATTCATATTTTTTATTTATATTATATTTATATCATATCACCGACTTATCGTATCATATTTTAAATTAATAAATTTAACATATCGTTATTTAATACCCATAATATTTATTTTTAGTTGCAAAAATAATATCCTAATTTTTTTTTTCCAAAAACTCATGAATGTGCCCCAAATAACAAACGTTTTTTTTATGGTTAAGTACACGAATTAGCTATATTGGGTATTAAAAAAACTTTAATATTATTGTAATAATAATTCAGTTTGGGCTTGACACAATTTCAAGAACTCCGATCAGCTATATGGGCTCTTATGCATCAATGATTTGCTTCTCGCCTCACCAGCAAATCAAAATAATACTACTAAAAAACCTTGATTGAATAATTGATGAATATTTTCTTTTTTATTTCATTTTTATTTCAAAGCTTAGTGCATTCCAAAATTTATGAGTTCAATTAAGTCGATTTTTAAGTTAAATTTGATTGATGAATAAAAGGTTATCTCATTTTAAGATTAAAGTATATTATAAATTTCAATAAAAATTTACATTAAATATACAAATTATCTTTTTTTGTAAGAAAAAATTCAAGAGTAGATAGATTACTCAATTTCTTAAGTTAAGATAAGATGTACAATATCTGACAGTCTAAAATAGATGATTGCAGAACTTGCATCTGAGATTATCTCAACAAACGATCACCGACAAAACTCGAATTCAATAATTTTTCATTCAAAAAGACGAGTTTTAATCAATTGAACCAATCACTTATTGATAAATCTATAAATTGTTTATAAAAAAGATTATTGGTAATAAAATCAAATCAATAAATTATTTGATAAAAAAATACATATGATTTATGGTTTATAAGAATATAAAAGTTTCTTAATCAAAATAAGGATTAATAAATGCACAGATTTTACATGTAAAATCAAGCTATTTCCCTATGCTTGACAGTCTTTATTATTTTAATATTTTAGCTTTTGGTCGATTAACAATTCTTCAACTTAAAAAAAAAAAAAAAGATAGACCCATCATTACATTAAAAAAACATAAAAAAAAAAAAAAGGAGAGCCTTTTGGGGCATGGTGGATGATAAAGCCAACCAACATCATGAAATATTGGCAAAAGCATTCGTGCCACGATTATAAAGTAAAAGTAGTACTATTAAATTCCTTCCCACGCTTAAAAAGTGGTACCATAAAGTTCCACCTATAAGATTAAAAATTAATCCCTGACATGACAAAACTACGATTTTTACTTCCTATTTAGTACTAATTTTTACAGCATTAAAAAAAAAAGTTGATTTTAATATATTTAATATTAAATTTTAATTTTTTTTATAAAATTAAATTTTCATAATTTTTAACATTTATTCTTCCTTTATTATATTGCAATATAAAATTACATATCTTTCAAAAGAATACAAATTAAGTAATAATAATATCCAATAAATTACAAAATTTGACATACCATATATATATAATTCCTAGAATTAGTCAGTCAATCAAAGCCACTGAATTTACAAAAGATAATAATAAATTATGCTTTAACTTTCCTCACTCACCACCACTCGGGATGAGTCGGTAAAAACAACTCCTCTTCGCCATCACCTAATTAACCCACTAATCACTCAAATTAACATAATAATTAATACCTAGCAAACTCAAACTCAAATATAGCTGTTAGCCCTTTCAACTCGTGTGACTCAGTTGAGTCGACCCAGGAGTATTAATCCTTTTTTTGCTGGCTTGGTTTAGCCGTTAGTAGACAGATTTATCGGCAAACTCATTAAGCAACGGTTGAGATTCCCTGAAAAACCCGAGTTTATTATTCATGCCGACGTGGCAGCATCGCTGAAGATCCTCGTAAGTAGAGAAACGGCCCGAGTTTGATGCCGAGTCAGATCGGAACACGACTCGGAGGATATCTTCGAAGAATGACTCGTCGCATGGGATGGCTAACGGTCCTACGTTATTGAAACCGTACTCTTCTTCGGTTTGTACGAGGAGTTTTCTGAAGATCGGGTGGTTAAGGTACGTCGCGGGTACGATAAATCTCCTGAGACTGGTGCCCACACAGACCACCACGTGTCCAGCAGGAACATCTGACGGCCCGTGTCCGTTATTGTTGTTGTTCATGCTGCTGGCAGTCATGCGGGCCTTCCTTCGCCACTGCTTCAGCATTTGTCGGATTCGGACAATATGACGAATTTTCTGGCACTTTCCCATCCCCTGCGACATTTTTTTTCCCAAGAAAGTGACAGAAAAAGATTTAGTCGGAAAAGAGAGTATTTTCCGACAAAGAGAAAAAGTGAACCGGTGTGAATGAGCTGATCGTGATGTGAGAATTTCTTTTCACGAGGAGGTATTATAAGGTCAATGACTAAAGCAATTGCCCTTGGAGTCAGAGATAATTACGAGATTGTGTCTGCTGTTTCAGTTGGGCCATGCGACCTATGGTGAGGTCATGAGACTTTAATTAGCTTTAATCAAATTCTTTAATTCATTAAAATTTTATTTAGCATTTAATTTCCATTTTCAAGTTTATAGTCAACTTTTTTTTTTAACTAATTTTATTGTTAACTTCTTAGTTTCTTGATAACTGTGCATTTTGAACGATTTTGTTTTAGAAATAGGCGTTTTACTTTCCTTTTTCCTTCTTCAAATGTTGGAAAGGAAAATAAAAATAGAAGTTCTTAAACTTTAATCAAAGAATCCACTGTATAATTGGGCACATGCACCATCATCTTGCTGTAAGTAATTATTAGGTTTTAAGCAACAACTGCTTCATAATAGTTGTTAGCTAATTAACTTCTCTATTAAGGTAAGAACATCTTTTATTATTTATAATAAGCAAGTACATGCATGCTAATTATTTTTCATTACAAATATAATTGATTAATGTATTTATGTTAAAGTATATGTTTTCTTATATTTAAATTCTGGTTTTGGTTTTCTCCATTTCTTCTCAAATCACATAATCTAACAGGTAGCTGTTCTGGACTAGAGCTAAATAGGGTCGGTAAAAGTGAAAAGGAGTAAAGCTTTGGTGCATAAGCACCCAGGTTCAAGTTCCCTCATAGTCTTTCCTGGGCAAACGATCTGTAAATCTGAAAATCCGCAAACAAATATCTAATGAATTCGTAAATTCTATTTAAGTTGGACGTTTATTTTAATCTTAAAGATGAGGTAATCACCCCTGCTCCTAAATTTTTTCGGATAAAAAAAACAAGTTTTTCTGGACTAAGAACATGAACAAATCTTTCTAACTTTCAATTCAAGATTGTAATCATGAATTATGAATTATAGGCAACAACATTGCACAATGCCCTCTAAATTTTTATCATTTCTCATAAGTGCTCAACCAACTAAAAAAAAAAAACTAAAGATGAAAAGGACACAAACAATGTATAAACATATGCATGTTTTGCTGTTTCATGTTTTATTTTCTACTCTCCCATGATCTCTTGTCTCCCCAGTTTCTTTCCTGTAACACAGTAATCCTGATTAAAGCAACAAATAATGAAAGATTTAGGGAATATATATGCTGCTCAAAAGCCTACTCAAATGAATGGCTATTGATATCGGCTGCTCCAATAATACAAGCCTAACTTCATGAAATTATTGATACCAACTAATTACCCCACCCCATTTCTTTTGGAAGAGCCCTCTTGTTTAAAGTAACCAGCATTCAATTAAGTTATCTGTAAAAGTTGTTGTTTTTAACCTTCTTTATGCCTCTTTAAAGCACTGAGTTGGCATTACTTTGTAGAGAAAATAGTTCCATATAAATTATCATACCAACTACTTCAATTCGTCGAAGCAATAGTCTTTAGTTTTCAGGACCGATCATTCAATAAAACGTAAACAATTATGAAATCAGGACCTTGGATCTTTAAAGTACTGAATACTGATAAGAAGATTTATTAGTGTTTAATTGCTTATAATCTGATAGAAGGAAATTGTTACGGGTATTTTTAGGTCCAAAAGATATTTTAATCATTCTCTTTATCAGAGATTGTCGACAACAGTAAAAGGTATTTTAATCTTTTGAATTGACCTGATATGTCAAGCTGATCTACATGTTTAATATCATATCAATTCAATCACGTCACTGTTATATCTCACAAATCTTTCACTTTTTACTTATAAATAGAGACACTCAAAGATTATCTTACGATTCTTATTCTACTCATACTTTCTTACTTTTATCTATTTTTATTTTCTTTTATTTCGATCTCTACTCGAGCATTGGAATATAAATGCAACAGCACCATCTGCTTTAACCCTTAACCACTCCTTCCTTTTGTAATTCAGGGTTTTGGCCCTTGTTTCAGAGCTCAACACAGACAGAAATATAAGAAGGCATGCTAACTGTCATCGCAAGGCATAAAATCTGCAGTTTAGTGATTATGTTTGGTTGAAAGTAAACTTCTTTGAAAATTGAAAGCTTCCCTTCTTTTTGGTTTGTTCTTATCTCAAGCACAATCTTAGCTAAGACAGCTTCAATGGGTTTTATGCGGAAGTTCATACGTAGAGACAAAGATTGCTAGAGTGATGGGCGAGAGAAAACTCAGAATGCTCGAGTCTCATGGCCTACTGGATGGCAGCCTGGTCCTGCAGTTCTCAGGTTCTAGATCTTTTGTGACCTTTGTCTTTGGACCAAGATTTGTTGATTTATGGGTTGACATAATGGGTCAATACACTTCAAAGTCCAAACATGACGACTACTATATTGGTATCATACAGTTATAGTATTGAGAATTGGATAGTGAAAAAAATTCTGGTTAATCGATCCCTTGTCCCAATCAAAATTCAACAGGCAAGTAATACCAACTTGAAGGATCTGTAGCCTGCTAAGATGGTGAAACAACGATGGCAAATGTTTTTTGAACTGAAATTTTCAGTGAAGGACAGGATGGAGATCAAGTACTGAATAAATCTTCAAATCTCCTAGAAAAAGCTTTTGTCATCAGGTACTGCAACATGTCATATACAAAAGGATTTGACAATGTTTCAATCAGAGGGAAATTGCCTTTTTGAGTGACATGATAACAAGATGAGTCAGAGTGTCACAGTGAAATAAGTTTTAAAATACCTCTGGAATTCAAGTGACATGCATCGTTATGACTAGGTTCAGATCATCAGCATGTCATAGCAGTCATAATTTATCCCAATTAATAAAGATAAGTTTTTACATATAATGTACAGCTAAATCAAAGCTTAGCAAGTTCTGTTACCGTATTTGTTTCCACTGAATCAAACCGACCAAATAAAATCTTATGCAGTTATTCTAACGGTTAATTAAAAAAAAATGAAAGAAAAAGAAAGAGGAAAATTGGCTAAAGTACATCTTGATGCTAATAGCTAGACTGACTACTTGCAAGCAGATCTCATTTCTTTTAGCTCCTCAGCCAGTTTCTCAAGCCTGCTAATCCGAGCTTCAAGTGTTAATCCGGGTATGTTAACCGCATAGCAAGTACACTCTCCTTCAACACCATTGATGCTTAGCATTTTGTGAATTGGACGTTCTGGGTTGCCCTCCTTTGCACCTCTCAGTGATCTTTCTGATTCTCCCATCACAACTTCCTCCTGCCTCATCTGTAGTTCTCTCTGATCCTTGTAGGCACCCTCAAAAGTTCCCCCCACTCCTCTCAGCACAGATTCATCCTGCATAACCTTTTCTGCCAGTATTGCTAATGGCTTCAAATATTTAATAACCTCATCATCTGCAACTGTTGATGAAAGACTTTGAGAATGGCCAGATGGGTTTCCATCCTCATCACAATCTTTAGTTCCAATTTTGCTACGCTTCTTGCAAGATCTCATCATTTCTGCAATTGTTGGGTTATTATCCTCAGCAGAATTTTCTGCTTCCTTCCCAACAAAGTTGGGCGTGAAACCAATAGGAAGACAGGAACTGCTTCCCTTCTTTCTTTTTACAGACCGTGGTGTTTTCTTCGTATTTACTGAAGGTAAAGCCTGAGAGGCAGAATCGCTGCTGCCTTCCTCCTTGTCTTTCATAAACTTTGCTGATTTTTCAGAGCTTCTAACAGAGAATCTTGAAGCGGCAGACACATAAGTATCTTCCTTCATTCCTTTAGAACTCTCCGCAGATTTTTTCAAAAGTTTTTGACTGAAACAAGGAGAAGCAGACTCATTGCCATCTTTCTCCTTTCTTTTCAAAGTTTGTGCTGATTCTTTTGAGCTTCCTAAAGGAAGACTTGGAGAAGATTCTTCCTTACCTTTCTTGTTTCCTTTCAGATTCTTGGCTGATTTCTTTGAGTTCCTACAAGAACCAAAAGAAGTGGGTTCATTCTTGCCCACCTGCTTTTCTTCCAAAATTTGGGATACAGATTTTGATTTCTTAAGAGGGAAACAAGAAAGGGAATCACCAACATTATTAGTTCCATTGACACTATCTCCTTGTTTCTTTGAGCTATTCATAGAGCAATTAGGAGAAACAGATGGATCATTAGCTTCTATCTTCCCACGGAAGCTATCTATTTTTTGATGAAAGCTAGGACAACCAGAGGAACTTTTTCTTTGTTTCTCTCCTTTTGGGCTCTTTGCTGATTTCTTCAAACCCTTAGCGGTGCCTTTGCTCTCCAACACTGACTGCTTCCACCACTTCAAGTATTGGACAGTAACACCAGCTTTATAGAGCCGAGATGGAATGTATAATTTCACACCAGTTAGTGATTCACAGTAATTGAGCCAGGCAATTTCAGGAGTCTCATTTGATCGATGAACACAACATGGAATATCCTGATCTATTCCAAATTGCATTGCAACCCGATGTGGAAGGTACTGTTCTACACAATCAAGTCCCACTAGCTCACTGGCCTTCAAGCATCGAGCAAAGGACTCTAATTCTTTGTCAAGATGTGCAGTGATCGATATACAAACTTCATTCTCTCTATAAAACTTAGGTTGTTTCCAGTTCTCAATCTGCATAGCATAAGGACGCCATTCAAAACTTCCACCAGCTGACTCTAGAGCAAACCTCACGTTCTCAACCTTGCAACTAACATCATGCCATTGAATCAGCCTTGGCTGACCCTTTTCTATCAAATTTGGTTCTGGCCTTAGCTCTACAAATCTCTCCCAGGCCCAAACCTGAACTAACTGAAATGGTGACCAAATGGTAAGCCTAAACACCTCTTCTTTCTCCAATTTAGTTGAAGCAGTAATTTCATCTTTCAACAAACACAAATCTCTATAAATACTAGCAAGTACAGCAGGTGCTAAAGCAAGTCTTGTCCCTCTGGCTAAATGAATTGCAATAGAGAAGACATGTTCCCTAATTGTTTCATGTGCATTGGTAAAAACATACCTCGAAAGCCAAAAGGCAAGAAATGCTTCATGCTCAAATTCACTGCCAGTGTCCATGAATTTTAGCATCCACAAACGAGGGCAAGCCTTTTTAGCTTTGCTTCTAACAATTTGAATTCTTGCACTCTTTAAACTCTCTTCTACTTCCTTCAATTCTTCAGTTTCGAGAGGGGTAAAAACAGGGGAACCCAGAACAGAGAAGCCCCCCAGGATCATGACATCTTCAAGTGTAACACTAGCTTCACCCCAAGAAAAAATGAAACTTTTGGTCTCACAACACCATTTCTCAGCTAAACCAAGAACCAAATCATTGTTTCTCTTGATCTGGTAAGCTGAATTCATGATGGCTTCATAGATACCAGCTTTCTTCCAAGTCGATTCATGTAAAGCAGCCATCTTGTCAATCCATGTGGACCAATTCTTTGCCCTGCATCTCCACCCATGAAAACTGATACTCAAAGGTAGATTTTTGGCCTCAAAAGGAGGTTGTTCCAGAGAGGAAAGACGTTGGGAAGGAAGCTTGGGAAGTGGGTTTTCAAGGGGACTGAAAATGGGTTTGAGAAAATGGGCTGTTCTTAAACAAGGGTTTTGGTTTTGGCCTGTTGGAGAAACCATGAGCTCTTCTCTTACTTCAACCATGGTATTTTCTGGCTCCTCCATGGCTGAATTTAGATCGAGAATTTGGATGAAAATGGCGTATTTTATATGTTACATATATAGATTTGGCTTGCAGGGTCACCAGATCAACTCATCTCAAATACACCAACTTCGGTTACCAGGGGAAGCTCTTACGAAAAGGCGTAAGCTTTGACGTTTTTGAGCTGCAAGGGTGTTTTGGAGAAATGACGCTTGCAATTCATGGGCATTTCAGTCACAGGATCCAAGAAAAGAAATACCCGTCGTTTACGTGATCAAGGTTTCCACGGGATTTCCCTTTTTTTCTCAATGAAATTTCAAAATTCTTCACTTTTATTTGTTCAACGGCACCCTTTGTTGGTTTAGTTGGATGGTTTTGTTTATAAAAATGTCAGGTAAAATTATTACCTTTAAAGCATTCAAAGAAAGGAAATTTGATAACATTTTAGAGTAAAAATTAGAAAAACAATCCCTCAATTTCTCTCAAATTTGTTATCATTCTATGATAAAACTATTGACCTCTAAACTTTATTAAAAAGGTGCTAATTGCTACTAAAATTACTACCAAGAGTAATTTTATAACTAGAAATATAAACGAATCAAACATAAATAAATGAACATATATTTATGTTTGTTCGTTTATTTTTAAATGTATTTGTGTTTAATCATATTCGTTAAAAAAATTATTTTATTTATTCATGTTTATTCATTTAAATAATAGGTTGTTCGTATTCGTTTAATTAATTTAAATGAATTTATTTATGAATATTAAACGAATATATTTACGAACATATATAAATGAATACATTCATAAACAATAAATAAATCATAACTAAACAAATCATAAATAAACATAAATGAATCTTAAAATATAATATGATAAAATATAAAAATATAATTTTATTAGTATTATTATAAACAAACAGCAAACAAATAATAAATAAATAAATTTTAAATAAATTGTAAATAGATTTATTCATGAACATAAATAAACGAATAAAGAGTTATTTATATTTGGTTTGTTTAATAAACGAACGTACAAATAGTATTCAATATTGTTAAACTTAATAAATAAATATAAATAAACATAAATTAAACATATTTATGAACGATTCGTTAAAAATTATGTTCGCTTACATTCCTACTTATAACTTAATGTTTATGTCAGTAATATTTTGATCATCACATCATTTAATTTATATATAATTGTCTGGTTAATCATATCATTATTAATGAAGCATATAAAAAAAAATCAACTTAGACATACAACATTTTCTACTTTATATTCTTTTTGCTTTCTCTTATCATTTTTTTTTAATTTTTTTTCTCATATACTCAATTGATTTGAGTGCTGAAATTTGTTTCGAAATATTATTTCCGACATTCCTTAATTATCCTTTCATAAAAAATTTGACACATTCTCAAATACAACCTCCATTCATTCTTTATATCATCAATGTCAAAATTACATAAACTAACAAATATATTTAGTATATTCTAAAATTTATTTATTTCCAAAGCTAACTCATAATTAGTGTAATAATATATCAATGTATTATGCAAAAATAGGTTACCAATTTCACTTTTGATATTTTAGGACATTTTATTTTATCATCTTGCATTATGAAAATAAAAACTATAATTTGATTCGAATTGACCAAAATACCCCTCAATTTATAGAAAAGGATATTCCTTCTGTCCTCTTCGATTTTATTTTTCTTCCCCAAATCTCTTGCACCCTCAAGAACCGGAAGAAAGACCCCAACCAATTCCCAGTAGCAATGCCCCACGTACTCCTCCTCCACCACCTCCCGATCACAACCGTCCATCTCAGACCATGTTCTTTCCCCACCCCAAAACCGACGGCCCATTTTCGCCTACGCCCCAACCTCACAACAGGCGCAACCATAAAGTGCATGGCCAATCCTAGGAGAGTTCAAATGGTTGCGAAACAGATCAGGAGAGAGCTTTCCGACATGCTCTTAACTGACAAAGTGTTGCAATACGCTGTCTTGCCCGAAGCCTCCTTGGGAGCTGACCGCTACCTCTCTTCCCTTACTACCATAAGTGATGTTAAAGTTTCAGCTGATTTACAGGTACCCTTTTGTTTGTATTTAAAAAAAAAAATACTTCTTTACTGGGAATTCTGCTATGGGTTCTTCTTGTAACAGCTTGTGATTTGACAAACTGTGATGAAAATGTAAGCTGAAGTAAAAATTTTGTTTTTTTTTTAAAAATTTATTGGTTGTGTTAAATGCTGAAAATTAATCCTTTTTGGTTGCTAAATTTGAGAAGGGGAAGATTTTTAAGAATGTAATGCGTAATGTTTTTGTTCTAGTGAATGGTATTTCTTTTTAATTTTCTAAATTTGTGTATGGTTGAATTAGAGGACTTGCGGTTGAAAGTAATGGTAATAACAAAATTGGGTTATAAGTAATTATGCTTTGCTTGAATTCTGTATGGCTGATTATGATTGGAATAATGGAAAGACATAGGAAAGGCTAGGGATTCATTATGTCCAAACTGAAGACAGAGAAATCTCCAACTTCTGACACATCAAATTTATATACAACATTGCAATGTACTACTGTTTGAATTTATTTAAAAAAATTTGTCACTGAATAATTCATGCTCTTTGGTCCATGATAGTAGGTTGTTAAAGTATATGTATCTGTTTTTGGTGATGAGAGAGGGAAGGATGTTGCACTTGCCGGGTTGAAGTCAAAAGCTAAATATGTTAGAAGTGAGCTGGGGAAGCGTATCAAGTTGCGGCTTACGCCAGAGATACGCTTTATTGAAGATGAATCTCTGGAGAGGGCAAGCAGGGTAAGTGCTTGCAATCTATTGTTTTTGGTGATGGTGATTCTACTAGTTTATTGCGGCAAAGTGTGGCTAATTGCATCAGCACATTTATACCCTCAGCTGATACTGATTTGGTAAACTGTTTCAGGTAATTGCTATATTAGATAAAATAAAGGCTGAGAAAAAGACTGCAGCAGATGAAGATGAAGAAGAATTTGAATCATCTGATTCACCTCAAGATGACAATGACTGGGAGGGTGATGACCCTGATGAAGATATCATTTATGTAAAGTAGTTGCCTTGTCATTTACTCAGAGCATTTCCTGATGAGAGGATGAAGTTGTTGTTGTTACATCTTTATAGGTTTGCTTCTTGTTGTGGATTTAGTTTTGCTCAATGCTGTTTGAGGCTGATTTCTTGCTTGAATATATTGGGTTTCTTATACAGGTTTCTTGATGGCTTAGGGAAGATAATAAGATGATCAGACTTATCTCTAAACATCCCCATATACAATGAGATTGTACAATAGTTACCATTCAACAACACATAGCCTAGGCATATTTTCCATTTTGCATAACTACTTTACTGTAGGTTTATGAAACAGTATTTGTTTGAAACATTTGTTTGTGTTGCAGCAAGTCTTCTCAATTGATGCCACTGCCATAATCTGAAGCATCTATTCATCCAAAGTCATTCTACATGAATCTATCCAAAATTTTGCCTTGTTTCACATTTAAGCTCTTGTGTAGTGATCAATTTATTAACACTAAATGCTAGTCTAGATCGGACAATTCTGGATGTTGAGCGCACAAAACTGATAAGTTACAAATTAACTTATTATTTAAATATGTTTTTGCTCAAGGATCATTTCTTTCATGCCTTGCTTAATTGCTTTATCATAGGCTTGGAGTTGTAGTTTTGTTAACGGAAGCACTTCTTTGCCTACTTTTCGATCAGGAGCAAGGCATTCTTTTGAAACTAGCTTTACATGGTACAAGAATAATGGCTAGAGACAAGATTTAGGCCAATGGACTAACAGGAATTTGTAATTGTGGGTGCAAATCCGGTTGGTGGCACTAATCAAATAAGCAATGCTACGGGAAGACTAAAATTTATAACACAAAGCACAAGATTTTGGGAGCCAAATTATTACTTTGAAGTGGGGAGCATATAATGCAACAGCTTGCCCAGTGTTAACCCCTAGAATAGAAACAAAGCATCCATTGCCAACTGAAAGAAAATACTAGAAGGGCCAACTTGATAAATCTCAAAAAATTTCAGGGAGAGGTAGTCATGGTCCATAACAATTGCAGGTCAGAATGAAATACTGGTACAGTTCCATCTATATGCATTATTCCTACTCAGAAACTCAACTCACACATGCAACCAACCATGAACAAAACCTCTCTGCTTCAGTGGTGAGCCTTGGCTTCAGCTTTCTTTTGAGACTTTGCCTTTGCCTGAGGGTAGAGATAATAAAGTAAAAGAAGTAAGCATTTGTTATTTATGTTTGTTTTGACTCATCTCTTCAAACAAAGGCAGAAAATTCTTCTCAAAATATCTTAGAAAGAAAAAATAGAAAGCCATAATTATGAAACACAGTTTGATGTGGGCAAATTAGCAGTTCAAGTCTAACCCACAATTTTACAGATTTTAGCAAAACCTGCAAGTTTCTCTCATACCCTTTTCAGCATGACTGCATGGATATGTAGAACAAGCCAAAACACCCATTTATGTCATTATTTATCAATGAAAATACATTAGAATGTAAAACAAAACGGTCAAACACACTTATATCAGAAGCATTAGATGCCAATTGTTCCCAATAACTGATCCCAAGTCCCAACAATCTGATCACAGCAATACATTAGATTATCATTCTAATAACAAACTTGAAAAACAAAAACAAAAACATTACAACAATGCCTCATAGCAGCAGATAAAATGACCAGCACCCTTTTCCCCCATGAAAAAACAGATCAAAATTAACAGTTTCTATCCAATTGCAATAACATGATATGAATTCCAAATAAATTCTTAAATTATAATAAAAAAACAGAAAAAATTGAAAAAAAAATGGAAATACCTTGAGGTACTTGCGCTTCATGCTCCCATAAACGAGACCAAAAGAGAAAGCAGATGCACGAGCTACCTATTACATAAATAATAATTTATCAAATAAGAAGCTGATTTTAGATGATTTTCTGGGAAGATGGAAAATTAGATCTATTATCTACATATATATATATTTATTAATTTATTTTTCTTTTTTTGTTTTCTGCATTTGATCTGACAAGCAAATTAAAAAAAAAATTACGAGGGCAAGAGTGCTGGTGCCAGAGTAAGGTCCAGGAGGCGGCGGCATCGCTTTGCTTTGTTTTGTTTCTGTTTCGGGGATTTGGGCGACGGAGATTCAGAAAGAAACAGTCTGTGCTGGCGGAGGAAAAGTAAGCTTCTTATGCCCTAGAAAATTTATTGGACCCTGACAATCAATTTTTTCGCTGGGGTTTAACTGACTGCGCTACTGCCTATTTTTACGTTTGTGGAGCTTATCTCGAAAACGGCGACGTTTAGGTTCTTATCGTGGCCCGAAATGGAAAATGGGCCTTTTTAATGTTTAACCGACCTCGTTCATGGGCTTTCTGGCCCTAACATCTTCAATTTTTTTAAACCTCCAATCCGTATCATAATTTTCCCATATATATATATATATATATATTTAATAAATAAATATAAACAAACAGAAAACTGAACATGTTTATAAACTATTAATAAAAAATTCTATTAGTTTTAACAAACAAATCAAATATAAATAAATTTAATTATACACGTAATCTATTCATTTAATTAATTAATCTTAAAATATTATTCGTGATCATTTATTAAATTTATTAAATAAATAAAAATCGAATACCATCATGACCCAAAATATTCTATTCATTTATATATATAACTCTAATTATAATTTTCCCCAAATTCATATTTTTCTTTTTAATGATTTCGAATGTGATACCTCCTAAAAATAATTCAAATGTATTATGGATCAGCTCCTTCAATTGAAATGTGCACTTTTATTATTCTTTCCATCTTAAAATATTTGTTATGTATCATCTTTTATGGAGTTTTAAAAAAATGTTTTGATTTTAATATATTTAATATTAATTTTTATTTTTTTATAAAATTAAATTTTCATTATTTTTAATATCAAAAAGTATAAAAAAATATAAAAAGTAAAGATTTTAGATTTTAGATTTTTTTAAAAAATAAAACATAATTTTGAGACATTTTAAAAAAGAAATATTGAAAAAAAAAATGAAAGGAATATATTTTTTATGATATGAAGAAGTTTAAAAACAAATAGAGAATCCAAATCTCAATTTCTCTTAAAATAAGATATAACTACCAAAAAAAATAATTTAAAAAGGAAAACATTAAATAAAAAAACCTAAATTATATTAACTATAGGGAGATGTGGTATGTTCGCTCTAGTCCTTAAGTCCGTACATTTTTAAGCCATTAGTCTTCGGCCATTGGGAATCCCACAGTCGCTTTCAAAGACACAAGAATCGATTTGTTTTCTTTAGATGTCAGGCTTTCTTTTTAGGTTGACTAATAGGGTACCTAACCCAAAGCCTAAAGGGACAATCCAATAATTGCAATAATAACATTTTTTTTCCTTTTTAAGGAAAATCAAAGTTTTTTTTTATTATTTATTTAAACAAGAAAATAATCTATTATTAAATTTCAATAAAAAATTAAAATTAAATTCGAACTTAAAGCCTAACAAAATCTTAAGTTTAATTTAAATGATTTATTTATGTGATAAATTTTTGTAAGATTGAAATTTAATTTTTAACATTTATAAATTTTTCTAACTTTTAAGCTTCAATTTTTTTTTGTATCAAGAAAAAATCTAACACTTAATGTTAGAAGTTATAAAATTTTAATCACTTCGAATATTTAACTTAAATGATAGATATATGTATATTGTATTTTTCTCAAAAAATTAAATTCAAATCTCTTATCCCAAAATCAAATTTTAAAAGAAAAGTTTTAAATTCTAATTATTATGAGATCCAAAGTTTTAAATTGTAAGGATTATGGGATCCAATTAAAATTTTCAAAAATTTTTTTTGAAGAAACTATAAATCTATTAGTAAAAATATTTCAATGTCATATGTCAATGATAATCAAAACTTTTGAAGAAATATTTAAATTTATTAGAAGTAAATTCTATATTTTTTCAAAATATGCAAAATTAACTTTAGTTTGATTTATTTTTTAATTTTTTAAAAATTTAATTTTATTAAAAAAAATTTATTTAAATATTTTAAAAAACCAAAATTATTATATTATATATTTTATATCACAATCTAGGGATAAGGAATGGGTTACAAGTGTTAAATTTCAAATCACAATTTAATAAATATTATTTTTTAAAATAATTATATAAATTAATTAAATTAAATTATGAGTTTAAAATTATTATATTATTATATATTTGAGATGAAATGTAAAAATTCAATAATTAGACTTTTATAAAAAATAATAGATAAAAAGATTGTTTAAAAAAAACTGAAAATGTTAATATATTAATTTAATATTCCGTCTATGAAAAATATAATAAATAATAGTTATAATTTATTAAAAAAAAAAATTCCCATAATTTGTATGCAAAATTTTTTCCCATAATGGCAGAGTTTCGAGTCAGCACAAAGGCTATTTAAGTGTCAACAGCCACAAACAAAATTCGCAAAAGTAACTCAGCTGAATGAGAATTTCATGCTGACAAAGCCACCTCGCTCCTATTTGGTAACAAATCAAAGCCCCGTAGATTCTCGAAGTCCAAAAACCTAGAAAGAGAGAGAGAGAGAGTCTACATATAAAATCATCTTCGTGAACTATCTTTCTCCCTTCTCTTCCAGCGCAACTCTTGAAACTGAACAGAAACCATCCATGGCAGCCACCGCCAATCTCTCTCCTTTGTCCTCTTCATCAACTCTCTCAAAATCCATCTCCAAAAACGCTTCCTTTCCTCTGAACCCGCCTCAAAAAAACCCATCTTCTCTCTTTCCAAAAACCCTGCCAAAACCCTCTTCTTTCCCTTGCAAACATGTTTTTCATACCCAAAAACCTCAGTTTACCATCTCCTCTAAAAACCCCATCTCTGACTTCTTTTCGACAAACAAAAGTGACCCAGAAGACGATTTTATCTCTTCTTTTAGTGATGGTGACGATAAGCCTCGTGAAGAGTGTGGTGTTGTGGGTATCTTTGGTGACCCTGAAGCCTCACGTCTCTGCTATCTGGCCCTCCACGCGCTTCAGCATCGTGGACAAGAAGGTGCTGGTATTGTAGCAGTGAAAAACAAAGTTCTTCAATCAGTTACTGGGGTTGGTTTAGTCTCTGATGTGTTTAATGAGTCTAAGCTTGATCAATTGCCTGGCGAGATGGCTATTGGACATGTTAGATACTCAACTGCTGGTTCTTCTATGTTAAAAAATGTGCAGCCTTTTGTTGCTGGGTACAGGTTTGGTTCTGTTGGGGTTGCACACAATGGAAACTTGGTAAACTATAGAACTTTGAGAGCCATGCTTGAAGATAATGGATCAATTTTTAATACTAGTTCTGATACTGAAGTTGTGCTTCATTTGATTGCTATTTCAAAGGCTAGGCCTTTCTTTTTGAGGATTGTAGATGCCTGTGAGAAGCTTGAAGGGGCTTATTCAATGGTGTTTGCGACTGAGGATAAGCTTGTTGCGGTTCGTGACCCCTACGGGTTTAGGCCATTGGTAATGGGGAGGAGGAGTAATGGTGCTGTAGTGTTTGCCTCTGAGACTTGTGCTCTTGATTTGATTGAGGCAACATATGAGAGAGAGGTGTATCCTGGTGAAGTTTTGGTGGTGGATAAAAAGGACGGGATTCAATCACTTTGCTTGATGCGCCACCCTGAACCAAAACAATGTGTTTTTGAGCATATCTATTTTTCTCTGCCTAATTCTGTTGTTTTTGGCAGGTCTGTTTATGAGTCACGATATATTTTTGGGGAAGTACTTGCTTCTGAGGCTCCTGTTGACTGTGATGTTGTGATTGCTGTGCCGGATTCCGGGGTGGTCGCTGCTCTTGGTTATGCTGCCAAAGCAGGGGTTCCATTTCAGCAAGGGCTGATCAGGTCTCACTATGTTGGAAGAACTTTCATTGAGCCTTCACAGAAGATTAGGGACTTTGGCGTGAAGCTTAAGCTTTCGCCAGTTCGCGGTGTATTGGAAGGTAAGAGGGTTGTGGTCGTGGATGACTCAATTGTGAGAGGAACCACATCTTCAAAAATTGTTAGGATGATTAAAGAGGCAGGGGCTAAGGAGGTTCACATGAGGATTGCCAGCCCACCAATTATTGGTTCTTGTTATTATGGAGTGGACACACCAAGCTCTGAGGAATTGATATCTAATAGAATGAGTGTGGAGGAGATTAGAGAGTTTATTGGATGTGATTCACTTGCTTTTCTGCCATTTGATAGCCTGAAGAAGATGTTGGGTGGAGATTCTCCAAATTTTTGTTTTGCTTGCTTCTCTGGGAAGTACCCAGTTATGCCAAGGGAAGTTAAAGTTAAACGGGTTGGTGATTTCTTGGATGATGGGTTAAATGGACCTATTGATTCCATTGATGGAGGTTGGGTTAAAGGTCCAAGAAATTTCAACAGTGAGAAAGAAATTGATCCCCTGTATCAACAGAGCAAGATTTAGCTGTGGTGAGTGATAGATATCTTGAGTGATCCGAACACAGTCTATATTTTCTTCCTTGAACAATCTAGAGTTTTACAATATAGAGCTAATACAATTTTGTCCCATAGTTTTTTTCTGCAAATTAATCTCATTAATGTATGGTTTTGTTTTCTTTGCGTAAAGCAAATGGGCAATTAGATGAACTTTTGATTGATGTTATATCATACAGTGATTTTATTGTATCGGAGCTCCCTTATTGACAGTTTCTTTCCTTTCCTGCTTCCTTCTTTAGTGTATATTGTTTGGATTATTATATTTTACATATGCAGTAGAATCTGAAATTTCTACAAGCAATTTTGATTATTTACAAATTATCTATTTAATTATGAATAAAAAAGGTCAAGTATATGGTTAAACGAGCATGTGATAATCCTTTGTGAACATTTTGAACTCCAGTGCCATGTACAAGATAATAATCCATATTATCTGACCAAGTATTGGAGATGAGTCTCGCCAAAGGTGTAATGTTGTCTAGAGACATTAATGAAGATGATTGATCCTCTGAAATTTTCTTTCTTATTGTACTTTGAGCAATGAGCTTCTGTTTTTATTGAAAGTATAGATGTACAGACCATAATTTCTGATGGAATGGAGGACTGTTCTGAATCTTGATTGTGGCATTCTATAGTCGTCACAAATTTCTCATTTTCCTTTAACGCCCCAATCTATGGGGTTTTGTTTCTGATGCTCTTGGTAGGAACTTAGATTTATGGTTTCTGGAGCCTTGGGCATTAATGTTTCCTGTGTTGTTGCTTCATGCACCATGCAAATAGTCTGAAATCTGAATAACATTTGTTCTTTGGTATCCCATCCTCTTTGAATGGTTAATTCTTGGCATTATCAATAAAAAGACTCGATGAATTTATGCATTTGTCAGCTGTGCAAACTATAGAGAATCTGAGGTCAGATTAGGTGTTTTATTTGAAAACGTTAGCCGTGCTGTGTCTTAAGATAACAAACTCAAATTTATGCATCCTAAGCATATTTATTGTTTTTTAAATGGAAAGATGGGAGAGATTTGTGGTTGTCTTATCTGGTTTCTTTTCACAGAATTTAATGATGGTTGAATCAATTGTATTAGTTTGTTCTCAAGAATCCTGAACCATATACAGTACTCTTGTTTGTGACAGGATTTAAGAAGAGTAAGTAAATAACTTGTTGCTTTCTCTTAAATTATATCAACAGGCTGAGCTTTTAGTAGCATAGACTGTTAAGAACTTTATTACTGTTTTCAATTGTTGGTTATGGAGTTGGCCTGTAGACTGTGGAGTGAAGCTGTTTGCATTTGCCTTTATAACAATGTTTATCAAGTCAAGTTTCATTCTATTGCTGTGATAACCTTGTGTCGATCACGTAGTTTATTCTGAAAGAGCAAGACATGCAGTATTAATTGGGATTTCAATGAATATCCCATCCTTAATATGGCATGGTGCAAGAGTCCACTCGTTGCGAGGTTTCTGCTACATTGAAGAAATTCAGATTTTGTACTGTTAAGGTTAGTTAGGGTGGATGTGTATGTGTATGTGTATGTATATGTATATGTTAATTTGGTCAATTACTGATATGATTTCGTCTCATTTTCAATGGCTTTGTTTTAACAGAGTTTGTGGGGACTGTAAAATCTGCCCCAGTAGATGTTTCTGATTTTAGAAGAAGAGAATTTAATTGGATGGCTAATGAGTTTTTTTCTCATTTAGATAAGCTCTTTCATCTTTGTCATGTCATTGGTTTTGTCATTGTGCTCTAATCAATTTGCAAGGACCGTGACTTTGGTCTGAGTTGGAAATTGGAATAGCATAATACCAAGGAATTTTATGATGACCATCTTATGGCTTGCAATGTGAGTGAAGCGGACATACTGGATACTCTGCAGTAAAATTTGCTTCATATGTTTCTGGTATACCACGCAGAATTGCAGATGAACTAATTTGCAGGTAAATGGTTATGGAGTAATACTTTATCTCAGTGGCAAGTTACTTATTCCGTCAGCAAAATAATGCTTATGGCCCAGAGAGGGATAGGTTATGGTTGAGATTTGTCGGAACACATTGAACTCAAAGAAAGAATGGCTTTCATTTACTCACTCGTAAGAGGTAACATTCGATGTTAGTACTTATAGCAATATACGTTTGGAATCACGCCATGGAAAAAGGTGCTGGCCTCCAACCCTAACCCCCACCCCACCCCCCCACCCAAAAAAAAAAAAGCGTCCAGCCTTATCATCTGGTAACTCTGACTTTGATGCTAAGCAAAGGTTTTTGTTCCCTGGGGGAGAGTTGGGGAGTAGGAGGAAAATGACCTTCAAAGGTAACAATGAAGTTGCGTGGATGGGTGGGGTTGGCAATGATAGGTAAAAGACGCAAGCTCCAAGCAGGGGAAAAGTTCAGGAACCTATTGGTTTCGTCCGGTGCACACATATTTATCGGTTGGCATGACGGCGCAGGAAGGGGAAGGTTCAGGGGATTGGGAAGTTTGGTGCTAACAGCAATCTCTAGCCACCTGGCAGGGCGATTCCACTCTATCCATTAGAACTGGACTAGTGCTCATTTGTGGCAGTATATAGCTGACGTGAAGTATAATTATCAAGCATTCTTTCAATAAGAAATCCTCGAGAAGATGATCACCAAGGAAAACAAGAAAGAGTTGATATCCTTTCACTCACAAATGGCCACATCATGTTTTGGTTTCTTTATTCTCATTAACACATGTTCCAGAATATCTTCCCATGAAAAAACTTTTGACTCAGAAACTAAAGTCGTCAATCATAAACGTCTGATTTGAAGCATAGCTATAAATTTTAAAGTTATAAAATTACAATTACATTATTTTAAAGTTATAAAAGTTAACCAGTACAAATTTTAGGGTAAGATGAATAAATGTCCTTAAATAATAGAAGATAGCTATAAGCACGTATGAAATGCGAGTTTGTGCTTACTTACACTACCAACTTCATTGTGAGCTTGAAGAAATTGTGAAACAACTTAATAATTTCTGCAACCGGCAATGGCTACACTTCTGCAATTGAACGAGCCACAGAAATGAAAAGCATAATTTGCGCACCATGATAGTATTGAATTCATAAAATATGCAGGAATGCGAAACGGCATAAAATTAGCCATTTTCTGCTCGATCATAAGCATTGGATTTGTGCTTTGGTGCAAATGAGAAGCCATCAGGAACCTTGCCAAGCAGCATTTCAGATATTCGGATCTGCACAAGTGAAGAAGCAAATAATAAGGATTACATGTAGCATCATTATAGTGAGATGTTATTCAAGATAGTAAGAAGCAATGGCGTACCCAATCAGCTGCAGAATCAGAGGCCATTAGTGTCTCAAGGTCATCACGTCCATAGTAGGAGGGAGGACGCCAGTTCAGCTGTTGTGGTATGACATCTAAAAGACCAACAGGTATATACCTACATGTGTAGCTAAGCCATTCCAACAAGAAATGCCTAGTTGTTTCCACTCCTGCAAATTCAGTCAAATTCCAGAGAAATTTAAGTGGTTGTTCAGAAACAAAGTATATGTTCATAACTAGCACGTATAAATAGTACTAATAATGGTTGTAATTTACAAATCGATTTGGCATTTCTAACCTTGATAGAAAAGATATCATAAATGTTTTTTCAGAAGCTAAAACTTGAACAGGGTAGTTTGACACTAATTACGCATAGGGTTAATGTTTAGGCTAAAATAGAATAATGTTTCTATTTATCAACTCAATCACAGCAGATAGAAAATAGAAAAAAAATGTTTCTCATACCATACTACCAACATAATGTTGTCATTAACTCTTCACTAAGCTAATATAAGAGAATTTAAACCAAATTATATTATATAAATCATTCTGAATATTGTATGCCTATTGAAGTAATATGCGTACCTTTTTTGTCAGATCCCCAATGTTCTAGGCCAAAGCGCACATAATCCTTCAGAATATTAAACCGCTCCCCAGAACTGATATCCCAGTGCCTCTGTTCGTTGATTTCAGTACATAACCAAGGCTGCAATGCACATTAGCTGTTATAACAGGCTAAAATTCCCTAAAGCACATTTCATAAACGGAATGCTGTCAGCTAGATGTCAACAAGATTCAACATGTTAAAATTGGTCTTCAGCTTCTTGGGTTAGTGGCTAAGAGCCTAAGAAAGCTTAGGAAGATATCTAAGGAGGGAGGTTGAACCCCACCATACCCTATCCCTATCCAGTGGATCAAAAAACATGTTAAAATCTAAATAAAGTACCTTTATTAGTGCCCCTCGAGCAATCATACATGTAGAGAGCTCAGGGCAGTCAGATATGTGATTGTTCCAATCTAAATATGAGAAAATATCCCCATTCCCCAAAACTTGCAGTGCACTAGGGGCCTTCCGGCCACACTGGTATATATAATCCCAATCTGCAAGTTTACTATAGCGTTGTTGACGTGATCGACCATGTATTGTCACTGCAGTAGCACCCCAACTGCCAATATCTGCAATTAATGAATCAATGCGATTTTTCCCTTCAAAATAACCTGTTCGCACCTGGTGTAACAAAACTACAATTACATATCTTGAAAATGCTTGATAATTAATAACATGTGCATGCGAAGAAGAGGGAAAGAGGAGCAAGCTTGGCAAGAAAAGGTTGAAAAAAAGTTGAGACAAATAACAAAATAGGAACAACCGAGCCCACATGTATAGTGAGGTAGGCATGCGTATAAATGAACTTAAAATCTAAATGTCACCAAGTACCTTAACAGTTATAGGTTTATCTACAGTGCCAGAAGCTGCTTTAATGATGCCTTTCATACGTAATGGTTTCATGAGTAGGGAAGATCCAGCGCCCTTATTAACGACAATATCAATTGGGCACCCCATATTGATGTCAATGAAGTCCACTGTACACTCCTTATCTATAAGTTCAACAGTACGTGCTACAGTGTCTGGATGTGCCCCGCATATCTGGACACCAAACAAATCCTCAGATGAATGTCGCCTCAGCAGAGCCCATTCTGAAGCTTGACCCTGTTGCCACAGAAGAAGTGTCACAGAGAAGCTCACATATGACACATAGAATACATTATTATAATAAAAAATAAAATGAGAAAAGGCCACCAGAAGAACCACCAAAAATGAAGTTTAACTATCAAATATTAGTTCCCAATCAATATGTATATTCTAAAAGCAAGCTAATTAATGCAAGACACATCACTAATTTCTTATTTGGGATGCCTTGCAATGAAAGAATATTATGCATATTGGTTTCACCGGGTTTACTGAACCTGCAAATCACAGCATATTATTCCAACAACTATTGAAATATAAAACTAGCCACCTGCTCCTGATGCAAAAATCACAAGGCAGCAATGGCATACATACCTGCAAAAGATTGGTGCACATAGCCATTTCACCGCATGTCACATCAGCTCCCAATATTTTGCAAACCCTACGAAAAGGAAGATTCCCGACAGTGGTTAGTGGAGCAAGATACATTTTTTCTCTAAAATCAATAAGCTTCTTTTCACGGGGGTGAATCTTGAGGCTTATATCAGGTTCTGCAAATACATCATCAACCGTATGAACGGATTCAGTTTCTGTAGAATTTTTTTCAATATCCTTCTCCAAAACAGTTGCACCTGTCAAATTACATATCTTAGTCATAAACTTCATTAATGAGTGGAAACAATAGAAAAAAAAATTCACAAGAAGACTACCATTCTCCACTTCATCAGTGCACATTTCATCAACTACCGATTTTGCTTTCTTTGAGGGTCTAAGCTCATCGGTTGCACATGCCTCCTCAACATTATCTGGTGCTGCATATGTTGGAGGACAATCAGAACAGTCAACTGAATCATCAGCCACTTTTTTGCACTCAGTTTCATCAGCAGCTTGAGAACCATTTAAAACAACTTCGTCTTCCTCCTTATCATCCAACTTCTTTGTTTTCAAGTTGGGCCCCTGAATTATTTCATTCATTATAGCAATAAATCATCATGATGATACAACATGATGGAATGAAAAAAAAAAGGCAGAAATAAAGATCTTCAATTAAATGCATTGATTTAGAAACAGATAAAGATGAGGAAATACTAAAAACACTAATAATTTTCGGTTCATCATACCATGAGTCCAAGAGATTTGATTACACTGTCCGCTTTAGTGAAGCACATTTTGTTTTTCCACAAAAGTTTCTGAACATCTTTGCTTAGTCCATTGACCTCAGAGCTTTTCTTCAACACATTAGCAGTAGCAGCAGAAGCACCATCCTTATGCGTGCCAGCAAACCTACATGCCAAACCATAAGGGCAAGGTGCATCCGCAGTTATAAATGGGCATTCACCCTCCAAATCAGCCGGTTTCTACATTCAACAGAACAAAACTACTTATTAAATCTCCAAAAGGGAAAAAAACCCAATTAGCCAAATTTGATAAAATTCTAAATTGAGGAAATGGGTATTAAAATACCTGAGCCATAAAGGCTTGTATGTCATGGCTAAAACGACATTTATCTTTATAAGGACAAGTATTAACATCTCCAGTCTTCGCTATCTCTGGACACAGATTCAGAGCAGATTTTTGTTCCTAAAGGCACAAAAAAACGATCTCTAACGATCACACATGCAGCAACAACAACAACAAAAAGCAAAAAAAAAAAAAAAAAACTTTGGTCAATCAATCAAGCAAGCAATTAGAAATTAGGGACCTGACGACGCTCTCGTTTGAGTTGTCGTTTTGATTTCTTTTCTTTGACTACGTTGGACTGAGATTGCTTGACGTTGGTGTCGGAGGCGGCGTCGTTTTGGGTGGTTCTGGAGGACGGTGGAGGCCGGAGAAACTCTCGCTTTACTGGGGCAATGGCTCGGGCCACCAGGTCTTCTGGTTTTTGCTGAGCAGCTCCATTTGTGTTCGAAGGTGGGTGAGAAGGTGGAAGCCCCTCCTTCTCCGAATTTGTAACCACACAGATATCTTTGGGTGACTCGTCCATCGCTGGCGAGTTCACTCGGTAAACTGTCTGTCTCCTGCAGTGAGTGGCCGAGTGGGTGAGCGAGTTTTGTTCAACTCCGAGTAATAAGGGACGGGTACTGGATGGTGGTTACTGGTTAGGGTTTAATGCTTTTGTTATGTGGGATTTTTGTTCAAGGAGGCAACCAAACGACGTGAACGGAGTGCCGTTTCTTTCAATATGGGAAGAAAGAATGTAAATGACGTCGTTTTGCAACAGAGACCACAAAAAAAAAAAATTGTCAGAAGTGGGATTTGAACCCACGCCCTCCAGTTCACTCGGTGAACTGTCTGTCTCCTGCAGTGAGTGGCCGAGTGGGTGAGCGAGTCTTGTTCCCCTCCGATAATAAGGGGTGGGTACTGGATGGTGGTTACTGGTTAGGGTTTAATGCTTTTGTTACGTGGGATTTTTGTTCAAGGAGGCAACCAAACGACGTGAACGGAGTGCCGTTTCTTTCAATATGCGAAGGAAGAATGTAAATGACGTCGTTTTGCAACAGAGACCGCAAAAATAAGAAGTTGTCAGAAGTGGGATTTGAACCCACGCCCTCTACCGAGGACCAGAACTTGAGTCTGGCGCCTTAGACCACTCGGCCATCCTGACGTATTTATTTAGTTTAACAAAATACAATATACAAAAAATACAAAACCAAATAACGACGGCCAGCCAAACAGAGTGATGCCTACACCCTGGCTCAAATCCCTATTGGGAATCTATAAATCCAAAATATCCGAGACTAACAATTTGTAAGTCCGAAAATTTAGAAGTAAAAATCTAATAGATCTGTAAATCCCAATTAGATTAGCGGTTTACCCTTGGTCTTCGAGATCCTAAACTTTTTAGCACCAAAATAAAAAATAATAAACAAAAGCAAGTTCCATTTATGGAGTTTCCTAACCACAATACAAGCAGATTCCATAATGAATCATTTAATAGATGTCTCTAAGACAAACTTTTCAAGGTGGCTTCAAATTTATGATCCCCCCAACATCTTTAAACAAACCGTGCAAGCCAAGCCAATTGGCAAACAGTTGAAACGAAATACCCAACTCTTTAAACGAAACAAAAGACTGAAGTGTTAAGTTCAACTCTTCTAATGTTAATGCAATGCAACAAATCATGTCAACTTAATGTTTACATTCCAATATTATCGTCTACCATGAATAAATAAAAGATTACTATAAACGATTTATGATTATTTAAGCTGTATGTTACTTCATTCCATGATCCGAGATGGAGATCCGAAGCAAGGTTCCATGAAGCGTGTTTAAGTTGGAGATGCATATCCCATGCTAGGTTGAACTGTAATTACCACAACCATGAAACTCGTTGAAGATGGAGATTTGAAAACTAATGAATGAATGCACGCGAAGAAATTAGGGAATAATATCATGGTGAAATAGCATCGTGATGTTTCAACTCTTGCGAAAGTCACAAGCTACTGATTCGACTCTGTTTTTCCAGTTGTGTTCCCATTCTGCTGTTGGGGCTGTGGTGGTGGCCGCTGCTGGAACTGATGAGGAATGTTAGCCTGGGAAGAATGCTGCTGGTGTAGCTGGAACATCTGGTGGTTAACAGAAACCTGCTGGGAAACTATGCCCTTAGAGGGGTCAGAATCACCACCTTGCTCTTGAGTAGCGAGCTTTAATCGCCGAACCTCCGCAGTTAATGCTTCGTTTAGAGCTGTCCAAATGCAACACAATTAAGGGACAAGTTATTGAAGCATTAAATTTCACGCAATGCAGTTGTAGGATGCACAACATGATACAACAAATTCAAATAGGTTATCAAAATGGATGAAATAGGAGGACATATATGCCCACCACTACCTCCACTTCTGAGACAAGCTAGCTTAAAGTTCAACAAGTTTAATCTTTTACAATGTATGAGACTTTGTTAATAGCAGGCACAGACATGTGACTTTATTAGAGAAGTATTAATGATATTTCCACCATCTTACTAGAGCCATGCAAACAGATACAATAACTGTTTCAGGATGCTTTGCCTAATCAATCCAGCTATGGCCATTACACTATAAATTCATAATTTAAATCAAAAAACGACTGTATCCTCGTTGCACCTTCAACATGAAGCGAAAATCCTAGCATTTATAGGTGAGAACTGCACTTTTACAAATGGCCACAACTTTCCGAATAGCACCTTCTGAAATTTCTTGCAAGCATTAACCATTTAAAATTAATGTATAAAATATTTTGGCACCTCACTTCCCATCTTTGAAACTTCTTTCCTCAAAGACACCTAATATAAGGATGATAGTAAGGACAAAGAAATGCAATGGACTAAATTGTACCCAGAAAAGAAAAGCAATGAAGTAACTATAATCGGTAAAAATACATACCGTTTGTTTCCTATACAAGAATATCTTGACACCTATACAAGTTATAAGTACAAACCATGCGTATTTATTGACACCTAAAAGGCTCGCAACATTGCACACATAAAATTATGAATCTTTCTTTCTCAAGAGTTCGGTAAAAGTAAAAGTTGCATATTTGCAGTATTACCGAAATAGGTAAATGTGATAGTAAGAAGTATGAAGCATGAGGCCTTTTCTTTCCCTGAAATGGTTTTAATTCAAGAGTCAAATTTTGTAGCATGAACAACTGAGAGCATGCAAGTGAATTTTTTTTAACACTATGATTTGAAGATCCTTGTCTAAAGCATGCTAATCAAATAGCTAAATTGCCATAAACCTCTAATCAATCATCCATAACCACATTCCATGCAACTCAAAAATCTAAACACTTCTTCTGTCAAAAGAAAAAGGCTAAACTTTAAGAAAATGAAAAAATCAGATTATACCATCACGTAGTTGTGCTTGTTGCTCCATGGCTTGAAGACAAAACTTCAACTCATTGTTCTGATTTGTAAGCCCAACAGAATCTCTCTACATCAATTTAAAGTTGAATATGAGAAATGAGAAACAGGAAAGTAGGAAATATTGCTACAACATTCTGTGCATTAAATCCTCCACCTGTAAAAGTGTTAGCTGAGCAGACAATGTGGTAGCTTCAGTCTGGAGAGTCTGAACCTTGTGCTCCAATTCTGAAATATACCGCATCTTCCGCTCTTTGGAACGGGCAGCTGATTGACGATTTGCCAATATCCTTAAAGGACCAACCAATAAGTTAAGTGGAATGCTTTAGCAGATCAAAAGGTTATTATTAATAGTAAATGGTAGACTTGAACACAAGGATACCTCTTTGCACGCTTTGGGTCAGTCATTGCAATCTCAGCAAGCTTCTCATTTGCCATAATTTTCTTCAGTTCAGCCGCACTGAACTCACCATTTCCAAACTCCAAACTAAAGGCAGCTGAATTCCCATCAATTGAATTGCTAGGTGAGAGTTGTCCAGGGCGAGTTCCAGGCGAAGGTGGTAATTTTGGAGACTCATCACCAAAGTTCAACTTCCCCATAAAACTATCCATGGAAACACTTCTATAATGTCTACCGGCTAGAGCAATGTCTCCTCCTGCACTCCTTTTGATCCCTTCCCTTTTCTCAGTTGAATTCATTCCACCCTGTGGTGCACTGTTCCCACTTTCATTCACACTGCTTTCCGCTTCATTATCGCTGCTATCACCTCCATTGGTCTTTGTTCCACTTGCTCTGCTATCCAAATCTTCATGCTTCTCGTTACCATTGTTCTTATCATCAGTGCCCGAAGAATTCAAAGCATCAATATTATCCAAATTCATATAAGCTGAAAACAAATCATCCACAGCTTCCCCCTCCGATTTCCTCTCACCCATTCCTTCCGCATTGCCATCAGCACCTCTCACCCAACTCGTTTCCTTTTTCACCAACTGAGCTGGCTTAGGCACACCCGAATTTTCCTTAACAGACACGGATGGTTCCAAACCACCTGCACCCTTTAAGGGAATAAGAGGTGGCGAAGATTGCATTATTGTATTAAATCCAAATGGAATATCACTACTCGACCTCCTATGTGATTTTCGAGGGGGCAAACTCTCTCCAACCCGTGGAGAATTCCCCCTAGAAAAAGGTGAGGGTGGCAACAAAGAATGCGAAGCTGCATCCCTTTCGTCCATAGACACATCAGTACAAATTTGGTCTGAAACCGCCACAGACGAAGAATCACGAAATGGGGAAGGGCTTAAGGGTGGCAATGAATCAAGTGAAAAGAAGGAAGAAGGCTGAGACAAAGACCGCGAATGAGCAGGTCCCTGAATAAAACTCTGAGAACCCATTTGCTGGTTCATCGAGCGGGACACTGGAATCTGTGAATAAGGCGAAATGGGCGGGATCTGGTTAGGGTATGAAGGAGGGATACCAACTCTTTTATTACTAGCATCACCACCATTAAAGCTTTGGCCAAAATGAGAGAAATGTCTAGCAGCCCTGATTTGATTAGGATTCAACTGAGGTATTTCAAGATGGCTCATTGGTTGCTTAGGAATTGAAGATGGTGATGTTCCAAATGAAGATTGAATCCTTTGCATCACACCAGTGTTACCTTCTTCACTATCACCCATTTTTTTACTTCTTTTCTTACAAACAACACCTTTGAGACCAAAAAGCTCAAAAAGAGTCAAACTTTAGCCAATTCAAGCTTAACCCATTTCACTCCAAACCAAAAACAGCAACAATACAATAAAATCAAGTCCACCAGAATCTGCAAAATGAGAGATGGACAAAATTTGACAGTAGAAACAAAAAAAAAAAAGCAAAGTAGAATCAGCAGAATTTAGAACAACTTAATAGTAAAGGAAGAGAAGTAAAGCAACCCATTAAGATTATTTAGAAGAATAAGTGACCAAAAGTATATTAGTAGTGTTCTAAAGTACCTTGTAAATATAAGGTCAAAGCAAGGAAAAAAATGGCCGTCCCGCGTAATTTAGCAAATGAAGTGGCAGACGAGGTGCAAGTTAGCAGGGTGGCACCACCACTAAAATCTCCGCCGAATATAGCGGCAGGCGCTTTCTCTCTCTTCTCTCCGTGTTTCTCTGTGGAAAAATCAATTAATATAAACTTAAAAAAAAAAAAAGGTTTTTGGTTTGGGTTTCTCACTCTAGAAACTTTGACAAAAGAAAAGGATGTTTTCTCTCTCTCCTTTCCTTGGGTTTCTTTCTTTGGTGGGGTTCGTTGGAGGGGACACGGATTTCATGACATGCACGTAATCTACGCGTGTAATTAAATTTCATTTGAATTTGGGTTTGGCTTTGTCATTTCAATTTGATTCCGACCTCATTTGACAATTTCACACCTTTGCTTTGTCTCCGCAGCTCATTTTAGCAATCAAATTTCTCCCAACAAAAGTATTTAATAGTAACATTTTTGGATGCTAGAAACCTACCTACTAATCTTATCCATAATTAATTATATAGTTCTACTATTAAATTTTCTTTTTGGTACAGATGATTGTAATTCTACAAATTTATCAATTATTAATTATACACATTATTATTAATTTTTTTATCATAATTTAATAATAAAAATTTTTTAAGCCTTAAAATTTAAACTTAAACTTATAAAATGTCATTTTTTTTAAATGACTTTATAAATAAATTTTGATTTTCACATAGTTATTTTTTAAAAAATTTATTATGAGATTTTAACATAATTTAACCATAATCATAATTTCACTATTAATATTCATTAAGATATTACTACCATTTACAAAAATGTAAATTAAAATTAATAACCGTAAATATAATTATTTTTATTTTTAACCAATGATAAGAAAGGTTTTTTTTTTTACATAAAAAAGTTTAGGGTGAGAAGTTTTTTCATTTTAAAATCAAGATAAATAATAAATTTTAAAAAAAACTTATATTAAATATACAAATCATTTAAAAAAAAAAACGATTGACAGCTAAACTCGAGCCTTAAAAAAAATCATAAATCTTTTATATTTTGATTTAATAGTTAATGAAAGTTTACAAAGACATAAAAATTTTGATTTCGAGTTAATATCTTTTCGTTTTTTTTTTTTCGTAAGGGTTATACCGTCTCTTAAATCAATAATAAAAAAAAAGAGATAATCGTAACAAATACCTTTAAAATACTATTAAAAAGTGTATTATTGTTAATTTTTATTAATTTCATTGTTTCAATGTTTGTTAATCTCTTGTATTATTTGATTTTTCTATGAGACCAAATCAATTGAATGGTGAATATGATCTTAATATATTGCCAAATTAGCATCATTTTCTTTTTTTTTTTGCATTTATTTCTTGTGAGGGCTTGAACGTTAACAAAAATTTTTACATTATGCAAATTGATTTTCATGAACTTTTTTGATTTGCTATATTCTTGAATTATTTTCATGCATAAAATTAAATTTTGTGTTGAATTTTGTTTTCCACAAACTTGGTAATTGAGACTTTTTCAATGTTGGGCATGGCAGCTTATCTTCCTGCTTAATTAGGCTTATTAATTGAACCAATATAAACTTGATTAGTTCTTTGATTTGTCTTGTAATTGACACAAACTAGAAAATTAATTTATCCATTTTGCTTTGCTAATTATGGGCTAGAGATTTCTTGTATTTTGAATATTGTATTTAACTTCAAGAAAAGGCAGTTTTTTTTTTTTTCAAAAAAATTTTAAAGAAGGGAGATTACCACATTTTTAAGATATTATAAATCGTCAATCCATAAAAAAATTTACGAATTATTTTTTTATAAAATTTTTTTAAAATTATAAATCATACACCAATAAAAAATCATAAATATTTAAATTTAAATACTTTACATTTAAATATTAAATCGATAAGTATTTTTGTTTCACCAATGATATGCACATTTACCAATGTAATTATATAATTTGATTTAATAAAATAATTATTATCAACCAAAAAAAAAAACTTTATATTTGTCATCATTATCAATTCAAATCAATTCGATTACTTGAATATTTAATTTATACGCGTGATTTTTAGATATTTAAAAAATTGTATTAAAAAATTAAATAAAAAATAAAAAAAATAATATTACATGTAAAATAGTATAAACTTTATATAAAGATAAAAATACTATATCTCTCGTACATAGAGTTGGTAAGGCTAGTACGCATGGGTAACAGAAATTTGTCAATTTGTTTCTTATCTCATGTTGTGAACGTGAATTACCTTGTGATAATTGAAGAATTCCCACTGAGTGGGCAAGCTTTTCCTTTTTCTTTTCATTTGTTGACTCACAACATTTGATCAGTAATAATTAAATGCTGAGCCCCCACCATCAGAAGATAATAAATTATATGAGAAAAAGTTACAAGCTACTACCAAATTTTCACCTTCTTTCGCCCTTTGGCCTTTGCCCTTGTGAATGAATGACATAAAGAAGGAAGAAAATGGACCCCTATCTTCCTTTTCTAGCAATCCTCATCTCCATGTTTAACTATGTCATGTCATTGATCATAATTCTAAGTTACCAGCAGACATGTTTTTTTTTTTTTAATGATAAATTTAGAGATAATTACAAATCATATATTTAAAATGAGTTCAACCGACAATCATCGATAAATTTGAATTTAATATATTTTTATAAATAAATTTATATAATATAAAATTAAAAATTTATTATTTTAATAATATTTAAAGAATTAGAGATAAATAAAAATTAAAAAAATATTTTATTTATTTTTTTAGATATATTAAAATTAATGGCTAAAAAATATGTAAAAATTTTTAAATTTTATATTATTAAATTAATCCTTTTTCTATGTATAATTTTTTTTTTGTCAAAAAATTGAAAATTACAAATGGTTTAACAAATTAACACTTCTCTTTTAATATATTAAAAATGAACTTTCTGTCCATTAAAACAAAACAACTCATTTCCAATTTAGAAGAAAATCAAAGGAAAAAAAAAATCTCAAAATCGCTTCATGTTGGGCCACCATATTACCAAACCCACAAAAACAATGTTCAATGCTGCGAAGAACTTGTTTTCCAATACAGGAAATCTAATCAACCAACCGACCAAATATTTTGCTTGCCATATTGAAGTTCCTCTTGAAAACTTTTTCTTTTGTTGCTTTCACAAATAATATATTAATACTCGTAAATTATTCGGGTTTGATTCGAAAAAAATTTAAATTCAGTTCGATTATTATCGAGTCGAGTTCTAGTTCGAATAGCTCGACTTATCGATCGAATCGAATTTAAGTATTCTTATATCCGACTCTAGTAACTCGCGAGCTTAATCGAGCTGTTATATTTAAATATATTTTTATTATTTTAATTAATAAAATATTTCGAGTCCGAATTCGAGTTCGAGTATGAATAATTAAACTCTTGTCGAGTATATGAATCGAGTTTATTTTTACATATTAATCGAGCTTAATCGAGCGAGCTCGAGTAACTCGAATTCGATCACGAATCGAGTTCGAAGTTAAAAAATAAAACTCGATCGAACTCGAGCCGAGTATCGAACCCGAATTGTGAGTCGAGCTCGAACTTAAATTTTTCACTATTTAGCTCGACTCGACTCGATTACACCCCTACTTTCAATGTTGGAAAACCCTGAGATTTGGAAAGAAATCTCCCCTTTCAAAATGGATTCTTGTGAGGGAAAATGACAATTTCCAAACAATGTTTTCATGTGATCCCATGAATTACCAACATGGGTTTAGAATTTTTTATGTTACTCTAACAATAATTCATGTATTTATTTTCTCTATAATTAATTTACTAATTACTAATTACTTAATTTTGGGTTAAAATTAACAACATTATTCAGTAGTTTAATTAGGTTTTCTTTTAGGGTTGTGATTGAAAATGTGCTCATTGTTACTTATTAATTATCATGACCATTCTCTTAACTGTTTCTCACCAAACCAAAGAAAAATATAATTCCCTGTCCTACTAAATGAAGTGGTATAGTCTAAAAAGTAATGGAATCACTAAATAGTATAAATCCTACTATAAGTAAAACATTGTCCCTAGCCAAAAGTTAATAGATTTAAGAACTTGGTTTTAATTTTTTTTAGAAATACCAAAAAAAAAAAATAATAACTATCTTTTGGTACATTATTAACCAATTCTTTAATTATTTCTAACCGTCTTGGCATCTAAATTTTTTTATATAAAAAAAATCATAATTGGAGAATATAAAATTAAAATTTATTAAATATTATTTGTTAAAAATAATTACATAAATTAACTAAATTAAATTTTAAATTATAAATTGTATCTTTTAAATATGATATCATATATTAATAATTAAAAATCATTGCATCAAATAATTTTTATTATTGTCATTGTTATAGAAAATTAATAATAATTTAGATTGAGGGTAATGCAGGTATCACCAAAAAATAAATGAACATGATAATGACATCTTCAAATATGAATTATTAAATATACTTATTAAAATCTTAATTTTGTCTATGAATTTTATAAAAGTACCATGCTACTATGGTTTGATAAAATTTTCTCTGATTTAATTTTCAAAACTAAAGTCTGAAATGACTTCTATTAAATAGGAAACAACTTCACATGTGCCAAAAATTTTGGGGTCCAATCAAATTTCTATGTATTTTTATATTTCATAATCATATTTATAAGAGTTTATATATCAATGTGCTAATTATATTTTAATTTATTATGTGTGATTTATTTATAAAATATTATTTTTTATTTTATTAATCATATTTAATTTTTGATAATATCAAATACAAAAATTTAAATTTAAATAAATGATAAATCCATTAAACTTATTTATAAAATTTTACTAACCATATATTAAATTAGTGACATTTACGGCGTTGATGAGTCATGTTTCCACGGGCACGAGCCATAACGTTGATGGCATCTTAATGTTCGACCGGATTGTGGAGGGGACGATGATATTGACACGTGTTATCGCCTTTTCAAACACGTGGCATGTTTTAGGCGCGTCAAGAGAAAATGCCGTGGGTAAGCCTATCTAGTCCAATTAATGAAATTGTGAATCATAATCAACGACTAAAGTGAAATTACGGCCCACTTTAAAATTTGGCAAACCCCATTCATAATGTGATAGGGAGAGGCCGTTTTGTCATTCACGTGGCCTGGAAGGCCACGCGTCATGCCGTAAACGATGTCGTCTTAGCTTGGAAATATTCGCTAGCTTAGAGATTTTTTTTTTTTTTGCCCAAACGAAGCTGTCGTGATCATTTTGCACCGTTTTTATCACAAAGGTTGAAACTATTTTGGAAATTTTTAATAATTCGCTAACATGCTCCTATCGTTTGGTAGTGTAGTCAAGTAAATGCGTTACAATTAAAATTTCGGAAATTAAATTAAATTTAAGATTTAATTAAATTATTATTTAATTATTTTTAAATCTCAATATTCAATAAATTATATAATATTTAATAAATTTAAAATTTAAATCTTAATATTTATATTTATTTTAATTTACCATTTTCTTTAAAAAATAAAAAAATAAATTTTAAGCATAGAAATTCAATCTCTTACTATTAATCCAATGAACTTGTTTCCTTATTTATCTTGCATTTGGAAAATATCAAAGAATGATGTTTTTATTATTATTATTATTATTATTGCAATTAATTTTTGAGTAAATGTATATATTAGTATTTTAAAAAATAAAATATATAATTTATATTATAAAATTTTAAATAATAATGTATCATTTTAATTTAAATTATAATATTATTAATTTAATTCATTTATATGGTATATAATCAATATAATTTTATTATACATATATTTTTTATTAAATAAAAATGTTAAATAGTTTATAAAAATTTTCATGTGAATATCATGTGATAAAAAATTATTAATTCATTTAAAAAAATTTTATGATTTAAGTAAAAAATATATATATTTTTAACTTATATTAAAAATATTAATAATATATATAATAAACATATAATTTGATAATATTAATTAAACATTACATATATATATATATAAATTAAAACAATTAACATAAGTAATTTAAATTAATATAATATATAATTTAAATTTTCAATATATAAATTATACATCATTTGAAAATTTAAATATAAATTATACATTTATTTTTTAAAAATTCAAATATTAAAAATATTATTATTATTATTATTATTATCAACTCCCCCACCATCCGTCAATTCAGACTTGTCGTGTTGGAAGGAACAAATCTTTGGGAGATTTGCACTTTTTTAACAAATGGTGGGTCAGCTTTGATCTCCCGATAACACTTTGATTAGCAACTTTGTGGTATATTTGTGCGTATCTAATTAAGTAAATTCTCTTTATCTTTTTCCAGCACTTGGTTGCTAATAAACAGGATTATATATATACTTCCATTACCAACATTCCAAACTGCATTCTACATTTGATCACACTCTCTAAACATGTTGGAAATTACAAGTATATATTCTAAATAAGTGAATGTCGTGTTTAGGGAAAATAATAAGACAGTGACCCAAAAAAAAACACAACCAATATCAGCCAAAAATCCCCACGATTGATGGAACACATAAGACTTTTGAGACTGCCAGCAATTTTGGATCAAAATTATACTGCCATGTGCCTGCCATGTGCTACTGTCAATGTCCGCACGAGCAATTGGTTGAGGCGTTGCCCCACTTTCATAATTCACTTGTTGATGCTAACATGAATGCAAATTGCAAGTCTTTCGGAATCAATGGCAAAGGCCATCAAATGGATAAGTCTGTGTTTGCTGTGTAACAATCCAATCGAATGAGAGTTAAGTGTCATATTATAAAAATATCTATAAAATTTTATAGAAGTTAAATGTTATATAATAAGAATCATTTTTATAATTTCAATATCTAATATAATTCTATAATTTTATATATATATTGTGTTAGATTTATTTAATGTTTGATATAATTAGATGCATCTATATGTTTTATGTTGGATTTAACGAAAATATCAAATTTTAACGAAATAAATTTATAACACCCCAATCTTAAATGAAAAATTATGAAAATTTATTATGATATATAAATTTAAATTTAAACTCAAATTTGTGATACGTGTTTTGTAAAACAAAATTATAAAAATTTTGGATAAAAACAAATAATATCCTGTAAGTTATACGCGAATCTTCACATTTTTGTGATTTCGGTCATGAATGGAAGCTTATGAAAAAGAGCAGAAAGGTGATTCATATGAGGATTGGCAGCGAGGTTATGGCCGAAGCACTGTAGACTATCCAACGGAAAGCCGGGGGCATTGGCCATACAAGACCCATTGAACTATCATTGCAATGACTAAAGAGAAGGTAGCGGTGCTGCTGCTGATGAAGAGGGTGAAGATTCTTGAGTTTGGCAGATGAAAGAAAAGGCTGATATTGGTTTAGCCACATCGATTGTTTTGTCTGAGGAGCAGCTTGTTGAAGCTCCTAATCCTATCGTTCGTTTCTGATAAGTATTGGAATTATATTTGGGCCAACAAACTTGAGCACAAACATGATAAGTTTCGATGATATTGTTGCAGTCATTACTTATCAAATCTGATGCTTCTGAGCCGAACTCAATGCCGCTTGACCATCGAAACCGTAATTTTTACTGGTTTTTCAACCCCTGATTTCACTTTAATTTCAATTGGCATGTCAAGCATTCCACATGTACCGGTGCTATCAATTCAACCCAACGAGAATTGACAGTTGATTTATTATAACGCGTGGCAATCTCATTGATGTGTTCGTAATCTAAGCATTTTGCAATGGTTAATTCGTTCAACCCATGTTGCATAGAATTGTGACAAAGGTGTAGACGCGCCTGTTTGCATCCATGACATAAATCTTTTTTCTGGGATGGCTGAAGACCATTTGGATTGTAACGATTACCAATGGAAAACGAGTTTGACTGAAAATAAAAGAACCACTTTTGTTCTGGCCATTTTGACTCCGTTAAAATAGGAGAATTAACATTTTAGGAATTAAAAAACCTACATCAATGGAGCAAAGGAAACATCCGCCCATCAAAATGCTCCATCCATTTTCATGCAATTCAATCCTAGTCCCATCGACTCTTTGTGGTAGACTGCACCAGAGTGAGAGGCTCCAAGGCAGAAACATACTCCATGCCCAAGTTAGTTCCCAAGCTACTTGATGGTGATGTAGCGGTTTGTCCCATGTCTAGCCCAGTAGCTCTTGAGATCAAGTGGCATTGAAAGATCTTGGCCTTCAGCAGCCAGCCGACTAAGCAACTTTGTGAAGACACTACCACTCATCTTCCGGCCACCTACTCGAGCATGGCGCTTGTTTGGCATCTGAGGCAATGGGTATGATGACATGGTTGTGGTGCAACAAGATGACTGCCACCCACCGTTTCCCCACTTGTAGCACTGCCGGGGAACTCCTGTACAGGAGCAAACTGGCACAGGCATTGTGGTTCCATCGAAGTTTACCATGTTCAACCCAATATCCTGACAATTCCACTCAGATTTACACTTCTTTACCTTAGTACCAGCTTGCCTATTTAAATCCTCAGCCACTTTCTTCGTCTTTCGTGGTGACTTTGATGAAATGGCTTTATTCTCCTTTGTCCGCTTTACAGGATGAGACTTGCCTTCTTCAGAAGCAATGGTAGATACTGGGAGGGCATCAGTAATGTGCATTTCACCATTGTGAGTTTCACCCACATCAGTTGAATGGTATGTGGGGTGCATGCGTTTTCCTCCACGCTGAATACCACTACCAATAGGGAAGTTCATGGCATTTTCCCTATACTTTAGCACAGCCAAAGCATTATCTCTCTCCCTTAAAGCACTATCCCGCTCAGCAAGTGCCTTATCCCGCTGCTGGAGGGCCTCATCTCGTGCAGCCAGGGCTTCCTTCTTTTCAGAAACGGCAATGTTCCGTTCTCGAATTGCAGCATCCCGCTCAGCAAGTATGGACATGATTTTCTTATTCATGACCAAGGCGTTATTTTGTTCCTTCATGTGATGTTGTGGCATCATGCTCCACTGCATGTATCATTTGCATCCTACTTAGATGAATCATCACAATTCACAAGAATCGAACAATAAAATAAAGACTAAAGCAACATGATCCAGTGGGGAAGTGTTTGCTTTCTTCTTACCGGAGGGTGTGCCCCTTTGTAGTAATCCAGCTTATATCTCCCATTTTCTTGTTGCCCAGCACCATCCATCTAATATCAACTCTGACTGAATTGAGTTAAAAACTTTTCACAAGCCAATCCTCTCCTTGAACTTTAATGCAAACACAAAAGTAAATAAGTTTCAGGCATGTACCACATGCTATCTGTTTAAACAAGGAAAAACCCAAAGTTCAATTTCAAGTGCTTTACAAAGAAACTAGCAATGAAGTAAACAGAATTCCCCTCTCAATCTTAGTAAGTAAAAGACTAGATCACAAAAAAATTGCAACCACATTGCTTTAGAAAATTGAGAGTAAAACAAACAATCCACTCTTCCATTTTGAAAGCATGTAATTATAAGAAGAAAAGTTAAACAGCTACAACAAATAGACAGAAAATAACAAAAATCACAAAGAAAATATAAGTTTTTTAACTGTTAAAGAGAAGCCAAACATGTCACAATCACCCGACAACAAAAAAAGAAAAAGAAATCATAGATTTCATCTTTTTGTCATGGGTTAATGTCATGAATGACCCCTCAACTATAGTTAAGTGCTCAATGTGATACCTGATCTTTAAAAATCTCTAATGTGTTATCTAAACTATGAATCTTTTAACTAACATGGTACTTCAAGGATTGTCCACATATCATCATTTGAAGCTAGCCAAGTTAGGGGTGAGTACCACTTTAGTAAACAAATTTATAGTTAAGACACCACATTGAATATTTCATTATAGTTTAGAGATCATTCATGATATTAACCCTTTTGTCATATCTATCTTATCACCAATATCCAGTGAAATCAGGTATCTCCCTGACAAAAGGACAAGCTTATCATTGAACTCAGAATAGATTTTCTGATCAATAACTATATGCAATATATCAAAGTCAATACCAAGCAATTTTAGATAATATTAAAAATATTTGTAGTTAAATTAGCACCGCTTCTCCAAATACTTTGAAAAAAAGGCAAAAACCCACAGCGAGAGTAGGTGCTCAGTCAGATGTTTAAATTGTAAAAAGCATCAGTCTTCAATAAAACGAGCAACTCCTTACAAGTATAATTGATAATCAGTGGAAAGGGCATGCATATTCGGAAAAGACTGCTTAAACTTATAAATCGAAAACACAACAACAATAATCTTTCCAGAATAGTAATTTGTGAAAAGATCATGATTAAACACTCAAGCCCAGGAGACTCTCATTAAAACATATTTAGAGTTACAAATAATATTAAACATGTAAAGAAAAAGTCATAGAACAACAGAATCTTCATCATAAAACAATGAATGCATGCAGGGCAGCCAAAGAACCCACAACAAGGCTGCAAAAAATGGCAAGCCTAAACCTACATGAATGCGGTCAGGCAATGTTCAAGTACTTACTAACACTTATGTCAGTCAGTTCACAAATAAGGGAAGCATCAAAAAATCCCATGAGCTTCATGAAAGTTGCGATTGCAAAAACAGGCAACGGGTCAAGGGTAGGGGAGTGCAAACCCTGACACCAACAATACGAAAATGAACCCAAGTTTACATTTTTCAATTGCTAATCGTTTCAAGTTTCAGAGGTATCTCTGTTAGCACAAATCTGAATTCCAAAATAATAAAATAAAAACAAAGGCACACAACCCGAAAATCTTTTAAAAATCCCAAACAATTCTTGTGGAATAATTCCATTCGCGTCCAAGAACATTGCAAATTCCTATTTCGAACTCAGGTTTAACACAGGCACCTGAGTTCGAATTTGCGGTAAAGTCAGGGTTTTTTTTGCCACAATCAAAGTTTTTTTTTTTTAATAATAATAGAGAAAAAAAAAGGAACTAAACATAGTCCTAATAAAAATGCTCGATATACAGAGAAATTGGGAGATCTTGAACAAAAAAATAAAACTTACTCTTTTTTTTTCTTTTAAATGGAGAAATGATTCGAAGATGCCTGAAATTTCGTTCTCAAAAAGGAAAAAAACAAGAGAGGGGTTCGATAGCTATTAGCCAGAGACAACATTAAATGACTGTGTGAAGGTTTGAAAATGGAAATAATTATTTGGCTTTCGGCTGAAACGACGGCGTTCTAGCTTTCTCTTGTCCCAGGAGTAGGGACTAAACGCATGCGTTTTGGCCGTGTGGGCTAAAAAATTTTTAATTTGTCCAAATTAATAAATTATTATTCCTAAATTAAATTATTGTATTTAACTTGAATAATATATAATGTTCATACATTATATAATTCCATGGTTATTGTGAAGCTCCTCTGCTTCTCTTACCTTACCATTAGCTGACATGTTGAATCTTCATGGGGGCTCACTTGGGGCACATGCTGAACAAGTTGATGAATGCGTAATTCCTACTGGTGGTTGGTTTGATATTGTTTCATCACCACACTTTGGCTGAGATTGTAACATCTCTCTTTCTCCATCTATCCCTCCTACAAGGTTTTGATTGCTTCTAACTAATGATGAAGGTCATGTATGTTGGCTTGGTGGTTGCTAGTGGAGGAGAAGATCTGCCTGTCTGGTGGTGGCAGGTGGCAAATCTGAGGTTTGCAGCAGCTGAAACACATAAATGGTATCTTTGCAAATTTGAAAATTACACAAGAAATCGATTTGCCATTATCCCATTCATCTTTGAATGTTTACAAGTACTAATTATTGTAGACAAATGGATTTTTCACTCTTATTCTTCATGAAACACAAGGAAAGTTCCCACAAACAGAATATCTGCCATGCTCTAAGCGTACAGATCTATGCCCCAAAACCTGGCAGGTTGATTGGTCCGATATTTCCTGTCAACAGTTTTAATTAGGTCCATGTCTTCTTTGGCTAGCTCAAAGTCGAAAACTTGGAAATTCTCCTGCAATCTCTCAAATTTGGATGTCTTTGGGATGACAACCACGTTCCGCTGGATTCCCCACCGGAGAACAATCTGAGCCACAGTTTTCTTGTACTTCTCAGCTAGCCCCTGAGACCAAAGTGCATACATTAAAAATAAAATTAATGGAAGTGTAGTGCATACATTAAAAATAAAATTAATGGAAGTGTCTAGTAGTGATGACAACTGAAAATTAATCTACATGAGGAAGAATTGCATACTTTAAGGATTGGATCATCCAAACATGACACTGTACCAAACCATTCTGTATTAGCTGTAGCACCTCCTAAGGGAGTATGGGCTGTAACACAGATTCCATGTTTCTGACAAAATTTGACAAGACAATCCCGTTGGAAGTAGGGATGGGTCTCAATCTGATTCACAGCAGGCTTCACTTTGGAGTAAGCTAGGCAATCTCTTGTTAAAAAGATGTCATAGTTGCTGCAAGCAATTTTTCTATCAGATGTAATTCCAAATTTAAAAGATTTAGGGAGGATACTCAATAGTCAAGACAAAGTTGGCACCTGATCCCAATGCTCCGAACTAAACCCTTGGAAACCAGATCTTCCATAGCATGCCAGGTAGTCTCCAATGATATAGTTGTGTCTATGTCCAGGACTCCATCCTCATCCACAGGACTGCCAGTTTCACCGATTCCTGCAGACATATAGAACACAGCCAAAATTGGAGTGTGAGTAGCTTCCTAGTTGCTTCAAACTAGTCGCATTTTAGGCATCCCACCATCCATGGCATGGTATTTTGCATTATTATCCAAATAGTGGAATGGACTAATAGAGCCAACAGATTCTTTAAAAGGAATTCATCATCCCCTAATTCAAACTATTTCTCCAGGAATATTAACCGGTGGATGCATTCAGTGACACAGTTTATACCACCAAGTAACTGAAGTGTAGTAGATGGTAATCCAAGCATAACATATGATGCTTTTGTATCAAGTTCATCTTCTTAATCCTCAAGGTTAAAGAAGTTAAACCTGAAATTTTATCGTGAAGAAAGTACCCAATGCAAGTAAAACATATACTAAACAATAAGAAGGCAGTCAGGAATTACCAGTGTGCTTTATGGCAACAGGGAAGTGAATTAGATACAAATCCAGATAATCCAACTGAAGCTTCTTAAGACTGTCTTTACAGGCCTCAAGAACATGGCCATGATCAGTATTCCAAAGCTGCAATCAAACTGGGTGAGATACAAACTACATGGTACTAAAGTATAAAAAAAAAAAAGTCAAAATTTCCATTGGACTAGCCTTAGTGGTAATAAAGAGGTCCTCTCTCTTAACAAGCCCAATTCTGAATGCTTCTGATAGTGCCTCCCCAACTTCTGCTTCATTCCCGTAGTCAGCTGCAAAACAGCATAGAATTATCACAAAGACATATATGCCATCAACAATACATGAAAAAACCATCAACGAATGTTTGTCCTGTAGCAAAGACTAAATTTTCACATATCCAACCGTCTTCCAATTTCCCCTAAATAAATCTGTGTAACTAAAGTACTGTGGACACCATACTTTTCATAAAGTTTAAATTTTGTATAATAGTATCACAAAACCTCAAGCAAGCACTTCAATCAAGAATGAATTCCCAATTCCTAGTCTAACTCAAACAGAGAAACGGCTTAGCACAAAACCATTTTATTTCCCATAAATATTATTAACAGTTATCATTCCATAATTATTGTGACCAATTTTTGTTCCAACACTTGAACTAAATAACTCCAGTCAAGAATAATATCCACAGTTCAACTAAAATAGAAAGAATAAAAAAAAAACGCAAGATGGATTCGGATATATATATATATATATATATATAAAGAAAGAAAAACCCAGAGTACCAGCACAATCAAAATGGCGATAACCAATCTTGATGGAGTTGATGATGAGATCTCTAATGTCTTTTCCTTCCATACGCCAAACACCCAGACCAACCATTGGCAGCTTGAATCCATCGTTCAGTGTTATTGCCATTTTCTCTTTGCTTTGTACCAAATAAAAAATAAAAAAGAAAGACAGTTTCCCACTCAACTCTGCTACTTTGTTGATTTGCAGACTAGCTGTGGACTTCGGATTGAAACAATGAAAGTGCAAGGAGATTTTTCGTTTTACTCTTTTTGACGGGCCGCCTACTCCTGGCCGTTCTATTTGTGCTTTTTCTGATTGTTTTGATCCGATGACGAAAATCCTAGCCACACAAATTACAGTGGATTTCCTGGGATGATCAGAGCCGTGTAATTTGGGAATCTAGATAAGACGGTTGCTGGCCCACAAAATTTAATTTATTTAATTTAATAGAAATAAATATGTTATTAATATTTTTTTTTAGAAAAAATTCAGAATAGATAAATTATTCATTCTCTCGTATAAAGATAAGATGTATCATATCTGATAATTTAAGATAAATAATTACAGATCGTACATTCGAGATAACTTCAATAAATAATTACCGATAAGATTCGAATATAAAATCTCTCTGTATCACAATCAATTAAATAAATTATTTATTAATTATATTATTAACATTATTATTTATTTCATAGTATTAATAGAGGCTTTACTCCTCGAATAAAATACAGGAGTTAATAATGATGTATTTAAGTTCCTTGATTAAAATTTCTCAAAAAAAAAAAAGCTTCATAATTAATTATTTCAAAAGTTGGGTTTTTTTTTAGACTATGAATTAGGTTAAATATCATTATTTCATTATTTTTTCATTAAATTTGTTGCAAAAAAATCATCAATAATGATATATAATTGAATTTAAAAATTTTATGATCAATAATCATAATATAAGATTTAGTATATATATTATATATGTTAATGATGACAAATAACAAATTTGAGCATAATTATTTCAAATTTAAAATATTTTATTTTTTAATTTAGAAAAAAAAAATTTGATTAAAATTATTTCATATTCTTTTTTTTTTTAATTCAAGTTCTTTTCAAGTAACGATCCTTTTTGAGTTCAAATATTTTTTATTAAATTGTTTCAAATTCGGATTAAATTCAAGTTTAAATTATAATAAAAATGGTTATTGAATTTTATATTTTTTAATAATAAATTTAAGTTATCATGAATTTTGAATTGATCAAATTTTGTCTTTTTAATTTCTGATTTGGTCATATTTGAATCTTTATTTTTATCAACTCAAATTCAAGCAAATTGTAATTTGATTTTTTTTTTTTTTTACAGATTTTCGGATTCAAATTCATTATGCTACCTCTGTTATATACACTTTGTCAAATTTCATTTTATAATAATTACGGCATCTTAAAACTAATATAATTAGAACTACACTATTTTCCTTTTTAAGGTAATGGCCTACAATATTTTAAATTTAATTAAGTAGGTCCAAATCAATAAAAATAATTAAATATCCCACCATGTAGATCTAGATATAGACTATAATATACAGCATTGATTTACAAAAATCAAAATGCATGTGTTAATTCTAATTTCAATTTCAATTAACACGTGCGGTTTTTTATTTTTTTTAAAGAAGGACAAACATTCGTACAATAAAAGAGAAAGACAACATAATTAAAATCTATATATTTTAAAAAAATAATATTTATATATTTTATTTTATTATATTTAAAAAAATAAAATTATAAAAAAAATTAATCATATTCTTAGTATAAGATAATTTAATCTTTTCAAAATTAAGATAATTAATTTTAATCCATAAAATTAAATTTAATTGTCTTATTATACTCTTAAAAATTATATTAATAATTTAAATTATATAAAATTTAAAAAATAATATTTTGATTAATAAATAAATTATTTTATTTTAATTCTTACACACATTAATAATAAGATTGAATGATATTATTTAATCAAATATTATTTATAATTTTATTTTATTATAATTTTATGTACCAAATATGACTTATATCCTTGTTTTCCTTTTGACACCTATTTTAAATATTTTTTTTGGAATTCCTAAACTACAAATATATGGATTCATATGCTTTAAATTTGCTTCTTTTTTTTTTTTTTTGTACATTTTCAATTCCATATTGAGTATCAGTTAAAACAAAAGTGTTGAACCCAGAAAAATTTTTGGATATTAGGAATCTACAAATAAAAATACGAAAGAGGCCCAATGGGCTAAATTGGGCCACTGAACCCATTATGTTCACACAAAAAAAAAAAAAAAACAGATTGACCATGCTCGTTTTGGACTACAAAGATTTGGTGGCTGATTTTCTTCCGCTCCTCCTTTCTTACACCGCGGCAACAAAAACCCAGAGACAAAGAGATCAAAAACTATCGAGACAAAACAGTTGTCGATTCGTTTTTCCTCAGATCTAAACGACGCCGCTTCTAAGATCCACTAAATCCATATGTCTTCTACTTTCAGCGGAGATGAAACGGCACCGTTCTTCGGCTTCCTCGGCGCCGCTGCTGCTCTCGTCTTCTCCTGTAACGAATCCATAATTTTTTTTTTTTTAACATTAGATCTCTCTTAATTAGTTTATATTAGATCTGTTTTATTTTTTTTTATTTTCTGATACAAAATTCTTGGATCACTAATAATAATAGCTTTTATCCTATTTAGCGAACCGATTGAAAAAAAAAATCATGAAATTTTAATTTTTATTGTAAATTTTGTATAAATTTAGTAGTATTTCATATGGATCTTTGAATTTGGGATATGAATAAGATTGACATAAGTTATTACCTTTATTCAGCTCAGTAAATATTATAGCTTAAAAGTTTTGTTTTTATTAGAATTAAATGACGGAATTAGACGTGGATCTGATAAGAATTTTGCATTCAAATCAAACTCGGAATGGTTTAAAATTGAAATATATATATTTATATAAAATTTGGGAATATAGGTATGGGAGCTGCATATGGGACAGCAAAGAGCGGTGTGGGTGTGGCGTCGATGGGTGTGATGAGGCCTGAGTTGGTGATGAAATCTATTGTTCCAGTTGTTATGGCTGGTGTCTTGGGTATTTATGGATTGATTATTGCTGTTATTATTAGCACTGGGATCAATCCTAAGGCCAAATCGTATTACCTTTTCGATGGTTATGCCCATCTTTCATCCGGTCTTGCTTGTGGCCTTGCTGGGCTTTCTGCTGGAATGGCAATCGGAATTGTCGGTGATGCTGGTGTCAGGTGTAGTGCTTTAATCCCCATGTTGTTGATTAACTTACATTAACATCAAATGTTGTTGGTGTGAAGATTTTGATTTATGCTGTTCATGGTTGCTTTATTCCCTCTCCATATATGGTTTGAGTTGGTTTTTAAAATCTATGTTGTCTGCATCTCTAGACAGGGCTCTTAGCCTCTTAAATGATGCAGTCACGGGTTTTAGGAACTAAGGTATTTTAGTATTGTTTTAGGTAAATAATGGTGTCAGGAAATTTCCTTGACTTTGAAATCTAATCAAAGCTATAGTTTGTGAGACTGAGTGTCTTAATCATAAGAAAATTACTGATAATAGCAATTCATTTACTTAGTTTGATATGCCCTTCAGATTTCTACATCTGTCATATATCTTGTTTATCTATTGCTATCATGGGAAAATTTTTTAATGTTTCTTCATGAAATCAAACATGTTCTCTCAATTAATTTGGGTCAATTAATGTTTGAGTGATTTTGTTTTGCAGAGCTAATGCACAGCAGCCAAAACTTTTTGTTGGAATGATCCTTATCCTCATATTTGCTGAAGCTTTGGCTCTTTATGGCCTTATCGTCGGCATCATCTTGTCTTCTCGAGCTGGCCAATCCAGAGCAGAATAAGATGCTCGCAAGGCTGTTTAGTATTCTTTTATAGCTCATCCGTATCACTGTACGGGAAATAGTATCGATTATGCTCAGGTTAATCATGATTGGACAGCGAATTCGCATTAATATGGATGAAAGCAAGTACTTGAGCAGTCATTCGGTGGTTGCTCTTTCCTCTTTGTAGAAGTGGAATTGCGTTTCTCTTAATAATTATGTCTTGATGCATTTCATGTTTGATTTTTGTTTGTCAATGTATCTCGCAGAAGTTGAAACTACGAATGAAGTTTAATGTTGGAGATAATGCATTTAGGATCCAAATTTTTCTGACATTATTTCCTTGTGAGCTTATATAGATGGTCGCTTCCTGTTAGCTTTGGTTGAAACTGTTTTTCTTCTAGATGGTTGCAATATTGAAACAGGTGACATTGATCCTCGATCGACTCTTCTCTACTTTATAATTAAAGAATAAATGATATATTAATATTCGTAAATTAATCGAGTTTGATTTGAATTAAATTTAAATTGAATTTGAGTTCAATCAATTCGATTTATCAATTGAATCGAATTTAAATATTTTTATATTCAATATGAATAATTTATAAATTTAATTGAATTTTTATATTTTAATATTTTAATTAATAAAATATTTTAAATTTAAATTCAAATTTAAATATAAATAATTAAGTTTTATTAAATATAAAAATTAAATTTATTTTTATATATTAATTAAATAAATTTAAATAATTTTATTTTTATTTGAAGTAAAATTTAAATTAAAAAAATTAAATTTAAATTAAAATTAAAATTTTAAATTAAATTTAAATTTAATATTACATTGATTCGAACACGATTAATTATATATTTACTCGTAACCAAACCTCATTTAGAACAATACCATTTTTACTATTTGAAAACTTGACCACTTCTCCCCGACACGTCCACGATTTTGTGCCAGTAGTATGAAATGTGTCCTTGTCGGGCTAGAGCTAGCCTACACCCCAACCAAAAAAAAAACAAAAAGGAAAGAAGTTGAGTTGTAAGAGATAACATTGAGAGTCTATTTTGGGTCAAATATACAAATATATTTGTTCCAAAAATAAAAAGGTTAAAATAGCCTTTGAGATTAGGTAGAGCCAAAACACTGTTTGATGTTCGTGGAAACCCTTAAAATATAATCCACAAAGGGATAAGAAGATAAGAGAGTTAACTTTCCATCACATGTAATCCAATCAAATGCATTTTGAAGAAAAAAAGGAAAAAAATGATAAATGATAAAAATAAAAATAATTTAATTTAATTAATTCATATAATTATTAATAATAAATAAAAATTTTAATATCTATAATTATTTTTTTTATTCTTGAACTACCACCTCTTTTATAAAATATAAAGCATCAAACTTTTGGTACAAAATTTTCAAACCTACTAAGGAAACAAAGCAAAGCAACATCTTGTTAATCTTTGTTTCTTATATGCATTGTCATTGCATACGTCTTTCACTTCAAAAAATTTTTTTCTGATTTGATGATGAAAAAGAAATATGGTGAGTCATTGTTTATGAATATTGGAACAGAACAGGTCACTTAAAAATCTTGGCTAAAAACGAACATTTGCTACAATCATCAAAACTTGCATATATTGCCTTAAAATTAAAAATTGAAGTCTCACTTTGTCTTATTAATTAAATGGCCAAGCCATTTTAATAAACATTCGAGATAAAACTGTACGATGAACTGATCTTATTTTGTCGAATAATAAATCATATATTAATCATTAAATCAAATATTATTATTCATCGTCATTTTAAATAGTTCGATTTTAAGTATATATATATATACAGACATAAAATTAGTGGTAAAATGACCAGAAAAAATTAGGTAATGTTTTTGTAAGCTTGTAATGAAAGAGCTTGGGAGTTGGAATTGGAAACCCCACATGATTAAAGTTTCATGTTCTTTTTTGGCTTTGGTTCCCTCATTTGCTTTTCACATGCAACCGTAGGCCATATTTTGGACTCATCAAAGTCCCTTTTTTTTTTTTAATCTCGTGTTCTCACTTATCGTTTTGAAAATGCGTTCATTACCTTTTCCAGCAAGTGCTCTCCTTCCAAAATCCTAATATTCCTGATACATGTGCAAAATAAATTGAGCATCCATGATTTTAATGTTTCTCTTTCTTGGTACCACATATCTAGATGAACATGATTTTATCGTTTTGGTTTTTTAGTATGACTTTTGCAAGAAAGGACCACTTGGTTTCACGTTGTTATCGATCTAGACAGAAAAAAAAAATCCATTAAAATATAATTCAGAATTTCATTCAGTTGTTCGTATAATTATTTTGAAAAAATATCATTCAATAAATTTAAATTTTAAATTTTAATACATACAATTATTTTTTTGAACAATAATTTTTTGTATAAAATTATGTATTAAAATATTTGATTCGTCGATTGATGCATAATTTTTTTTTATTAATGAAAGAGGAAGATTTGATTCTCCTTTCCTTGAATCAAGAAAATGAAAGACAGTAATATTTTTCATTTTCCTTTTGGATCATTTATCCTTAGTTTGTACATTGCTATGAAGTATATAAACGTCATACCCAAATAATATATAAAGTACAAAGCTAATTGGTATTTTAAAACTTTATTAAAGTGGGTTGCTCAACCAAAATATATATATATATATATATATAAATTTAGGACTCGGAAAGTGAAATTCACTTTAAATAACTATATAAAAGAAAAATAGATGTTAACTCAAAATTATTATTATTATTATTTTATATGAGATCTTTTGGTACTCGATAATCATTTTGAATTTCAATTATTTCAAAATCGAGCTGTATCGAATTTCATAAGAATAACAAACTCCTTACACTTATTTTTTTCATTCATAAAATTCGAAATCAAAATTTTACTTAAAAAAAATCAAGTTCTTGTTTATTATTATTATGTGGCAGACATCAACTCTCTATACAAATGCTAATTTAGGTGAAGTTATTTTTTAACTCAACAAGACCAAAAGTAATGTTATTATAAACAACACTGATGAAGACATTGATGATACCTTTGTAATACAAACCACAATTTCTTGAACTTTTTTATAATAAAAATTGTAATTTAAGAGCAAAAAAATTAAATTTATTATAAATATTATCCCTTAAAAATAATTTTAAAACTAATTAAATTAAATTTAACGTATTTTAATTATACTTTTTATGATCAACATCAAATTTTCGGTGTGTGGACATCGATGCATTAAAAAATAATTAACAGCAAGCGATAACGTTTCCCTGGAGATAAGCATCTTACGTTGGAAACCATGGAACTTTTGATTTGTCATATCCACAAAACATGATCTATTTAAAATACGGTCAATGCTTGTGGTTGGCGATCAGCCGATGAGTGCTGCTTTAATTGCCAGCAATTTGCATGATTTTGAAGTTTTAAGTGTGTTTCTTATTAGGTCATGATTTCTGGTAAAGTTTTTTTTCATTATCGACGAGTTAGGTTGGTCTGGAGACGAAAGCCACTGGGAATCGGAAAATCGTACCTTGGGATGATCATGATTCAAATTAACTTACATTTGGTTTAATATTTTAAATAATATATAATATTATAAATTTTAAAAATTCAATTGAAATTAAAAAATTTTAAATTAATTCATTCTAAATTGAATTTTATTAGTTTTATTTATTTTTTAAATATTATTTAAATATAATTTTTAAAAAATTTTAAACATAAAATAATTATTTTATTTTATATAAATTTAAAAAATATATAATTTAATTTGATTCAATCATTTTAATTTTTATTTTAATCTAAAATTTAATTAAAAATAAAAATATTTAAATTTAATTAAATCAATAAAAAAATCTATTAAAATCAGATATTAAAATTTTATATTAATTTTCGATTCTGTCGATTTTTTTTTTTTACCCTGATGATGTGGAAGGAAGCTAGTGGTCAATGCCATGAAAAAAAGGGACACACAGTGTACAAGTAGTAAAATTATTGGGCAAGAAAAGAATCATCAGAGGCACAATAAAAACTAATATTTTTCTCTGCTCGAGACGACCAAGATGACGTAAGCTGTCTTTGTTTTCCGATCTAGTTCACGTTGGCTACGTACATCGCGTAAAGAGAGTTTAATACTGTCACCCAACATGAAAAATTATAATTTAATTATTTGAATATTAATATTAAACATTATAAAATTAAAATAATATATTAAATATTTTCGATTTCATGCGTTTAAATTATATATAAAACATCATCAATTTTGTTGTTTGTTAGTAAAATATTATATTTTTATTTTAATATTTTCTTTTCTTCTCTTTAAGACCAAGGCACTCTAACAATCTAAATAATAATAATAATAAATGGCTTAAATAACAAAAAAATAATTAAATTTTATTATTGAAATATATATCTTCATAAATAACAGGTTATTAGTTCGACGTTAAATTAAGAGGGTACAAGAATTTTAAACATTAGCCATAATGCTTTTGTTATATATTTTATATATGAATTACTTATATTTAATATTATTTTGATAGAATAACTTATTCGTATGTTGTTAAAATAATATCAAATAGTATCGATATCATGATTTTACCACTCAAAGAATTCGAAACTAAAACTATCAGTTATCAAAATTTTAACACGTATTACTTGTCACTGTTTAAAAATGATATCAAAGTTAGTTCGACAAGAAGATTATAAACAATCAAAATCATGATAAAAAATTCTCACAATATAATCTGTAACGAAGCATTGGCTCTTACCTCAATATGATCAGACAAATTAGCCACCTGTGCGGTTGATAAGTCAAGAGGTTTATCGAAAACTAATGTTTGAGGTACCCATAAAGGCCACCCTGCAAAAATTAAACTAAACTCTATGTCTGCAGAGCTTTGAGTAAATAATTTTGTATATTTTTATTACATTTATGTAAGTTTTAACTTTTAATTTATAATTAAATAATCATTTAACATAATTTTATTTATTCAAATGCAAATTATAGAGTAAAATTTTATTTAAATAAAAAATATACAAAGTTTATCTAAAAATAATAATTCAAAATTTTTGTATATTAAAAAAAGAGTATGGTAAGATTCCAACATGGGGTAGAAGAGTAAATATATGAATTAAATGTTACAAAACAAAATTATTAACTTAAATTAATCAGTAAATCATTAATCATGACCGCAAAACCATGACTTTGTTTAAAATACTAATAGTTTCCTTTTTAAGAATGTATCCCTAAATGATATAATCACAATCAAGAATGACGGCTTAATTCATTTTTGTTAGATTTGAATTTAATTTGATTCGATTTTATATAATTAATATTTTTAATCA